ACTTACACTGTACCAAAATGTCGAGTGCTCTTTGTGTAGCAGTACGCCCACTGCCACCTACACGGCCACCACTCATCATCCATATACTTAATCAGCTGCCACCTCTCCTTGTAGTCCTCCTGTAGCTTCTTCCACTCACTCTCGAACTCATCCTGATTGACCTTCCTGACTAGAGCGCTCCAGCGGCCAAGGAATTCACTCTTTTTGTCCTGTTCCTTTTTCTGTACAGCAGCTCTCTCCTCATCTGTTGTAGGTGTAGGAGGTGCGCTGCCTGCCTCGTACGTATGTGCCTCCTTGTAGACCTCAGCTAGCTTGGTGACGAAGTTCTTGTCGATATGCCATATACACAGCAGCTGCGGGACACCCGGCCACTTAGCTCTTAGGGCCTTCTTCAACGCGGCTTCTTTATCTGTACAGAAAACGCGTGGGCGTAGCGAATACGCTTGGAAGAGCTCGTAAAGCTGTTGTGCTGCCCAGTCGTAGTTCGGGTCCTTCTCTCTCGGAATGAAACAATAGGCAATCTCGAAGCTAGTTCCTATGCACGTAATACCCGTTATATGCAGCAACGGCATACCAAAACGGTTAGTCTTGTATGTACAGTCAAGGAGGATGACGTCGTAGTTAGACTTGAGGAGCTCAATCGACTGTGGGTGTGCAAAGAAGAGGTGATCAACGCGGTTTTCATCATTCAGTGAATAGCTGTAGAAGAACTTGCCCGCCTCTCCATCGCTGCCATACGTTTCTAACGTGTGGAGTAGTGCCTGGATGGGACTGAGGCCTTTGAGGAGTTCCTTCCTGTATGATTTGCGCTCATTGTTGATATCGTCCTTTGTAATACTTACCCCCTGCTTTAGCAGCTTTGTATACGTCGCTGCAGGTGCACCACCACTGGAGAGGTCATCGCGAATAACCTTCCTTACCTCCTCCGTACGCTCAAGGCGACGTAATACAGGCAAGGCTGTTGTTTTAAGTATAGCTTCATGGCCAAAATGAGAGGCTTCTGTTGTTTCCCACATCCATGTGCCTTCGGGCTGTCGGGTGAGAGTTCCTTTCATAGTACAGCCGGTCCTCTTGCTTCCAGTCTCACGTATACGGTTCTGAGGCACGTGAAGGCGTGCAAAAGTACACATATACCATATTTTTCGGGTCGTCTTTGCTATAGTCTTGTCCGGTTTGGTACGATATTTGGCCAACCCGTAGCCCTGCAATGAGGCGTGCGTTTGTAGAGCAATATGCGCTTCCTCCGCTGTAGCGTAGTACGCTAGCCGTGGCGGCTGGAGGGCCATGGTGAGTGTATTGTGGAGGTGTATTGTGGAGGTGGAGGAAGAGGCGGTGATTGCTTGTGTACACGCCGCATTTGGAGTGAGCATTTAGAATTGGTAAGCGAATTAAGCGAGCGAATCGGAGGCCCTAGCCGGGCCTCCGAGCCAATTAGAGGGCGGTGAAACGACAGGGGTTTAGGGGGTGTACAACTACTAGAAAGGGGGGTGTACAACTACTAAAAAGGGGGTGTACAGGTACTAGCGCCCAATATTATACCTGCGGAAAAGTATTACTTATAGCAGTTTGCAGCAGTTTGCCATAGTTCGCCGCAAAGGAATCGAGACCATACGCCATAGACTGGTTGGCGCAAACCGCGCCGTTTGCGGCGAACTGCGGCGAACCGCATAAAATCCGCAGGGAACTATTTCCCTGACGTAGTATATTGCATCTAAGTCTAGTATATATCTAACAATTACTTACTTTTTAAGCATAGTAAGTTTCTTTAAGTTAGGCTCGCATTTGCGTTGTGCACACGTTCCAGCGCGTTGGAAGCATAGTGTGGATTCAGGGATATTGTATATTGATGAAGCGCGTCATGCACTAGGATTTTATGTAGAATCGATAGATAAGATAGCAAGGAAGATGTCTCCTTCGTTGTATGGCAAACAATTTTTATTTGGTGGAGCCATTGTAGTTACGAGGTATCGCGTCGTAAAAGGTTGAAGGGTGCGCAGCTCGCTTGCCACCTACGTTACCCGTCTTTTGTTTCGTCACGGGGTGTGTTTCGCCACGCAGGGATGGACGTTAGAGAGTTAGGACACGTGAGCTGGGTGCTAAACCGGTGGTTACGGTTTGGGATTTCTCCGTAAGGTCTACAAAATCAATGATCACCATCACGAAACCACGTACCTTGAAATTCCAGAGAAAAGAGCTCCATTTTCATTGCCAAACAACGCGCCAACAAAGCCGCACTATTCAACGTAAGTATTCTAAAAAATTAGCAAACGCAAACCGCAATCATTCATGACTAGACAGTTATCGCGACTCATCTAGCTCGTGGTTCAAGAGTAGGTCCCTTACGACCTATCTTTGTCTTCCTTATCCTTGTCTTTCTTCTTCCCCTTCCTATTGAACGAGAAGGAGAAAGGATTCTGCAGCATCCTCGGTACCGGCGGGAGCGGGGGCACTTTCGCTTTCTCTCGCTCTCGCTTAGCCATTATTTCCCTGGGGTCATCGTAGAACTTCTCCCAAGCCGTAGACGCGGTACTCAAGGGCCGACTTCGGATACCGTTTTGAATCCAGTTGGGATCGTTGAATCGAGGGTCGCGTTGCTCGCGTGGAGGGCTAGGCGGGCGTGAAGAGCTGAGCGGGCTGACGCTATAGGGTCTCCCTGGCACTGTTACTGGGGAAGCGGCACGGGAAGAAACCGGGGAGGGCTGGAATTCGTAGGGGTTTTGGTTGACTGGAGCCGGATAGCCTGGCGTGCCGGTATGATTGTCTTGACGGCGGACACTGGTGTTACGAATCAGTGGCGATCGTGGCGTAGCGGCAGGTTGCCGTTCTGGACGCCTCGAGCTCTGAGACCGCTCCACGGTGTTTTCGAAAATGCTTTTATAGGGCGTTACGCCCGCAACCGCCTGACCTGACGATTTATCTGCAGCTCCGTCTCCGTTGTCGACTTGTTCGCTGTTGTTGTAGTTGATCCAGGCATCGCGTGCGAACAGTGGTTCAGTCGCCGGCGGCGCAACTCCTTCTTGTGGCTCGTCTTCGAGCACATTGCCTAGAGATGAAGCGTAGTCTGCAGCATAGGCCGCAGCATTTCCTTGTGGTATTGAAGCTGGGGATGCGCCTGCCTGGGAGTAGATGGAGGATGCCGCAGGGTGTGGGAGATTTGTGAGATCCCATGGATTAACAGTTGCGCTGACCTGTCCGTCCTTGTCGGGGTCTTCGTGGTACTCATATTCACTTTGATCGTCAACAAGCTCGCGTTCGCTGTTGCTATGTCGTGGCGAAGTAGGCGGGCTTTCGAACGGGCTTTTAAAGGGATTCTCTCGGTTACTAGGGAATCCTCCGTCAGGATGGTACGGCTCTGTGACATCGACAGGAGCGGTCGCATTGGAGGATACTGTTGGAGGACGACCAACAAACGCCGTTGATTCAACGGAGAAGGTTGGAGAGCGCTTCAATGGGTCTTCAAACTCCCCATCTCTGATCTGGCGTGCCACATCTTTCCAAATTTCCTTCAATTTTTGAGCCTCTGGCCATGCGAATCGATCGGCACCTGGCTGGAATTGGTGGACCCAGCGCTCCACCCATTGAAGTCTGCGGCTCGTATCCGCTTTGGTCTTTGCGGTTGACCATCGAGCGAGTATGCCTAACAAGAGGCCATAGCAAGCTCGATAGCTGCCGCCAATTCGTGCTAGCATACATGCTGGGCATTGGTGTTGTCCCTTAGCCCATCGGCTTAGGACGATCCCGTTCTGTTCAACCTGCGAGTAGATTGGTTCCCTATTGGGTGGAGCCGTCTTTCGAGCATCGTAGTCATTTTGCCACATCTCGGGGATCAACTCAAGGTAGCGAACAAACTTCTCTTGTTCAGGAGTCAGCGCATTATGGAAGTACAGAATGTGGAAGAAGCGCGGAATGCCCTCTTCAATCTCATGTCTAATCCAAGAAAATATGCTTTGAACAAGCTTCGCGGGAAGCTTCTCGTGCAAATTGTGGCAAAGCCCTGCTCTACTTAGATCGCCATTCTTCATGAATATGTTGCTGATCTTCAATGCGACGCTATTACGCAGTAAATGCGGCGGAAGGGCTTGTGTAGCTTTCTTGACCCGCCTGATGTATTTCTGCGTCTTTTCGGAATTGATGTCGTCGCAAGGAAGTGGACTATCTCGTAGTATGGCGGTCAGCTTTGCGATATCGCGCCGGCCGAGATGTGAGTATGATGTTGCGCGGTAAACTTGGCCCTTCGAAAAACCTTGCTGAGCGGCGGACATATTTGTTTTGGCGGGCAGTCTGCTACGTGTAGATTGGGGTATGCTGATCGTAGCTTGCGTAACTTGGTGGGAAATCTGACAGTTTCAAAGAATGACTGAGTTCTGTGCGATTCTAGGAAAAAGCAGACGAGGAGCGTATTTCAGGGAAGTTTGTAGAAGGGGTAGAGACCTTACTGCGTCCGCTTTTTATATCCCGCACGATGCGTTGCGAAAATTCAACTACTACAAAGACTTGAGCAACTACAAAGACATGAGCATTGTGAAAATACACTGAGCTTGTGAAGCTATAGCCTGACCGAAGGGATTGCGTTAACAACGGTTTCGCGAAATAGCAGCATCCCGGATCGACTGTTATAATAGAAATACCTGGAAGCAAAAGTGACTGCTGTCCTAAGAGAGTTGGGTGTTGGAGGAAGAGGATTTTGAAGACACGTGACTTCTCTAGCGATATTGAGGAACGGAATTAGGGGGCGTTGAACGAGAGCACCCAAAGCGAGAAATGAGGATTTTAAGACTGTTAGAGCGACATCGAACTCGAATTTCTGGTGTTACCTATCTCCCGGAACGCACGAGCAATGGCATGTCATCAGCGAGGTATTGCAGTCGACTTTTGAAATGAAAGGTATGATAGTTCGGATTGAGTTTCGTAATCCAATCGCGTCCTGAACTCCAGATACCCCTCTTCATAGCGAATGTGTTTGTACAATGCCGACCATAAGCAATGAACTCGTACACTTTCCTAGTCCTCCAAGCAATCTTTCCGAAGCCCGTGCAACGGGATCGTGATACAAAGAACTGAATTGACTTCCCTAGGTTTGAAACAAGAAGTAGTAATAGACATTAAGATCCTGATGCGCGCTGCATGGACCGCGTTGTACATAAACTCTAATCAACGCTTGAGGCTCCGAAGAAAAGAATGGCAGGGTCGTGATGTCCTAGGGGTCGTCGCATGCAAGCATGACTTTGACGCTAGGGTAGGGTAGGTAGCGACAAAAAGCCAGACGCAGTCCTAGGAGCCCCAGGCAGAAGACAGGGCCAAAAAAATTATCGCGAAATCAATGTCCGCTCTCCACTCCTAAAACGTTCCCTCCTTTTCCTTGCAAACTCTCGTTCACCTTGTTACGCAGCCCTTTGAGATTTCCGGACTGTTGCGATATGCTTGTCGCTTTCTTTCGGGTTGTCCGCCGTACTGATATTGGTGTATTCGATGAGTTCTTGATGGTTTCATCCATTTCGGATGCAGATGAAGTGTTGACGCTGTCCGACTGCGCCGCTCTGATTCCATTATCGCGATCGACCTTGTGCTGGGCGTGCACTCGGCTCTTCTCGTATCGTGCAGATACGTCACCCCCTTTCCACATAGTATTCAGGATGCGATCCCAGATCGTGAAGAATGGCTGAGAGAAGTTTGTCTTGATGCCCCAGCTTTGGTGATGGATATCATGGTAGGCGGCATTGTTTGAAGTAATAAGCTGGAGAGGGTCGAATGGGAGCGAGTAGCCACAGTGGTCGTCCACGGTTTTGATGCTGGCGCAGGTAAAGAACCACATGGACTGCCTGACGGTCATGCCAGAAACGAGGTAAGCCAAACCGGTGCCTAGGGTATCGAGGAGAAAGCCTTCGAATGGATGGTTGTAGAGCGCGCCGTATGCATAAGGCACATATAACTTGTGGTGTCGCGAGTGGAAAGTTGCTAAGACTATAGTTAGTGACATGGCCATGAAGGTATGGACGGAGTTCGCATTATTAACGTACCATACAACCACCTGTTCACGTGCATCGCACGATGAAGGAAGTATTGCCAGGTGTCGACGATTACAATGCCAATGAAGAACTGCAACGCGGGTACAACCACCCAGTACAGGGCCTTGGCGAGCTGCATTTCCCAAGGCGCAAAGGCTGGTGCAATCTCGCTTTGGCCGTTCACGGAGACCAGCTGCACCAGCCCCGGGTATCTCCCACCCGAGAGAATTGATGCTGCGTTTGGGTGGGTGAGGTTAAGGTTGCTAGCCAGAGCACCAGCGTTCAGACCGACAACCGATAGCAAGGCGGGAACATAATGCTGTGCTTTTCGAATCAACAAGGCCCAGCTAGCAATGCTGTACTCTTCCTTCCCGTATGTTGCTTCCTCATCAAGCAGGCTTAGCGCGAAGCCGAAGATGGTCTGTATGACCTGCTGGATGATGACGTCGCGGAATACGTCCCATCGCGAGACATGGTTTCGCTTGAGGACTTCGGCGGGGGTGTGTAGTCGGTATTGAGGGAATAAGTCGTACACGTCGATTACGTGGAATATCATGGATACTACCCAGTATGCGAGAACGGGGAGCAATAAGGTCATGTACTCGTCCTTCAGCCATGAGACCAGAGGCGGGACCGGCTTGAGTGTGTAGGACGGGAGCGGCGGCAGGTCCGACTGCATGGTCGCGTTAACCATGGCGAAGGTGCGGTGTTTGGTATTACAGAAGAGGTGAATGGAGTCGTGACAGCGCGCGGCGAGCTCTGAGTACTTAAAGGGATGGGCGGACAGGTCCGGATGCGGCGGAAGCGGAGGAGAAGGCGACAGGAGAGAGAAAGAACGTATGAGCCCGCGATGAAGCGGACGGCAATTGGGCGCAAAGATAGGGTAAAGGAGAGGCGGTGGAGCGAAATGAATACGGGTGAACAGCTCACGACAGCGTGATGATGCTAGGAGGCGTGAGAATAGTGCCAAGATGTTGCCACTTTCCGGCGTGTCACGTGCGGACCTAGCCCGCTTTGGTGCAGGCTGCGAAATTCTCCCCCACCAGACGGCCCATTTTTCGAACAACACCAAACTGCCCTCTCACGCCTCTGCTTGACCTGGCCCAAAACCACACCGTACCACACCGTCGCCTCTTCTCAGTCCCGACATTAGCCCACCATGATCATCTACAAGGTATGTTTACCGCCTTATGCCCTCCACGCAACCCCCATGCTCTGCTTTTGCAGTCCTCGACCCCGCCATCTCCGCGCTCTTGATCCATGTTCCGACAAAGCCCAGATAGACAGCTAACTTTTCCCATAGTGCCTCATCAGCGGTGACGAGATCCTCTCCGACTCGTACGACCTCAAGGAGGTCGATGGCGTCGCCTGGGAAGCAGACTGCAAGAAGATCACCGTTGGAAACGACAATATCGGTGCGTCGCTAGCCCCACCCTCACGGCTCGCTCCTTTTCCGATGTCTCGACAACGACGAACCACAAACCAATAACTCAATTCTAACATCCATCCCTACAGACATCGGTGCCAACCCATCAGCCGAAGAGGGCGGCGACGACGTCGAGGACACCTCCCAGCAGGTCATCGATGTCGTCCATTCTTTCCGTCTGAACGAGACCCAATTCGACAAGAAGTCGTATCTCAGCCATCTCAAGAGTGAGTGCCGCCCGTGGACTCGAAGACGATCATACCTGACCTGCTCGTAGCCTACATGAAGGCGGTTAAGGAGGCCATGAAGAACAGAGGCGCCAGCGACGAGGAGATTAAGGAGTTCGAGAAGGGCGCCTCGACTTTTGCCAAGAAGATCATCAGTAACTTCAAGGACTACGAGTTCCTCATTGGCGAGTCCATGGACCCCGATGGAATGTATGTTGTCGCCACACCTAGTTCTCGGGTGCCCCTTAACTAACTTCAACTAGGGTCATCCTCCTCAACTACCGCGAAGACGGAGTCACACCCTACGTGACTGTCTGGAAGCACGGCGTGTCGGAGATGAAGGTTTAGACGTGTGGCTGGGCTTTAGTTGGACAACAGACACGGGCGATCTGTTTCTTACGATCTGGAGGCATGAATGGATATCCGAAATAGGCCTAAAACTGCATGATATACGACCATTTCTCCACCGAGATCCCACCAGGATGTCCCCTTATCCCCATCAGACCTCATTTTTTGGTGTGAACAAAATTCGAGGCTGTGCGAATGACGTTGTGGAGCACATACGATAAAAGCCTAGTCATTTTTCCACTCACTGCCTTATCGTGAGTTTACGCACACTCATGGACAGTTGCATGGGGTAATTAGTGCCTCAAAAAAGTGCCCTTTCACGAACTGAGCGGGATCTCGAGGCGAGTCTTGAACAGTCTGTCATCACTTCTATCAATTAAGCGCCCTCGGGGTCTTGAAAGCCCTCGTCACTTGTATCAGCCCTGTGAGGCTGTGCAGAATGAAGTAGCTCTCTTGCCTGGGATCGAAAGCCACCAACTGAAGCCTCCTGCATCTTGCGCACATCTGAGCCGCTTTGGTCTGCACCTGCATGCATCTAATAGTTCGCAGCTGACTGCTAGGTGCCGTGTTGGGCCGGTACTTCGACAATTGGACCGCCGAGAGCCTTGCTGGAGTGGTGCAGAATCGATGGAATGCTGCACTCTGCCACCAAATGCTTCGAAGCAGATATCACAATTTCACAGGAGTTGAACGTGCCACTAACAGAAGTAGTTGCCACGGAGATGGAGCAAATCACGCTCATGTGACAGCGTGAAAGGGAGTCAACGCGCCCGACGGCTCGGGCCGCTGAGGCATCTAGGCTACGAACACTAGCCCGCATGACTTCGCCCGCTTCGCCCACCTCTCCTCGCAGCCTTATGGCCTGAGGTTTCCGTCCCTCTCTTACTTCTCACTTACCTTTCTACTTTCTTGCCTTGCCTTGCACTTGACTTCTGCGACCTCCTCACTTTCAGATCTATTTCTCTTATACCACCAACTCATTTGCTTTGAGATCCGACTCAATGCATACGCTCCGGCACAACGAACATGGCCCGCAATTACCAAATACACCTAAGAAACAATCCGATGAACGAGGAGCAGCCATGAAAGCTCTCGTTCGCTCCATTGACGACCACTGGTATTTGGGCCTATCACAAGTCCGTGGGCTCGGCTGGTCTCCTAGTACCACTAAGGGAGGGGTCGCCGACAAGGTCTATGGCCAGATCCAGTACCTGTTCTACCGCAATAAGTCTGGTCTCGATGCAGCCCTCGAAACTTTCGCTGCCAATGCCGCAGATAAACGTTCTAAAGCTGACAAATTGGACTATCTCCTGTCACTCCTGCTTGAGCATGTGCCAAGTCGTAGGAAACCAGGCGAAGACCTAGAATCGAATAAGGTTATACGGTCGCCATTGTGTGAGTATTCTGTTTCGTATCAGCAATCCTGTAAAAATTACTCTACTGACGCCTGGGTGTCAATAGCCAGCCAAGTACACGAAGTAGAATATTCCACCGAAAATGTTGAGGATTCCACCTACCAGCCGTATGTCACTGCCCAACAGACTCGATCCGGCACACCCACAGACGATGAAGATGAACCAGACGTCTTCGTTTCGGCTCCTCCTTCACCCTCTATGGATGCATTAGCACGGCGCTTGAATGCTACCCCATACACCTCAGAACAAGGCTCTGCTTCTGGAAGTTCCCGCAGAAAGAGAAAGTCGGAGGCCTCAGCAGAGGAGAGTCCTCCAAAAGTCTCTCGATCTTCTAGCCGGAGGATGTCTCGAATAGGACAGCCAGAATTTGCTTATCCGCCGTCCACGATCTATCCTAGTGGGCAACTCTTTCCGAGGCCATTTGAATCCACCGACACTTCTCCAAACACGTCTTTTTCGACGGAAGTCGCTGATGTGTTCTCTCAACCGGACTGTCGAGACCCGGAGACCGCCGAAACATCGTTCGCAGGTGATACATACGAGGACGCAGTGGAAAAGGATGCAGACAACGAGAAGACAGTAGGTGGTGACGTTAACTATCCAAACTTGAGGGTTAGTGGTTCCGCTACCATGGGCTCTCTCGACGAAGATGAGCTAGGGATGGCCCTAGAGGCTCTGAAGAATGTCGAAGAGAACTTATCCCAGCCTATGGAGGGTCTTTCGATACAAAGAGACGATCCTAACGTGGATAAAGATCATGCCGTTCATCTTCCTGAAATGGTTCTAGACCCTACTACGCTCACAGTCTCAAGAGAAGGAGAAGACAGATGGCATGAGCCTACTCGCTTGGAATCATTTACAGAGACTACAGTCCCTGTGAAACATGTGGCAGACGAAAGTGCTACAATAGCAGAGCATGGAAATCAAGTCCCACCTCCCCGAGCACTAAATAGGAGTCCTACGAAATCACCAATTGAGCAACACCAGATTCGGGATCTCCCACGTCAAGGCCTATTTGTTGACAATGACCCTGTTGAATGGAAAGACGCCCCGTTCCACGTGCGGTGGGAATGCCTTCGAATTGCACAAGAGCTTGGCATGCAACCTCTAGAGGTCATGGGCCGCTACGACCCACGATTTTCCGACTATGATGTATTCCTGACTGAAATTGTGTTACGCTTACCGAACACTCCAAGCCTTCGGAAAATGGAGAAACCCTCTCGGAAAATGTGGTTAGCTGCTCAAGACAACTATGAAGGCTGCACTTTCGCAGGGAAGGTCGGCTTCAATGGGACCAATGTTGGGTCTCTGTTCAAAATGAGCTTAGAACCACTACAGAAGCTTCAATCGTGCCGTTTCCAGCGAGCGTTTGGATCAGATCGACTTCTTTACCTAACCATGCCGTCTCCTCATAACATTCCTAAGAAAATGGACCGCATCAAATACCAAGAAAAAAACCTACGAGCTAGATTTGTGGAGTGGTTGCGCCGGACAGACCATTCGTTACTCGGGCGAAAATGGAGGGCTTTCCATGTCGAGGAGAAGGCGGATAAAAAAGCAGTCCGGGGAAACCGTACTTTCCAGTACAGGGTGGTGCTTTTTGCAACGTCTGGTATCGACATTCGTTCCGAGTGTGTCGAGTATGATCCGCAATGCCATTCGTTACGGCCTGAAATCAAGATCGAAGCTTTTCTGGACTGGTTCATGTCGTTTGAAGAAAATCTGGGCCAGAAGTTTTGCAAAGCGTATGCACGACTTGATCTCGGTCTCTCCAGAACGACTCCAACCATCGTGTTTCGTCCGTCACAAGTCCGCATGGTAGCTGATACCCTGGCGGACGGCAGTCCCGAGGACGACACTTTCAATGACCCCAAGTTAGAATGGCCCGAGAATGATGGCTTTGATCCCAACAAACCTCCTGTCATGAACGATGGTTGTGCACGTATCTCCCTTGGTGCGATGCGCGAGATCTGGAGGATGCAGGGAAAGGCTGGACCGGTACCCAGTTTTTGCCAGGCTCGAATAGGTGGTGCGAAAGGGATATGGATAGCCAGCGCGTCGACAACAACGACAGACGCAACCCATCGGGATATCTGGATCGAGATCACAGAGAGTCAGCTTAAGTTTAATCCCCACCGAGAAGATCTGAACGATGATACATACGATCCAACCCGGTTGACTTTCGAGGTGGTCAAATTCGGAACAACAATCGTGAATTCAGAGCTTCATTTGGCATTCATCCCTATAATGATGGACCGCGGTGTTCCACAAGCTACACTAACAAAGCTGATGAACGACCGTCTAGATTTCGAAAGGGAAGAGCTGCTCCAAGCTGTCGAATCCCCCGAAAAGTTGCGGACATGGCTCAATAAAAAACAAGCACGAGAAGAAGAACGCCAGAGAGACGGGGGTATGCTATGGCAAGCGAGTATGCCATTACGGCTGCCCGAAAAGCTTGTTTTCCTCTTGGAGTCTGGATTCTCTCCTGCAATTTCGCAATACTTGGCGGAGCAAACACACCGATTTCTCGGGTACGTTCTGAGAGATATAAAGAAGAACCTGAGACTGCCTGTTGGAAAGGCTGCAAACCTTATTGGTATTGCGGATCCGTACGGTGTCCTCAAGCCTGGAGAGATTTATGTAAACTTCTCGGCCAACTTCATCGACGAAATGACTAGGGAAAGCTATACGCGGCTGGACGGCATCGACGTTCTTGTAGGTCGCCAGCCGAGTTTGCGCAGATCAGACATGCAACGAGTTCGCGCTGTCTGTAAACCGGAACTAGAGCATCTGGTTGATGTTGTAGTGTTTCCAAGTCGCGGCTGTTTCCCGCTCGCCGGCAAATTGCAGGGAGGTGACTACGACGGAGATATCTTCTGGACGTGCTGGGAACCAGAACTTGTGACGCCTTTTCTCAACGCGCCAGCTGCAACTACACCACCGTCAGCTGAAGAATACAGAATGACAGTCGATCGCCGGACTCTGAAAGACCTTCTAGGATCAGGGCCGGAAAGGAACGTAGGGAGTTACCTAACGGAGTCCTTTGAATTTCGGTCTACGCAAACCTTTCTGGGCAGAGTCAAAAACTTCCACGAAAAGCTTTGTTACTTTGAGAATACGATCGACTCTCCTGGCATCAACCTACTCTCCGACATCCATGATCTTATAATCGACGCTGCAAAAATGGGTATCATCGTAGATGAAGACTGGTTCTACGAGTTAATTAGCGACCCCAGAATTTGCAACAGGAATCCAAAGAATCCAGCGTACAAAGCGGCCATGGAAGACAACTGGGGAAAGCCTAAGATGGGCGAAGAAGTCAAGAGTTACGGCGACGATTCGAACAAGCCGCTAGATTATCTTTACTTCAAAGTCTTAGCGCCACACCTTGACGAGACTCTCAGCCTTGTTAAAGACTCATGGACATCATCTACCTGCGAAGATGCAGACCTGATCACCGCTTACGATAAGATCACGCAAAGCGCATATGAGGATGAGCTCAAGCTACTGCGGACAAGGTTTACTGAGCTCTACTCAACTTGGATTAAAAAGACCAAGAAAATGGATGGCCATGACCGGAAGGAGGACGACTACAATCTTGCTGTAGAAGACTGCTACGAAATCTACGAATCTATATTGCCGTCGGAAAATGCTCCGCTTTACTGGGTGGAAGAAGATATTCCCGGTCGCACTCCCTTCTGGAAGTTGCTCAAAGCTTCGGCTCTGCATAAATTCCAATGCACCCACACCACCTTCGTTTTCCATTGTGCAGGACGAGAGTTTGCTATCACGAAGGCTTATGCGTCTGGTCACTATCGGGTGCTGACGGAGGCGATGTATGGCCTCTTGAAGCCAAAGAAGGCCAAGGCCCTTACGAGAGATGCCGGAGTGCCGCGGGGTGGGGAGATGGCGGAATTCGACGATGCGCCTGAAGATTTTGAGTAGCGGGCGGAAGCTGTAGAGTTTTATAACAAACGAAGCCGTTGAAGCTGGGACTCAGGCACGAAGATTGCAATATCATCTATACCTACCTATTCTTGGGAGTTCACATATGTCTTGGGCAGAAGATTTTCGGTTAAGCATGGCTCCATCTCAGCAGGATAGCACCTTGTTTTTTCCAGGTTCTATTATTGGCTTCTGGGTGTTTGCGATTCATTTAATCACTTTTCATTATGTTTCCTATACCCATGGTTCCATGTAGCGAACTGAGCGTACGTGCTCTCGGCACAAGCTTCATTGTTTTTCATCATTTCTTTCTCTTGATGGTTTCTTCTACATCAGCATTGCTGAGAACCCCTCAAATTGCGACCCCTCGGATATTGCTTTCACAGATCTCTACGGATATTGATGCCTGTCCTTTCGGCATTGTGTTGTCAGATCTCGTAATCTAGCATTAACATTCCTCTTCCAAGTTTATACCTGCGCTTTAGTGACTTGATTTCATAATCGGTTCGGACGCAGGTACCCAGCTTCCTTCATCGTGACCCCAATTACTCCATCTCCTCAATATTACGCGCCCAACTCTGCTCCTCAATCCCGCCCACTACTTCGCCGCATTTACGAGCCTGCTTCATCTCCTACAGCACTTTACCGCTCCCCAACTCACTTTCCCTATCGATTCCGTCCCCAACCTCGGCAAACACCTTTCCGTCCTGCACGCTACGCTCAAGTCCGAAGGAGCTCTCCACAATACGTCCACGTGCTTTCGTCACCCTTCCCCGCCATATCATCATGCAAGCGCCGAGTCCTACCACCGGGAACCTCCTTGCTGCGATGCTGACTCCGATTTTAGTCTTTGTGGTGCTCAATGAGCCGATTTGAGGTCGGGTTTGATGAAATGTCTATTAGGAGTGTAACAATTGCATTAAGACTCACACAGGCTATGGCCATACCCTTAGGTACGTCCGGCTACAATCCTATAGATACATATCCACTAACACAACTTACTAGCTAGTCCCTCTTAGGAGAACTTCTTGCGTCCGGATCCAATGACACTAATGTTATCATACACAGATACGCCCTAACCAACTCCCCCCAGTTTAAGAAAGTTGGCAGCATTTCCACTGGCCATACATAGAACATGTTTTCTGTCAAGTTTATGCCGCACTGTAATGATCGAACGATAGTTACAGCCTCCTGTAGCTGTGTAGTTTAGATTTTAGAGTGTAATACTGTACGCAGTTGTGAGATAGTACAAGACTTCCCGGAATGTGGTTCAGGGAAGTTTTGCGCACCACATGCACAGCGCTCTGGTTCGCGAAGTCAAGAAACTGATATTGCGTATTGTCTTCGAGTAAGGTGCCGGAGGTCTCCAGACAGTAGTCACTATGTAGAAGGGTTAGCAAAGCGAGGCAGCAATTCGGAATATATGTATCTGCAATGCTTGTTTGGGTGGAAACACAGAATTTAAACACCAATACTTCAAAAATCAAGCATATATTATAACCTTTTATTATTTGTCATGATATTTAGTGTATAGAATACTAACTCGCGTCGGCAGTTGGATACTCAGGTTGAAATTGATGTGAACTCTGCTTGTATTGTAGTGGCCGTACGGGCCGAATATATACTAATAGGAAATGGCCCACCCCCTAGGTCTTATCAGCTCAGCTGAATAGAGGCCATTTGAAAGGAATGGACACAGCTGAGAGGACCCTGGTGTAGCTGAACAGAGGGCCTCGCCACGCTGAGTGCGCGCTAGTAGCAACCAATCAAAGAACGAGAATCAAGGAGAGAGAAAAAAAGGGGGGGAGTGCCTGTACGTAGGTGACCGTGAACCGTATGAGTTGTTGATCCTAGGTTGTAGCTGTTACAATCCGAGTTGGATCCGCTGCGTGGAGTACCTGTATAGCTTCAGGTGATCCTAGTTCTACAAGCTCGACGTACCGTGTCTGACGATTTGTAGTACAGATAAGCTATTGCTATAGCTTCCGGGTATTTCAATATGCTGAAATAGTTGTAACGCTACAGGTCGATGTCGTTGCTTCCGAGTGTCTCAGCTATCTTGGGCGTAATACGTTTCCAGAGGCTCAAACTAGAGCTAGCAAGCCTTGAAATTGCAGGAGCTGTATCATCATAGCTCCGCAGGCCCTTCGCGGGCAATGTTACAACCTTAATCTTTCTACAAACTAAAATCGTAGGGGTGGAAATTTACGTTACCACGCGGCCCTGGATCGTACTTCGAATTAAGGCCCCAGTATTCCTCCCAATTGTCCAAAGTCTCTGAACTTTCGACGCGATGTTTATCTTTGCTAGTCACTTCGAGAAGATCTCCCTCATACTCGTGATTTTTTGTAGGAAGAGCGTTGATATCACCTCCATTCTCCCGCCACTCAGCCACACCTGCTTCAGTGACTTCTTTTGTCGGATTCGACCCCAGCAGGAACCGGACCGGTCCAGTGCTCAGCAAGCTTGCTCGGTAGAGATACTCTTCGCGGACATCTTTTGTGGCACCTTGCATGTTCTCGCGCAGGAGCGTAAGCTCGACTGGACCGACGAGCTTCTGCAGGTCCTGGAAGCAACTCGACGCCGCATAGGCCGCTATATCGGCAGCATCATTGCCTTTGGAACTACTATGGCCTGGAACCCACCGAAGCTCCAGGTCCACCCCACCGGCGCGCAGTGCTTCTGCTCGCTCATATGCTTCGGCGACCACAAGACGCGAAGAAACGACCGGCCCTACGAGAACAGGAATGCCAGTTTTAAGGGATTTCAGAACTTCCTGAGAGTCTGTGTACAGGATGACTTTAGCGCCACGCTTGTCGTGAATGTCTTCTAAAGCAAGCTTTAGGGCCTCGGAAATAGCGTAAAGCTCTGCGTCATTAGTGCACCCGCAGTTCCGCCCAATCGGGTAACCAACCTTCTTGAAGCCCGATCTGTCGGTCTTGAAGCAAGTGACTCCTGCTCCCATGAAGCTGTTGTTGCTGGAGCTCCCGCCCCGCAGCGAGCCGTCCGTCCAATACGTCCACTCGGGGCGAGAGAAGTCTTGCTCTGCCCCCTCACGTTGAGCTGAGTGGTCGAGAGCCTCAACCCGATCGTCGATGATGATGCTGGCTGGAAACGTGCGTTTGATACGACCCGTGCTCACAACCGAGTTCAAAAGTCGCTTCATCCGGGCCTTGTGTTCTTTCTTCGCCTGCTTGCGAATTCGATCTTCATTAGTTTGTGCTGGTACGGCTGATGTTGGAGGAAGATGAGAACGGCGCTTTTGGTTAATAATCGCGGTTACTTGGCCCGCGACAGTAGTTCTACTGCGTATCTTTTTGTATTCGGGAACATGAAAAGCGGGCTCATTGCCGGTGACTCATTGATTGTTCCTCGTAGGCGCTCCGTTCTGGCCCTGTAGAGCAGTGGCCTGGGAAACGAACAGTGCATGGTAATTCGTCCCGAGGTTGGGCAAGACGGGAAGTTGAGGGGGTGGCTGAAGGCCGTTTTTGTTGGCAAGCCTGCTGCTTCTCCTAGGCGCGATAGGGCCCGGTACTGCACCAGTAGCTGGACGAGGGGGCAAGGGGTGAACCATATTGGGGTTGGTCGCTGGGCGAGAGGGTAATGGATGAAGCATTCCATTGCTGGGTAAGTTTGAGCCAAGGGGAGCTTGTCGTGGCCCAGCATGGCCATGCCTACAACGCCCCATAGTTAGGCGTTCGGACAAGTGGCTTTGGTGGGCGAGAAGGTGTGGTGTGAGCCTAAGAGCAGAGTATGGTGTCGGGGAAGCTGCGCAGTTATAGACTAAAGGCGCAAGTTGAACTTAAAGTACGAGAACTGAAGCCGGAACGCGGTGAATAGAACGTCCATGAGGATGCCGCGTCATCCCAGTACCATACTGCGTTCAATTCACTGTAATTACGTGAAATGACGTGCTGCAACGGCAAATGTTGAGATCTCTGGTACATAGACTTACTTTGCTCGCTGATTTCAGGCAGGGCGAGAGGTCTTCAGACCACAGTTACTGAGTGGTCAAGCGCGGCACCGGTGAAGTTGACAAGGCTGCATTGTATGTTGGGTGGAAATCTACCGTAGCATTGCTACGGGTTTTTGTACCAATCATGAAATCAAGACGTCTTTTTAGCTATCCTGATGTCTGGAGAAAAGAGGTATTCTTGACTCGGCGAAAAGTAGTACAATGCCGGTGTACTTTGTTTCATTCGGGCAATCCCGCTTCCATCATTCCATGCGATGACTTCAGGGTGTAAAGAAAGTGATATTACAAACCAAGCCAATGCTATAGCCTCCAGGTATCTTCGCTAATGAAACAAGATCTATTACCGTTGATCGGAATAACAGTAAGTATAACTCGACATTCCAACCCAAGTGGACGTCTCCTGTCCGTAGTTGCTTCGCTACTTTGAGTCGATCCGCATTTACGGGCTTTATTCAAACTGAACAGGCCTCGACATTGCATGCATTCATCTTAACGCTATTTCAGGGGTAATCGCGAGCGTTTCATTAGTCAAAATTCTACACACCAGATCAGTACGGTCGGGCTTTTACATCGCCAGGCAGCTCAGAATCGTACCTCTGATGGTGCCTCAATCACGGCCCTTCCTTTCCAAAATCATGGAGCATCTGATGGAATCTGCGCGTCTTGCGAATCGGCTAAGATGCTGCTCTTCGACGTGGGCAAAGCGTGAATGTCCCCTCCGTGCTCAACCCACTGCGTGATAGATTTCTCTGTAAGCTCTTGAAAGAGGTCTGTCTCATGCCGGAATGACACAGGCCGCTGAGCGTGCCTACTCACTCGGTCGAAGAACACTTTCCGAACGTCCTTAGCCGCCCTTGTAATGCACTGGGCAAGATCTGAGCGCGCCCCATCTTATTGTACGGTTCTTCGACCCAGAGAGCGTCCATAACTGCCGCAGCGTTCGCCCATAGTTTGCCTTCGGGCTCGTGCTTACTTGGGAGCGGTCGAATCGTCACCTCGATGCCAGCATTTACTAACGCTCGTGCATTTCGATAGCAATCATCGAGCGAGAGACGTGCAGAAATCGTCGGTCCGAGGGCCATTGGCTCACCGCATTGCAGAGACTTCAAAAGAGCTTCCGAGTCAGCAAATATGACTACCGGAGCTACTGAGTGTTCTTGCACCCGGGTTACTGCGAGCTTCAGTGCACTAGCGATCGCGAAAAGCGATGCATCGAACATATTGCCCACGTTACGCCCAAGATGATGGCCTTGTACGTCGACTTCTTTACCATCTGGTGCCAGCCACGCAACTCCAGCGCCCATAAATGTATTATTACCTCTTGCATCATACTTAAAATAGCCAGCGGTCCAATACGTCCACTGAGAGCGACAGGAAGGATGTCCGCTGCGTCGTTGGGGCGTGTGAGGAATGTCCACTTTGACATAATCATCCATAATGCTCTTGGCTGGAAACGAACGGTGGGTATATTTTGTTCCGGCAGCTGATGTGAAAAGTTGCCATAATTCGCGTTCTTTAGGATAGAGTTCCGGCTGTAAGGGGACGGTGGAAGGGTCTTTGAAGCCACCAGACTCCCTCCAATCAACTATCCATCCAGCCGGTATTTCTCGCTGGTGGTCTAACGCGAGCACATAACGTACGGGGTGCTGGATACCCTTCTCGACTCGGTACAGAAACTCGTTTCTTATGTCCCTTCCTGCTCCGAGCATCTCAATTGGGAAAAGGACGGTCCCTCGCGGAAGACGTGCGTTATCGATGAAGCGTTTGTATTTCTCCGACGCTGCCCCAGCAGCCTGATCTGCGGCGACGTTTCCGGCGGATTTGTTATGCCCTTTGACCCACCTAAGAGTCAGAGGGATCTTCTTCTCTTTCAAACACTCGGCACGTTCGTACGCAAGAGAAAGCGCGAGCCTTCCTGTTCCCATTGGCCCTAGAATGGTCGAATTACCGTTCTGCAAAGCTTTAAGTACTGCTTGCGAGTCCGAGTATATTACAATAGGCGCTTTTGATCCGTTGTACACTTTTTGAATGGCAAGTTCCAAAGCTATAGCAATGGCGAACAACTCGGCGTGGTTTGAATCTCCGAGGTTAAGACCTATGGGATATTCCGCACGTTCGAAAGTATTGCCCCGTGCCGCCATCCAAGCAACGCCAGCAGCGCTGATCTCATCGTTATCTCGATTCTTGATCACGGACCCGTCTGTCCAGTAGACATCTTCGGAGCGTACGAACCAATACTCGGCTTCGTGGAGATTAGCTTGTTTTACGGCGTTAGTTTCCTCCTCGATGAATATGTTTGCCGGGAATTTGCGCATGTCTGGACCGCCACCAAGAATGTGCTGGGCGATACGTTTAATTCGTGCATTGCGGTTTTGGACATGTAGTAGTATATATGCGGCATTTCGGGCTGGGAATTTGACCGCGGCGGCTTGTCGACGTTGACGCGCTTCATGGCTTTTGGTGACGCGTTTTTTCAGTTCATCTTCGGTCAGTGTCCTGCCTTTCCTGCGAGCATTCTTGACCAATCTCCGCCTTGTCGCTTCTTCATCAAGCAATTGCTTGTTGATGCGTCGGGATGCCATCGGCAGCGTAGAAGCTGACTTAAAGTCCTCCAGAGTGATGGCGCAGAAAGCGTCTTGAACTGTCATAAAATCGTAGAAAGGTTTTCGCACTAGCTAGTTAGACTCTGGAGAGGGTGAATTAGGTGGATGATGAGACACCTAGCACGTGACGACCATGTCCTAACATCGCGACATGGTGACAGCGATTGACGAGCTTCTGTATTTCCTCGCCGGAGGCAGAAAGATGCCGTGGGAACGGAAACTTTGTTGACTTGATCTAAGATACACTACACCAAACCTTCAGTTCCTGCGCTTCATGGATCAGCTCGAGGATGTTGGCAATTTGCGCATCTTGATAATTGCCTGAGGATTCCCCTGCGGTGTGATCCGGATTCCCTTATTCTCTTCGCAATGTTTTTTATCATTCACCTTGAATCGAATCATGATGCTGGACACTTTTCACGTATATCCACTGTATGAAAAGTCTCTTGACTCCGGCTTTCTTTCGTTTGTTGATGTATTTTACCGCGCACGATGAATTATGCCGAAATCATTGACTCTTATTTTATACTTATATTGCGCAGAAGTCGCTGTGAAGCTTCAATTTACCAGTGCTCTGATGCATTTCTCTATGCACCATGCATCTCCTAGAGACGCTGGGCCAGTTTCTCGTACTCACGCCGGGTTAATGGGCTCTTCAAGAGTTGCTTTGGCTGCCTCCTGTTAATACTGTTTCTTATACGCTGTGAAACGACCCAAATTCTGGATCTACTTTCGCAAATTCCTATTAACTTGAGGTTATCTCAAGGATCGACGCTCAAGCTTCATCGCCATCTCGTTTCCGGCGGACTAGAAGTAATCAGGTCCTGGGACTTTAGAATGTGCAAAGGCTAAGATTCGTTTATTGAAGTCCTGGAGGACGTGAAGCATGTAATCAGAGACATCTTGCAAGTGCAGAAGGGATGGAGCGAGGTTGGATGTGAGTGTACGTAAGCGGGCCCGCTAAACTGTTTACGGCATCTGAGGCTGTGCCATTTGGGCGTGTCTTGGTGGCGGCGGCAATCCATGGATCGGATCTGGATGAGATGTGCTTCGCCTCCTGACTTCGATACCGGGGTGTTGAAAAGAGGTTGGCGATGAATGGAAGGTGCAGCTTCGGGTTGCTCGCAATGAGATAGCTAGTAGAATATAGGGGTTAGGGATATGCGGCAGTCGAGGCGAGCTGACATCAACCCTAGAGCTTAGGCCCATCAGCAGTACAACTTCATAGTGTGCAACTCGCGCAGTCATCATGCTATTCTGTCTCTATCACATAGATACTTCAGCAAGGTATGTTCAACATACAAGACAACTGGGTTGTCACCAAACATGTCATTCCAGCGTCGTAGCCTCGAGGGTTCGCACGAGGAGTAAGAGATGAAGAAAACGGACGACTGCGGCTCGCCGTCAACGAATATGTGCCTCAAGCAAATATGAGTCCTTGGCCGGGAGACATCGCTTTCATATTTGCTCATGGTGCAGGTTCGACGAAAGAGTCCTATGAGCGTAAGTGTTTTTAGAGCAAATGTTATCTCATCCTACATGCAAAGCATTCCTTTGCCGTTCATCATAATCTTCAAACTAGTTCTTACTTCCACTAGCATTCCTCGATGATGTACTCGCTCAATTCCCCCGTGTCCGCGCCGTCTGGGCTTTCGATATCGCTTAGCATAGCGCATCCTATCTCCTCAACGAGCACGTTATTAGAGACGAGCCTGACTGGTTTGACTGCGCTCGGGACATCTCGCAAATTGCCAACCACTTCCAGAAAGGCCTTCGCCAGCCAATCGTAGGAATGGGTCAGTCGTGGGGCTGTTTCAATATTCCCATGGCTGCCGCTCAAAATCCACGACTCTTTGCCGGCGTTATTGCTTTAGAACCTGTTCTGGTGACAACCTACGGAGCTCGACCACCTTACATGCATCTCGCCGTCCTTACGATGAAACGAAGAGACCGATGGTTGTCACGCGAGGATGCAAGACGCGCGCTTCGGAAATGCCCTTACTACGCAGTCTTTGATGATCGTGTTTTCGATCAGATCATTCGCTGACCTACGGGACGTTCCGCCAAAAATGCATGCAGCACAGGATGTGTCTACAAATTCTTCGATCGCACCCGAGGTAACTCTGACGACTCCCAAGGCTATGGAGGTCTATACCATGATGCGCGCAAATCCACCATTGCCCGGGTATCCTTTAGGGCCAGACCACAACCCCAATCACGCTCGCCACTCTACTCCTGTTATCCCTGGATTCCACATATCAGCGGACACAGAAACTCAGAAGCACATTCCGCACGTGTTGCCCCCGGTGCTATATGCCTGGGGCTCTAGATCGTTCATTGCGAAACTACCTGGTTACCGACAAATGCTACTCGAGAAGACGGGAGTTGGGCCCGGGGGCAGCGGAGGAGCATCCGTTGGACATGTTACCGAGACTGTGATCGGGGACTGCGACCGCTGCTTGCCTTTTGAGAAGCCTCGCGAGACGGCGAAGGCCTTGTAGCCGTGGCTTGAGCGACAAGTCGATAACTGGGAGAAGAATTGGGAGGAGAGGAAGAAGGAAGGACCCTATTGGACGGATACAATAAACCTAGGATGGATTGACAGGGCATCTAAGATATCGAAACTATAGTTGTATGGCCTCACTACACCTGTATACATAACAACTATGTCGAAAACATCATTGCGGTCTGTTTCTGTATTTTCCGGGATCTGGCACAAGGATACGAAGATAAGTGAATGAAAGGGCGCTCATCCCCCGAACATGCCGCTCTCAACCGCTGCCTGCTGCCTAGCCTCCCTCCCTGCCACCCGCCGCTCGCTCCCTGCCGTCGTCACGTGAGACACGTGCGCGCCAAGCCGCCTCGGAATTTTGAACTATATAAGCTTCTCTACCCCCCAACTTTATTCCTCAGCTTCTCCATTTTCGAAAAGGTGGTGTGAGGGACCGGGCTGTGCGTGTACGGGGCCAGTTCTAAGATGTGTTTAGTCGCGTTTGCTTTTCGTGCTTGTCTCCGGACATCAAGCGTGGGACCCTCAACTCTCGGAGAAGTTTTCCTATGTTCTATGTAGTCTATATGGGGCCTTGCAAGTAAAAAAATTGGTTGGCAATGGACCGGGTTGGGCGATGCATGGGGCCCTTCTCCAAGTTTGTATAGTCTTTCAAATCAAGATCCATTCAGCTTTGTATGCTGAAAGAATATTTTATTTCGATGGTGATGACCATTATCAAGTATGGTGATGGACCTTATTTATAGGTAGTGAGTGCTTCTAGCATAGTTTGACGCTCATCGCTGGGACCGGATGCTGTATATTTACAACACCGACCGGAGGTTCACATCTTCCCTAGCCTTCAATCGCCAGGCAATCCTTCTCAATCACAGCCAACTCACACTCTGCCCCTAGCGTGCTCACCCACCGCGTCAATGATCCCTTGCCTTCCTCCGAAGCGAGATGGTGTCACGTAATTTAAACTTCCCGTGCGACCCGAACTGCTTGTGACGAGTGAATGGCTGGCGCAGCGCGGCAGAAGAGCACCCACCATCCAGGTAGCCACCTTCCTACCCCTAAACCATCCCGTGAATTACATGTACGCCAAGCCGCTCGGGGTTTCCGAACTATATAAACCCCCTCCGCCTCCAACTTCCAGATTCCATCAATCTTCTTTTTCGTTCGACAATATGGATTTGGGGAAGACCGGGCTAAGCTTGGACGGTGCCAGTTCCAAAGATGTACCTAGCTGCGCTGTGACAAAGGTCACAGCTGATTTTTGTCTTTCTTGATTTCCCGCGCGTGCGGGGACCTCCCACTCTTGAAGAAGATTTCTCTTTTGTATTGTAGGCTGTGCGTCCTCATTTTTAGTATGTGACCTTGCATATTCTGTTCGGTTGCAGGGACCGGGTTGGGCGATGATTGGGCCCTTCTCCAAGTTTGTAAATAGCTCTTCAAATCAAGGCGTCAAATGCCAATGTCTTCTTGATCTTCAATTCCAGTACCGACCTTTGTGTAATGGGCTGCATCATTACATCCCGTGAGCTCCAGCATCAGTCGCCTTCACCTACAGGTCATGGGCTCATACCGGTGAGATTCTCCAGCATCGTCTAAATCTCATGATTAACGCTTGGTGCGGTGAAGGGATTCGAGACCATGCCCGCTGCAACATCAACACATCGTCCCTGGCAAGCAAAGCGCCCAGAAGCTCACCTTGGCCTCTTTCCCGTTCGCTCCCGTGATTTCGCTGGTACTAATCTCCCGACCGGAAAAACTGTAGCCCTTCAACCAAACCGAGATAATGTCACGTGCAGAGCGGCGGGCTTCTGAAAGATTGACCAGTGAATGTCTCGTGCGGTGGATAATGGCTCCTCCGGGCAGGCATGCTCTGTTCCGCCGCCTTCTACCAGCTTCGCCGCGCCTGGCCGAAGCTGCGCACTCACCCATTCATCATCACGTGAATCACGTGTACGCCAAGCCCGCCCGAGGAATCTCGACTACTTAAACCCCCCAACCCTCCAGCATCAAACCTGCATCAATCTTTCTTCATTCTCGACACATGGTTGGGAAGGACAGGGCTGTGCGTGGACGGTGCCAGTTCCAAAGCTGTATCTAGAGCTGCGTTGCTTTCTGTCTTTCTTGATTTTCAGCGGATGCGGGACCTTCCACTCTCGAAGAAGATTTCTCCTTTGTATTGTAGGCTTCTCGCCTCTTCGTAGTAAGAGACGTGCTACTTCAAGCGTTGGGTGCGATCGAGTTGCGGCGGCGGACGGGGCCCTTCTCAAATACCTGTATATAGTATGGGGCCTTGCAAGCAAAAAAAATTGGTTAGCAATGGACCGGGTTGGGCGATGCATGGGGCCCTTTTCCAAATTTGTATGTTTTTTTTTGAAATCGAATGTCTTATTTTCATTGGTCTTGCTCTTGTCTGATGTTCATCTCCGTGTGCTGAAGACGCTCAGTGAAACTGTGATCTTGAATATCACCAACTCCACACAATGATGCGCTCTTTGTGAATGTATTAATGTAGGTGAGCGTTCACTGCACTCGGTGGATTTCTTGGCCATTGCCACGCAATGTGGATATGTCCCCATCCGACCATGAACATGATCTTGAGCATGCGTTTACTCCTCTGCAAAACACGTGCTCTCTCACCTGCGATACCCGTACTATTCGCCCCTCGCGTGACTGCTAGTAACCCACCGTCTTTCTTCTTGCCAGAAACTCCTGGATGCCCTTAGAAGCTTCCATCCTAGCCCCGACAGCTTCAAGATCCTCTCTTTCTTCGCTCCGGGGCCCCGAAAACTGCTGCATCCAATCTTGTTTCTGAAACGGTTTCCAAGGCCACTCATCCGGCTCGCAAGTCTTCCATGTTCTATCCTCAAGCGATCCATCCGGAACCTCTAGATGCTTGAAATATCTCCGAACCACGTCCGTCGTACACCTGGACGCAGTTGAAAACGTGCCGTGGCCTATAGACTTCTGTTCCACGAAGCCCGCACCAGCAAACCGCCGGGCCATTTTGACCGCGCCTTCGATAGCACATACCGGGTCGTACGACGAGGAAAGGAATAGAATCGGGTTCGTCGTGTTCACTTGCCTGTCATGAGGTATCGAGAAGGAATAATCGTCTGGGTCCCAAGGAAGAGGTGGATCTGCTGACTGGATGTTCCAGCCATCACAGCCAAGTTGCCAGGTCATCCAGACATCTCCCCAAGACGTGTTGGTCGAGAGAAGTTCAAAGAGAGTCGTGAGATTGGGGATAGTCTCGTTGAGCTATTCGAGGGTTAGCACACTCTCCTACAGTACAACAAGGGCAAGTCAGTAAGCCTACAATGTAGCGTTTGTCGCTGCATTTGATAGCCATATTTGCCTCCCAATGGCTGTACACGTTCATCCCCTGTGCTGGAACTGAGTCATCGCAGGGGCAGAATCTGCCTAGACTAGCTTGGAGCTCCGGTAAAGAGATGTAATCGTTGAACAGCTTCGAATGCTCTTCTCGATAGAGGGCATCCAGCACTTCCGCGGCTAGTGGAAAGAGGCGAATCGGTTGATACAGCGCGAGGAAAATAAACTGTCGTATATGGCTATATGTTACCACTACCGGCTGGTGGGTTCGCGGATAGATTGCTGCGACTCCTGTTTGCGCCTTCAACCGGTCCATGATGGCGGAGTACCGGATTCGAATATCCTCAGATCTATCTCCAGATCGATATATCGCACAGCTACTTTCGGCGAGATGGCAGTACCGAAAGAAGGATTGCAGCACGTTCTCTGCGTCTGTGAGAGCATCAACCCAAATCGGGGTGACGTAGTAGTCCGCATTGACGATTGCATCCAAAACCATCCTTCCAACACGATCGGGATATATTGCTGCAAATGTTTCGCCAAGGAGCGAGCCATAGCTACCGCCCCAATAAGATAGTTGGCCCTTCAGATGTGAATAAGGTCTCTCAAGGGGATATTTTTCTCTTGGAGATGCTTCGATCCATTCATCCCAAGCCTCAACTATCGAAAGCATATCCCTGGAAACCACCGGAGTACTGAGGTGCCTCAAGATACTGTTCTCTCCGTAGATGTCATCCTTATGAGTGCAGAGACCGGACATAGCTCTCCATCTAACATCGAGTGATTCCAGCGAATTGCCGCTGGAGTTGACAAGGCCAGGGTTGCTGATATCGAAAAGCATAGAGTTGAACCGTCCGTGAAGAATGTCCTGCTCTGAGGGCGGCTCTGAAGCAATGCGTCCTGCTTTCTGTGACGGGAAAGAGAAGCAATCAACTCCAGGCGTAGTTTCTCCGACTCCACGTGGATCAAAACCGATAATATCTTGATCTTCGCCGAAAAGAGCCTGCAGGCTTTTGGCTGATCTACGGGCGAAGTCAATTCCTGAGCCTCCTGGACCACCAGGGTTCACCAACACGGGTGACGCGCTGAAATGCTCGCCCGACGTATGATTCGCCCCTGGGATCAGCACCATGGCAATATGAACCTTTGGATGCCGCCGGCGAGACCCAGACAGGGGTCGTTTGTAGTCCATTGGAACGGTCAACCGCGCACAGAAGTTTCCTTCGGAGCAACGATGCCATTCGAGCTTCTCACTCGGAGTTATCTGTTGACGTCAGCATATCAAAACGTACATTCAAAGTCCCTCTTCATGGGTCTGTGTGCGGATTTTGGCAAGTCTTTAAAATGCACAGATATAATCCAAGAATCTCAAATAGATAGAGCGTTATGTTCGTCTGGGGCCTTACATCGTTGAATGCTTCCACAAAGCTTTTACTGAATCCTCCTCCTTGGGGCTCAGGCGCGCTCTCAGAATAGCTCCATCTCTGCCATAACCCAAGTCCTTGAGTCCAAATAAGAACCCAGAGACAAAAGAACGCAGCAATTGCTGTGCGGATTTGAAAATGATCGACAGGACTTTTCGCTTTGCCGGTTTCGCGTCCGTCTATCTTGACGTCTTCCAGGGGTAAAGAGGGCATACTCGGTCAACTCCCCAGTAAGTTGCAGCCATGAGGGAGGCGAGGATGACGAAGGACGATGGTGTTGAGGTGGGAGCTTACGATCTGCACGGGGAATGCGAATACGATATTACGGACATCGGGTCGGGGATTTTGTTTATGTAAGCAGGCTCTAGTTCTAAGTTAACTATCTCGCTGCTCGGCTTCATTTCGTCTGACTGTTATCGTTTTCTTACCCCACTGATCTTCTTTCATCTACACGCGTTCACGACCGCTTTTTGGAACTCTCAATCACTGCCTTGTGATATATGAGTGACCAATTCGCTCCAGGATGCGTACCGCGTCTCAATCGCTCGACCACAATGTCCCGCCGCGATCGAGGTTTCTGGAACTCCCCACTGAACTGCGCCTCCGGATCTACTCCTTCAGCTTCAGTGACCCGGATCTTGGCCGTCGGCCCAAGTATATTCAGCGATCGGAAGTAGCAATTCTCAGCGATGAATTTCTTCGCAATCGGCCCGGATTTTGGGGGACCGAGAAGATGACCAGGATTTTGCGAGTAAACAAGCAAATCCATGATGAAGCAATGGAAGTGCTTTACAAAGAGTTTTCGTTCTGGCTTGGTCCGTTATCTGATTTTGTTCCGACGACGTACCGCTCAAGTCGTCGACCTGTTCGCACGCCCGACGAGTTGTTGAGTGCCAAGCCGTTGTCTCTAGTCCGGCACATCGAGATCACGCTTTTTCTACGGCTCCAGCAGTTCTACACATATTCAGGGGTACCAGCCGACCCTACTCAGCTCAGTCCGCCGGTGACCATTCCGTCAGTACCAACGATGGACCCTTTTCTTGCCATGGAACGGTCAGCGCTCAAGCGAGTCATTGCCCGCATGCCAGCCATCAAAAGCGTGACGTTGTGGATTGGTGTTCCATATATTCGGGTTCCGGATGGCGCAAAGGCTCGAATGGTGTATCATGTCGTTGAAGTCGGCAGAGTTTTGAAGGGTATCGACAAGATAGTCCTCAATTTTGATCGCCGGGTTGAGGGTTATGCTGACGACGATACGGATGGACATCGAGTCTACGAAGAGTGCACCGAGAAGCTTTCCCAGTTCAGGTCAATAACTTCCTGCGTATGGGGTTAAAGGCTATTCTCCTCTAAATTCAGATTGGATACCCCGGCACCGATGAACGACATCACGTGACGATCGACTCCAGCTTGGCTATACGATTGTTGTACGAGATGTCTGGGTATGATGAGACTTTTGACTACTTGCTTTCTCGTTGTTTCCCGTCGCCTACATTTTATATGCCTTCAAATCAATGTTCTATATGTATATTTACTCTCGCACGAGCATTTTGGAACTCCTGTCGACATCATGGATCTAATCTGCACGGAGTCGAGCACGATAGCGTTCTGTTTCGAGCATGGTCATAGATTTATTACGTTCTCTTGACGCTGCTTAGGTTATTTCCCAGGCTGTCGTAATTCCGCCATTCTGGAGCCATGATTCCCAAGCCTTAATGAGTCGTAGTACCGAAGTCGTACCCAAGGTTCGGTTTCAAGAACTTCGCAGTCATCCCCGAACTCAGAATCAGAAATGTGTTCTATTCCTCATAGCCGCGAGTATACAAGTTTCAGTTTCCGTTGCACCAGCTCAAACCTACACGACACTTCCTCTCTGAACTTACTTGAGACTACTCCCGCCCGCGCCAAACAAGTATACGCGGAGTTCTACCCTCGTACTCTATCGCAGCCATCATGAGGGCCACTCAACTCCTCTCTCTGGCTTTCATCTCACTGATCTTAGCCATGCCCCGTCCAAAGCCCTACGTCTTAATCGCACCATAGATGAGATCACCTGCCGGCTTCTGTTCAACATCACGAATGACGACTTCCAAGTCGCGCGCGACAAGAAGGAACCCGCCTATCTCAACTGGTAAGTGTACTTCCAGCATCGGTCACAGCACTTCCACTGCTCCAGCAGCCGGCGCACACCCATACACCCCTGCCAGAGATGCCCTACTGGCAATCAACAGTCCAAAGCTATTGTAAAAATCGATCCCGCAGAACCTAAAGTAGCTCGCCAAGCATTCTCCAACTCATGCTCACGCTTTAGCAGGACCTCCGACGGCTGCATGGGCATCAACGTGACAGCATTGCTTCCCTACTGCTATCGCCACGACTTCGGATACCGCAACTACGGCGACCAGAGCCGCCTCGCAGCCGAAAACCGCAAGTCGATCGACTACAACTTCCTCTTGGACCTGGTCTACGTTTGTGAATTCTTCCCGAACGCCTACAAAGAGATGGGGAAACGGGATATGAACATCACGTCGTCCGCGGAACAAACGTGCCAGGTACAGCGCAAATCCTTTATCTGGCTGCCAGGACCTTTGGGGAAAACCAGGAGCAGCCTAAGCCGTCTGGACATTATGTGAGCATTCCGCATTACGACAACAACACGCTGCCGCCTTGGCGGGGGGATGGTGAAGCATAAGGAGAGGGATGACAAGGGCGGCGGTAAGCTATTGGGTTTATGGGAGAAGATATAAGCCACACGCAATCTCTCAAGGCTGCAATACTGCCCCGTTGTATGCAAGCTTGATCACAAAACGAGGGGTGGAGATTGGGTATCAGGTGCTATTTTAGAAGCTGGAGACGTATTTTACAGTTCCTATAACTGTGTTTCTTCTTAGTGGAGAGTTTCTGTTTCGAGATCTGTAGCAATAAAACTCCAAAAAAAAAAAATAGAGTGCAAATATCATTCCCGTCCATGTCCATGTGATTACGCGAATTCTCGGTTATCTCCTCAATGACGTGCAGCTGACGTGCAATTGTTGACTCTGCAATAGTCGCATACTGCAGTCCTCGAGAGCGTTGGTGTTGAGGCTTGTCAGAAAGATCCCGAGGTCCCCGCGGAATCACCCATTTCCGATGCCACTAAGGATGGCTAGAGATATACTAAAAAGAGTCTCTGTAGATAGTTTAAAGAGTAGTTAGTCACGTCAGGGGCCTTTGACTTTTCATCTGATATAAACTCAAGTCGCATTATCTCTCAATTACCTGCAACTACACACCTGCCTGTCTATCCAAACTCACAATTTCACAGCTTGATAAGATGTCGACAACACCCCCAGTCATCCTATTCGACTACGGTGCCTGCCACTCCCTGCCTCTTAAAACTACGTGCCTCAGTCCTAACACCACCAAGACTTCTCCCCCTTCGGCCAAAAAATCCGCCTCCTCTTCGCCTGCGCCTCGCGGCCATACCTCCAATGCGCCCAACCACCCCTCCTCCCGCGCCCCACGCTCAGCGCTCTCGGCATCACCTACCGCCGCATCCCCGTGCTCGCCATGGGCAAAGATGTCTACTGCGACACATCCATCATCATCGACGCCGTGCTCGAGAAGCTCGCGCCTGGCTTCCCACGCATGCGCGCCGAGAAAGCGTACGAGGCGTTCGGGCGCGCGCTGTTCAGCAGCGCGATGGGGTTGATAGGGCGGGTGCCGGACGAGGCGATGCTGCAGGATCGCAAGACTATTTTCCGTGAGTGCAATGGCGGCCGTGTGAGGTCTGATGATTTCTTTTCATTAGTTGGAGTGGAGGGGGCTGGTTAATGATTGTGATTGTGGGTTCTGATCTGATGACTTGCAGCGCAGCTTTGTCGCCCGGATCTGCCGTCGCTGCGACCGAGCGCGCTGGCGGAGTTTCGGGCGACGATGAGTATTGTGGAGCATGATTTTTTGAAGGCGGGCCCGTGGATTGGGGGGTTTTCGATGAGCGTGGAGGATGTGCATGTGGGGTTTGCGGTGAGGTGGATTTTGAGGACAATGCAGGTGGAGAAGGTGGAGGGGTTTGGGAAGGAGGAGTTTCCGAAGGTGCACGAGTGGTAAGTTTGGGTGCTTGCAGGAAGAGTGCTTGATGGCTAATTTGTGGTGTGGTAGGGTTGAGAAGCTCCCGCGCAGCACGCCTCAGGAGATTGGGCAGGAGGAGGCCATCAAGGCTATCCTCGACGCTAGGTATGTAGCTAATACGCCATCGTTCGATCAAGCGGACCCCCTGGGTATTGAGAAGGGCACGGTTGTGGGCGTAGAGAGCCTCGAGTGAGTCTATGGTGTCACAGTGTAGTGTGGTGTGTCCAGTACTGTGCTAACAGTTCGCAGTGCCGAGCCAGGCGCACATCCGCAGAATGGGAAGCTGGTGGGCGTCGGGCTTAAGGAGGTAGTACTGGAGCTGGAGAACGGCATCAGGCTCCATTTCCCACGGCAAGGCTACGTGGTGCGCAAGGTCGAGGGATGAGGGTGGTGTAGCTCTGTATCTAGGGGTTTTTGACGTGTGGGGACTGATTGATGTCGGTGTTCCAGAGGAAAAAGCTGGCATAGGCATGACGCTGGGACAAGGACCAACTAAGGAATGCTTTAAACCTGCTAGTAACACGTGGTAACGTGTCCTACAGGCCTTGTAGTTCTATCTCTGCGGACTTTTGAAGTGTGGCGTGCTGATTATCGCCGATTTTGCAAGAGCAAAACACCGGCACGCAATGATCCTGAGACCACCTAGGGAATGCTCTGAGCCTTCCAGAATTCGACCAGCCTTGTACCTACAACTAGCGCTACTCGTGCCTTTCCAGCCGCCTTCCAACCACCCTGCTGCGCAGAGGGGTTGGAAAGCCGCGAGTATATCCACGGACTCTTAAAGCGTGAAATACTGGCTATCGTTGATTTTCGTGGCAAAAAACCGGCCCGTAGACCCTGAGACCAACTATAAGGAATGCTGCAAGCCTTGTAGTATTCTGCAAGCCCTCCCTGGTGTTCTAGAACCAATAGCCCGGTGAAGGGTCCCGGAGAGGCGCCGCGGGGCACTCCGTCGAGCCGTCGTCTGCACCACTACGTAGAGTAAATCGAGATACTCAGGCCACTATTAATGGTGGTGGGCCTGGGTAATATGCAGGGGTGATTATTCATGTTTCGGAGTCGTCGGAGTCGGCCAGACCTCCTGTCACTGGTTGCAGGTGGCATCGACGTTCGACGCTTGAGCAACCGGCACTTCGCCACCAAGACGGCTGCAGCAGCCATGCAAACCTCAGGTCGCGGCCGCTGTCATATGCCTTCCCGTGCCAGCGTTCGACGACCATGGCCTGCGTTGCATCAGCCCCTCTTCCTTCACCACCGCCGCCTGGGCTGTAGCCCTCAACTGCATCTTTCCCAGCGCCACATCCGTCACTATGCCTAAGCAGCTCTCCGAGACGGCGAGAGAGCGAGAGTTCTACAAGTATGCTGAACGTTACATTGCTGATGCCGAGTCTGAGTCTCACTTGTTGTCGCCCAGGTACTTGTCGCCGCAGACATGCGGGAGCTACCCGTGGGTAGTCGCTGGCAGCGTCGCCGAATCCTCCCACGATACCTCTCTTACTGCCTTTGCTCAGCTCGGAGCTCTGCGCCTGAACGCAAAGCGATGCATCATATCCCTCTTCGACCGTACACAGCAATTCGTCATTGCCGAAGCTACACAAACCCTATCGCTTCAGAGCGACCTGGTACACGATGCAGGAGACGCCCTCTGGCTGGGCACTACCGTGCTACCAAAGGAGTCGGGAATCTGCCAACTAGTTGTCGATATGCCCTCCAACGCTCCTTGTCCAGACGATCCGGACTCGAGGGGTGTCATCGTTGTGCCAGACCTTGCAGAGGATGACCGCTTCGCCAACATGCCCTTCGTTGTCAAGAAGCCATTCACTCGGTTCTACGCCGGCGTGCCAATCTGCAGCCCCAAAGGTGCACACATCGGATCATACTGCGTCATGCATGACGTCCCACGGGAGGACATCGGCCCGGAGCATTGCCAATTCATGAAGGACATGGCTATCACGGTCATGGCACATCTGGAGTTGGCACGCTCGCGAGAAGAACATAGGAGGGGGGAGAGACTAGTGAGAGGCCTCGGAAGCTTTGTGGAAGGAAAATCAACACTCCGAAACTGGCGTGGAGGAGCGACAGTAGCAGACCGGACGTATGAGCCTTCTCGCGTTGACTTTGGCGGAGAAGGTCAATTGAACGTGCAACAGCAAGATCTACAAAAGGCTCAAGATGAGATCGTCATCAGCCTGGACCGCTCCAGTGCGAGTCATGGGTCTGTTACGACCGATGCCCCACACTTTCAGAGCATATCAACACAATCCACCGCAGGGAGTGTATCTGAGCAGCCGTTGCCGCTTGAACAAACGCCCTCTCCATATCTTACCCCCGCATCGACTCCCCCTCACAGCCCCTCGCCAGAACACACGCTGCGGGGCTTGTCTCGTCATTCTACATCGACTAGCCGACAACCGAGCGTGGATTTGCAAGAAAGCATGCTTTCGCTCAATGTAAAGCAGACCTTTTCAAGAGCAGCCAACATCATCAGAGAATCTATGGAAGTTGAAGGGGCGATTTTCCTGGATGCCAGCATTGGGTCGTTTGGGGGTATGGTCTCCGGCGTTAGCAGTGCGTCAGAGACTTCAGCTTCGCCTGCTCCGTCATCCGGCGGAGAAAGTGACAAGTCTCTAGAAGAAAGGATGAGCGGTATTCTGGGCTTCTCGACCACTAACAATTCAAGCATCAATGGCGACTTTACCTCGCAGAACGCGTTGCCAATCCCGGAAAAGTTTTTGAAGGGCTTACTGCGCAGGCATCCGAAAGGGAAGATTTACTACTTTGACGAGGAAGGCCACATTTCTTCGTCAGACTCATCAGGCGAAGACAGCTCTAAGCGAGTTGGTCGAAGCGGGTTCAAGTCTACCGACAGATCCAGTCATGGTAGTTCAGCAAAGAGAAAGAAGGCCCGCAAGCGGTTTTCGAAGTTCTGCGAAGCAGAAACTCTCATCAAGACGTTTCCAGGAGCCAGATGTATTGCTTTGATTCCCTTATGGGATAACCACAGAGAGCGGTGGTTTTCAGGCGGCATTGTATGGACTAACACACCGAAACGAGTATTCACATCTGAAGGCGAGCTCAGTTACTTGTCAGCGTTCAGTTCAATCATTATGGCTGAGGTAGCACGTCTGGATGCTTCCACGTCCGACAAAGCGAAAACAGATCTGCTGGGATCTATCTCCCACGAACTCCGCTCACCACTCCATGGCATCTTAGGAAGCGTTGAGATGCTGGAAGATTCGGCTGTGACGGCGTTTCAGGGAAATATGGTACATACAATAGAAACCTGTGGGCGAACGCTGCTTGACACCGTTGATCATGTAAGATTTCATCTTCCTGTCTATTCACGCCTACTCACATACAACACAGCTACTCGATTTCACCAAAATCAACCACTTCATGGAGGTTTCGAAGAGACGTAGGACACACGGATCCCACAACAATACCCAATCAGCTCCGAGATCAAAAATTGGAAGCGACATGATGGCCATGAGTGCTAGGGTACAACTAGACGTCATCACCGAGGAGGTGGTTGCTGCCGTCTCTGCAGGCTATGACACTCAGAAACGTGCGAAGGCCAATTCGAGCCCGCAGAAGAAAAAGCCGAAGCTGCGCCATGCTAACAACAGTGCTTCCAGGCCCCATGATGCATCCTACTCGTCTGATCGATATGGCGATGCGCAGATCAACACCGAGCTGAGAGAGTATAACCTAGGTGGTGTCATTGTAATACTCGACATCGACAAAGACGTTGATTGGGCCTTCAGCACCCAGGCTGGAGCATGGAGACGAATAGTGATGAACCTGTTTGCAAATTCTCTCAAGTACAGTAAGATCATCATGTTCCTTATTAGTTGACGCCTGCTTACACTACACGTAGCTGCTCGTGGATACATCCGTGTATCTCTCAAAGCTAAGCCGCTGCCAATGAGACATGGGGTATCACGCTCAAAGATAACCTTAGTTGTCACCGACTCAGGCAAAGGCATGTCTAGAGATTATCTTCGAGGTCGACTATTCCAGCCTTTTGCACAAGAAGATCGACTATCTCCAGGAACCGGCCTTGGCCTCAGCATAATCCGTCAAATCATTCTTTCACAAGGTGGCAAGATTGACGTACAGAGTGTTCAGGACGAAGGCACACAAGTCACTGTCACGCTACCACTAGCTCAAGCAGCACCAGAAATCAACGGCCCCACCCAGATCGAAGACTCGTGCCTTGGTAAAGTCTACGAACAAACCAAAACATTATCAGCTTGCCTGATTGGTGTCGAAATTGGTGCAGAAACTATCAAACCCAGGAAGCCTTCGGTCCCATTTCAGATTGAGAATGATGGCCCACAAGCTTTGAAGTCGTCCTTGCAGGAGATGTGCAAAAACTGGTTCGGCCTTCGCTTGGATACAAAGCAACAAACAGACCGTCCAAGTGACCTTTATCTGGTTGTCGAGACTCCCTTCAATACGGATGAGCTCACTTCTGGAAAGCTGCTTGCAGAGATTCCTAAAATCAGTCCTGACCAGAGCGAACAGCTGCAACCTATCGTCATTGTACTCTGCAGGTCTGCAGCATCAGCTTGTGCTTTGCAGCATATTGATTCGCAAGGTCGTGTCGTTGAGTATCTCTCTCAACCGTAAGTCTATTCCTATACGAAGTCTATTACGTTGAACGTCCCCAAGCTATTCTTATGGCATCGACACACTTTACTGATATGTTCTATTAGTTGTGGCCCTCGGAAACTCGCGAAGGCACTGAATCTCTGCTTCGAACGTCGTACGGCTGGTAAAAAGTCTGTTCCATCATCTTCGACAGTTTCTACGCTACTTGAAGCACCCCCACTCGGGAATGACGCTATCAATCAGTTCGGCTTTCCATCCACGTCTTCTGTTGCGACAGACGCCACTGGCTACTATGCAGATATGAGCGATACAGAATTTCCTTTGTCCCCCACAGAGATACCAATATCTATTGTCGTAATGCCGGACCGTCCGCCGCCGACCGAACAAAGCTCGTCTGATGTTACTGAAACTCCAGAACTTGAGGTGCACAAAGGACCAGGGCCTTTTCTGATAGTCGACGATAATCACATCAACGTAAAGGTACTGTAGGCTCAGCTTCCGAAATCAGAATATGTCTAACACTCTCAGATCCTGGCGGCTTTTATGAGAAAATCCAAGTACTCGTATAGAGTTGCAGAAGATGGAGCCATAGCATTTGACGTCTACAAAGCCAACCCGGAGGCTTGCAGAATCATATTCATGGGTTCGTTGACACTTCCTATTTGGTTACGTCGACCACGACGGACTTCCATGCTAACACTTCGTGTACAGATATCTCAATGCCTGTCATGGACGGTCTGACGAGCACGCGGCTCATCCGTGCGTACGAGCGCTTGCACAAACTCAAGCCTGCGATTATCATCCTTCTTACCGGTCTTGCGAGCGCGAGCGTGCAGCAAGAAGCCAATGCCAGTGGCGCAGACTTGTTCTTGACCAAGCCGGTTCGACTTAGGGATCTGGGTAAGATCCTTTTAGACATGGGAAAGTGATTCGAGTTTTTTGCGTGATGGGAGTTAGCATTTGAGGCGTACTTGTGGGCTGTATTGGAGCGGCTTTTCTCTGAAGCATATCGGGCTCCGGAACGTATACCCTGTTTTTCCCAAGATCGTTTCAGGCGTTCCGGGGGTAAATGATGGCCGGTACGAGTCAACGTATATTCATGATGGAGCTGTTAGGCTCTTTGAGGAATTCTACTTCACGTTCTGGTTTTAGGACACCAATCTGATTGTGTGCATTTGCTGCTGGTTCTTTACTTTCGCTCGTAGAAGCGCTATTGACGTTCCGTTCGGTCTGCTAGCTTCACTAGTCGTGACTACCCAGACCTCATTATCTGTTAGCACGGTTGCTAAGATACATCCTAGACCCTTACGCAGTGTGGGCAGTGATTCGTCCAACCTCAGATCCGTCGATCGGCCGGCCGGTTAATCCACACCCATTCGAAACCCACTCCAACTACTCCAAGGCCAGTTCTGTGTTAGGCGGATTCACAAGGTTGCTACCCACACATTCCACTCAAGGTCCTCCCGCTAGCAGTAAATATACCTTCTACATTAACTTGTACCCGAATTACTCAAAGGTTGGTACGGTACCTATCAATCCTCTCAATTGATCCTCGCTTTCGTCCAGCTTGATCAATCCACCAATGCCTTTGAATCCCGGGAGCTGGATTCCTACCCACGCTACCAGGTGGGTGCTCAAGGGTAATCAAAGTTACTCGCTTCAGCGATCCGCCCTTTAGTTGCTACCATCCTCATTTCGACCGCTTCAACCCTTTGGTGCGGATCCTTCACTGGGTCTCGAAACTACCCCGAGTTCCATTTATGTTGGTCCTTCACCCGGAAATGCCCCTGAGTTCTATTGGTGCTGATCTTTCACTGAGTCTCGAACAGCTCCCGAGTCTTCGGAATGATTTAGTTCTGGAGGTTTACTGTGCCCCACTGTCTGCGTCACCTTGCGCAACGCCACTGTCGTCGATTCTTCTTCTTTTGCCCGGCGGTACACTGCCTTTCTTGAACGGATCGTCTATGATAAAGGGTTGAAATCCCCAAGGTAGAGACTCCCCATTATCCCACTGCTCTATAGAGAGCTTCACCTCCCGAAATGTCTCTTGAAACCAGGCGAACCCTTCTGCCGTACGCCGTTTGAGATCCTTGTTGTCCACCCGGTGGGGTGGATACATCTTTAGGCAGTCATACACCAACTGCGTCAGACGATTCGAATACATCCCCCAATAACCCGGGGGGTCGATCGGCAGCTGGCGGCGGTCTGGATCATCCCAGTCAAAGATATCCCCATCAGGGTCGTGTATATTCCAAAGCTCGTCGGGATCGCAGGTCGCTAGCATAAACCTCCACATTGTCACTCCTAGACTGTATATGTCTGCTTTTGGGCCCACTTCGAACCCCTTGGGGTCGTAGTCCTCCTCTGCCGTCAGTTCTCTGTATTGTTCCTGTTCGGGATGTTAGAGTTGCCGGCAACAATGAACGGGCTGCAAGAGCGGGACGTACCGGCGGCTGATAGCCTCGCGTTCCGATGTTATGAAGAGCATTTTTACGCTTTCTTGCAACTAGCTTCGACTCTGTCCATACGAGGCCGAAGTCGGCTAGCAGCGGTGTCAAGTAGGCCCCGTAAGGATTTATGGGCTCGCCGAGGAAGATATTACTAGGCTTGATGTCGAGATGGTAGACGGGATCCCACTCGAGCATATCGGCTCCAGGAAGCGAACTGTCAGCTGCCTTCTCTGGACATACTCCGGTGGTAATTGACATTAAAGCATCCGCGAGTCCATCGAATACGAACCATAAATATGCTTCAGGGACTGGCCTTTCGCGCTCAAGTTAGTGACCGATACGAATAGGGCTAGAAAAGCACGTACTCTCTGTTCTGATAATGCAGCTTGATCATGTGCTCAAGATCTATTCCGGCAGCGTAATCCAAGTACATCATGCCTACTTCCGTCTCTTCTCGAAACCCCTCGCCTCGCATTTTAAGGATATTCTTGCAGCCCGGTCCCTCCACTAGTAGGTGCATCTCAATCTCGTGGCGCATTGAGCGCTCTAGTTTTGCGGATAGTGTTGCATCAGGGCTGCTATAATCTAGACGCTTGACAACTACTCTCTGGAAAGGAGGAAACAGAAGCTGTCAGTCACTTGCACAATTTTGTAGAGTCTTGACAGCTAGTCACGGGAAAGAGAAACAAACTCACATCTATTATCACACCCGTAACTTTATCACAAAGCACCCACACGAGCACCGATTTCGTCGCACTTCGCTCCTGACTTATCCCCGTCTTAATGTGACGGGTGTCTAACGCCATGACATACTGCCAGTCGCCCATGCCGAGTGCGCGTCGGCCAGCGAGTGTCTCATTTGCGGTCGGTGATGGTGGTGATTCGGGTTCTTCATACGGCTCTTCCCCCTCTTCAACCTCTCCCTCTTCAATCTCTCCCTCGTCAATCTCTCCCTCGTCAATCTCTCCTTCTTCAATCACTCTCCCCAACCTCTCCTCGACCGACCTATTTCCAACCACCGCATTCCCACCCCCCACAACATCAACATAAGCGCCAGACTCATCCTCATAACCTGGCAGCAACGGCTGCCCAGGCCCCGCAACCCCCTCCCTTGTAACCCGCAGCCGCTCTTCATCACGCGTCGCATCCACCATCGCCTGCAACTGCTCCTCTCCAACCCCACTCTCTTGAGGCAATCTCTCCTCTACCACCCCTTCCCCCCCAACCCCACCCCCCTCTTCATCGTCACTCACATACTCCCCCAACGTCTCCCGCACCGGGCTCGCAACCCCCGCCCGCCTCCTCTCCTCCCTCTCCGCCGCCCTCCCCCCCCGCAGCCGCTCCTCTTCCTCCACCGCACCCGCCATCGCCAGCCGCTGCGCCCGCGACGCCTCTGCCGCTCTCGCCGCCGCCCACCCGGGGATCCACGCGCCCTTCCCGTCCGCGTCATCGTTGAGCGCGTTCCATTTGTTGATTAGCTTTAGGGAGTGCTTGCCGCGCTCGAACAGCGTGCGGGCGACGCGTCCGCGCGTGTTGGGGTAAGGTTTTGCGCGGGCGATGACGTCGGCGGCGAAGAGGAGGTAGCCGGACTGTTCAGCCACGGGGAGGTCGTTGTAGGCGGCGAGTTCGTGGCTGTTCAGGGTGCGGCCGTTGGGGACGTTGGGAGGTTGGGCCATGGCGAGCGTGGGGATGGGGAGGTTGAAATAGGAGATTGAGTGGGGCTATGGCTTTAGGTGGGATGTTAGTCTCTGATCATCCGCAGGCCGAGAATGAGGCTTGTACGTACCGGTACGATGGCGCGAAGGGCTCTAAAAGGGGTGGAATGGACGGGTCGCCGCACTGTGGGAATTTTGCTTAAGATCATCTACTACCCACGGTCGCAATGAGTGTCTTAGAAACTGGCGACATCCGAAGTCGATGGATCAAACTCATGAGTAGATGATGGTTCATGCTAGACAAAGAATCAATTGCTCGGAGTTGTTGGTTGGCCTTTGTTCGTGGTATCGGTACAAAATCAAGACGTGTACCGCATTCGGAGTATATGTTTTTTTCCTTTGTTCTGAACATGAAGCGTAAGAGTTTTAGTTATATTAGGTGTCTCTTGCATGAACTCAATGTAGAAAGAATCTAGAAGGTGGTCCAATCTGAGCCCTCATAGAGATGGAGTTGCATGAATTACAGAATCAGCTCATACAGCTAACCAAGCCTTCTTTCGATCTTGCACCTTCCTCTCATTCCCGTCATACTCCATCCTCCGTGGCTCGATCTCGTGAGTCACATCTGTAGTTACAACAATACCTCTCGATGGTGGTCGCTTATCGGATTCAACGCTCCCGTGGGGGCTGCGCAGGTTAGACCTGTCGGGCAGGTCTTCGAGCTCGACTGGTTCTATAGCGGGCACTCCGCTGATTCTCTCTGCGCTCCACTTTGAGTTTGCACGACCATTTCCGGATTGCGTGCTGTGGTTTCCGAATTTCGAGCCTTTTCCGTATGCGGATCGATTGGCACTATTCTTGACGTGGTTCGAATTCCCTAGATTTGATGAGGAAAGAAGTTTCCTACGGAGGCCAAGCTTGAACGATAACAGGCGGAGCAGTGGTTGAAGAGCGGGGAAGCATGCAACCCATAGGCCGACGTGACCCTCCAAGTCCGTCCAGAATGATGCAATCGAGATGTTGAAGGTCGTATTGAGGGCCATGTTAATGCGGATAATGACGGACAGGCGAACGATGCCGGTAACAGCAGCAAAAAAGCCGATTGTAAAGACAAGCATCACTTTGAGAGTTTGGCTGTTGAACATCATTTTCTTGTATAAGACCCAGATAGGGAGGGCCAGCAGCAAGCTGTCGAAGAGGATTCCGAACGAGGTGTGCGTATACATGAGGATGGCTTCACGATATGGTGCTAGACACTGCGCTCCTGGTCTCCTTTTGTTCCAGAGGCCACTGGGCGGGTTAGCTTCATATTACAATGATCATTGCAGATGATTACGTACGGTATGTGTTTACACTCGAACAGCAGGACGAAGAAACAAACTATGGTTACCGCTGCGATTAGACCCCCGAGTGCATACACTATCTTTCTGAAAAATGCTATGAATAAATTAGAAAGTACTCTTGTTTCCGTATGCGGTCGGCGCGGCTTGGATTGAAATATGAAGTCTTTTCGTGTCTTTATCTGATCACGGAGGGAACTTCCTGGCGACTGGTATATCGAGTTGTTTACATTCGCTAGTAAGAGAGCTTTCCTCACCATCTTTGTTGGGCCGTGGCAAAAACGCTACGATCGATAGCCTCACGAGTCCCGAAGACGATATGTAGAGGAGTTGCATGGTTGGTAGGATCTGAATAGACGCTGAGCTCGCTTCGCTATTGATACCGAGTGTTGAATTCACAAACTGAGAAGAAGATCGTGAGATCTTGCGGCCGAACTAATATTATCTGTTTCCCCGATCCGTGGAAGGTTTCTATTAAATTTGGTTAGTTTTTACATCTCGGAGGGATGTCTCGTGAAGCCGCCCTACCGAATATCTCTAAAGAAGAAAGAGTTGTAAGAGTCGCCTAAGAGTAAGTTAGCAAACGTCAGCTTGACATTGAGCCGTCATTTGATCATACCCATGCGGCAATGGCGAACACATCGTCGAGACCAGGGTTTCTTATCATGAACACTCGCACCTGTAGCCGCACCAAGATAATGACAGTAGATATAGCGATGAGAGCATAGTTCAAATTGCGAGTAAGTAGGGTTCTATCCTGCATTGTGCACTTAAATCGCAGCCGCCAGGGATATGCGATTGCGTAAAGGTTTATTGTGATCGGGTTTGTAGGAGCACCGGGATGATTTTGATAAAGCTCGCGTCTAGGGCATGTCGTGGGGTAGCGATGCAATGATGGATAAGTAAGTGTAGGCAGGAACTGGCCATATAAAATAACATCCCTGCGAACGGTTGTGTCTTGGGAGGCAAGGATACATTGGACTGGTGATGTTGCTTTGAAGGGCAGGAGGTCTCAGAATCTCAGAGACCAAGGCGAGGCACAACAAAGGACAATGAAGCATGCGGATGGGGATGGCCGAATGCACGCAACACTGCGAAGCTAGGTTCCGAACGTGATCAGGTTGTGGGGTTTGAAACACATGGAGTACTATCGAGTCTCTTCGAGATCTATGGTGGATGTCTAAGGCCACTCGAGCTACTACAGTGAAACTGGAGTGAAACTGGAGAGTGACTTGAAAGCTACAGTTGAATTCGAGAGAGGTCTCCTGCCTGAGATGCGTTCGCACAAGCCCGAATCCTCGATGGAGATACATGGTCTATTAACCTTGCTATAACATGGCTAGACCAGGATGGTCTTGAATAGACTCACGTGGCTCCGGGGTGAAAGGGGAATGCGTAAAGGGACATGATTCGGGCGACATGGCTCGGTTTCCACAGTCTGATGAACAGTAGACCGAGTAGTGTGAGCATCTCGGGTACACTTCCTGTCCTGATATGATCAAAGGGTGAAGAAGCAGTGATGAAAGAGTGTTGAAGGGGGATGGACAAAGAGGAGTAGGAGTATCAGGGAGCTGGAATAAGCTTTGGCGCTACGCTAAATATTGATTAGCCCCAATACCCATTTAACCGATCGTCCTCTCTCCTTGACCCTTCACTCTTTACCAACACCATGCCACCACTACTCCTAGACGCCTCGCATACGACATAGAGTAATTGTTCTCGTGAAAGTACATCGTACTCTCTAATCGACACTAGGGCCTCTACCTCATGCATGGTTAAACCCTTGTGACACTGCCGAAGACGCCACAATGGCTCGAGACTTGCCTTCCAGTTTACATCGAAAGACAGCTCGTACCCTTTGGGATATTCCCGTTCTAGCAACCTCTCATTCACGACTATGTAGCGTTTTGATGGGCTGTATGAAGATACTCCGGCTGTACGATCAAGGGCCGAAAGCCCTCTTCGCCAACCAAGCAAATGCAGCCACTGATCGTGCCTAAATTCCTTCACGAAGGTCAGAAATCGGGGCCTTGGTTGCCAACCGCTTCCAGAACCAACTCTTTAAACATAAACGTAATCGTGGAATCAGCGTCGTTCCTCCAAAGTCACTGGTATTCCAACCGCTCCGGCTCAATATTAGAATAGTCTCGAAGGACCCCTTCTCTCTTCTGACTTGGCAGTAAATTTGCTGGTCGTATTTTCGTTCTACTGCACGATGGTTGAGGTGTTGTCTCCGACCATGGTATTGGAAACTTAGCTTCTCTCACTTCTCTCTTATGGGACTGTTCGGGACCGTCTTACTCCAATCAGAATGAAGCATCACTCCGAATGCTGTGCCTCCGTTGCGTCACGTTTCCTGCAAGGGGGGATGTGACTGTATGCAGCTATGACCCTCATTTTTGCGGCGTTTTTTGCCTGCTTCGCCACCGCGCCAAGAATTATCGCAGATGTAGTTCAGATCGCTATAAAGTTTGTTGCTGCTGCATTTTGCGAGACTTAGCCGCACCCCACGTTGTGATATCTCGCAGCCTGCAATTGCTGATCGTAAAAGGATTGTCAGCATGCACCTACGTTGGACGCATCATGTTTTGACTTTGCTGGTAACATGCTCTATCACTGTCAGCGCCGTACCTAGTTATCCTCGAACCGCGTGTACGAAGGTATCCGCGAGGAAAGAATGGTGAGTACATGATGGCATTGCCGAGCACGTCTTCTGGACTTTTAACTTTGCTCATCTAGGCGGACTTTGAGCAGCTCCGAAAAGCTGTCTTACATAGCAGCAATAAAGTGCCTGCAAACCAAGCCTGCGTTGACTTCAAGGGACTTTTCTGGAGTAAGGAGTCGATATGATGACTTCCTCGCTACTCACATCAACAACACTGATTTCATCCACTTCGTTATGAGTAATACGCCCTCGCCCCCACAAGCTTGGTGTCCGCTTTGAGCTTGAAAGACATAGAAATGTCTCTTAATTTCTAAGTTGACCAAGGCGTAGGGTCATTTTCAGCCGTAGGTATCTTCTCCACCCTTTTATGGCTTTGGTTAATGCTCTAATCTAGATGGCACCGCTAGTCCGTTGCGCAGTATGAGAAAGAACTTCAGACTACATGTGGCTATACGGGGGCGCAGCCGTAAGTGCCTTAACAAAGGTGTATCTTTCTTTACTAACACAAAACACAGGTATTGGGGTAGGTAGCGCTTTCATCAGACGTAGACCTGGGCAGACATGCTGATGCATGAAATCAGATTGGACTCGGGACGCCACTGAAGCTTCGTTTGCAAAAGCACCGGTTTTTGACGCTACTTACGGCTTTGGAGGTATAAAGCTTTGTTATCCCATGGCTCCTTGGGGTTGTGCTGAACGCTTGTACTAGGGAACGGACCATTCATCGATTCGTCCAACGATCCGAACGTCTTGCATATTCCCGGGAAGACAGGCGGAGGTATGTGCTCAATAACCTCACACTTATAAAGCCTTACTAAGTTGGGACTATAGGATGTGTACTAGATGGCCCGTTTGTCCATTGGACTGTAAACATGGGTCCCGGTGAGTCCGAATATGACGGAAGTCGTAATTTGATGCTGACTTATGGAAGGATTCAGCACAGCATACAACCCTCGCTGTATGACTCGTGACTTGAGTTCATACTTCGCTTCTCAGACGCTAAACTCCACGGTCGTGGCAAAGACGATTGCTGGCAAGACTTTCCAAGCGTTTGACATCCAAGTCCAAGGTACGACGACTGTGGAAGGGATGAGGTACCATGGTGGAGGTCATCTAAGTGTCGGAGGAGATTTGGGTGTTGTCAGTGCACCCAGATTCAATTTACTATGAATGAAGGCTGATACTTTCATCTAAATCGGCGACGTCTACGCGAGCCCTGCTGGTAAGATCCTCGAAATTACTGAGATCGGGCTAATTGACACTGACAAATGCTCAGATCCACTATTTTACCTACATCACGCGAATCTCGACAGGCTCTGGGTCAAATGGGAGGCTGCCAGTAAGTACTCCGCGTAGCCTTTCGCCTGAAACCCCCACTCAACTGCGTAGTCCCGTATCGTCTATACGACATCTCCGGACCTGATACTCAATTCGCCTATCCCTTCAACTTCTTCGGTGACGTAGCATATAAGAATGTTACACTAGACTTTCCAATGTTCTTTGGTAAGCTAGGACCAGAAAAGCCATTTGTTCCTATCAGGAACGTCATGGATATCAGTGCGATGTGTTACAAGTATGTGTAAGGGGCGAAGTCTGCAAGGAGGATACATTCTACCATCTGGTTTATATTATCCAAATAACACCCAAGTCGAACTTCGATTATGGAATGGACTGTATGTTAGTGACGTACTCAAAGACTTCTCAGTGCGGATGCATCACGTGACATACCAGTACCGTGAAAGTCCTCTTGATATTCTATGAAATGAAAGTCAAGCTGTGCAATTGATTTAGCTAGACTTCGCAAGATCTACAAACGCAACTAACATCATTTCATGCTATTGCGCTTCGTATTTAGTGTCAAGCAACAGCAATCAAACATCGTCCCGAGGTCCAACGCGAATCGTCATGCGCATCCCCGCCCACCATGGGTATCTCAATCCGATATATGCCCCATATCTTTCTATCTGTCTTAATCATGGCCCTCGAGCTAATATCAAGCAACCAAATCCTCTCCGTAGACCTCCTCACACGCCTAGAGCCCTGAACCCCCTCTCCTACGCGTACAATGCCTACCGAATACTTCGAAGACTTCGAGACCCACCCCTGGGTCCAAACGCTCCTCTCCGACTCTACCATCATACAATCTCCACTTTCAAATAGAGCACCCGGTCCCGCTGAAGGCGTGTCAAACAGCCTGTTTGCCGCAACCCTCCACACCAAGCGCGCAGTCCGCGCCTATCTCAGCTGCAGCCGCCCCGACCCCAATGCCTCCTCCTCAAACACCGAAACACCCGTGCAAGAAAATTACATCATAGTGTCTGTTGGCGACGGGCTGGACGGGGCTAGCGGACGGCTGCATGGCGGATTTTTGGCGGCGTTGCTGGACCAGGTCATGGGAGCCTGCGCAGTGACGTGCAAGAATATGGGTTCGAGTCCGGCGACGAAGGAGATGTATGTTAGGTTTAGGAAGCCGGTGGCGACGCCGGGGGTTATACTGGCGCGGGCGAAGGTGGAAAAGGTGGAGGGAAAGAGGACGTGGGTGAAGGGGTGGGTGGAGGACGGGATGGGTACAGTGTATGCGGAGGGTGAGGCGACATTTGTGAGAGTTGGCGAAGTTGGGAAATTATGATCGAAATGGAGAAAGACGTCGACGAGAATCGAGTTACATTTCGCAGTCCTATGTAGATTCTCACAATGTAAGTCTGGGCTGAGTCTTGGCCATCATGGTAAAGCTACACTATCCATTCTCAACTTTCAACTGAGAATAATGCCGATTGACGGAATAATGCCGATTGACGTCAAGGGCTCACCATAGTATCTTCAGAGGTTCCTTTATCAAGAGTCTTCATACTTCCAAGTTTCCTCAAACAGACCCACTCTCGAAGTCAATCCTCCTGATTCATCATTTGTTCGCCAAGATCAAGTATTAAACCACGCTGTTTTTTTCCGGCACTGAGCTGCATTTCGGCCCCCATTCATCACAAAAGCCCTTTGGATATTCCGTTACTCCGCAGCTGACTTGACACGAAGAACTTGTCAAGGCCCTATCATGTCCTGCAAGATACGGATGACGTTGCGCCACAGTTACACTTAATCCAATCGAATCCTCGTCAACCTCGTGTCAAGATATTAATATCACGAGCGCATCCCGCTCGAACTCGTTGCTTGCATTCATATATCAGCCTTCAAAGTCACTTTTTCCTTTTTATTAATGAACCGCAGTTTGCTAACATCAAGCAATCGATCATGCGCAAATTCACCGACGTTAGGCTGTATGCATCTTTCATCATTCTCACGTCGCATCTAGCGATCAGTGAATTTAATTCCATATCAAAACCCACCGCCGGAGAAGTGCTAGTAGCCGGAACCACCTACACCATCGAATGGAAACCAGACATCGGCAGTACTGTCGAGCTCCAGCTCTGGGACGACACCTACTATGGCTACTCACGCGCGTTCGGAGATCTTTGCTATAACTACCTCTTCAACCCGTTTTGTGGACAGATAGCGACGAACGTATCCAACACTGGGAAATACGAGTGGCATATTCCGCATCAGTCAGACTATCCACGCAATCAACCTTATTTCTGGCTTAAGATGTTCGTCAACGACTTCTATCATCCAGAGCTCGGCAATACAGATCCGGTCTTGAGTTACTCGCAAAACTTCTCGTTTACTGCAGAGCCGTATATGTCTGCGTCGAGTTTGAGTTTGGTTACGGCAAGCAGCACTAATTCCGTGATTTTGCCTGGCCCCGCAACTTCCACGATTGGAGCTCTCTCAACGCCACATTCAAGCCCTCCGTCAACACCACTCGTAGCGCTATCGTCAACATCAGAAATCTCCACAGCGGATGCAGCTTCAGAGCCATTGGCGACGCAGGCCGTCAGTACCTCATCCTTTACGACCGATACCGATGTGTCGAGCCAAATCACCGCTTCGGGACTCGGCACGACGACTAATGCTGCCAAATCCAGCTCAACAACATCTCAAAGTGATTCTGCTGCAACCACTACATAGAACGATGGCTCAGTAGATAGGACGATTGCCTTACAAATTCTCTTTCCAGTATCACTGTTTTTTTGTGTTATTATTCTATGATTGATAGAATTGACTGCTCTATCTAGTCCTAAGAAGTCTGATATTCGTATGTAACGTGTAATTCAGCAGCAAGTGATACAAAACGATTGGGAGCATACTGCCAAAATCACGTGATTAAGACCCTTATTTTCACCCGTCAATTTGGTAGAGCTCTCTAACGTACGATTGCGCCAACACCAAACCCTCAGACGTAGAGATTTTAGAAACATCACGAAAAACTTCAAGGTCTCGTATGTACTATTGTATGTACGCCCTACACTAGCACCTTCCTCTCTTAACGACATTCTGAGTCATCATCATGATTCATACCGGTGCGTCATTCTCACTTCAAACATTTCTATTTCTTCAACCTTCACACCTGTATTCTCTCTTTCGGGAAATTTTTTGTTTCAGATCCAACAACCATGCCTCTAGAACTCGCCCCCCTCACAGCCGACGACGTCGACGCCTACATGGCAATCCGCCAAGCCGCATTCGGTGACAGCGTCTTTCGCATCCTCTTCTCGCGGCGCCCCGATGGCCCGTCGCCAGAGGTCTACGCGCAGATCCGTGACAGCGTCCGCGACCAGATCGCCACCGACAAGCACGTCTTCTTCTTGAAAGTCACGGACACGGACACCAGCGAAATCATCGCGGGCGCAAAGTGGAAAGTGTTCAGGACCGAGAAAGAGGTGCTAGAAGAACTGGAACTCCCGTCCCCGACGCCGGACTCGGATCCTGAGTGCTGGAATGCATTTATGAAGCTGCTGAGTGATGCGAAGAGGGAGAGAATGGCGCTGAGCCCTTATTGGAGTGGGTTTATCCTTTCTCATTCTTTTTCCTTTTTTGGGAATGGGCTCTGGGGGAGTCTGGTGAGTCTGGAACTGATTAATTGTAGTGCTTGACGCGCTCTCAACGCACCCAGCGCATCATCGACGTGGAGCTGGGGCGATGCTGATACGGTGGGGCTTGGTTCGGGCGGATGAGGAGGGGGTGGAGACCTACCTTGAGGCGTCGGCGATGGGCCAGCCGTTGTATGAGAGGTATGGGTTTAGGCCTGTCAGGACTTTGAGATTTGATTTCGGGGAGTTTGGGGGGGAGGGAGTGCAGGAGTTCCAGGTATGAGTTGAAAATGAAGTGGAGTTAGAGGATTCGTGCTAATGCGTTTACAGTCCATGGTAAGGCCTAAGAAGTCTTCGTGATCTCACCGAAGATTGGTTCGTCACGTTCTTAGAAGGAGACTCGATGTGCGAAAAGCATTTTATATCTCAATTCTCTTGTCAATCCTTGTCTAATCCCCAAAAGTTTCTGCAAACCTCCGAAGCTCCAAAAGTTGATATATCCTTACAGTTCTGGTGGCTCATAGTTCAAATACCCCAGGGATACTTCAAGAAAGACAATCTGTTCACTTGAGAATAACATCTGAAGCAGCGAGAATATCACGTAATGGACGGCGAATTATGCCTTCTCAGAACTGAGGCCTGCATCTTAATTCCAGTCGTGCCGTATTCCACTTTTATTCTATACCTCACTCACCTCGTCGTCCTCGCTAACGCTCCCCTGTGGCCCCTCCGTACTACGGATGCTGTTAAGAGCTCTCGCCATCCACCAAAAAAGGTGTGAAATTATTCGTTCATCAACGATCCAGCAGACCAACCAACCAACGGACAACACTAGAATGGTAAAAACAATTCTAAACGACAAATCTAAAGTATGTCGAGACCATATCATCGCCAGCGGGAAAATGAAGATACCAGGACTGAGAACAATACCGAGACCTACCGTCATTTTATTGAAAAGGATCCGCTTTAGCACCCGATTTAGCACCAGAGAGGCTTGCTTTGGAACATTGGTGAGGACCCAAAGTAGAGCGGCTCGAGTTGGAACATTATCCCCGGGTAGAAGGCCCGCATCTTTTCTGATTCCGGCAAAGGCACCATCAATGATCCGGACCGTCGCCCTGCTTCGTACTATAAGCCGCACGCTGTATGATAGAACTACCACCACGGTTGCAGCTACAACAAAGGCATATAACGGAGCGCCGTTCCTCATTTCTTTGATTTGCATGCTGAAGATGCCGGCCGAAAAGCTCAGAGGAACGAAAACGAAGGCCAGCTCGGTAACTTTAGTCACACTTTCAGCAGCTGCAATTCCTCGGCGGCTTTCAATGATTGAAATGTCCGCTCGCAGATCACTCTGTAGCCTACCGGCCTATTCCAAGGTTTTCTTGATATTGGCAACGGCGTAGTCTACCAGACGACGCGCTGGCGGAGGTATACGCTCCGGGTATGCGAACTGCATAAAGCTTTCAAGGTTTTCCTCTAACTTCGGGAGGATGATGTCGACGGGTGCGATAAGCCTTCGCCAGTGATCTACACTTTGTTGAATGGCATGTTCGTTTGCACTATCTCTATTCAAGCGGATCTCGTCCAATGACATGCGCAGGGAACCTAACAAGCTCATCGAGTCTTGAAGCACGACCTGCAGTAGTGCTGGTGTGGGGCCCAGGTCTTGGCCTATGGATGGATTACTGGGACAGAGCCAAGAGACTATGTCTTCGAGTGCACAAGATGGAACGTTGAGGGAGGAATTGATGGTCTTGAGAACTTCGGAGACCAAGTCCAAAGAAACAGTATTTCTCCAACACCGTCTTGGGTACAACGTTTGGAACAAAGGCTGGTCAGAGCCGTAGGTGTCCCACTGGTCGGAAGGCCTAACCACGGTCCAAGGAACTCTTACTCTTGTTCTTTCAACTTCAGGAAGCGGGTCCAAGAGCACGAATACTGCCTCGTCTTAATTATCTTTCGACTCCATATTTCTATTTTGGGGATTAGGTACCTTTTCTTTGCGGACCGCTTTCGACCCTATGTTTTATCAATGTGATCTTTTCTTCCCAGGCCAGAATCGAGTGGGTGTTTGCATCAGTGGTTTTGGAGAACGCCGGGTCTCGCGAGAACTTCCAAGCACTGCGAATTACATTCGGCTTGATTCGATATGAACAGGAATACTTCTGTCTTGACTCTCTTTCGCCTTGATACTCCTGGCTAATTGGAAACGACGGATGTAGCTTAGGTCGAGTCCTATCATCATGGGTTTCCTGGTATTCGATCTCATCATAAGACATCAAATTGAAGTCCCATCTCACAGGTCTATACCAGGTCATAGGCATGTGCTGCTTGTCCATGTTCGCAGTCGACCACTTCGCCGGATGTGAAGCTCTCTCTGCTGAATAATGAGACCCATATAGATGCTCTTCGAAAGCCTCCAGACTGAGATCGAATGTGCTGCTAAGCTGTCGCATAAGACACGGTGACAAATCTTCAATCAAAAATAACCTGACAAAATGGTCTGGCTGAAGCTTGTCGGTCTTCAGAGCTTCCGCATGATTCTGGGTCCAGTCTCCGTGAGAAAAGCTTGCAACGAGTTTAGGTGTTTCGCTCTTCGAGAAGATGTCGAAGCACTGCATCCGACCAGCATTCTGTGTCCGGGCTGGCTCTTATCTGGACAAGATGGCGGACCCTCAGGCGGGAGATGAGGCACGAGAACTCCTCAACGATCCGATTATCCCGAATCGCAGGGCTTTCAACCTACTGACCTATAGAACTGACTTCCGCGGCTTCTGGATTTGTTCTTATCGCATCGCTTCTGGCAAGGTCCTCTCTTGCAGCCCTTACGTGCGTTTCATTCTCTTCTACAGTCCTGCCCGACGAAGGTTGAGGTGCCGTTTCTCTTGCTATCGTGGGAGATGAGACGGACCGTGAAGCGGAGGAGATGGGCCCCTCCATGTTGCTTTTCTTGCCTGAGCTTCAGAACTTGCTAGTGGCAGTGTGGTATCTGTATAATGGGCGCAGACAACTAATGATAGAACTTTTGCCGTATAAATGCCAGGGATTTGACCTCTCAATGTTTGTGCCCACCGCATCACATCTTCGAATATGACACGTTGCACATGCAACGTTTCACCGTTACCCAGATATAATCTGTAGAACAGTACTAGACCATAAGCCAGGGCACACGAATTTATCACTGCTTGGCTCTAATCTTGCTCACTCGACACCACTGTGAGGAGCGGGCCAGCTAGTAAGTAGCCAGTTAGTCAAGAGGCAGTCTAATTTGCACCGTCTGAAACTTGACATCGTGCCTAGGTTTTTGGAAACCCATGTGGGTACCCCAAACAGTGGTAAATGGGTGCGCACAGATTAATGACCTGTTGCTGTATGCGACCGAATAGTGATACTAATAGTATTCCTCCATAGAAGCACAACTTTGCTTCGACTAATAGAAAACCGTGCGACATCTTAGAATGGACGAGAGGGAGGAGGCTGAAACTGAACAACAAGGCACAACATATTAGTTCTCGGGAGATGTTGCATACGCGCTGTGGGGCATATGTCCTTCGAATCGACCTACCACTCGATATTTCAAGCCTTTGACGCCAATTTCATCACTTTTCCGTGCAAAGCAAGATTCAATCATCCAGATGAGGGTATTGCCAAGGCTTTTGCGACGTTTTCGCCATCGCGGTAAGGTAGCCGTGGACAGGGTCGGACTCCTGTTTCGGCGATCACATAACTGATTGACCGCAGCCTGGTTGAAATTTTACCAAACCCACATGATATTAATAGCAATATCGATCCTGATTCAAGGTATGTATTGAGGCCGTGTGCAAGGCCTGCTCAATTCTGACTCTACCTCATCAGTTCTTCTACTACTGGGTAGCTTACCTCACTCAACGCAATTCCTTCGGCGAATATATATTCTTTCGATGACTCAGGTTGAAAATTGATGTGAACTCTGTCTTATTTCGGGGGCCCGAAGGCCAAACTATATACTACGTAGGAAGTGACTGTATGCATAGGCAGAAGCACTAATTGGAGGCAGCAGTAGGCAGCATTAGGCAGGGTAGGCCACCGTACCCCAACCCCTCTCTGTAGAAGTTGTAACTGGCTAGGCATGTAGGCAGCTACTATGCCAGCAACTCCAAGTCTGTACGTAGGTGACCGTGAACCGTATGAGTTGTTGATCCTAGGTTGTAGCTGTTACAACCCGAGTCGATGTCCTATCAAAGCCACTCAACGAAAGACTTCGATCATCGCTTCAACGCCACCCTTGCTGCCATAGTCACGAATAAAACCGCAACTGCACAGCTTGAGGTCCGAATCGGATATTTTGGGCTTTGTGTCAGCAAAGACCCTTCGGCAAAGAGAGTGTGTGCCGAGGGAAGAGGTGCGTTTCGTGACCGCATCGGAACTGCAGAGGACCCATTGAGTCTGCTTGGTATAATGGATCACTTCAAGAACGATGTGCTATTTCCGGGCTTGATGTAAGTACTTGGGACGTGTATCCAAACACTCGGTAACTAAGCACTACTCAAGTCTTACATCCCTACCATCTTCCATCATCACGTTTTGCGGTTTAGCGAGAGTCCATTCCCATTGGGATGATAATCCCTTGCAAAGTTCCGAGCATCGACCTCGGATCGATCAATCCTGGATCTATCGGATTTCCGTGTGGCTCCTGCTGGTCTCCGTAATAGTATCATCACTATGTTTCGCTTATGGCGGCGTTGTGGCAGCATACGGTAGCAGCAGTGCCTAGCACAGCTGATATTGTGCAATTCATTACATTCGATACTGTGGAGGTGGAGGTTGGATATATCGCCGTCATCCTGGCTTGGCTGAGCTGTGCCATTTCTACATGTGTAGCTCATTGCGTGTTAAGGAGATGGATGTATATCCACCTTCGAGACCTTGGAGTCGTAGACGATGATTAAGTTTATTACGGAGGAGCGTTGTAGATGTATTAGGAGCACGTCACCTCTGTATCCTTACCTTCTACATTGAGGATAGAGGTGAAACAATGCATTGAACGAGGTAAGTGATGTATTGGATGAGCATCTATCTAGGCTACGTACGCCGTATATATACTCTGTGTGTGTGGAGGCTTACGTAGCCGTACCGTAGAAATGTGTGGGCTAAGTATAGGAACCGTGTTCTATATCAAGGTAGCCGAGCTAACCGTACTATACTCCGTAGGCTAGCTGGCTAAGAATACGTACTCCGTCATACATCCTTGTCCTCTTCTTTACATCCTTTTTCTCTACATCAAATACAACATGTGCAGCGTCTCCTTTTCCTGTCACGCGACAAAGTCCATGCCTCCTGGGGCACCCTAGCGCATGTAGTGAGACGCTAACTGTCAGGGAGTAGTGGTGAGGGCTACGGCAGGCACGTGTCACCTCTTGTATATAGCCTCGCCTTCCTCAGACCTCTCTCTTCTCTATCATCATCATCCAATACATCACGTACACGGCCTACAGCTCCTAGTTCCGTGACACTAACTCACACCCACCTCCCCCTCATCTCCACCCTAAAACTCTCCAACATTACACCAAGCCACCTCATCACGCACACCCATCAAACTAAAACCGCACAAATCTCATTAAACTACTTGAATCGAAGTACCTACAGCATATAACATCACAGTCCACAAACCCCCCCCCTTCACTCTCTCCTCACACCTTCTCCCCATGATGAATCACATGCCCCTCCCCCGTATCCACCGCCCCATGCAAATGCGCCCCCTCCTCGAGCCTGATATCCACCTTCCGCGTCATCAAATGGCCCACATTCGCCGTAAAGCACACCGCAATCGTGCCCAGCACCCCAAACGCAATCGTCACCAGATACACCACCCGGAACGCGTGCGCGTAGCTCTCCTTGAGCCCGTACACCCCGACCTCGAGCTGCTGCGGGGTCAGCGTCGCCAGCGCTTCGAGCCCGGTGCCTGTGGTCAGCGCGCCGATGACGGCGGGCAGCGAGACGGGCGCGACGCCGGCGAGCGCGAGCGGCAGCGCGAGGTATTTGGGGATGAAGGCGACGAGCTTGTTCTTCAGGATCGAGGTGTAGATGGCCGTGGCGACGGAGCCGCCGACGGAGCGCGCGGTGGTGATGAGGGCGCTGGCGACCTGGAGCGCGGCGGGTTAGGAGATGCGGACTGGGTTAAGGGGAGTGGGGGATGGGGGATGGGGGATGGGGGATGGGGTGCTTACGCCGATGTACTCGTGGGCGACGGTGAGCTGGACGATGGTGACTTGGAAGACGTTGGCGGCGGAGAGGAAGCCGCCGATCAGCACGACAAGGATGGTCGAGGCGATGTGGGAGCCGGGGGCTGCCGGGTAGAGTGGTTAGTTAAGGGGCGTTGAGAGGAGGGAGGCGGGAGATGGGGTAAACGTACTGACGATTGCTTGGAGGCCGCAGCAGAGCGCCATAGCCCCGACGGCGATGGTGACGAGAATGCGAGCGTGGCCGACCGCTTTGAAGATATATCCACATGGTGACCCGAAGAGCAGTCCACCCATCCCAACTGCTCCCGCGTACCACCCAACCTTCAGCGGGTCTGTCGTGAAAATGACACCGGCTTGCTCGGCCCAAAGAACTGCCGTAGCGTAGTAAATCATGCCCACCAGGAACACGCTGACCAAGACGACGGTGAAGCCGCGGATGAGTTTGAAGATGGCGGGCGGGAAGATGGGATATGTGATGTCGGCGTACGCTTCGTAGAATCCGAGGATGACCAGCAGGACGAAGCCGATTATCAAGGGGGCCAGTGTGCCTGCGGATACCCAAGGGAACTGGCTGCCTCCGAAGGTGATGCCTAGGAGGAACAAGACGAGCCCTGAGACGAGGAGAAAAGTGCCGACCCAGTCGAGGGCGACGGCCTGCTGCCAAACGGTCTTGCCTTCTTCTCGGATGTATTGATTGACGGGATGATAGAAGAAGAAGACCAAGGCACCCGCGAAGCAGTTCATGGCGAAAGGAAGCCAGTAGATGGCTCTCCATGACGCATGTTTGACAAAGACGGTAGCTGTGTATGTTGATTAGTACTGAACTGCAGTAATCTTGACCGGGTTGAAGGACTCCAGAGGGTGGAAGCGTTACAGAAACGGAGATGAATCACTTACCGATGACGGGGCCAAAAGCTTGCGCAAGCGCAAGCGTACTCTCAAAGAACCCGGACGCAACCGATCGAGCGCGTTTCGGGACGACCTCAGCCAGACAAGCCCAGGCAGTTTGATGGAGGCCGCTACCGATACCAATCAACACGGAGCCGCCGATGATGACGTTGATGTTGTGTGCTGTGGCTGCGATTGCACATCCAATGAGACCTAAAAGGTTGCCTACGAGAAGAAAGTTTCGTCGGCCGAAGATATCAGACATCCTCCCGACTAAAGGCGAGACGACAGCAGCTCCTAGAGTGGGCGTAATGGCGACCCAGGTGTAGTTTGGGTTCGGGCCGATGTCGCGATTGATATCTAGTAGGATGGTGGAGCTCATTATGATCACAAATACATCAGCCATGTAGCCTTGTTGGAATGACTACTTTCATGTTAGCTTGTCGTTCTCCTGACAGGAACACAACGAAGGAAGAATGCAATGGTACTTACCAGTACGGCAAGGAACTTGCCAAACGTGAACTTGTATTCCTCATCTTCCGTCCTTACTCTCAAATTATTATCGACGCGTTCAGTTGTGCTAATATCCCCCTTCTCATTAGACAAGCTATTGTCCGACATGTTGGTGATCTGTAGGAGCTGTCTACTCCGTCGATAGTAGCCTAGTTATCGCACACGTGCATAAATAAGACGATCTCTAATGTGCAAGGAGGGAAGAAGTCTTTCGAACTGGGGGCCTCACGGTGACCCACAACGACAGAATCGAAGCAGATATAGTCGATAACACGAGACCAATATTACACAATCACCCGATAGCCCGAAGACGACTCAGCGGGCGCTTGTAGAGCCAACATCACGGTGTGGTATTGCCACCAGGGATCTAGACTTATCTAGCACTGCGGAGTAAACCCCAGATTCCATCCCCGCAAAACACTTGATCTCGGAGAAGATCAATGCATGTTGAGCTGCACGGGCCAATCCCCGCATAACCTAGGTACTAGGAATGGGCTAGCTGTCTCATGCAGTGTCCATGCACCAGGGTTGGTCCTGCAAGGTGGGGGGCTAGCTGCCTAGACGTCTGGGGATTTACTAACTTTGAGGGGACATCACTGGTTTATCTCTGACTGTATGCCAAGCTTCATGCTAGGAAGCGTAGATACCGGAATATCGACGGGAAGCTGGAGAGAAAGCGAGTGGTGGAATTATGGTTTAGTTCCGGTGTTGAGATAGACCCCGCGTGCGTTCTATTGGCAGGGGAAGAGACTATGCGTCGAAAGTAGGCTCCTGAGCAGTCTTCAACTGCTTCAGAGAGAATATAAGGTAAGATCGTAATCCTAATGTGGTTGAAATTGCTTTATAAGATTTCCGCATCGGGGTTAGCGCACTCGGATTAGCGCTTATTCTGGGAGGCATATTGAGACTACAAAGGCATTCCGGCAGAGACCCGGTATCTGGAATCGAGAATCAATTCCACAGCTGTCAGCTGTTTTATTCCAGTCTGCGATGTGGTCTTGGAGGGGAAAGCGGCGTGGAAAGATTCGGAAACGGAAGTCTAATTCCGGTGTTGGTGCTGCGGTCTACGAATGACAGCGAGGGCGCTGCGAGGGCGCTGCAGTGCGAGAGGTTGAGCCCTAGGTATCTTTCATTGGATTTGAAGGCGTATATGGAAGAAGCCGGGTTAGTAAGTGCCAAGTGCGAGGACAAGAGATCGAAGTTCTTCATGCTTTCGCGCAAAAGTTGTCCACAGTAGTTTTGCCTGAGCAGATTTCAAACATCAGAAAGTGGATCGTAGCTGAGAAACGGACTGCTGGTGGGCTTCAGTCCGTCTTTATATCATCCTGAACAATGCCCTGTCAACGGTAATATGAGCATCCGAAGGGCGCATTTGCAAGGGCAGCGGAGTCCGGCACGCGCTTCAGCGGCTTCATTCGCTCATAGGGCCCTTTATATTGGGACTCAGCATTCAGTGGCACTATCGTAGTAAACTTAGTGTTTGTCACTTACAAATTGGGTACCTCAAGGTTACACAACATACAATCCATACGTATACACCCTGTATCCACCAATCTTTCAGCTGGTCTCACTGATTTGCGGCAGACACTCTTACGACGTGCTGGAGAGTGGCTGTAGACTCTTCTAGTAAGCTGTGCCTATGGGCCCGGCGATCCTCCAGCTTACGTCTCAGAGCTCTCAGCCGCCAATGGCCGTCAGCGAAGATCGACAACAGCACATATCATAACCCAATAGGCGTCACATGCAACGGTGGGAAACTTGTACAGAACCTCACGGCAAGGCATCTCACACTCACCACTGCTCAATCGAAAAGGGGGGGCTAGTGATCGATATTTTATGTTATGGAATTACCAAAAGGAAACTAGCAGCACAGCGGACACTAATAAAGTCCAGCCAGAGGGGTGGTCAACAGACAGAGACAAAAAGGGGAAAAAGATTTCAACAATGAGGACTCCAATCCACTGTTGCCCCGGCCCTGAGAGAGTATAAGAAAAAGAGAGAACTTTCATCATTTTTAACCTTGTGTCCGCTTGAACATGCCTGGCCTGTACTTTCCATCGCTCGAAGCCTGTGGTGGCGGCAGAGGAGCTTCCCTAGGTTCCTCAGCTTCCCGACCCTCCTGTCGGCCGCGAAGTGCTGGAGGCATGAATTTGCCAGCGATTGTAGGGCTCTGTGTCCGATTCCGATCGCCGCTGTCCCGGAGACTGCCTCTCGCTGCGAAGCGACTGCCTGCTGCTGGCGACTCGTAGCGGCCTCCAACGGCGGGAGACTCATCTCGCGGCTCGCGGCCGCGACCGCTACCTTCTCGAGGACGCCAGCCACCACCTGGTGCGCCAGGCGGGGCGGGGCTGCGGTCCTCGCCACCGCGAAGGGCAGGTGGCACGAAGGCACCGGGCCGCCTCGCTGGTGGTGGCGCTGCTGCTTCTGAGTCGGCGGGAGCCGGAGACTGAGATGAGGATGCTTTCGCAGCCTCACGTTCTCGCCAGGAAGGCTTGTTACCTGACAGCACCAATGGCGGCCGACCAGATGAGCCAATGGCAGGTGGTGCCCGGTCGGAGGGTAGATCGCGTGAAATGGGGCGTTCGGGAGCCAACCCTTTCTTCTTGGCCAAGAGTTTGGCTTCTGCTTCCTCCTCGCGTTGACGTTGGAGAGCTGCTTGCGCGTCGAGATGCCTTGCAGATAATTAGCAACAAAGTTAATGAACGTTTCGCTTTGTGAGTGACGTACTTTCTCTGCTCGTCTCTCTTAGCCTTCTCCTCGGCCATCCGTTGTCGTCTCTCTTCCTCTGCTGCTGCCGCCGCCTCTGCCTCTGCTCGTTCTTTTTCCTCGGCCTCCCTCTCCAACCTCTCCTGTTCTTCCCTCGCCTTCTTCTCTCTTGCTCGTGTCTCTTTGACTTCCTTGACACGTGCAGCCATCTTAGCCTGGAGCTCTTTCTCGGCAGCCTTCCTACGCTTCTCGAACTCGGTTTTCCTCTGCTCGCGTACGTCGTTTATGAATGTCTGGTATACAGGCACAAGACGTGAAAGACGATGTTTGAGCGCGACGTCCTCCCTGTGCTTTTGCTCAGACTCCCTAAGCTCTTCGGCCTTGGCTTTCTCATATGCAGCCTCGTCGCGTTTCTTCTGCTCATCGTAGTCTTTTTGCAGATGCTTGACTTCTTCACGTCGATACGCGCGCTCCAGATGGTCAATACGCTTGCCTGCAATACGAAGCTGTTCGCCGAGAATGTTCTTTTCCTTCTCTAGCGCAGCGAGTTTCATAGCGCGGATGCGAGTGGAGTCGAGCTCAGAGATATCGGTGGGGATGTCGATGTCAACCTTAGTGCCCTTCTTGAGCTCATCGAGTTGCTTTTCAATTTCCGCGCGCTGTACCCGTGCCTGTTCCGCCTGTAGCCTCTTCTTCTCACGCTCGCGCTGTTCTTCAGCAAGACGATTCGTCTCGGCCTCGAGGACTTGCTGGGCGCGGATGCGCTTGCGAGTGGCTTCCTCTTTTTCCTTTGCCGCGAGGGCGTTTGACGCCGCTTCTTTCTTGCGATGAATAATGTCGCGGCGGGCCAAAGTTTCCTGGTGCTCGTGTTCAGCGCCCTCGGCAGTTCGGAGGAGGGCGGCTTCCTTAGCCTTGATACGCTCCTCGTTGAAGGCGGGATCGACATATTGGCAGGTGACATAGAGGGCTTTCGCCAGACGGGTGAGCTGGGAGCGAACGATCTCAGCGGGCGTGCTTTGAAGGCGTTGCACAGAGCTCTTGTCGCTCTCGGCGGAACCAGCGCTAGTTCCGGGATGCATGGCTTTTGCGGAGGAGAAGACATCTGAGTCGAAGGTGAGAATGCCAGCGGCGTGGTCGACGCGAATAGCCAGGTCACCCTTCTTGCAGCCGTTCATGATGAATTTTTCGATCACGCCAGTAGTGACCTGGAATGGATCTGGGAATTGGGCGAGATCAAGAACGAATTGGATCTGCACTGAGTCGTAGACTTGCGAAAGTTGCTGGAACAAGCGGGTAAGAATGACTTGCTGAAGAGGGCCGACATACTTCTTCATCTCCTCATCGGCTCCAATCTTGGCAAGGATGGGGGAAATCTTCTTGCAGATGGAGAGGGGATGGAAGTCAACCTCGAGGATGTTGTACAGCTCCCGAATTTCCTCCCGAGCTCTACTCAACAGACCCTTGCTGAGGGCGTCTTTGAACAAGATGGCACGGGTAGGCGCTTGCGACATGCCAAGTAAGTTGGTGAGACGCGAGTTCTTGTTCTTCCTAGCTTCATCCACGTCGACTAGAGCGCCGCGAGACCGGGAGGTGCTGATGACTGGGATGGACAGGGCAGAAAGCAGAACATACGAGGCGGCTTTCGTCATGTCGGCCTCGGTAACGGAAGGATTGTCCTTCTTCAGGCTTTGTCCAGAGGCTACAGCCGCCGCAGACTGGCGCAGCAGGTTGTAGTACCTGCTCCACGCAGCGGCATGGAAGAGGTAGTTCTCGCTGACGAGGAAAATCCGGGTCAGCTTCTCGAAGTAATTGGCCATCATGATGTTCTTCGCCGGCCGCTTGCTGAGGTTGAGGAGTGTATGAATGTCTTCAACACTTCGGAAAGCCTCTTGCCAGAGCTCAAGCTCGACTGCCACGTTGAGCTGCTGGAAGCGAGTGTCGAGATGGCGCTGGAGGGTATCTGGGTCGCTGAGGTTGATGGCGTGCATCTGCGACGAGAACTTGGCCGCATTCTGGAGATGGTTCCGGAGCAGCTCACACAGACGGCGGAACTCGGTCTTGCGCGCGTACTTGGAGCAGAACTGGAATGCCTGGTGAGCGGTGGTCTGGTACATGATCTCCAGCCGAGCGTTGTTCTTGAAGATGTCCAGCACAGTGCGATATGTCTCCCATAGGAATTTGAGCCATGGCGTCACGATAGCGCGGTCGGTACGGTCTCGAGATTGCTCGCCCGACACGGTGGACAGAAGGATGGATTCGGGGGTTTCTGAGGCTTCCAGGTCGTCGACATTCTGGGCATCGCTGGGCTCCAGGGTGGACTGGATCTCATCGGCCTTGGCCTGGGCCTCGGTGACTTTTGCCTCAGCCAGCGAGATGAATTTTTTGAAAACGAGCTGTGAAAATTTATTGTCAGATGCTGCCTGCCGAATAATGGAGCCGGGGGGTTGCATACCTCGATAGTCCCGACATTCGTGTTCTGCGCTGTGTTCTTGTATTGGTACAGGCCATCCTTTGCGAGCTTGCCCTTCCGGAGGTTGACGCAGAGCTCGACGAACAGCAACATCACCGGCTCGAGAGCGGCGATAGGGCTGCTGCGAGTCCGCTTGGAGACGACATGCTCGTGGAGCAGCGACAAGGCCGCTGAACTCTGGCCGACGCCGATGAGTTCTTGTGCACGTTTCTTGGGCAGTCAGCTAGATGTCCTCCTACGCCTTTCTGGCTTCTGCACGTCGCCGCGAGGGGCTTGCCGCATCCGGCACAGAGACAATCAAAGGAGACTCACGAAGGTATTCTCGGGCTTCGAGCCCGGCGGGGGCGCCATGACTGCGGGAGGAGAGCGCAAGCGCCCGTCTGCTCAGGGTGCAGAAGGCGGAAGCAGCGGGGTGGTGGCGGGTGTGGAGCGGCGTGCGGGCGTGCGGGCGTGGCGGCGATGATGAGGCCGTGGTGTTGAGGTTTGGCAGAGGTCGAATTCAAAACGCCAAGAAGTGCGTAGAGTGCGGCCGTGGGCGGAGTTATTTCGGGAGCACGTGACTCTTCGTCTTCCACCATCCACTTTCCCGCGAACTTTCCCTGCTGCAGCGTGCAGAGAGGCACCGCGCACTCGCCATACTGGAGGGCAGATCAGAGACAGCAACACGCCCGGCCTGCCGGCCTGTGACGCAGCTGCAGCATCGCGCGTCCATCCTCTGGCCGCTGCTCACCGCCAGCCCGGCGCCGCGAATCAGAGGCTCGCCCAAATTGTGCCGTTGCGGTCTGCTTTCGGCCTAGGGCATCGGCGGACAACCTCCTCGTCGGGCTGCTCCTGGTCGTGTTCTCCCCAGCACCTCGACAGCGATTCCACTCCACCCGTCCTCCACCACACGCTCCACTTCCATCACCGGACGGAGGCTCTCCAATTGCCTCAGGCGCTGCCAAAGCCGTCGCTCTCTTTACGGGCGCGCTCCTCCCCGACCAGCCGGCCAGCCTCGCTCCTTCGGGCTGCCTCCCCCTCTCTTCGCTGCAGCGGCCTCACGTCGCACCATCACCGCCTGCCCTCCTCACGTCCGAACCTTCACGCTCTCCCACAATCGACTCATCGCGGCCGTCGCACGCCTTGCGTCCTGATCACAGACCCGCCCGTAGTCCGCTGCCATATCGCGCCTCGCCATGTCTGCACCCTACGAAATCCGCGCTGGTGGAGATGGCAAGAGCAAGAAGCAGAGCATGGCCGAGCTCAAGCTGCGCCGCTTAACAGAGCTGAACGCGAGGCTCAAGGAGGATCTGGACCGCCGCCGGATACCTGTGTCGGAAGCATCCATGGAGTAGGCGACCTGTCCGAGTGCCATAACTACGAAGATCATCGCTAACGGATATCTACAGCCTCATTGCGTTCACGGACAAAGAGCCCAAGGACTGGATGGTGCCATCGCGATGGGGCACAGTACGTATTCTTCCATATCGCGCGCAACACATGGCTGACCTCTTGCCAGATCGACAAGCGCGAAGACCCGTACGCCCCGCAACAATCCAACGGCTGCTGCGTTGTCATGTGAGACGGACAGCGGCGGCGATGGTCAACTGCAACGGCGTTTACGCGATTTCGATTTACTGATGCGAGTTTCTTACCTTTGATGGTCGATAATACCCAGAGCAGTTTCCTGGGCTTTCACTAGGGACATTGTACTTTCCGGGCACTGTAAGATAGGGCAAAAAGTGGTCATGTTGCCTGCCTTCCGGCTCAATGGGAGGCTTCTGTTTTGTGTTCGACGGCATTCAGTGCAATTCTTGGCGGATGGACGATTTGGGTCAACGGTCGGATATCTTGACAGCAATGCATTTCCTCGTGTTATTCCTCACGAGCATCTCCTACACACAGCATCTTGGTGAGGTGACATGTGCGCTGCGTTCAGATTCATGGCATGGCCACCTCTGGCCGCCGTCTGGCACTGACATGGCGAACACCGAGTTGGGGCTGCCTAGCGACCTGGGCGGAGGGCTCGTCGAGAGTCTGCGTCCGGCCGTGCAGCGAAACGAAATTAGGGCTGGAGCGTGCGGCGCAAAGGGCCTTTCTCTGGCAGTGCGCCCACCTGCCTCCGAAGCATGGAGCCTGAAGAGGGGGATACTGTTTACCAGAGGCCATCGCGGTCCTCGTCAAGAGACGAGCAACAGGCACAGATCACAGATGCAGGCGGGTTGACAGGCAGGATAGCGACAGCATCCCGACACAGCGGGCCCTTGCCGACCGTTATGTCGAATCCGTCGCACCGTGTTCGAGCGGGCCGAGTGCTGCCCCTGATTGGAGGCCCTGGCGCGATGGAAGCTCGGCGGGGAAAGGAGATTCGACTGCAGAAGTACCGGCTGCTATAACCGATGGCCACCGCTCACAGCGGCATCGCGCCGTTCCAGCGTGTCAGCTCGGGACGAGGCAGGTGATCATGAAGGCTTCGAGAAGTCTCGGGCGGTGCGAGGGCGACCAGGACGCGATGCCGTGCCGAGTCGCAGTGATTGGCCGCCGACTCTGCCCGAACACCACACGGAGAAAGTGGGAGTGTTATCTAACGCCGTGGGGTCTCCGCCGCCCTCGCAGCCTGCTCCCTGCGAAGGCTGTGTATGGCTGCCCGTACTGCAGCTGCAAGACCCTCCGTATCTGAATCAAATGCGCTCCCGTGCTCCTGTGCTCCTGATAGACGTCTGCCCCGCCACAGCCTCGCGCCGCGACCAACATCGCTATTCAACCACAGCGGCCATGGTGTGGTGACAATCCCAGCGCACCGCGAACTGCCCACTTCGTAAATGAATGGACCGAGAGGGCACCACTGCTAGCTTCCGACGGCCCCACCATCGCAGAAGAAAAGCAAGCCGTCTGGTCGCCGGGGACTGCCCTGCGAACCTCCTCCTCCATCACGACCCATCCAGACACCAAATCATGGAGAACGAGACAGACGCCCCGCCGTGGACGTCCGCCGACCAGTACGACCCCATGTCGGCGCCCTTCAACGACCTGATCGACTTTGGCGAGCTGGATATCGACAACATCAACTTTGGAGATACCGTTTTCGAGCCGGACCACAGCCAGGACGACACCAACCACCAGTCCTCCAACGAACTGGCCGACTCGCTGAAGGCCCAGCATCTTCAGCAGTTCGCCTCGCCTGCATCTCATAGCAATCGCCATGCGCCCCCCAGCGGCCTCGACCAGGCGCAATCCGCCCGTATCGGCAGCGACATGTCCCAGGCGAACGACTTCTACGACTTCAACATGTCGTCTTTTTCCCAGTCCACGCAGGCCCAGGTGTCCTTCTCCGCTGCTCAAGAACCCGCCTTCCATTCGCACACGGGCGTCCCGCCGACCCCAAACAGCGTCGAAATGCATGGCGACGCGGCGCGATATCTCCAGCAGATGGACCCCCAAACGCGCGCGTTTATTGAGCAGCGGTATCAGCTGCGCAAGGAGGAGGTAATACATGATGATGCCAAATTTCGCGACTTTGCTAATCTTTTTGAAGGCTGCTTTCACTCCTCTAGTGTCCCCCGCCGTCACCCCACACGATCTCCGCTATCAGATGCCCGAGTACACGACAGTGCCTGGCTCATACTTCAGTCCGCTCACTTCTCCTGCCTTGAGAGCCCAGAGCCAACAAGAGAGGCATGCATATCAACATAGTCAATACGGGACGTCGGGGAGTTCGGCCGGGACTTCTCCCGTGGATCTCGATGTTGATATGCTGGGAGAAGCAGCGACGTCACAGCCGGATGCCGGCAGACGGCTCAGGAGCAATAAGAAAGCTGGGAACAGGTCAGCCGCTGCATCGGCGCGTGTGCGACAGTCACCTATTGTCAAACCCTCCACCAGGCGAAAAGCCACACTCTCATCTGTCATACCACCCAAGGAGGTCAGTGACCTGTTAGAAGAAGTTCAGAGAACGAAGCAAACGCAGTCAAGCTTTAACACGCTCCCACTACCTCGAAGTCGGGATGCTTCCGAGGCAGAGTCGATTTCCCCGGAGCCGCTGTCAGACATGCGCCCTCCCCCGAGACCTGGTTCAGTCACACATTCCCCCGCCATATCCGCCAAGGGTGGTGACACCTTTTCTCCTATGCACAGCGCAGCACAAGGACTTCATCCTGCCACTCCCGCCTCTCTGATGCGACTTCAGCAATCGCCCGGTTTCTCGCCAAATCTCTCGCATCATCAGGAGATGTCGCCGCTGCTCGAGGAGCTTAGGCTGCCCGAGTCGGCGACATCATCCTCAAGACCATCTCTAAGCCGAATAGAAACTCAGGCTCAGGATGAGGACCAGAGCACGCCACGTCTACCGGCCCGGAAAACGCCGAAGCTGAACCCATTGAGCACTCCTGGAAGCATGTCTCTATCTATGGCTCCGAGTCCGCTGATGAGTGCCATATCGTCTCCCACAAGTCCAGTGTTCGCGGTCAACGGCGCGAGGAGGATCGAAGCAAAAGGACCCCGAAATAGCAAGAAGCGGAATAGCACAAGCTCGGCACTTGTGAGTCCAGCTTTGAGACCGAAGATATCGCCGAGCATCAAGCCTCTTTTACCTGACGGTGGTAAGTTTTGATTCCTTTTGCCTAGAAGCCACTTTATTCTACTATTTCTCCAGACCAACTGACGATTTGCAGCGACCTCGGATGAGACGCACGCACTTCTCCTCGCTTCGAAATCAAACTATCAAAACATCCTCGACGGAACAACTGTTCCTGGTGTCAATTATCCATCCTCGTTGTCGACGAATCTGACATCGAAACGCACCTCTCACAAAATCGCCGAGCAAGGTCGTCGAAACCGCATCAACACAGCACTCCTAGAAATGCAGACTCTCCTTCCGTCTCCTCATATCAAAGCGAAAGATGCAGGCGATTCCAAGAGCTCAGAAAGTAACGGCAGTGGTGGTAGCGTTGGTGTTGTGAAAGCGGCGCCCGCTGTTCAGAGCAACAGCTCCAAGGCCGCGACTGTCGAGACCGCGATTGAGTACATCAGAAAGCTTCAGAAAGCCCAGCAAGAGAAGGAAGAGATAATCAGCAAGAAAGACGAGGAAGTCGAGGCGCTGAGACGCGAACTAGCCAGGCTACGGCGAGGAAGCTCGACCTCGACGCCAAGTCTAGTCGAGGAGCCCAAACAGGAGGCCGACTCCGGGACGGAAATGGTGGATGCCACGTGAACCGCGTAATAATCGTAATTTTTCAGATCATCAAAATCCCACGAGGTACGTCCACGGACGGCAGCAGAATCGGAAAGCAATAATCGGCATGTAAACATGCAAGGATCAGCTGTCACGACCTAAGTATACGGCTGACAAGTCTTTTACCACGCATCATTGATCTCTTCACTATGAGCGAGGGCATTTTACGAACGGCGTACAAAGGCTGCAGCTTCTTCACTGATGCTGTCTTCTGCGCTGATGGAAGGTCACTTCGCGTTTGCAACGTTCCCCATCATCTCAGCTTCTACGATATCATGTTTATCTAGGCAACACATATCTATGCATGTATTATGGCGTTGCAATGCGTTCCTGTAGGCTCAGCGCGTCGGCGAACGGGCTGGCTTGATGTCGCTCTTCCTGTATCTATCTTTGCTCAGGCAGACCTACCTACTAGCCGAAATGGCTTGTAAGAAGTGCAATCAATATCATATCCCCACGTGGCCGCAGGTCTACTGCACAGTATCTGGCTCTATCTCTCACATACCACTCTTCATAGACTCGTGCGTCACTCTTCTATCACACTTCTCCTTCCTCCTTTCTCCGATTCTGCGTGCCCTCGACCCCGCTTGTTTTTCCGCTCCGGCCTCCCCAGCGTCCCCCCGTTCGCCCCCTATTCCACCTTCTCCGCGACTCGCTGTCTCTCCCTCCGATATCGCCCCCTTTGTTTCCTACCCTTCCCTCACCGCCTCGCCATCGCTTTCCGCGTTCCAGACGCTCACAACCAACCATCTCCTCATTCCCCCCCGGACACGCCGCCTCCCATCGGCATCTTCCAGCTCCGCGTAGTGCCCTCGTCACACGGCACATCGTCACACTTCCCCCTTTGAGACCACTCACACCCTCCCCTTCTTCGCTCCTGTACTTTCCGCACCACCCGCCCCCTATTAGCCCACCTCCCCTCCGAGCACGCTCATGCCTCTGTGTGTTACGACTCTTCCCGAGGGCGCGTCCACTAATAGCCCGTGCCGGTGTCGGTATCGGGTGCTTGTGATCGGAGACGCGGGGAATGCGTTGGCTGAGCGTCGGAGGCATGTGAGAGGAGGCGGGGTTGGGGGGAGGTATATAGGGAGGGGGTGGGACGCTGTTTGGAGGAGGGCAGAGAGGGGGAGGCAGAGGCAGAGGCAGAGGTAGAGGCAGAGGCAGAGGCAGAGGCAGAGGCAGAGGGAGAGGGGAGAGGGTGCGAAAAGACTATGCAAACGGAGCGGGCCATGGGTGTGGTGGGTGTGGTGGTGGTTTCGAAATTTGTCTAAGGAGAAGTCATGGTTGGGGGTTGGTTGGTGCGATCAACGTCGGGTTTACGAAGCACCTTATGGGTTCGTCGGGGAGAGCAGTTGAAAGAGCACAAACTACGGCTGAATGGACCTGGTCTCCGCGGCTTGGAGTCGACCTGTATGTGGGGAAGGCGTTCATGGCTGGGGAGGTGGGGTGGGGGTGGTGTGCGGTCCGGACTCAGCGACGAGTTCCAAAACAGACGTTGCAACAGATGATGTTGTGTGGTGTGCGTCCAAATCGCAGCTTGCACGGAGAAATGGCTTGGTGGACTCGGTCGCTGGCTACAAACTGCATCTGGCCCTGCTGCCATGGGCTGTTGTCGTTTTGTTTGGAAGGCGTTCGATGCAGCAGTGGGATGAAGATCGAGATGCCAGAGTGGGCTATGGCCGGCTTCTTCCCGACTCTTTCAACAACTGGCACGAATGCCATCTATGATGGCGTTGCCGGGGATCAATTCTCTCCATGTCACACTTACTATGGCGTCTGTATCATAAAAGCCGAGCTATTCGACGGTGTTCTGGATCCGGAAAGAAAGGTCGCAAGAGCTATGGGTTGTTCAGTTCAACTGCCATTATGAGCACAGTCGATGGACCCTCCCTCTTTCTCGTCAATCAACTTATCCATTTCGAGGATCCATGGAGCGGCGCTGCTCTCGTTCCTTCCAGTTATATGTTATATCAAAACTTCACTCACTATTTCGAAATATGGGCGTCTGGTGCCACAAATACCAGCATAGTTGACACTGCATGGGCATCTGCTTCTCCATGTGCCAATGAAAGCGCGAATGGAGCTTTCTTTGAGTTGGGAATCAGATCCTAGAGTGCGCGATTTTGCTATGGAGAAGTCCTCCTGCGGTTCGCTTGGAGTATATCAATTTCCATCTTTCGATGACTCCATGGCCGGTGTCATAAAACGGAGTTTGGGAGCAGCGATGAGTGCCTGTGCATTCACCGACGTATGCTAACCAGATGCATGGAATTCTTTTCCTGTCTCGTCAATCAAAGCAAAACACTAGAAGGTTCTATGGAGTGATCCTCTGGCCCTTTCGGGACATATCAAACTACGCCGCAGATCACCTTATGTCGGTTGCGATAATAATGTGACTCAACTCAACATGGGCAGCTGTCCGCCCCCGTTCGAACCCCATCTGTGGATGGAGTCATGGAGAGTGTTCTCCTTCCCATCGATCAACAGTGAGCATGGGGAAGAATGTGGTGGAGTGGTGCTCTTGCAGTTCTCCAGGGGCCAGTCAACATGGGCCAACGATTTGATCTATGTGCGGTGCTATAACCTTCCAATACCTGCCGATATGAGGTAGCTTTTCGTCCACCTTCCGTTGATCAAAATCCCAGACCAATGGAGCCTATGGCAGTGTGGTGCTCCCGTGGCTTCTTGCAGGGCGTGTCAAGCCTACTTCTCAACGAGCATCCTGTACCTCGATGCCCGATACCAAAACAATCACAAGCATCCTGAAATGGGAACCTGGCTGTTCACCATCCTCTCGATTTCTGAGTAATGGAGGCTTTTTCCGTGTCGTCAAATAAGACCTTCTAACTTCCAATGGCAGAGCGGTGCTCCTGCGGTTGTTTCGAGATTCGCGGTGCATCCATATCATGCTTGGCCGCTCGATATGTCGGGCTTCAAAACAATCGGAAGGGCCCTACGATGTAGTATCTTTTCCTTCGCCACCTCAATGAATCCGATGTGATAGAGGCTTTTTCTGTGTCTAGAAAGGGCTGTGCAGAGATCCAATGGGAGAGCGGTGTCTCTGCCGTTGTTTCGGGGCGTATCAAGTATCTTGATTCACCAGTTGACGATGTCGGCATCAAGATCCTTGTAGAAAACCTACGACGGAGTAGCTTTTGTTTCACCATCTCACCGAGCTCAGCATGATGGACCTCTTTCCTGCGTCGATAAAAAGACGTGAAAAGGGGCCACTATGGCAGAGCGGTGCTCCTGTCGTTCTCCCGGGGCGTGTCAAAATTAACCTCCAAACGCACGATGTCTCGTACCGTGTTGACACACCTTATAGCAGCCTGTCATGGGAAAACTGGCGGCTTGCCGTCGTGTTCATCGTCGTGCATACAACGCTTCAATGTCTCGTCAGTCAATAGACTGGAAAAAGGAAAAGCATGCTGCTGCGGCTCTTTTGGGCCGGATCAAAACCAGCTCTCATTATTTACCATGTCTGGTCCCGTTCTACCAAAGAGAATTCCGCAGATCCCATATGTGGAGCTGGTCGTTCGCTTTGCCAATATCGGCATCGAGCTCAGAGTACCTCTATGAAGCCTTGTGCTGCTCGTCGAAAAAAAAAAAAAAAAAAAAAACTGCCGGCTGTGGTCCCGATGACCAGAGCGCCGCTTCTGCAGCTCTTTCGGGTATATCAAAATGAGTACGATGACACAGAATGTCCGGTGGCGAAATACTTGAAGATAACGGACCGTGGTGAGCTTTCCGTCGACCACCGGATCCGTCTCTATCCAAGACACCTCATTATGTCTCGTCGGTCAACAAACTCCGGGCAGCAAATATATTACGCTGCTACAATTCTTTCGGGGTGTATCAAGACTTCTCAACATTTTCGTAATGCTGGCACCGGATATCATGATCACAACTTCTTTGAGAAGCTGTACGTCCATCATCCAACAGCTACACGGGAGTAGACGATGGGATCTTCTGTCCCGCCAGCCGGTAAGCTCGTCGCACAACATACTATCATGCTGCAGCTCTTTTATGCAGTATCAAGAACAAGGCAGTGTCCTTGGCGATGCTTGGTGGTGGATCAAATTCTCAGATACTCGTACCTCATGACTGAGCTGGAGGAGTGGAGTGTTGTCAAACCTCTAAGCGGACAGCCACATGGGCTGGAGAGGGACGTGTTGGTGGTTCAAAACATCCTGTTGGCCAATCTTATGGCTTGGGGGTCCCATTATGCAACTCTGCAGACGTTTAACGGGCCGCTGGCTGTCCATCTTCCGAAGCCGGAGATCCACGGATCTATTGGCTGTCTCGTCGATTAAAAGACGCTAGACAAGAGAAGATGATGAAGCGGTCCTCCTGTCGTCTTTCTGGGGAGTATGAAGACTTCCATCAAATCTGCGGCATGGGTACCAGTCTGCCATTGCGAGATGTTGTAGGGGAGCTGTTGGTCCAGAGAGGCAGTACTCATGCTGTATGGGTCTTTTTCTCTGCCTTCAATCAAAAGTATTGAATCCCGAGTGCCATGGTGGGGGGTACTCCCGTAGTCTTATTAGGGAGTATGAAGACTTGCGATCATCTTTTTCCATGCCCGGTACCATCTTGGCACCTCAAAATGTTGTATGGAAAGCCATTTTTTTCCAAATGCGCGTAGGATAACTCACTATGGGTCTTTTGCTGTGTCTTCGTTCAGCCTAGTTGACTAATTGAGGCACTTTTGATGATGGAGCGGTGCCTCTGGGTTCTCGGGGGTGTATCAATATAGACCACCGGAGACATCGATGGTGTGTAGTCCCCGGCGCTTGCAACACATTCGCAAAGACGACGCAAAGCAAGTTCATGGCTTGGGTTGATGGCCCAGCATTTCAATTGTTCGCTGCTGCGACCGATACGTTGATCGTACGATGGCGGTGGACTCTTGAAAGTTCTTCGCGAACTACTTGATGGAAGAAGGAAGAGGAAAACAAATATTACCAGCTTCAGCATGGCAGTGCAAGCTATCCCTTGACATGTAGGCGCCGCATCAGAAATCGGAGACTCCGTCTAGAGGGGGAATGGTGTAGCATACCATATATGGGTCCCAGCTCCCGCCGCGGGAGATGATTTCGGATCCAGTAGTCCCACCCAAAAACGCCGGCTTCGAAAAGGCGAGAACGCCCATAGGTATGCGGCAGCTTGGGCGGCAAGAACGCCTAACGTTGTGTTGCCAACTCGTAGTACCCCAGGGCTAGTTCGACCAATCTTAATCGTCGTTGATGAGCAGAACCCCAGGAAGCAAGATCGCTATGATGTTGTCAGTAAAAAAACTACTCTTCTTACGACTAAATGCCTTTGGGAGTAAGATGCGGATGATTCGGGGATGATGACCCGGCGGTCGCGCTGTGTCGGGAACGAGAAAGTTGCTTCGGGATGAGCAAGGGTATTGTCAACGACCAAATACCTGCCATATGACTAGAAGTTTCAAGGGCTCTAGACTGGTGAATGATGAGTGCGTTGCCGGAAGTCGTTGCTCGATTCAAGCCTAGGAGGGATTGTATGAACATGTTCTGCGTTCCTATCGATACTCCTCATGATGTTGCTATGATGGCAGAGTAGTTCAGAAAAGCTGGATCTTGCGGTCAACACATCATCGCTTTCAGTAAAGACATGGCTTGGAAGTAAGCCGGGCGTGAATTCCTAAGTTATCGATCTTCAAAAGAGCTATATGACCGCTAAATGGTGCCTAGTGATTGTGCAAAAACTACAGCGTCATCTTTTCATATGTTTCTTGGAGATCTTTTTCCCAGCGCTCAGTTTCACACCGGTACTAAAATCAGACTGTCGAACTGTCGATGATTCAACTCTGCCCAACTGGTCACGCCATGACTTCGGAGAAGGAGGTGTATCGAAATTTCTCAATGTCATCATCGGTATGCCACATCCTCTGGCTTTGAGATAACAGACGCCGCACATACATTCAACATGGAGCTAGTTAGCAAAAGAGTTTGGGTTTGGCTATGTGCAAGTAACAAGCGGATCAGTGCCATCAACGAGTGCGTCAAAACGATTTGATGCGAGCTGAGGTTGTCAAAGTCCTCTGTTAGTCGCATTCTATGGCTTCGGCGCCCTCTCTCATTCACAAGGACAGATTTGGGATCAATGTTTGGGCCGCTCTGTCGGGACCGCATTTCCAACTGCCAACAATGCTAGCTGAGCTCGTTTTATGTGTTTGCTGGCGGAGAAACATATTACGAGTGGGAAAGACAATATGTGGCACAGTCGTTGGCCCGATCGACTATTATTGCGATGACTAAAAAGCGTTGCTTTCAACTTCTTCCATGGTACCATCCGTGTTAGCCGTTCACCTCATGAGAAAATCAGCCAGGGTCGCTCAGTCATGACGATGCAGCACTTCGGAACATGAAAACCTCGCGCAGTTGGATCCTGATGATCCTTGAAGATAGCGTCGAAAAATGTGTCCAAAATACAGGCTATGCAGTGAGATACCCGCAGACAGACTCAAATGGCTGCGGAGGTAGTGCGGGATACGAAACAACTGTACGCTGTGTACACGGTCCTTACTATGCAGGACTGAGAAAAACCTTGGACGGCAAATGGACGATGACTGGGCAGCTTGCGGTCAAAATACTCACGGTAGCATAACACGAGTGACCGAGCTAGTAAAACGTTCGAGTGTATCGTCAAATGTCGAACTGGTGAATGCGCGCCTCTTATTCGCAACTGTAGTGTCCGGTAAAGCGGACTAAGCATGACAAGCTGAGCGGTGAATCAGGAAACATTTGGATCCATGGAGAGGACCTCGATATCAAAGAAACGTATATGGTTGGACAAAAGATATTTCGAAGTTGCTCGATGTGGAAACTAGGAGAGTGGTGAAAACCTTGAATAGCGTCGTCTGGCAAAGATATCCTGCCTTCCATGCTAGATCAGACTTCAGAAGACCCTCATGTCCACACTCTTGGATAGAAACTCTTTGAGGATGAGGTCGAAAAATCTGGTGTCTAAGACCTCATGGCTGCTGCAATCCTGGACCACCAAATTCGCATATGGTGGTAAGACTAAGCTACTGGTTCAAATCCGTTCATAAAAACTCTTCAGCTTCAACTATGAAAGGTCTTGTGGACTGTCTCTTATTATCAGCATGCGGCCATCAAGACACCATGACCGACCAGAAAAGCACCTACAGAAGTCTGCGCTATCTAAGAATAAAAACGAGGATGGTAGGGGTGCTATGTTGGTGCGTACACAGCAAAGACGCCTTGAACCACCCGGCCAAATCAAGAAAACGTTCAGGACCTTCATGTGCAATTGAGGTAGCATCTTTCCGCCACAGGCTGGCGACAAGAACATGCGCTAAGAGCATGGGAAAAAAAATTCAATTCCCATCAAAGCCTCATGGAACAGCGGTCCAATCATGGGCATGCGTGCCTTTTATGCGGAGAAGGCGTTTACATCACACCAGAACATGTCTGCAAGAACCTGTATGCTGCAAATAATACTCACGACAACCGCATGAAGGCAGTAAGTCATGGGCAACTTATAATCGTACTGCTGGTCTTTCTATGGAACTCAAATACTATTTCTCCAGAGTCACGTGATATCACGTGTCGTTCTCCGCTTCCTTTCCTATTGAGTCTACAACGACTGAACGACATACCACCGAACACAATGCCCAAACACTTGCGTCTACGTCTAAAACCTCTATATTTAAGTCCACAATGAAACCTGCTCCCTCCGCCCAGCCTTTCTTTCTGCAATAGATCTCGAAGGTGTGGGAGTCAAGAGCCGGACGCAACTTTCCCGATGGGGAGGACTTGGAGATCGTTCTCCAGGTATCGGACGGAGGTTGGCATGGAGAGTGTTCAGAAATAGTCTTGGCCCTCACCTCATGGGTGCTGGGCTTGTGGTGGAGCAACATGAGTAACCTAATCAGATAATGGAGCGCGGAAGTTCACCCCTCGCCCAACCTTCCTTCTACAACGAACCTTGAGGACGAGGGAGTCAAGAAGTCGGGAGCAACTACCCATGGGGAGCATTTGGAGATCGTTCTTCAAAATGAAAAGCGGGGCTTCCATGGAGAGTGATCAAAGCGGTCCCAGTCACTCCTCCATGGAGCTGGGCTTGTGGTGGAGTAAAAGCTCGCATCAATTCCTATGATGGAGCGCGGAAGTTTTGGGAGTCTTCTACACGCTTGATGCTTACCATCACCAAGCCCTGATGATACTTGCTAACCCTTGCTGTCTATGGACATGAATGCCGTACTGACCACCTCCTCCCCCTAACCGACAATGATAGATGACCACCACCCCAACCTCCACCTCTTTCTGACCATCAGCACCCCCCACTCCTTCCCCTCCTCCGCCCTCTCCATGTGCATGTAGGACCTCCTCTTTCGCACATCTCTCTCCTCCTTCCTCTCCATGATAATGTTTGGCGTGTCAGTTTGCACCCTCTCCCTCCCCCCTCCTCCCACCATCATCTTCTTTCGATGGACTTGTTGATCCCTCCTCCACTCCATCAAATCTTTGGCGATGTCGTTTTGCAACCCACCACCCCTCGCCCATGGGCTTGTGGCTAGATGGGCTTCATCCTCCCCTCATCCCGCCCTTCCCTGGAAGAAAGAAGAAGAAGAAGAAGAAGAGAAGACGCTATGCACGAGGAGATTATATACCTCCCAGAAAAGGAAGAAAGTATGGAGGGCACGTGGAAGGCACGTGACATTAAAGTATCCACGTGATCTATGAAAAAGAAAGGTTTGGGATGATGACGTGAGGGCGGTGGGTCAAAGAACGTAGAAAAGTAGAATAGAAATCGCAAGATAGAAAAGCCATTGTGCATACATAGTACTTCGTAGCATAATTACACAATCTCATCTCATTTTTAACTACATCTCTAACCCCCCCCCCCCACGCTTATGGACTATCATCCACATCAACCACTCGCAGGTATCACAAACCCCCCTTCCCTCCCTATTCCCTACTCCCCCTACCCTACTAATAGACATCCACAAAGGCAGCCATAGCCATAGCCAAAGCGTAAAGAAAAAAAGAAGAAAGAGGTATATCATAGGAAGGGTAAAAACACAAGGAACCAAGCATCCAACAGGAATGTCGCAGAAACTAGGAAAAAGGAGGTGCCCAACCCGTTGAGTCTTCACTCATCCATTTTTCTCCATCCCAATCTCCCATTTCCCAATTCGTCAGGGGTAGAGAATAAACAAGGAAAAAGTCCGTTTTTGCAGTCGCCGTCCCCCGTCCCCCGTCCGCCTAACCCACCCACCCATTACACCTTCGCACTCAGCCGCCTACCCGTCAACCGCCTAGTCGTCAACCGCCTCGTAGTCAACCGCCGCCGAGTCAACCGCCCTGCAACACACACACAAAGTCAACAAAACACACATTTTCAATCTCAACCCTGCGGTGTTGCACTCCTCTCCCGACTATCCCGCTTACTCATGAACCGCTTGCTCAGCCGCGGGCTCGCGCCGCCCGCGATACTCCCCACATCCGCGGGTTGGAAGCTGCTGCGCACAACCACCTTGCCCGCGCCCACCGCCACCGCCTTCTCGCTGCCGCTGCCCTGGTCGTCGACGAAGAAGGGCGCCTCCCCGAGCTCGTCGTCCGCGCCGAACGTGGCGTGGTTCTTGACGAGCAGCTTGAACTGCGCATCCGCTGTGCACGGCACCTTGACCGTCTCGCCGTCGAAGTCGACGTTGCCCTCGGGCGCTTTGATGTGCTTGGTCTTGTGCACGACCTTGCTGCCCTTGGCGCCCTCGTGCTTGATGTGCACGATGACGTTAGTGCCGGCGGGATAGCCCGAGGCAGAGAGGACGCTGAGGGAGGCGACGCCCTGCTCAGCGCCGCCGCCTGTCGGAGAGCCGAGGTGCGAGGAGATGCTCTGCGCGCCCCAGCTTTTGTCGCGGCGGTGGCTCGAATTCGGCGTGCCGTCGCTGTTCTCGATGCTGATAGCGGGCGGGCCGTCTACGGAGCCGTTGGGTGTGCCCAGGCGTTCGGGCTCGTCGTGCTCGACGCTGGTAGACTTGCGGCGGCGGAAGCCCCGGCCGATGAAGGAGGCGCCCTTTGCGACTCCGCCGCCGACGAGCGTAGCGCCCTTGCCGATACCCTTGACGGGAGCGCCGATGACTTTGCCGGGTGCTGCGAAGGTTCCGGAGAAGGTGGAGGAGCCCTGGCGAGAGCGGAGGACGTAGTCGGGCTTGAAGAGCATCTTGAGTCGGATGGCGCCAGACTCACCGTCTAAGCCCAGTGTGACTTCTTGCGCCATGAAGGGCTCTAAAATCTCGAGGTTGATGGCAGCCTTGCCAAGTAAGTCCGCCTTGTCGCCGAAATCCCAGTCGTACACTACAACCTCGAAGTTTGCTGCTGTACGAGATCGGACCGGAACCTCAAAGAATTCGTTCCACGCAGGGTGCAGGGTCTTCTTCTGTGTCTTGGTCTTGTACACTTCCTTTCCGTTGAGATTGAACTTGCAATAAGGGTCACTGTAGCCGTTGCGGTCCGCAGCGGGTAGATCTGCAGCATCCAAAACATCGATACGGAGGGTACCTGAATTATTGAAGCTCTCGCTGGGGTCCAGGCTCATCTTGATGGGAAGATACTTCAAGCTAACGGTGATCTTGCTCTCCCGCCCGTCGTGGTCTTTCAACGTAAGTTGAGTAGGTGTGTACTGCCAAAAATTAGTCTAGCTCAGAGTTATCGATGCGATGGCTGCAAAGCTCACCAAACAGCGCCTAAGCGTGTCCAGCGTAGAACCTGTCAATTTAGAAATGATGTGATCTTCAGCACCTTCACCTTTCTTATCAAGGTGCTCCATGAGACGAAGAGTAATCTTGGAGAAGTCAAGCTCTCGGACCATTGCATCACCAACTACAAGAAACATGTCAGCGTTTGAGCGAATCCCAATCGAGCGAGACTTGGTACCTTCGTTAAAAGTGTGATTCTTGGAACGGATCTTGCTCGACTGGTACGACGGGAACAGCATATCATCCATAAGCACCTGGACATAACAGTCCTTCGCCGCGAACTCGCCATCGATGAGTTTGAAGACGATGAGACCAGATTCTGAAACGTTAGCTGATTATTTCGGGATATACACGGACCAATGAGATACAGACTATGCTCACCGTACTGCGACAACGTCTCCGCATTTAGCCTGAGCTTCGCGATCTCTTTCTTCACTGGCACAATATCTTGTTCAGCTTCGGCCTTGTCCAATGACTTCGCAAGATCAGTCTCACTGCTTGCAGGGGTAGTCTTCTTCAAAGAAGAAATGGTCCCAACAGTAGAGCTTCGATCAAGTTTCGTCTTCTTCTCTTCCAGACTCGCGCCATCAACGCTCGGCTTGCCAGATATAGCCGTGCCTGGACGAGACGCTTCGGCGCTCTTGCGAGCCGCCTGTTCCTCTTCGTCATCCGGATCGACGGTAGGATATGTGGGGTAGAAGGAGCAGGTGTAGTTCAGAGTGCCCTTTGGCTGAGCTCGTGGCCCAGTGCGCAGACCATCAGACCTCAAAGACTTCTGCTCGTTTACAAGATACTGGCCATCCTCGTCTTGGCGAATATAGTCAGCAGCAGCGAGTTCAATGTGACCCAAAGACCGATCCTTTCCAAGATTCTCCTCGTCCATGACCTCGAGGAGCAGCTTCTCGCGTGTAGAATGCATCGGGACGTAGATGACTTCGTCCCAGTCTGGATTGAGGTTGTTCTTGAAGGTAACCGTTCGGCCCTTTTCAATTCCAGATAGAAGAACCCGAACATATGGATCGGATTTACCCATGGTTTCCACATTGCGAAGATTTCGGGCATTCTGGAAGTGAAGGCGTAAGACACCGATAGGAGTGACATAACCACCTGATCCGCCAACCGCTCCCTTCATGGCTACCGGCTTCCATTGCAGAGTCATCTTCGCCCGACCTGTCTTCACGCCAGCAAGGTTGTACCATTCGTGGCCTTTCGCCATGAGATCCAGCATGTCGTCGAGACCGATCTGAGCCTTGCCGACTTCAGGGTCAGCTGCAATGTCGCGGTCGTCTTTGATGACGAGACCAAGCTTGGCCTTCTTCCGATCGGTGATGAGAATTTCGATAGAGCCATCCGGCCAAATTGGGTTGTTGGTCCGCTTGAGCTTCTTTGACGTGTGAATCAGCTTTCCGTTAAGAATCAATTCCGCGTACGGGTTCAGCTGGCCAATCAAGCTCTTGCTGCCATCGAGTTCTTTGGCTTGCTCAACGGTGAAACGGGCAATTCCAGTTGCAGACTCTGGCGGAGGCTCTTCAGTGCCGTCTTCCAATTTCATACCCTCGAGAACGGGGAAGAATCGAATATCGCATTGGACAATGCCACGAGCTCGACCGTTAGCCATGACTTCGAGGGCCTGGTTTTCATGCTCTGTAACAGTCTCGAGCGCTTCCAACGCAAAAGTGGCAGTTCCTAGCTCCTTATCTTTGCGGTACTCATTGTAGTCGTATAGCTGAATGGTAAGAGCATCTTTGAGTGACGTAATGATAACATTGACAGTTTCATTCCAGCGGGGGTTGGCATTCTCATGAACTGTCTTCGTCCTGCCAAGCTCTGTTCTTGAGTTGATCGAGACAACGGCGTAAGGGTCAGGGGTACCAGAAAACTTGTCGGGGTTCTTCAAGCCTTGAGCGCCATGGAAAGTGATCTGGAGAACGCCAATCGCTTGGTCGACAGGGTTGCCGGCAAGCATCTTCGCAATTTCGATGGGGAACACATTGGGATCGTACATCATCGGGCCAAGATTGGCGTGGATCTGCTCCGCAATGAAGCTCTCTAGACCTGGAATGAAGTTGATGTCGAATCCGAAAGTCTCACCGCCGAGCGGTTTGCAGACATAATCGATGGTAGGGCGTTCCAGGAAGGAGATCTCAACCTTTTCGACGTGAGGGAATGGGATTTGAAGCTTGAACTTTACTCTCATGAGGCCCGAGAATGCCATATCTTCGACAATAACATCCAAACCTTTGCTTACTAGACCCTTGCCAACCCGGATCTCGAGAACAATCTTGGGGTTGATCTTGTTCTTAATTTGGCGAGAGGTGAGATCGGCGTGGTCCTTGGGCGTAAAGCTGAATTTCCAGTCCATTAACACGATATCGTCCTGGGCTTTGGGGTATGTCTTGACGTGCTCAAGTCTCGGAGGCTTGGTCCCAAGAACGAATTGCTTCATTCTCAAGCTGTCCAGGAAGGCCGGAGTAGAGGTGGACAAAACCTGGTCGACGGACGCGACAATGGTGTCGCACAGGACTGGGGCATAGATGGGCCAGAACTTGACCAGGAAGCTGTTTATCCACTCCAAGCTCTCGGTGTCGGTCTCCAGCTTGTTCTTGGCCATCTCGCGATTGACGTCGTCCCGGAAGTTGCGACGAACCCGGCGGATGGAAGTCCGATAGTAGGTTCCGCAGATGGCCATGATCAGGAAGACCCATCCCAGTCCCCCGCCGAGGACCGCGACAACCCATGAGGACAGACAGGCAAATATAATGACTCCCGTGTTATGATACCAGTCTAGAATGCTCGTCAGTTGCAGATTCGACGACACCAAAACTGGGCAATGCGCTCACCTCCAAAGAATTTGTCTTCGAGCTTTCCTTCCAGCCAGGTCTGGTGGTCTAGCATGGTGCCCTCCTCATCGTCCCCGTTATCAAGGTCGCCAAACCGGGGGGCCCAACCCACGCGTTCCCAGCGAGCAGAATCGTCGTCTGGCAGATGTCCGTTGGCATGTCCGTTGGCAATAGGCTTGTCGTCCGTGATCGCAGCAGCCTTGGAGGCTGGAGGAAGGTCGAACTCAGAAGGCTTGCCGTCGTCCTAGTGAAGCAATTAGCAAACAAACCCAAGACCAGAGCTGGAGGTACCTACAACATCAGAAACCAAGGCAGTGGCCTTTGGGTTGCGTTCGTGGTGGAATCCAGGCGGCACGTGCTGGGAGGAGTGTATCAGCATAGCTCTCGAAAATAAGCAATGATGGGGTGGAGCCCACAGATTTGAGTTGGGCGGCCTTCTCTTCAGGCGAGGCGTCTGGATTGAACTGGAACGCCGCAGAGCCGCCCTTCCTTGCCTCTTCCAGCACCGCGTTCTCTGCAGCTTGCGCCGTGACGATGGAGTCGGGGTCCTGGGCAGCTTCCAAGGCGCCCTGCTGCTTGAGCTCGGACGCGTCTCTGGAAGTCATTGTTCAGTAGGGCGGAGGAGAGAGGGCGGAGGAGAGAGGGCGGGAGGTAATTGGCGGGGCCCGAGGGGAGGAGAGGTGAGGGGGTGGGAGGAGCGGCGCCGTGAGAGTCGTGGTGGAGAGGTGGAGACTGAGGTTGTTGCGCGGTTAATGCTGGCGGACCTCAGCCCGTAGAGCTATGAGGTTAGTGCTGGCAGGCCGGGCGGTCTAATGCGGACCCTGTGAGGGGCTGACGCGGCGAAGTGGCTGGAGCAATGCAATAAGGCTGGCCTGGGCGGACGAGGGCAAAAGGAATGGCAGCGCAGGCGGGCGAGAGGCAATCCGGGCGGGCGACGAGGACGATGCCAGCTGGAGTGATGTGGTCGTGTTTGGCCAGTGCTCCATGAATGACGAAGCTCCAGCTGGAAACGGCAACCTTGGAACCTCGCCCAACCAGCCTTGTCTGGCCCCGGCGACGATCACAGGGAAGCAATTGCAATCCAGTCCTCGAAAGCCACGGATTGATACCCGGATCCGACCCTGGCACCTGGGCAGCCGTTTCTTACGCTTATGCCACTGTCCCGGGTTCTTTATGGTGCTATCAGCCATTCACGCGATATATAAAAGCTGCAACCTGCTAATCAACCCGTCTTTCGAACAATTTGGATCCACTGGCTCTAATTTGGGCGCTCGCCGCACTGCAAAGGTACTGGCGCAAGCGTGCACAGACAACGTCCTAGTCCGCATCTGCGCCTTTGTCAGGTGTTTGGGTGCAGCGCATAGCATGACTCTCCGGATGCGTCCATTGCTCTCATTGTACATATTGCCAGACCGTATCAGTCCTAAACGAAAGGTACCTTCCTACAAGCCATCCTCAGGCCTCATCGGGATTCTCCACAGTCCTCTCTCATCAAGGCCGTAAAAATATGTACTTTCCAGCTCCCACGGCGGAGCAGATCTAGTTGCATGCAGATATGCACGCTTGCTTCGTGACCAGCGCCAGAAAACCAATGCCGTTGCTCAAACCCACGCCCCTCCCCACTGCTAACCCAGATCGCATCGAAAAAACAAGCCGCCCATGCAAGCCAGTCACAACATCCGCGCGAGATCGCCTTCTATCGCCAGGGCGCATCCACCGGGTATCTGCGCCCTCCCACCCCGTCCACCGGCGTCACGTACCGATGCTGCACCCTCCTATCTCCCCTCTCGCGGTCCCGGTCTCGGTCTCGATCGCGCTCCCGATCGCGCTCCTGTTCTCGAGACGGCCGCGATGTGCGGGGCGTGTACTCATATGGCTCCCGTATTACAGGGGGCTCTTCCTTTCGCGGGCTCGACTGTGCCGAATATCGCACGTTGTGGCGCGGGTAGCTCGGCCGCGCGGGCATTTCCGGTCGGCGATCGTAGTATTTATGCGCCTGGAGGTTCGCAACGTGCGTCGCGAAGATGGGTGCCTTGGTAGGTCCATAGCCTGATGGTTCGGGCGAGTATCGGTTGTCGTGCGAGTATCGCCGTGGCTGCTCCACATATGGAGGGAAGTATTCCCGTGGACTCGGGGGTGGCTCGTGGCTGCGCCGGTGCTTCAGCACTGGGCTCTCGGGATGGCTTGGACGGCTGCCCCTATCCGACTCTGAGTCGGTAGATGATAGGCTGCTTTCTCTTCGCTGCACATGAGGCCTCTTGGGCGGGTAGCGAGGCCCAGAAGCTTGCGTCGTCGTAGGCGTAACGTCGTCGTCAAACACCTCTCCATGTCGATCCGGGAGACTACGCCGTCTGGTGAATGGACTCCAGAAGTGGCGCACACTATTGGCAACGTGCCGCCCACGATCCTCTACAAATTGTCGCGGTGAGCGTGGAGGTGGTTGGCGGGAGTACGTGTGAATGATTGTCGGCCTGCCCCGGCGATTGCGGTACAGAGGATCTCTGAAATAGGCCTCCGCGCCATGTCGCTCATCTGCAGAGCTGTCTGCCGACGAGTCGCCGGTCACTCGGGGGTCGTCGACGTCGACGTCAGCCCTTCTAGCATCTCCCCTCTGTTCCTCTGCCTCTGCTTCCTTTCGCAACCGGTCTGCCACCCCCTCATACCATTGTACCATGGCAGGGTCCGGCTTCTCCGGGAAGCTCTCCTTGGGGAGGAGCTTAGGAAAGGGTTTGCCATCTGCGGGGTCTATGATATCAAAGTCGAGGACAGCTTTTTGTAGGAAGGGGACGTGTTCCTCGGGGCACAGCAGGAGCTGGATCGTCTGCCATGTTATGAAGCCTTTGATCTTGAGGGCGGGTATTGTGGGAGAGTCGTAGCCGTCGTCGGTTGGGCTTGGCTGGAGTGAATGGAGGCATCCGAGCGACTTGTATATGAAAGCGATCGAGGAAGGTGGTGTTTCTGCGAATAATACGTCATAGTGCCCCCCGACGGCTCTGTAGAACGCCGCAAGCTGTGCCGGCGTTAGATCATGACTGTCGGACGGCTCAAAGTGTGTAGACTACGATGGGGATATCATGTCAGCTTCAAGTGCAATCGCATCGTGTCAAGGGGTGGAGTCGGAGCGTGTCCGTACAATGAAGTTCGCTGTGCCTTCCAGCAGCCTGTTGAACAGGTCTGTACCGCATTTGTCGGGCTTGAGCAGGTAGCCCCAATACTGCTGGGCTTCTTTGTTCGGCGCATCTGACGGCTCAGTCGTCATCTTGCATCTGCGGTCCGGAGGTGAGGAAGAGAAGGGCGAGTGCGTGCGTGGGGAGCGGTGGGCGATGGGGTGAGGGCGTGCCGGCTAGGAATGTGGTCATGGAAGCTCGCACGGTCGAGTCCTGGGATGCATAGCAGAGGCGGCAGCGCATACATATATCAGTCGGGATGGCTGGAAGACTAAGCCCCCGAGTTTGCTCAGCTGTGCCTGTAATCCGGGTTCAGGAGGTGGTGTTGCACCAGGATTACCAGGCATCATGAAGTTGGAACCAAGGACAGGACAGCATATTGCGCCACATCTGCACCGCCTCAACATATCAGTTGCCCTTTGGAGTAGATAGCGGCGAGGCAGCCGTCCTCAAACGCCCATCCTCCGTCTGCCCATCTCCGATTGCTATTGCGTTATTGTCAGGTGACGTCTCCATGGTAGGTGCTTGACTTCAGATCACGAGAGATCAACATGGGTTTTCCACGATCTTCGGGATGCGTCTTCTTCCTCTGTGTTTAGGCTTGCGGCATCTGAATCACGACGTGGGGGTAATGCTTAAACGTGATTATTACATAGTGGGTGAAAAGTCTGGATGAATAACCATTATCGATCTAGTCTAATTTCCATTTCGTGGATTGAAGGTGCACAATGTAAACATGTCGATGAAGTCTATGAACATATGCTAGGCTAAAGGACATCTGACTTGGATATCATCTACTCGTTTTCCAAAGTCGAGCATTGGAAGACAGTCCAAGATCTGGCTCTCCGACTACTCCTCGTCCTCCTCATCTTGATCCTCCTCTTCATTGTCTTCTTCGTCTGCATCAGGTTCCACTTTCATCTTCGCACCTCGCATAATCCGTCCAAGTTGCACATCAGGCCGAGCTACAAACCGACACCCATCTCCGTACGCAATAATTCCAACATTAATTGCTTCCATCAAGAACATGATCGCTGTGCGACTGTCGTTGAACTCATTGTACGAGACACATGCTGCCTTCTGCAGTCTACATTCCGTCTCTCATATTAGCACCAGCTTTCCAGTTTTGGGGATTGAAGGCATACGCTTCCACCAATCTACTGACCATGATCCCCTCGGCTTTCAGCAAGGCATGGTATTCTATGACTTTAGTAACATACTGTCTCTGCACCAGATCTTCCAGGGCCTGCCAGGTATTCGGGACGTGGATCGCCGCATGAACATGCTCATGCAACTCAGCAAGCCTATTCCTCCTATTGTCAGACTCAGTTGTATTGGCAGCGACATACAAGGCGCAAACACACGCCCACCGAAGGTTCCGCTGGAACGCAACTCTCCTAGCGGCAGTGTTCCTGATAGTGTTCTCGCGGTCGTACTCAATCAGCACCTCATCATCGTGCCGGATCACCTGCGTGGCATAGACCGTAGCCTTTCCAGTTTGATAATCCCACCCGAAGACCGCGTTTGGCTGGCAGGCGTTGTTGATCCTAGAGAGATCCTTGAAGAGCCCGAGCGAGATGAGCGGGGCTTTCGCTTTCTTCCCGTTGGCTTTCCAGTTCCGCTCCTCCGTGAAGCAAATAGAGCGAAATATGCGGATGGTTCTGGCGGCTGTCCCGATCCTAGCAACCCCATTCGAGTGCAAAGCTAGATACGCCACTCGCCGATCCGCCTCCAACTCTTTGACAGCCTTGGTGACGCGTGATTTGTGCGCTGGCTTTGCTATCCAGTTGTCCATGTTGAAGTTTTTCAGGCTCTGTCCCAGCATCAGATGGAGTAGAGGCTTTTCCCTGATGATCTCCTCGCCAATTTGGATACTCCCCTGTGGACCTCCTTGTGGACCAGGCAGGTCTACAAACATGCATTGATGGCCAGCGAGCGCCGGATTCGTCCTGGGACCGATGCGATATTTCTTCACAGCCGCCATAGCGTGAGCCGAGAAGAGTAATAAACCCGCAACGGCGAGCGAAAGCAAAATACTGCTTAAAAGCAGCATCACTGAAAGAAGCCATATCATCGCGTAGCACGTCCAGCTCATTGAGCTTGTGCCACACACCAAGTTAGTATAAATGCAAGCACGAGTGACCGAGAACCGCCTAGAAACTGGGTCAATTAACTGGTGCAATGAAGAGTTGATTGAGAGAGAAAAGAGAGGAGACATCATCGCACCTGGCTTCTCCCATTTTCGATCGTAGTGCAGAAGATGCAGGAAGTTACGAAGCATCGCTAACGGGAAGTCGATACGTCGGGTGAAAGAATCACTTTGAGAACTGGGATGTTTGAGGAAAAGGAGAGGACGTCCAGATTGAGCCAAAGTAGCAATGACGGCGGAAACATCACGTGTCAGACACCTCAGGCAATAAAACTCTAGAAAATGCAAATTGTGTCTATTACATGCACCGCGCTCCATGGGAGACATGAAGGCACATCCGAGCAGCCGCTACGTAACTCAATACCACGATAACCCACTATTTAGTCCGATTCCGTCCCATGCCACCACAACCCACGCACCGGTAGAAAGCTGTGCCATATATTATAAAGTTTTAATGCTCCAGCAGCCTCAAGCTACCCTGGACGACCACGTTCTCCAGGATGGATCCCGGGGGAATGTCGATGGTGCTGCCTTCCGTCGCAACAATGATGACTGTACCCTTCAATGTGACGCCTCGCCCTAGGTTGACGGCACCAGTGATGGTCAGATGGTCAAGTTCCACGATCTTGGGGATGCTGGGGATGCGTGACTGGAAACTGGAGACCTTCTTAAAGTCGCTTCCCAGCTTGATGAGAGGTGCAGGGCCGAATCGGTTGGGGTCGATTACGAGCTGGCCGTGTTGGAGCGTGTAGAGATCCGACTTGACGAGCATGAGATCGGAGCAGGTCTTCACTGGCAAGAAACGCCTACGGGGAACGTTGACACCGTGGGCGTTACCGAAATGACGGATGGCAGCGCCGACGGCAGTCTCGAGCTGGAGGACGGAAAGATCGGCCTCGCCCTTCTTGTCGGCGGGGATCGACTTTCCGTTGGGAATGATCTCCATGGCGAGCTCGTTGTTCTCCACAATACGCTTGACAGCCTTGAGGTTCATCCAGATGTTGTTGGTGTTGAAGTACTTGAACTTCTTGATAGACTTGAACTCGTTGACGTGCTCCTTGGGCACCTGAGCGATTTCAAGGAGACGAACCGAACCCTCGTAGTCAATGATGGTACCACCCTTGACATCGGCCTTGGTCTTGTCGGTCAACTCCATAATGTACTCTGAGTTGGTGTCAACCATGTGTTGCAGGATGCGGAGATCGACAACAGCGCCTAGGTTGTCGGCGTTGGACAAGAAGATGATCTCAATGCCCTTCTCGATGAGCTTGTCCAAGATGCCGGAGTTGTATAGGGACTCGAAGACGTCACCGTGCCCAGGTGGGTACCAATTGGCAATGTCGGACTCCGAGGATTTGGGTGCTGGGAGGAGCGAGTCCTTGAGGATACGTGGGTATTTGGACTGGTTGAAGGTCATAATGTCGATGTTGTGGCCCTCGTACTTTTTGATGATGTTGGCGGTGTCGACATCGGTGTTGAACGAGTTCATGAGCACGAACGGCACGTTGACGTCGTATGTGCGGTTGAGATACTCGATTTGCCTGACCGACAGGTCCAGGAAGGACATGCCGTCACGGACCTCGATCACGGACTTGGGACCGACGCAACCCATGGATGTACCCAGACCACCATTCAGCTTGACAACAGCCAGCTTGTTGAGGTATTCGACCGAGTCGGAGTTGGCAAGGTCGGCATAGTTGACGACCTGCTCTGCCTTGGGGGGAGCGATCCGCGACCATTCGATGGCATTGCCCTTAGCCTTGTCGTTGAGGTACCTCCGGAAAAGAGCGAAGAAGTTGTCCATCTCAGTTTCGAATCTCTGCCGGACGTGTTAGGGTGTGCACAAGCTTGGGATTAGGGGTATTTACCTGCTTCTCCTTCGGGTCTTTCACCGTGTCGGCGAGCTGGTTGAGGGCATTGCGCATCTGAGATGCAGCAACATTTGTGGAGGTGTTCTCGAAAGCCTGGCAGCGAGTGACTTTGTTAGTAGACATTCTGAAGCCTCGACACCATGTGTGGAGATCCCCAAAGAAGCGTAGAAGTGGAGAGTGTGTCGTCTCTTGCGGAGGGCGTGATCAGTCTCGCGACCATTTGGTGACTGGAGTCGGTGGTAGCTGCCAGAATGTTCGACGATGACGACATGGTAGTGCTGTGAATGTGCAGTGGCAGCTCCGACCTGAAGCTTGGTGTTGAGCAAGAGCGTGGCACGGAGACGACTTGGTGACCTCATTCAACGAGAGCTGTGTCGTCGCCCTTGTTGAAGGAGTCGGAGTGGCCTCTGCGCCCAGGTTCGATGTTGACACGTTGACGTTCTCCAGTGCTGTTGAGGCACAGAAAGCACCGACTTGGCAATTGCTATCGCCTGAGGAAATAACCGGGCTCTGGAGGCACAAACGTTCTTTTCATCTGGAGTGGCAGAATGTTACATTCCAGGGGACCCGCCCAAGGCGGTCAGTCCGGGCGAAAAGAGCAACATATGTAGTACAGTCTCCTCCACTTCAAGGCTCCCCTAGGGCAGAACAGGCGGGTAGGCTGAAAACGGGGTCCAACTCACCACGTGCGATTGGGACTTTCCGTGGTGCCTGCCGGCAAAGCCAGCAGCGTCGCCGTTTCCGGCCGCAGCAGCGGGCTTCAGGTGGGAGGGGATCGCGCGAGAAGCCATTGTTCGTGGTATGAGGTTGTTTGTAGTGGGTTGGTGTGCGGTCTGCGGGGTGAAAAGTTAGTATGACGACAAAGGACAGGGGCGAGGGCGAAGGACCTCAGACAACGGAGCATCTAGCGGCTTACTCGACGAGGGATCCCGGTGGCGGCTGCGTGTGGTCAAGGTACGGTTGGAGGTGGTAGTGGCAACGGCACGGTGGAGAGAAGATGTCTGCAGGCGACGTGAGAGAAGCACAGGAGGTAATGCTGTAAGAAGCGGTGGGCGAGCAGCCTTTTGTATGAAGCCGCTGTCGTTGGAGCAACAGGTTGGGCAAGAGCCACCCTGCGAACCGCTGCTGAGACTGCTTTATCGGATTCGGCGCCATGCAAGCACCTTGGACGAGGGTGTGCACACCGTCCCTTCCCCAGATGCCAGAGGCCGATCTCTAGGCGTGTTCTGTCATATCATTGCCCAAGAGAGTCTCGCGGACACGCAGCTGCGTCCAATTGACCAGCCGCGGCGAAAATCTGCCCCCGACCCCTCCCTAGAGCCCCTCGCAGCGTGGGCGGCGACATCGTCAACCTCCGCAAAAATGATCGCAACAGCGTTGAGCGCGGGCCAGGTCCATTGAATGCAGCCGTGGCGGCGGGGCTTGCCGCTTGCACTTCTCAGGGTTAGAGGCTGGCGTGGCTGGGTGGACTTGCAGCGGCGGCATATCCCGTTGATGATAGATCGCCAGCAAAATGACGCCACGGCTCAACAAGGTCTCCTAAGATCATCGAGAGCGCACGAAAACGAGGTGAATAGCCCAACACCACGCATCTGCAGCACCACGCGTGTGGTGTGCCGTCCACCCTGCAGCCGACCCTGGCCTGAGATGCCCGAGCTCGTCGCAAAGACCCGAGCTCTGAGTTCTCAGGAGTTCCCTGGGTCGGGAAATTGGCGACAGCGCCACTGTTTATATTGATGTTGCCTGTGGCGCCTATTGCTTTCTGGACATGCACCTCCCACGCCGTGCTTCGGCGCACGTGGGGGTCTCTCGACTCGTCCTGCTCCAGACCACCTCCTCAACCCTGCAACCACGAAAACGAACGCCCTCTTCAACACCACAACCATCTCCCAGGCAGGGCTGACTGCTGATCACTTTTCTCAATCTCCGACCTCCTGAATCTGTCCGACCTGGCTGATATGGCGTCTGTTGCCGCTGGAAACCCCTGGCTGTTGATAGCGACTGACGCTGAATTAAGCTCTGCGCTACCGTTTGATACCGTGACAGTAATGCAGCTTCAGCTCTCCGCAACATGTCCCGCCAGCTCAGGAGCCACCGCTTGCCGCCCTATATATTTCAATAGAAGGCGCATCTGCAAACGGAACTGCCATGGGTTTCTCAAGCCGCAGCCTGATAGCGGCTGTTCCGTGGCTCAGGAATATCTGTTTCCTCAAGTCTGCGACCACTTGTGTCGCGAGAGACTCAAGTGTCTCGAAGGAAGATGATTCGACGGTCTAGAACCACAGCTGAGATTAGTCGTCACCTAGCATCATAATGGTGACGAACGTACTTGTATCAGTATCTTCTCCGCCTCGTTATACGCATCAGAATACGCTTCATGAACATTTTCAATCCAGAGGTTGGCAATGACCGGCTGCTTGGCTTGTCTCTCGTTACTGTTCACCCCTATGAGGCATGGAATGCGGACACTTTTCAAATAAAGCGTAGCGAAAATGCCCTCGTCCGTGGTCGAAATGATGTATCCAGCTCCATCACCTTGCATACATGCCTTGGGATAAAAAATGTCCAGCTCGCACCCAATTAAAGTACCAGGGGCTGCAATCGAGTATGCAGCAACATTGAGATCTCTCGCAAGTGTGAAAGTACTTTGCCATTCTTTGCTGTTCTCGATGACCCCTTGTAGGCTCTTACTCAGTATGCCGTAGTGAACCGTGCTGCTGTCGACTGCATCACTCTGAGCAGCTTGATCGAATGTATGCGCCAGGAAAGCAGTTATCGACAGCAAGGCTGGTTGTCGTTTCTGCCGGCCCCAGACATCCAGTCCCGAATTGGACGTGACTGAAAGATTCCGGACTGAAATCTTATCTGCGTTCTCAACAGCTGACTTCCATTCTTTATGGCTGATGTGGTGGGAAAAACGACGTAGGGAGACAGGGTCTAATGCCATTTTTGCGGAGCGAACGCCCTTTTCGTGTCTCGCAGTGCAATCGAAAGCGCCCTCACAACTCAGTCAAGCCTTGGCAGCTGAAAAACGCCTGGGTTCGATTGACAGCTTGGTGGAATAGATAGCAAACAGCTGGAATACACTGAATCGATTTAAGTGGCGTATGGGTAGTGATGGATCGTACTTTTTCCGGCCCAAAATTCGATTGCAAAGAGAGCAGGTAGAGGAAATGAATACTCGATCAGTATTGAGAGCGCCCGAGCGTACCGCTGATAGGTGCTTGCAGTACTTCGTATCAAGGATATCTCTGCAGGGTGTGGAGGAGAGATGCCTCCGCCCTTCAGCCCTACGCTGAACCGCGGGATATCTTGGCACTGGTCCGTGCAGAGAAGGCTCGAGAAAGCCAGCGCCTTGAAGCACCACCTTTTATTTCTTCCCACCCACCCTACCTTCGCAGACGCCTTGTAAATACCAGAGCTGCAACGAAGCAAAAGCCAGCAATTCACTATGGCCGACGCTCTAAAAGCCGAGGGCAACAAGCTCTTCGCCGAGAAAAAGTTCAAAGAGTCGATGTAAATTCCCCACATTCACGGCTGCCTCGCCGGAGCAAACTAGCTAACAGGCACAGTGAGAAGTTCACACAAGCCATCGAGATCGAGCCCTCAAACCACGTCCTCTACTCGAACCGCTCTGGCGCATACGCCTCGCTCAGGGACTTCGACAGCGCCCTCGAGGATGCGAATAAGGTGACCGAGATCAAGGCAGACTGGCCCAAGGGCTGGGGTCGCAAAGGCGCGGCGCTTCACGGGCAAGGGGATCTTGGTGAGATATATAAATCTCATGGACATACTAGGTCTTGCAACTAACGAGAAACAGTTGGTGCACAAGATGCCTACGCAGAGGCGTTGAAGCTGGACCCGAACAACGCCCAAGCTAAATCTGGCCTGGATGCCGTCAAGCGTGCTATCGATGCGGAGGCCAGAGCAGATGGCATTGGCGGAGACCCCACTGGAGGACTAGGAAACATGTTCAACGACCCACAACTTATCCAGAAGCTCGCAGCCAACCCGAAGACCAGCGGTCTCCTCGCGGATCATTCGTTCATGGACAAGCTTCAGCGGCTGAAGGCGAATCCTAACAGCATCGGAGAGGAAATGAGGGACCCGCGGTTCTTACAAGTCATGAGTGTGCTTCTGGGAATAGACATGTCGTTCGGTGCGCCACCAGGAGGCGAGGATGCGCCGTCGGCAGGACGGGCTACTGAGGTAGAAGAAGACGTACCGATGCGAGATGCAAAGCCTGAGCCTAAGAGGGCACCGGAACCGGAACCAGAACCAGAAGATGAGGAGGCCATTGCGGCAAAGGAGGCCAAGGCAAAGGCCGACGAAGAGAAGAAGTTGGGGACAGAAAACTACAAGAAGCGGAACTTCGATGCTGCGATAGAGCATTATTCCGCTGCGTGGTCTCTGCATAAGGACATTACCTACCTGACTAACCTGGGAGCTGCCAAGTTCGAGAAGGGTGACTACCAAGGAGCGATCGAGGCATGCCAACAGGCAATAGAATATGGCAGGGAGGTTCTCGCTGATTTCAAGATAATTGCGAAGTACGTATACTTATCTATCAGGTTTCCTTTTAATACTAATATCACATAGAGCATTTGGCCGTATCGGCTCAGCATATGAGAAGCTCGGGGACCTCTCCAACGCCATTTTGAACTACCAAAAGTCGCTCACAGAACACCGAACCCCTGATATCCTCGCCAAACTTCGAGCAGCCGAAAAGGCTAAGATCACAAAAGAAAAGGAAGCCTACATCAACCCCGAGGAAGCAGAAAAGGCCCGCGAGCTCGGCAACGCCAAATTCAAGGCAGCCGATTGGCCCGCTGCCGTTGAAGCCTACTCTGAAATGATCAAGCGTGCGCCCGACGACCCACGCGGCTACTCGAACCGCGCTGCTTGCTTCATCAAGCTGCTTGGATTCCCGAGTGCCGTGACGGACTGCGACGAAGCCATCAAGCGTGATCCGAATTTCATCCGCGCATATATCCGGAAAGCCCAGGCGTACTTCGCGATGCGGGAGTACAGCAGGTGTATCGATGTGTGCACCGAAGCAACGGAGCACGATGTTGATGGGAAGAATGCTCGTGAAATTGAGCAGCAGCAGCAGAAGGCGCTGCAGGCGCAGTACTCTGCGAGGGACGGTGAGACGGAGCAGGAGACGATGGAGCGGATTCAACGGGATCCTGAGGTAAGCCACCACTCCTTCAATTCGACTTTATGAGGCAGGTCACTAATCTCCTATACAGATCGTCAGCATCCTCCAAGATCCAGTCATGCAAAGCATCCTCCAGCAAGCCAAGGAAGACCCCGCCGCTCTGCAAGACCATCTCAAGAACGCCGACATCCGCAAGAAAGTTCAGAAGCTTGTTGCCGCGGGTGTCATTCGCATGGGTAGATGAGATGGCTAGATGCGGCAGAGGACGGAGAGAGCGAGGGAGCTAAGGGGTGCGGTGTTTGCTCAAATCTGGATCACACACTCCATTGGCCTTTCACCCAAATGCCGCTGCACTGACAAAACCAACTAGTATGTTTCGAAAGGGGCTTGCACAGTATACATCCTCTTCAGACTACACTCATTACTGGGGTTTTCAGGATTCGGGGCGTGCATAGTGAACTGTAGGTAGCGTGGTGACTTGCTTGCGTACTTCTCACATAAGTATAACAATGGTCAAATGGAAATCTTGGTCGCTCTCGAAGAAGCTTTTCTTGGCGTGCTGCGTATCCCATCATCTACCGAACCATCCTCTACGGTATTTGGCATCCTACACAAGCGTCCGCGCTCTTTTTTCGGCTGGCGGTTCCAGCTTCCTCCCAGACCCCCTAAACAGTTACAGTACTAGGTTATAAGTGTAGGCACACGGACATGTCACTGCTCCGGCTCCACTCTTGCTCGCTCGACGCCGCTGTGGAGGGGTGCCCCAGCTAGCATATCTTCAGTCAGGTCAAACGGTAGTCTAATTTCCGCTGCCGTTGACCTTTCCATCGTATCTACAGTTTGAAACGCCTGTCGGGGTATCCCGAGCAGATGCCAGCAGTGCCTAAAATTATTGTCATAGTACCGTACAGACCTGAAGTCACCTTGTCCAAATGCATCCTCCTGACGCCGACCCCTGTGTACCAGTCACATGTCCGCATGAACCACATGCTCCACACGTGCCCCCTCCCCCTTCTGCGACCTATAAAACTTCCACCGAGGGCTGGGGACGACGGTTTCTTCAGAGAGGCGGCTTGTGTTTGGGGGTGAAAAAGCTACGAGAAAACCCTTCGTGGGTGGAGAGTGGTCGTGAGCAGCTTGTTCATCAAAAAGATGAACCGCTCGCATCATGGCTGGGTGGGGTGGGGTGGGGTGGGGTGGGGTGGAGGAAGGGATCAACAGGCCACGCTACAAGACGGAATGGCTCTGTGGGTGGTGGAGAGGTGGGAGCAAAATATGTACAGGGTCCAATCTCATGGGTGCGGTGCGTGGAGTGTTGTGGTGGTGGGTTTGATCGGAGTGCTGATGCTGAGCAGCAGAGCGTTGCAGAGGTGTGGATACCGCTGATCACATTTCTTTGGGGTATGCTGACCACCATCGTTATTCTAGAGAGGCGGATAGCATTATCGGGGTACTACTCGCTGCGCTCGACCTCCATGGAAGGGGTTGCATGCAACTGTTTACACACAACCCGCCCACTTCGGCATAAGACCTCTTGGAGTCTGGATTTTGCAAACCCCCTTCCCGAACACGCTCCTCTTCATTGCTAAGAAGCAGGTTGGGTTTGAACACACCGCATGCTCCCATGGGTCAATATTGGAGTCCATTTTGCATTCCCACCGCGGAACTCCAATGCTGCGGGTCGAAAGTCCACTGACGCCGGTGCTTTATAGGAGAAATTGGAGGTGATGACTCAGCTGTGTCACGGGTTTTTTGAGTATGCGATTCACGTCCTTGTGGTCCGCGGGTAGAGGGACGGGCTCACGTGCCATGAGGGTTGGTGCTTCTTCTTTCCTCCTACAACCAAGAGACATCCCGGAACCTTCTCGTTATCACCCGGCCATGTCACATGATCCACAGTTTCTCCTCCTCTGGGCGGGTATAAAACCTGCTTGCCCTCGACAACTTCGCTGAGGAACAGAGGTCGTTTGTGAGGTTTCAAGCAAAACAGGGTTTTAGAAGTCTTCATGGAGGGAGGAGTGGAGGACGCATGGTGGGGGGGTTCGATGTTGGTCGGCAGTAAGCCATGTCGTTGTTGATCTGGAAGGATAGGGAGCTTAGGGCTGGTATGGTGAGCAGGTATGGTGGTCGAGGATGACTTCTAGGAAGGATGCTGATTATCATTCCGTAAGAAAGATGGAGTTCGTCACCCTTGTAAGTAGGTGGTTCCGCTCAGAGAGGTACTCCACATCGAAGTTCAGTAGATGATGTTTGAAACAGCCAGCGACTTTCCATGAGGCCTTAGTAGCCCGGTTTTTGCACTCCGACCAGTCTAATTTGGTGTGCCTCCAACTTGTTGTTGACGTGGTTCCGGGGAGATCCCTCCTTTTTATAGAAGAATCAGAGGACGAAGCACGCGAGGCAGCTGATCTCCTCGTTCATGTGACATCGGAGACCCGGGGCGCTCCCAGTATCTCGCAGAATGTGTCCGTCGCCTCATGGTCATTTCGGGGCCGTGTCGCGATGTCAAATCCGCCGGTATAAATCAAAGCGTGGGACGTGCTATCACCTGGGCCAAACCTGACCATTCCTTGTGTCTTCTAGCTCGGTGTCATAGTTTACAGAGTGAAGGAGTAGATGCTCTCAATTCAATGTACTCATCCCTTCGTAACCACTTCAGCGCCTTGCGTAGTTGCGATGATCTAACATCCGTTGGTGTACTGTAGAGGGCGTGGAACGTAACGTTTACTCTGCTCAGCCTACGACCACCAGGAAGAGTTCAAGCCGAGGAACGTAACGTTTGCTCTGCTCAGCCGTCTTCCACCAGAAGAGTTCAGGCAGAGGAACGTAACGGTTACTCTGCTCAGCCTACTCCCACCAGAAGATCTCGGCGCTGGGGAACGTAATACTAAGCTGAAAGAGCGATGTTCATGATTTAGCATTTCCTGGCGCAATACTGTGGAAGATGAAGGCGAGGCGAGGAGCGGAGAAGTGAAGCTGGTCACGGGTCACGATGCGACATGCATGGATTTGAGGTGAACATAGTGAGATAGAAATTGAATTTGATGCAACTCGCCTTGGCAATATGAATTGATTGATAGGAAAATGTGGTATGCATGAAGGAATGAATGATCGATCGCTATAACCTTTTGCTGGGCTAGTGATGTGAAAGTGAGGCGCTCCTAAGCCCAAGGTAACGAATACGTAACTCAAGGAAAATGAAGGTGTGACCTAAGGAAAATGAAGTTGTGACCGCCAGAAGGATATCTATAACCGCCAGAAGGATAACCATCACAATTGAGTCCAGTGCAAAAAACTACTTATAGCCTAAGACACTAAAGGCCTAGTGCTATAAGTTTAAGCCTATAAGCCGCATTAGTAAGAGTCTAAAAAATAACACTACTCTTATAGAGAATAAAAGGCACACTTAAGGATATAGGCGCTGTAGGTTCCCTAGAGACCTACTATAGCCGCAAAATAATAGGGAAAACTTACCACATATATGTTGCTCTTAGAAGCCCCCATAAGCTGCCGCTTTCTCTGCTTCTTGGAAACGCATTTCGACCCATTTTAGAGCAGCTTTGACTGAATCCTTGTTGGCAAAGTCGATGTCGATCTTTTGCCAGGCTTGGACTTCATCCCCAACGTGCAGAGTCATGTGGATGTCTGCTATATTCGTGATGGTGGAGCTGTTCGTCGGAGTTTTGGCTGTCTTGGCCTTGGTTTCAGTGGTCTTAACTTTGGGTTTTGAGATCAATGTGGAGGACCCAGTAGCAGGCCGGTTGAACATTGTAGTGGAGGTAGTAGAGTAGGTGGTTCGGCTTCTTGTGGCTTTAGATGAAGCCATTGTGCGTCCTTTCGTAGGTAAAGGGGACTGTTTTCGAATTGATTTCTTTACTAGAGAGAGTAGAGTCGGTTAGTTTAGGTACCGTAAGGGACAAAGTGTCCTTGTATTGCTAGATATGCCTGCACTTAAAATTACAAGGAGTAGAGTTAGGGAGAGTCTTAGAGACTATGTGCGAGTAATAAAGAAAGTGCATATACCTTTAGCCACAGCTGCCTTCTGGTTGCGAGCTTGTCTGCGCTTTGAGGCTGGGCTTACCGGCTCAGAGTCTGATTCGGTGTCGACGGTGGTGGGCCTCTTCTTGTTGTCGGTGCGCTTCCAACTTGAAGCAGGAATCACAGAATCCGAGTCTGATTCACTTCCGTCCGAGCTGGAGTCCACGCGATTTTTGTCCCGCGGATGGTAGTCGTCATCGTCCGTCTCCATTGGTTCAGCCGTGGCGATGAGGGAGGAAGGTTAAGGCCTGGTATGAGGAAAGAGGGAAGGAAGGACGGCTGAAGCGGAACAAGACGAGAGTATAGACTTCCGATAGTGAGAAGTGAAGAAGTGAGGTGGTCCGCCGATTCACGTGGCAATGTGGCTGCAACACTCTGTTGGTTTGCAGGCCGTAGCATCTGAACATTGACAGAACGCGACATTATGTACATGAAAGCGTTCTGTTTGCTACCGGCAGTGATTGCTCTAGGTGATTGTTATAATCTAACACACTCGACACCGCCACATAGAACTCCATCTCACCTGCCAGACAGCTTCGAAATGAGGTAAGAACGATTGAACTCTTTAGAGCAATGCGAGATGGGTTCAGGGCATCCGGTCCCTCTGGCACTTTTCAGACTCAACGTGGATACGTGCATCTTACCTACCTCAGGCATCTGCTCTCACCTCAACGGAGTGATGGATGCGCCGACCTTGCAATGTTCACCAAACACCCCATGACTAGCAAAACAGTGGCATTCGGGGATAGAAGAAGTCATTTCGTCCCATCTCCAAATACCTTTTCAGAGCTGTGAGAAGCGGAGGCGTCGGATATCCCATTCGCACTACACCGATTAAGCAACCTAAAAGCGACCATATCAAGAGCACCAACTTACAATCAAGATCAAGAAACACAACCAAACAAGCCACCAGCCCTCCCGTACTACCTCGACCCTCAACCCTCACCCAATAGCGCAGCGATCGCATCGCAACGGCGCCCCGTGCACCCCTACATTCATTGCCCCCAAAACAACATTCCAGAGCGCGCAAGCGGCCGCGGTCTCAACAATGAAACCCCTCGATTCCCTTTATTTGCATCCCTCGAACTCCATCCGCCAGCTTCAACTCCTCCCGTACACTCAAAAGACTGCCTGCCTCGTTATCCGAGGGCCCGAGCTGCAGCGTACCGCATCGCAATACCCCAATCCCAATTCCCTCCACCACCTCCATTTCCAATCCCAATCCCCACCACGCCTCCGAAATGGCCAAACCCACCTCCACCACCCCCTCCCGCCCCCCCTCCACCCGCATCAAAACCCTCGTCGCCGCCACCGCCCACCGCCGCGCCGCCGAAGCCAAAGCCGCCGCGCGCCGACGCCGTGCCCTCCAAGAAGAAAGAGGCACGCAAGGCCCTGAAGCCCAAGACCACCGGTGTCAAAAAGCGCAACGCCGCCAAGAAGAACGCCGCCACGCGCTCCCGCCGCAAGACGTCGTGGGACGACGCCGTCGTCCCGACCAAGACGGCGGCGCGGGTTACGGGCACGAGCAAAAGGGCGAGTGAAGCGAGGAAGGAGGGGTATACGGTGCTACCGCCGACGCGGGTGGTGAAGCCCGGGGTGAAGAAGGGGGTGAAGAAAGAGAGTGAGGTTGCGAGTCGGAAGAGTTCGAAGGCGGAGGAGATGTTGGAGCCGCCGGTTGCGAGTCGGAAGAGCTCGAAGGCTGAGGGGCCGGCAAGTCCGAAGAAGTCGCCGACGAAGAAGGCGTCAGTGGGAAGTGTAGGTAAGAAGGGTAGTCATGGGAGTCCGGCGGGGGTGACGGCTCTTCCTCCTACTAGGTTTGGCGACCGAGTGGAGTTAGACGATTATACGACATATGGCGTGGGAGGGAAGCACGATTATGTTTATTGAAAAGGGGGTTGGTTGGGTTTGGGAGAGGGGTGAGTGATCAAGGGTTGTTGAACTGGAAAAAAAAAAGAACTTTCGTTTGTTGAGCTGCTTAGTGTATCAACATTGGAGTTGGGGTTTGCAAGTCTTTAGTAATTGGAATGTGTTTCTTGATAGCTCTGTGCCAGATACGTGCTCCCGCGTTTGAGAAATCCGAGTTTCTGAAGCAGATGCGCATGAACCGAGAGAGCGAGAGGAAGAAAAGAGGCCGACACTTCGATTGTTGAATTATTGATCCCATTGTATACCCACACCAGCTTCTGATCGTCCTCAGGAGATCAACAGCAGCACCCTTTTTTAACGCAGGTGCATGGACCGTCGAGTGAGTCGCAACGACACTCGACGTAGGGGTCTAGCACGGTTCGGCCTTTGATTTGAGTCTCTTTGAATGAGCAATTTGTGTTGACCTTTGAAAAGTCAGCGTCAGAACAAGCCTAGACTACTGTAAAGTAGGCTTTGAGGAAATGTGTCAGTAGTAATCTCGTGCATCGTCGGCGATAAGCCGTGATGAGTTCGGTAGAAGGGCCATCAAATGCCGGTAAGAACTTTCTTAGTCATACACAGCGAAGGGTTAACGGTAGTTGAGAGCGAATGCGATGTAGACAGACCTGAAACACTTACAACGGCGGGAGTGGCCAAGCGTACTGCCACCGAGAGAATAATGATCATGTAATACGACTCGGGATAGCAGACAATTTCGATTACATTGCGTTTTGAGGTTGATACTAGAATATGTGGCTACTTGCAATATGCTTTTGGGATCAGCGGTTGATATATGCGTAAAAAAAGCAATCTTCTTCGCTCGGAAATATTCTGAGATGACTCCAAAGGCTAGGAGGTAAGAACGGTATCGACGTGAGTTGGGACTAGCGCCGCTTGTTGTGTCAACGGGTGTTTTCGGATAATTTCAATGAGAGCACTATCAGCTTTGAGAAATCGAGCGAGAGAGTAAAGGGTCACATGTAGCTGATGGAAAGAAGCGCTACCTACAGTTGGCCGATACTCGAAAGGCCAAGTCCTTTTAGGAGTCCCGGAGGTTGTTTACTTTGTGGAGTTTGGAAAAGGGTAGAGTCGCCAAGTTGTCACCCAATGGAGAAAACGTCTGGAGGAGAGGCTATGCTGATCCATATAAAGACAAGTCAGGATCATGGGCGGTAGTCCGCGAAAGAGGACTTGCATGGCCATCGGTATGAGCGTTCATCTGGAGTCCAGGTGTAAGTCAGGGTACAAATTTCATCTTGCGGACTAATTGAGAAGCACTTACTAGGATTAATACTATATGCTATATATGAAGCGATTGAGAAGTCTAATAGCGTGGCGGTTCATGGCCTCCGTCTGGACCATGAATGCTTGTTTTTACCCCGGCAGTGTTCGACTAAGGCCTATGTAGAGATCAATTGACGTACCTGATATGAGCCACGTATGTATCTGAGGAGACGTTATGCCTTAGTTCGTATATCCATGCTATATAGCCTCTGAGTCTGGCCCGGCCACCTGGCATTTCAGTTGTCCCGCCGAACCAGGCGCTGGTGATACTTATATATTGAGAGTAATCTGGGACCGGTGCCATGCATTTCCGAAACCAGTGCGGGTATTCCCTACCATGGCTCTAGCCAGGACCAAGTTACTAGAAGCATTCCGAGCTACTAAGCACTTTAATATCCATTTCAGAGGTGATGGTTGAGACAGATATGCCCTGGACGGTAGGCGAATATCCCATTGTCGCACATCACCATTTTCAGAACATGTCAGGAAGTAGAATGGTGAGCCTTCGGTGACGATCTGCTTAACACTGTCTGAATAAGACCAAAAGGCCTTAACATTGGTGTCGTGGTCGCCTGTAGTCATGCTCTAGGATCCAATTCCGCCTGGATGTTGGCTACTTAACAACGGGGTGACAGCAGCTCCCGTCCGTCCGGAGAACTCCACCGTACTTGTTCGGGGTTGGTGGGTGACCGATTACAAGTGCAAGTGAGGCATTGGTGTGAAGGAAAGGCGCCAGGAGGCGAATGGATGCCGACTCACCGACTCTCGTCTGAGTAAGGCTCAGAGAAAGCTCCTCGGAGTACAGCCTTGAAAGCACGGGTGGCTGGAAGGTCGCTCAAGGGAGTTCCGTCTTACGTAGCTTCGCCACGGACCTCCTAGTGGTCCAAGGAGAACTGTCAAGCTCGAAGACACGTCCGCAGTGATCCTTCACCCAGCAATTCGCACTGAGAGATGTCTGACAAAGATACGAATGCAATTGAAGTTTGAATGTAGAGAATGAACGAGGCTCGGACGGGAACTGGCGGGAGGCCGGGCTGGAGTAACCCGGCTCGAATCTTGGTTGATCGGAGTGTTTTCAGGGCCACAGACAGCTGTCATTAGTGCCAGTGCGACCAACGGCACGCTTAGTGGTACTGACGCCTGTAACAGCTCTGAAGCCGTGATGGAAGAGCGCTGCGCCCTCGCTGTTGCGCGTCGAGGCAGACTCGACGCTGTGGGGTGAACCAAGTGGGCTGCGCGGGGTGATCTCAAGACCCACCACAGCCAAATACGGCATCAGTGACATGCCCTCTCGTCGGAATACGGCGCTGATGGCGACGCTGGCGGCTGAGTGGTGTTGATGCAAGGTCCCGCCGGCAGTCTCGCATGGCGGCAGGGCGGCTTGGTGTTTCATAGGCCCAGCGGCGACTCCAGCCACACGATTCGCACCCGCGCCCAGCCACCAGCGGCATCAACAAAACATTGGTCCAAAGACGCCTCTCTCCCACTCGACCACCACTGCTCTCGTCGTGAGAGGCCGTCGCTCCTTTGCATCGTGCTAGTTGTGGAATGCGCACTGCTTCTGATCCTGTCACCTTTGCCTTCCTAGCTGCATATTGTATGCATCTGCCCGCCGAGCTCCGCTGCAGCTCCATGCTTTTTCCAGCACCACAACACTCCCTCGCTATCCTCCCCGAGCTCCCCCCTTCCCTTTCACCTCCCAGCCAGACAACATGGCTCTCAAGGCGGCCAAGCTGGCAGCCTATGGCGGCATGCACACCGCCGGCATCTTCTCTGACATGACGGTGGACGGTCCTGAGATTGGTACTCTCGTCGTCATTGTTGACCGAGCGAAGAACCTCCCGAACCGGAGGACCATGGGAAAGCAAGATCCATACTGCGCTGCGAGATTAGGCAAGGAAGCCAAGAAGACAGAAACCGACAAACGAGGAGGCCAGACGCCGAAATGGTATGTACATCCACATATTAGCCCCTCTGATTGGACTTGCTAACAGCATTGTAGGGACCAAGAACTCCGATTTACCGTGCACGATTCTCCAGACTACTACACCCTCAAAGTCTCCGTGTTCAACGACGACAAGAAGACCGAACTCATCGGCGAGACCTTTATCACCTTGGAAGAGATCATAGTCCCGGGCGGCGGCCAGAGTGATATTTGGCACAACCTCAACTGCAAAGGGAAATACGCCGGCGAAGTCCGCATTGAGCTCACATATTACGACACTCGCCCGAAGCCTGAAAAGGCGCCTGTCGAGCGGCGGAGAGAGAGCGCGCGGACTGGTGGCATGGATGGACAGAGCCCTGCCGTGGGCGGACCTCGAGAGAGCACACCTGTCAAGCGGAGACCACTCCCATCGAACCCTACCAGCGCTTCGCCATCTCCCGCAACTATACCTGAACATCGAGGCCTTCCCGCTGGGCAAGCTGGCCCGCGCAGCTACAATACGCCTCCACGACAACAGAGTGCTCAGCCTCGACCGAATGAATATACACCGACAAACCAGCGGCGCAGCCATTACCAGGACCAACATGCCCAATCAGCTGACCGCCGACGACAACACGCGGATGTTTCTCCACTGAATCCGAGAGCGTCCTCGTCTGCTCTAAACACCCCACAGAGCCAGTCGCGGGGAGTGAGGCCATCTCAATATGAGCCACATGGATCATCAAGCAATCTGTCTATGAATGACAACGGAGACAGATATGAAAATCCCCAAGAACTAGAATCGGATCTGTCATATACAGCTCCTAAGTCGTACGAGGTCCAGGCCAACGACTTCCAATCTTCGAATACAAGGCCGCCCCTGGATAACCGGATGTCAATGTTTCCTCAAGACTTCAGATCCTCGACGGAAGCACTTCAAACACATCATGCCCGTCCACAAAGCTACATGGATCTTCCGCACTCTCATTCAGCGCCTGTCGTTCCGTCCTATCAGCCTTCAGTAGAGCAGAACGACTTTAGTCAGGGACGTTATCAGCATCGGTCGGACGAGTGCGACCAAGGGCACGGTGCTCAGCAAGTTGAAGACTACCGACACCCCTCCGAACCGTACAACGAACCGTACAATGAGTCTCGACACCAGATCGAGCCACTAAGGATTGGCCAATATCAAGCTCATGGGAACGACTTCGGCAACGATCAGGTTTCTCCACACAGAATCCAACATCAAGAACCAAGCGGCTATGCGGAGTCACACCGCTCATATGATCCCTTTGAATCTCATGGGCGAGCTACCAGCGCTATGCAACCGACTGTTGAAGACGAGGACGACATGCCTCCACCTCCACCTGTGCACAGGAGTAGTGCGCCGGCTGTGACACAGTACGAGCCACAACCTCCGCCAAGCTACAGAGAAGATGCTCCGGCGCCACTGAATGTCGTTAGGTATCAGGAGCAGCCTAGACAATCATACGACTCCCCGAATTTGTACGAGGACCGCAATGACTATGCTCCTTCTCCGCTCTCATCAGACCGTCGTAACACTCATCCAAGGGCATCCATGTCCCCGAATCTTCAGAGCCAGCCTGACTCTCAAGAGGCTTATTCAATGCCGTCTAGTCTTGTCGCTGGCTATAGCACTTCTGTAGTAGAGCGTCGAACTCCACCCCACCAGCGTGGCCTCTCGCATCCCTCATACGGAACCCCTCCGACTTACGAAACTCCAACGAGACCTCACCCTCTCGCTCAACAAGAGTCAATGCGTGCTATAGAATCGCCATCTTACTATGCGCACTCATCGCCACAAGAGCCGCTACAGACTTATACCCAGGATCCCGCACCTATGATCAAACCTCGGGCCGTTAGTCCAGCTGCTCGAACCCCCGTGTACGACGATAGGTCGCGAGGACCATCCCGAAGCACACCGACGCGCAAGTCTGTATCGCCTCGTCCACCCCCGTCAAGCGCTGATGTGGGAGAGCGGAGACTATCACATGTTCCGTTTGGTCCCGATGATTTCAATGAACTGAACCCAGCAACTCGAAACATTGGTTCCCACTCTGATGGTCAAGAGCGTGGCAACGAAGTCAACGACAAGGGCCAAATCGTGACTTTCAACGGCCGTGTAATCGACGCTTCGGACCATCTTCCTGTCGATAGTTGGGCACCCGAGCCCGAACGCAAAGGCGCTCAAAAAGATCGACCGGTTCGCGAACGCGTTGGACTTAGAGGGGCACGCGATCTCGAGGCGGCTATGCAGCGCGAACGCGACCGAAAGGAACGCGACCGCATTCGTAACGCCGTGAGTGGTATGAGCGGAACCTCAAGTGTAAATGGGAGCCCTAGCTCCGCGTTAACTCTGTCGCGCAATGCTAACATTATGGCTCCTGTCAGCGTCGACGCCAACGCTACTAGCCCGACAAGCCGCAATCGTTTGCAGAAGCGCGACAAACGTCCAGTTTCTGCTGTGCTCCCGCCATCGCATTCTCCTGGGTCGCATATACCGTCGCCGAATACGAGCAGGCTGTATGATCTGGAGAATCGAGGCTATGGAGGAAGCCCTGGGTATCGCGGTGGCGGAGGAGGCGGCGTGACGAAGTCCATCGCTGGCCCACCACCTATTCCTGCTAAGATTCCGCTGGCGGCTGGAGAGGCCGTTGATGATATGTCTGCGCTGAGTATGGAGCTCAGCAGCATTGATATCGGTAGTGGCGGGAGGCGTGCTGTGGGACGGCGTCGCAACTATTGAGACGATGAACGGCGAACGATGAACGATGAACATGTCAATTCAACACCAGGTGGTGTTCACTGTTTCTAATACTCCCCTCACAGCCTTGGCTGGCTAGTGAAGGGGTTGATTTTGGGCTAGGCGTTTTGTATTGGGACACGTGCAACGGCTTTGCACGTTTTGGGAATGGGCTTCTGTACGGTATGTCCTGCGTCCGGAATCACTGGACAGCTCTGGTGACTTTCATGTCTTTGCATAGGGGCGGTTGGGCTTCCACCGCCCTTGGGTGGTTTTACATACGATATAGAGCAGAAAGTGGGACGTATGGGTCCGCTTTCGAGCATAATGATAGACCATGACAACCTATAGTTTTCCACGTCTGTGACTGTGAGTATGTGTGACTCGTCTACTTTTTTTGAAATCTAATCACCTTCCAATATAGTCCCTTCCTGTTTTTCCTCTCTTAGAGTACCATCCGATCAGTCTCTAAAATCCGAATCCCACTACCGCATCCCTTCCACCCGTTTCTCACCCACTCACACCCTTTCACCCTTTCACCCTTTCACCCTCACTAAACTCGTCCCTCACCCATCATCATCATCATCATCATCATCATCATCCTTCCCATTACAATCCTTATCCCAAAACGGCTGCACGAGCGCCTATCCACTCATTAGCACTGCTCCTTTTCACCCCCACCCCCCATCTCCCCCCTCCCTCCCTCAATCGTCACTCACCTCCAAATGCCCGTCGTAGCAATAATAACACGTCCCCCACTTCTTCCCCGTCTTGGCGCGCTCTTTGCTCGCCAGGCGGCGGCGGCACCCCCCGCACAGCTCCCCTGCTTGCCCTCGGCCAGCCACGGCGAGTCGCAGCCCTGCTTGACGCCGCCGCCGCCGCCGCCGCTGGCGCTCGGGCACTTCCAGGCAAGTTTGTGGGACTAGTCGCAGAACATGAAGGGGAGCGGGGTTGGAGGGGGTGGGCCGCGGAGGTCGGGGCCGCGGAGGGCGAGGGCGTGAGGCGCGGAGGTAGGGGTGGGGGCGCGGTAGAAGGAGGCGGTTGTGAGGGGGGTGTGGAAGAGGAGGAGGAGGAGGAGGAGGAGGAAAGGGAGGGGGAGGAGGGAGGATGTTGGGATGCGCATAGTAGGGATCTTTGAGGTGGGTAGAGTGAAGGGAGGATTCTTAAGATTATGGAGGAGAGAGAGGGAGAGGGAGCAGTCTTGGCTGTTCCTGGGACCGGGGTGAATGGCCATAGTGGCGGGGGGCAAAGAGGTAGAATGGGTGGAGATGAGTTGGGGTGTGGGACAAATGAAAGAAGTTGTGAGTAGCGAACAACAATACACTAAACCTCGTTGGAACTTTAGAGCATGTCTGAAAGAAAGAATAACCCATCAATTGAATCAATCTAGCTAGCAGATGCCAGAAGGGCGAATAAATGAGGCTATGAGAAGCAGAAAGCGGGCTTGCGTTGCATGTGTGTGCTTCATCAATCAATGAGTGCAGCGAGCCGTACCACCGCTCAAGCAGAAAAGTTCGCATGGAAATGCCACCCATCCATCCCGACATTTGCGATCTCCCACAAGTCGCAGCAAAGTTATTTCCCACCACCCAGCAAAACCTATTTTCCCCCACATCTATACACGCGCAATGATTATCGGAAAGGTTTAGCGTTCAACGCACGGCTTTACCTCATGCCGTGATGCACGACCCCTCCTCGCCCATCTAGACCCTGAAGGTCACTTTCCAGCCCCTCGCCCATGTACTGCTGGGCCTCATGTGGTCTGGGATTCTCGTAAGCGCGAGGATCGTAGTGCTCCGGGATCGGAACGTTGTTTCCTTGCGGAGCTAGTGCGTGTTGTTGTCCTTGCTGCGGCTGGACGCGAACCTGCTGGCGGAAGCGGTTGACCTCAGCCAAGATCATCTTCTTCATCTCGGGAATGTCTTCGACGACTTCGAAGGCAAAGTCGAAAGTAGTGACGCAGGACGGCTCGTCGGACGCGTCGTGCCAGATATGGAGGTAGCGGTGCTCGAGAGCCTCTTCGACGCTGATTCGGGAGGACGGATCGAATGCGAGCATACGATCGAGGAGGTCTAGTGCATCGGGATTGGCGTTGCGGAAAAGGGACTGGAAAGAGACTTTCTGCATATAGGGCAGGTTGCGGACGTATTCCTGTGCACGAGGAGAACCAATTCGGCAGAGAGTCTCTTCGTTCGGGGTACCAAGGTAGTGGAGAATCTGGTTGAGCTGGTCGACGTAGTCACGGCCCTTGAAGAAGGGCTTCCCGCCGAGCAGTTCGGCTAAGATGCAGCCAACCGACCAAACATCGACTATAAGATGTTAGAGCCCTGGACTAGATTTACATGGAAGGGGGTCAAATGATGACCACGGACGTACTAGCTTTGGTGTAGCTTTGGAAGCTCAGCATGATTTCCGGAGCGCGGTACCATCTCGTGGCTACGTATTCAGTCATGTATCCAGCATTCTCCTCGGGATCCATGGAGAACCCTCTTGCCAGACCGAAATCGCAGATCTTGAGCTCGCAGTCGGCATTGACAAGCAGATTTCCGGGTTTCAGATCACGATGCAAGACATTGGCGGAGTGAATATACTTCAAACCACACAGGATCTGGTAGATGAATGACTGGAAATGGGCGTCGGTCAGGGGCTGGCCCGAACGGATGATGGCGGCCAAATCGCACTCCATCAGCTCTGCCAAGCGTCAGCCACAACATCTCTCTAAGCAAAGCTGACGCTGCGCGTACCTTCGTATAGATAGCACTCATTGAAGTTTTCTGGTCGCGGAATATCCATATCGTATAGGCATGTTATCTGTGGGCCGAGTGGGTCAGCTTCTGGGAGTGCTTGGGTCGAGGTGGGGTAGAGGGGTCGTGTGCGCGAGCTGAACGTACATTGCGGTGTCCTAGAAAGAGTCAGCGTGAGCTTCGATGTTATATTGAGCGGTAGACAGGTAAGAAGCCGAGATGGCATACCTCGGAAATGCTGCAGTAGCTTGATCTCGCGCAGAGCGCGCTTCGCGAGAATCTTCTTGGAGAAGACGTTGGTGACCTTCTTGATCGCAACACCCTCGCCCGTCTGGTTGTTCGTGGCAGCACTGCTTCAGTCAGCAGCCATCCCCCGAAGATCGTTATAGCTAGGAGTTTACCAGACTATGCCATAAGCGCCCTGGCCGAGCTCCTTGGTGACATTGTAGCGCTCGTCCACGATGAACTCTTGGTTGAACACCTTGAACACCTTGCGGCCCTGCAGGTCTGCCATTGTGATTGCTGGAAGTGGCAGCTGGCGTCGTGAGGATGTAGGAGAAGTGCTCTGCGGCGATGATAGAGCGAGGTTGCTTTAAAGTGATATAGGCGCCGGAGGCTGAGGCCGGCGAGCGCTGAGTGGTGGAGCGACGGGGGCCCAACAGACGGATCCTGCTCAACAGGCTGTGCTCGGGAGAGGCGTGACGAGCGATGCTGGGTCTTTGTGGGTTTAAAGGCCGCAGCAAAAATTGGTGCGGGCGACGATGTTGGTGGGCGTGTTGGATGCGCGTTGCAGGCTGACAACAGCCCGTGGAGGGGTGAACTCGTAGACTAGTGTTAGAGGGGCTCCTCTAGGCGCACGGCTTTTTCAGCCCTGACCGAGAGCCAAGCGGGGCGTCCGAGTTTCTCTGGCGTGTCGGGTGCTAGGGCGTCTGCGAGGGTGCTACGGGACCCTTGGACCGGCCTGTGAAGCGTGCTGATTCTGACCGCAACGGAGCGGTAAGGCCAACGATCAGCAGCTATCATCACGGTAGATGCCCTCCAGGGAGTGCTCCGCGTCATAACTCATTCTTTCGGCCTGCCGGTTGGTGAAGTAGCGCACTAGATGGCGCCTTTCAATTCACTGTTACTAGTGTTTGAGGCGGCGCGATGGCACCTGCCCACGACACACTGGCTGGCTACAGTTGCCGCTCAGGGCCTGCTGCTGTCCGCATCGAGCACACTGCTGCAAATGCTGCAAAGAAAACACTAGGAAAAGTCGTGGAATGCAAATGGGCCCCAGCGCCATGCTTGCTGATCCCGCTCCTGGGTATCAGAGCATCCAACACCAACGCCAACGCCAACATCTCGTCCTTGAAACGCCAGCGCAGACTGCCAACAAAACCCAATACCAAGAGCCGCCCAGAACCCCCAAGACGCCTGATGACGGCGAACTCCTCCTGTCATGCCTAACATTCGTAAGAGAAACGTCGTCGAGAAGTGCCCGCGCTGTCGTCCGTAGAATCGCCCATTGGCGAGAGAGGCGAGAGTATCGCGTCCTCCGCCTCGAGATATGTGCCGTCTCGGGGTGTCCGCGGCGTGATAGGCGACACGTTCTGAAGGCCCCTCCTGTTCACTACAGCAATGTCTTCAGCAGTTACAGGAGCAAGCCTGCGGTGCGGTTCTTCTGGAGCAGGCGCAACGGCAGGCTGCTCGGGCACTCCGTTGTACCTCCTTTCTCGCACCATCATCGTTTCTTTTTCTGAGAGCTGACGCCCATCTGCCTCCAACGGCGTCGGGACGTCACCCAGCATCTCATACACCCGGCGTTCATTTGAGTCGGCCTCTACTGTCGGACTTGAGCTCCCTGCGTCTCCTGATTTCTGTGGTCCATAAAAGCCATTCACCATATCGTGCCTGACCGGCGAGTCTGCTGGAAGTTCCGCCTTCGGTATGACAGTAGACTCGTTGTTGGCAGCCGGTGTCGCTGGAGAGGCTGGCGTCTCTCTATCTGACCTCTCCGAGGGCATGCGCTTCACTGCCGCTACCGCAGCAACACCTGCTGCATCGATAGCCGCCTGCTTCTTAGCCATGTGTCTCTTTCGCCAGAACCACCACACTGCTCCAGACGCGACTAACGCGACAGCGAGTCCAGCGCCGATGGCAATGCCGATAATTGCACCGGTGCTGAGGCTCTTTGAAGAGTCGTTTTGGCCCGAATCAGCTGCCCGTGTTGTGTTCATGAGAGTCGGGGATATGATGGGCACAATCTGAGTATCCATTCCTAGGGTCCAGCTTACTGCTTGGACCGAGAAATTGGCCCTCTCCCAATCGACTGTTAGGTACGCTTCCTGGAGAAAAGTCCGGCCAAGCGTATATTGGGTGGCATTTGCAGCTCTCCGCAGGGGGAAGTAGCTCGACGACTTGTTCAAGTTCCGGTAAGGTGGTAGGGCTACAAGATCGAATGCCGCGTAGGGAAGGGTAATGTCAACCGTCGGTCCTCCTGTGAGCAATTGCGCAAGCGTGAATGTAATGTTGGCATTCTCAGCCAACAGTCTAGAGTGCAGGACATCGTCAACGAGGTAAAGATCCGTCGTGTTGTCATAAACTAATCCAAAGTTTTTTTCAAAGGCTTGGCACGCTTCGAGGGGTAGCCAAATCTCCCTGAAACTCATTAGCCCGAGTCGAAAGAGGTTCCACAGAGTCACTTACGGTATGGTAGAATCAATGTAAACTTGGGCTGGGCTCGGAAGGAGGTCGACATCTGATTTTGTGGCAGAGGTCATACGGATGTCCTGGATAGACACCACAAGATCGCGCTCGTTGTCGGGAGCAAAGATGAAGGATACGTTGTTAGGAATGAACCGAGACTTGTCATAGCCACCAAGAGTGAGGCTTGCTAAAACCTTTGTGAATCCTGAAGTTTATTAGCTATGGAGGCGGTAAAACGTGTGGGCAGCTTACGGTATTGCGCGCCAGCGGTATAGCCAAAGGAGACGCTTGGAAGCAGCTTTTGATGCCAGAGCTTGGCCATGTAACTTTCCGAAGGATCGTCGAAGGAGGTGAAGTTTGTAGATTTTGGGTTGATACCGAAGATTCCAATATAGTAGTCATCAGTTATGTAGCCCCCAACCGTGGTGTTTGGCAACGTCACACTCTCTTCGCCCAAGCCACCTAAAGCGACGGTGTCGTAGCCTATCGCAATTTAGTACATATCAACACAAAGGCAATACGCATGGACGAACCGAAGAATCCATTTCCTGAGTAACCAAGGTTCCCTTCAGCCCATAATATGTAGTAGCCCTGCTTATGCCAGGTTGACGAGTCGGTGTAATTGTAGGTCCATCCTCTATCGTTCCAGCACGTATCGTTCTGTTTGCCATTTTGCATGCACGCCTCCTGGAGAACTACCCATGTCTGCTGGCAGGCGGTAGAAATAAAGGTACGGACTGTTTGCGCGGGCGTTCCAAGTTGTAGGGCGAAAGAGGACCACTAGTATGTTGTCAATGCCACTGTTCAATTCTAATGTCCGTGCGACGCGGTACCTGGCCGTCGATGCCGTCCCAATTCTCGTCTGGCGTGACTGAAATAGGGGCCGGAATGGTTGTCGCCGCGCACAGTAGCGGGATGAAGGAGAGGACGGCGAAGAAGGTACCAAGGGAAAACGAGAGGACATTTCTAGAGAGGACCATGGCCGTAGTGGCGCATTCCGGGGGGACGGATGGGAGGGAGGTGAGGCGCATGAGCCAGCAGCATAGCAGCCAGCGTCAGGAGGCGCCCGCGGGCTACAAAGACATGGTGGGGGACACAGAGAGAGCGACAGCGCGTGCAGAAGGGCAGCCGGCGTGGTGTTGAAGTTCCAAAGACGGCGGGAGAAGACGTAGCGGGCCAAGAAGTGGTAGACGGCACGCGGGCTACTACTCACTATTACAAAACACGTCTAACGCAATCGATACGCCACTTCGGCGTGGACGCACAACGCACCGTGATCTTTGATAATCTGGTCTAACCCTTCAGGGCTAAGGGCTGGAATCTTAACAGACAGGTTTTCGCTGGGACCGAGAATAACAAGCGCGTGCCGACGGAGTGGGAGCCACCCGGGAGCATGCATAGAGACATCCGGCATGCTGAGGACCGCCGTCGTCGGGCTCGCATTCCGTCAGGGAAAGACATGGTGCCATGGTTGTGTTGGTTCTCGACGAGGGCTGCAGCAATTCAACCGGGTAATTCTTGCGCCGCGGTGGGAGACAACCTTGGAAGCCCACAAGGCAGAGAGACACACTTGCCCTGTTTCATCCAGAGAGACGTGGCCCGTCCAAACCAGGCCGGATCAGCGACGCGTGCTCGCTGCTAACGGTGGTGTCCGGCGGCGTTCGCGGGGGCCTTGATTTCGGCATCATGCTTCACCCCTAAGCTGTCGTTCGCCCGTCCAATCAGGAGCTCCTGCTTGGTGCGACAGGGAGGTCGGAAGGATGGAAAGCGACGCGGCATGGCTCTGGTCCAACTGATTCGGGCGTGGAGTCCTGCGCCAATCTGTCGGATCGCCGTGGTTTTGCCCAGCACAGTCAGCCCATCAGCCCTCCTACGCCCAGGAAGGCAAGCAGCTCTCGGCCTCTTGGCTGGGGAACCTTGAATCAGTGCGCTGGCGATCGCTGCTAGACGTGGCGCCGCTGCCACAGTGCCATCAAGGGCGCTGAACGGTGGAGGCCCCGATGAGTTGTGATGAAGCTGACATTCGAACTGCTGCAGTACCACCGCGACGGCGGCGGTAAGGGGGCTGACATGTTGATATTGCCATGGGTTACACAGAAGCCAGTGGCGCTGGTGGTTGTGTGGTGCTGATGGTTTGCAAGAGGCCGGCCCCTGTATTCATCCTGCTTGTCCTCCATGTTCTCGCTTGTCCCGACGACAGGGCCGTGGCAGCTGCTGTTCAGGGGAACGCATCCTGCCATGCGGCAGAGGGCCCGAAGAAACAAGCTCAATTTCAATGCACACAATCGGACACGCGGATCTCTGGCAGGAGTCAGGAAGGTGCACTGGCGCCGCGCACGTCGACCGACCTAGCTGCGCGCACTCTGTGTAAACTGCCCACCATCCCGGCCCTTGCACTGTTGCTGCCTTCGCTTCATCAACAGCCTGTTCTCTCGTTTCTGTGCTGCTGCTTCAGATGCCGCGAGGAGTGCGTGACCGTCACGCAGCGTCGACGCATGATGCTGCTTGCCGTGGCCCTCGTGCTGCTGCCCCAAGTCTGTGGATATCCGCGAATAGGTGCGTTGTCGTGCATTGAATGGCACTTGTGGCTCTCGTATCCAGGTTACTAACGCTCACCAGATCCGAATAATTGGAACTCGACTTCTTCCTCTATATCCGGCACGCCTGCGCCCGTCACTCGTTTACCAACAGTCGCTCCACCTTATCCTACGCCCTCCATTTCCGCCATCGGACCTCCAAAGCCTACAGGCACATCACCCTCGCTCAATGCCACATCCGCAGAATGCACTATCAACATTCCAAGCGCCAGTGTGGACTACTGGCTGGAGCCAGTGTTGGAATGGGCGACCACGACTCTCGTTGACTACTCCGGCAATGCGACTAATATAACCGGTCCTTTGCTTTCTGCCAGCCCCATCACTGAGCCACTTGACTTGACCCTGCTCCTGGAGGACTATGCCTATACGACGCCGCTGGCCGCATCGACCTCAGTTGTCACCATCAATGGCATCAAGCCTATCCCCTCGCCGGGCCTGATCGCTGCGACCGCGGTAGAAGACTACGTTATATATCCGCCACCTCTCGCGACGGCAGCCGTCGGAACCATGGTAGCGTAAGTCGGCTCTTTTTCAGAGGATGCACGCTATGCGCGCGATATTTATTTATTTGGTTGAGTTGGGTTCCCGTTTACATGACTGGTTTCGAAATGAAGCTTCAAACCGAAATTTCTAGAAATATTTGCAGGGATCTTCACGCGCCATGTCAAAGGATAAAGAACTAACTTTGGTAGATATTCCGACACTCCCTTTGTCTACTTCTCTGCGTATGAAATAGAAAGACGGATCCCCGGTACTTACCAGGACGGCAAACTCGAGTACCAGACTTCCACAGCCACATACCAGCTGGAAAGCCCTTTTGTCTATGAGTATAATGGAAAGGACTTGCAGGGCCAATTGACAGCAGCCGGCGATGTTCCGAAGGATTTCCAGCTCACGATCCTCCAATCGTCCTGCTTCGCGGGGACATGGCAAGCCCCTGTCACGGTCCTGATCGTTGTGGAGCTGGTATACAGCGTCGAGCACATCGGCACGCCGCTCATCGTACATATTGAGAGCAGTGTACTCGGCTTAATCGACTCCAGTCCTTCAACCACGTCGGAAGCGCCTTCGCCCAAAGCTCATGTCGAATCCAGCGTGGCGGATTCAAGTTTGGGGAATACGGCCGTTCCAACAGACCCAACCGGAGATCCACACCGCGTCCACAAGGAGTCTTCCGTTGCAACAACACCCGACGCTCGTATAGCGACGTCGACAAACCCCCGCGTATTTCACATCGAGTCCACTGTTACCCCCACACCTCCAGCAGTCTCCAGCGTGGCTGTTGGGATTTCGGTCAATCTTCCTGGAGCCACTAATCTACCACAGCTCATCTCTCAACTCAGGTCTTTCATAACAGCAATAGCTCACATCGAATCCACACAAGCACCAATACCTGGAGACGGAGGCCCTACGGCGCAAGCTCAAGTAACTCATGACCTCTCCAGTGATCATTATATTGTAGGCTCGGAGACGATCAAACTTGGCCCGTCCTCTGTGTTTATTATAGGGTCTCAAACCCTATCTCCAGGAGGACCCCCTGTGACAATTGGTGGGGCGCCAGTCTCACTTTCGCCATATGGTTCTGCTATTGTGGTGGGTGGCTCAACCATTGCTGCGCCGACCCCCGGTTCATCGCCTGTCATTAATATTCAGCCTGGTTCCTCGATAATCACAGCCGCACTCGTCAAGGCTACCGGAGGAGGAATTATTCTCCCAGGTGGGAGCACCCTTCTCCCCGGATCCGCGACCGTAATCAATGGTGAGACGATATCTCTCGCACCGTCTGGCACGGCCATTGTAGTGGGTGGCTCAACTATTGTAGTGCCATCCGCCGCCCCGTCATCTACCATTAATATCCAGGTCGGATCGTCAACAATTACGGCGGCACTCGTCATGGCTGTTGGAGGAGGAATCGTCCTTCCAGGCGATGCTACCCTTCTCCCTGGATCTGCAACCGTAGTTAACGGTGAGACAATTTCTCTCGCGCCGTCTGGCACGGCCATTGTAGTGGGTGATTCAACTATCGCTGTGCCAAACGGGGGTCCATCACCAGCCATCAATATCCAGGTCGGATCATCAACAATTACGGCGGCACTCGCCGCGGCTTCCGGAGGAGGCATTATTCTCCCAGGGGGGGGCACTCTTCTCCCTGGATCGGCGACTGTACTCAACGGCGAGACGATATCTCTCGCCCCGTCTGGCACCGCAGTTGTAGTCGGAGGCTTTACATCCTCCCTTCCCTATGCCAACCTTCACCCACCACCACCGGTTCTTCCCATTGGGTCCCTGACAATCACTGGCAATGCTGCGTCGCAATACTTCATTGCTCCAGGCCAGACACTCACGCCAGGGGGCACCGTCACTTACAGCGGGACAGTGATCAGCCTCGGCTCGTCCGCAGATTATCTGGTTGTCGGAGGCAGTACTCGACTTCTACCAACTCAAACACTGGACGGGCCTTCAGCCCAGATCACTCCGCCTCCACTCACGATAGGAAATGGCGTCTATACCCCAATCCCAGGCCCTGGCACGAGTTACCTGATCGGCGGCTCACTACTCACTCCAGGAGGCGTCATAATTGTGGCTAACACTCAGATTTCGCTTGGACCAAAAGCGTCTTTCTTGGTCGTAAACGGCGCCACAACAACACTGAACTCTGGACCTGTTCCCACAAACGCCCCAATTCTGACCATCGGAACGGCCACCGTCACTGCCCAGCCAGGAGATGGGACTACTTTCATCGTCGAGGGACACACTTTGACACCAGGCGGAGTCATCACGGTTTCTGGGACTGTGATATCGCTTTCGCCTTCGGCCACCGCTCTGGTTATTGTTAGCAGTGGCACTAGCACATCAACTAAGACACTCTTCCCAGCGACGAAGATTACGGCTTCTACAGCCACGCAAACTGGAGCCTCAGGCTCCGCAGCTTCTGCAGGCAAAACCCCCACTGGAACCGCCGTGTCGTCTCATGGGGCCGCGCATAGCATCCACACGTCTAGCAACTCGCTATCGCTATTCACACTCGCTCTAGGATATCTGCTATTCTGGCTTTAATCCATCTTTTACTTGAGCTGTAAAACGTACGGGGATTTGAAGAGAAGGAAGAGGAGGACAATCATATTGTCTATGAAATTACGAATTCATGATGCGGAATAATGGACCCTTGGCTAAGGGAAATAATATACCACGGCATTCTGGCATTTGGGGAAAAGATGTTGGACGGTTTTCCTCCCCTTCCAACATTTCAATGAAAGGAGGATCATCTAGGACGATACGTAATCTAGCACCAATCGGCATCGCGGTCAAATAGACTTAGGACGGCGGGAATTTGGGGAAATTAGACGGACTTGGTTTGTGGGTTTGGGTTGTATGGTTGATATGGTCATCGCTTTGTAATTCTTCCTGTGTTTGAAGGCTTTCTTGGATGAACTCGGTGGACTCCTTGGAACCCAACCTGACTTTATGATACATAGGAGGTGCTTCTACGAAGTAATAGAGCCTTCGTGGCAAACAAATAGTAATTTTAACCGCTTTTTCGAGGCGAATGAGTGGTGCAGCAAGAAAGTGGCGGTTTCGTTTACGTTCACGAGCTGTCCGCCTGGCATATCACAAAACATTTCGTATTTATTTTCCTCTCTCAGCATACTCTGCTATCCCACCATGTTCTAATCATCAGTCTCTGAAACATAACTAGTATGCAGGATCGCCTCCTCATAGTAAGGATAGTCGCTCCTTAAAACCCCCAAATCGTCAACATGACGTCAACCCCAATTGTCTTTCATCATCAACTATACCATCATTCAAACATCTCATGTATATATAATCAATTCCTTTCAAAAACCCCGTTAAACTCCATTCCAGTCCCCAATCCCTTCTCCCATCCTACCCCTCCACCCTACCCAAGACCAACCACAATGTCCGACTTCACCAACACCGACCCCCTCAGCCTCGCCAAACAGGCCGAAGCCGACCTAAACTCGCGTTCCGCGAAAACCGGCCATGGAACAAGCGACACGAGTACGCCTCCACCTTTTTCAATCCGCCCTCTCCCTCATCCCCCTTCCTTGTTCCTGAACCCCTCCCATTTTCAATCAGGCCCTAACAGCCATGCCATCGCAGCCGTTGAATCAGGCATCGACGATACCGCAACTTCAAAATTCCCCGGGTCCACCGTGACCTACGGCTCCGCGGCGTCGGGCGCAGGCGATAACCGCGAGATACCCATTTCCGAGGGAGGAGGGCTGGATCCGAAGACCGGGCGTGCGTATAAAGCGCGCGACTTTGAAGGCGAAGGCGGACCGGAGGACAAGGCGACGAAGTATGCGGAGGAGAATCCGGGAAATGATGATGTGGATAATGTGAGGAGGTAGATAAGATGGACTGAAAAACGAAGGGGGAGACTGAACCGGTACCGCGAGCGTGCATCTCCATGGAATGCTACACGCAAAGTCACATATTCAAACAGATTAGCTTGATGAATAAAAATGCACTTTTCCACTTACTTTAGCTTTAAAAGTTTTAATTCACGACTTCCTAACGTTCTATTGACTTTCGTAGGAAGGTCACGTGAACGAGACACTGCTCCGTATCAATCCAGATATATATAATCGGCCCAAGCTTCTGCCAAAACCTGAACACTGACTCTTACCATTCCTCATGTATTCTGCGTATGTCGAAATAGGTCTTTGTTGGTAGCCCTTAGTCGCCCCATGCTGCAAGGCTTGGATATTACAACAACTACGGTTCGATAGAATATTCTATTTTACCGGTGACTCGGTGACTCGGTGTCCCGCGAAACCGTTTGACGTCAAGTATTTCAGCACGCTCTTCCATTCAACCTCGCAGTCAGTATTATCTCGCCTTGACCACTGAGCCTGAAATAGCTTAATGTTTCTTTCATCATGTCTACTTTCTTAGTGTGCTCAACCCTCATCGGGGCCTATCTCGGCTACCTACTCGTCTCACTCTTCAGAAATTATCATGCCGCAAAAATACTTGGAGTACCAATTGTCCTTTCTCCGTTTGACCTTTTCCACCCGCTGTGGTACCTCATAAGTCCTGCATTCAAGCCTTTGGTATCCCTTCTCCCATACCGTTTCCGGAGGTGGTCATCGCTCTACACCGGCGACTGGCCTTTCTACGACAAGCGCCGTATACACCGCGAAGCCGGAGACGTCTTTGCCCTTGTAAATCCGTGGAATTATCACATAATCGTAGGAGATCCTGTGGCTGCAGACGCGATCTATCATCGACGCAAGGACTTCATCAAAGGGAAGAACTACGCAATCTTCAACTTTTTCGGCCGGAGCGTCTTTAGCGTGGACGGCGAAGACTGGTCACGGCAACGGAAAATAACCGCGCCGTGTTTCAATGAAAGAGTGAGCGGCATGGTGTGGGACGAGTCGGTTAGACAGGCACGTGCGGTGCTGAAGCACTGGACTTCTGACGAGCAGGGAAAGGTAGGCTCCATGGTTGATGATACGAGAATGATCACGTTGCATGTTCTCTCCGCTGTTGGCTTCGGAATTCGCCAAGATTTTGGCCATGGAATGGCAGACGTGAAACCTGGACACACATTGGCATACCGAGACGCACTACTAGGACTCCTTACTCATTTTGTCTACCCCCTGGTCTTCCCGTTATGGTTCCTAGAGATTCCTGGACTTCCTGAATCGTCTATGAAGACCGCCGGAACTTCTTTAAGGGAGCTTAATAGCTACATGGACGAAATGCTGAACGATGAGCGGACGGCCATTGAGAACGGGGAGGCTGCCCCAGCGAAACCGAATCTTATGAGCGCGTTGATTAGGTCTTCTGCCGAGGAGCGGAAGCCGAAAGATAGACTCACCGATGAAGAGATTAAAGGGAACTTGTTCATTTTCAATATTGCAGGCCACGATACCACTGCGAACACTTTCGCGTATGCAATCTCTCTTCTAGCTCTACATCAGGATTGCCAGAGCTGGCTTCGTGAAGAGTTAGAACTACACGTGCATCATTCAGAGTCCAACTACGAAGAGGTCTTTCCACACTTGAAACGATGTCAGGCTATCATGGTAAGCCGAAAGAAAATCTTTTAACGTCAAAGACTAGACGAAAGCTAACGCAACGGTCATAGTGGGAAACACTCCGCCTCTACCCCCCGGTCCTCGCCGCTCCTCGCCTATCTTACGGACCCCAATCAATCCCCCTTTCCAACGGCCAATCCATCTCCGTCCCCCCAGACACAAGGTTCCATCTAAATCACTACGGCATTCACATCTCACCCTCCGTGTGGTCTTCTGAAAACGCGCCAGCTCACGAATTCCATCCACAACGCTGGATCAAACCATCAGAGACAGACCCGAAGGAGGAGACGCTGCTTCACCCAAAATCAGGCACCTTTTTGGCTTGGTCGGGAGGACCGCGCCATTGTCTTGGTCAGAAGTTCTCACAAGTTGAGTTTGTTGCTGTCATAAGTACATTGCTAGCGAAGTATGTAGTTGAACTTGCCGTATCGAGGGAGAGGCTGGAGGCGACGTTGGCAGAGACGGGTGGGGGAAGCCCGGCGTTGACGATCGGGAGAAAAGAGGACATTGTACTTCGATTACGGAACGTTGGGTAGTATAGATGTTCATGTAAAATCTATCACAAGTCGTTAACTAAAGGAAGTTCGCTTGACTGGGTACATGCTTACTCAAAGGGGTTCCAAAACTACAATCACTAGGCAATACTCTCTTCATGGTGACTGATTCGACGGCTCCGGCTACATGACGGTCACAACGCGTTCAGTAGGTTTGCGCAATTCGCGCAGCAACGCCGTGTCTACAATATGTCAGCATTCGTCTAGCCAGTATAAATAGTCAAGATACACGTACTCTCACGGAACCACCAACCTTTCACGCTCTCCCACGCGCAGTCTATTCCCCACCAAATGATCCTTCGGGCAATTGTTTTGCCTACTTCTTTCAAAAGCAACTTAAGGAGCCAGAGCACGAGTTCCAGGAGGGCATCCATCACGTTGAGGGCTATTGTGAAATGAGGACTTCAAGAAAAGGGTGTAACATGGAGGAAAGACTGGTTTGAAGTTCTTAAAGTCGAGGTTTTTAACCTAACTACACTACCTTCACTCTTAACCACATTTTCACCACCCCTACACCACATTACTACAAGCTGGTGAAAATTCTTAACGACAAGAAGAGCGGTATGATAAGAACTAGTAGAACTAGTGCAAGATTGCATAGAAGGAGTAAGAGTAGATCATGACACCTAGCGCGCGTTTAGAATACATTTAGGACTCCTTCGTGCTTCTTGGCTTCAAGTCGCGACTTGAAGCGACTTCCATATGGCGCCTGCGCATGTGTATGACGGTATGGAACAGTCCTAAATGTTTCAACAGGTGAACGACGACGATGTCATGTTCGTAAGCCTGTGAGTCAGGCCTCCGTCTTTCGCATGCCGATATCCTGTCTCTGAGCCGAGCAACACAGCTTAGAGTTGTTTTTTTGTTGTTTTGGCAAGCGTAGGAAAACATCTGAAGCCTCTCTAGCCCACACGTTGTCATATCCGCACGATGTCCTGATTGCGGAGGCGTGAAATTTTACATCGCGTCCGGTTCTGTATGACCCCTTAGAGCACCTCAAACAGTTGCGAGAGTGTGCCAGGCTTTCGGCAGGGCACTGTAAAGTGCTGGGTCATAGATTCGGGCACCCGAATATACCACTGCTCGGGTTTCGCTCTTGATCTCTCGACACCACCGTGAGGAGTAGCTCTGCTAGCACGTAGCCGGCTAGTCAAAAGTCTGCCCAATCTCCGCTGCGACATCGTTGACATCGTGTTTGGAGTTTTGAAAGCCCATAGGCGCACCCCAAGCAGTGGTAAGAGAGAGTGCCGACGAGATTTTGCTAGAGTATGGAGGGTGTGTGTGCTCCGAATGCCGAAGGGGAAAGTGGTCCTAGGTGAAGGGTGCCTATATCGCCCTTTGCGTCAGTGATTGCTACAGTGCTTATGTTGCAGGAGAGCCCACTTCCTATTGTCTTTGAAGGTCTAAATGCACAGCATGTAACTTATTTCCATAGTGAAATGCCGGTTCTCTAAGCTTCAAGCTACGGTAACCGGCTCTTGGAGGTGCCTAAAGGATGTCGTTGACCAAAATAACGCAGCAGCAATGACGAGGATAGAGAACAACGACTGCATATGGGTCGATGACTTGGCTCAAAGGCATAAAAGATCTGGTAGGCTTCTGAGGAGAGTTCACTCGGGTATGAAGAAAGCAGTAGGGCGCAGTGACCGCTTCGCCAGCGGTCAGCGACACCGGAAATCAACAACAGTGCATACAGTGCCTTGCCAGTCTGTGCATATTCTTCTATCACTGCTTGGGGTGGTCCAATGGGATTCCGCCATGCTAGCCACCATGTAAAGGTTGATGCAGGGGAATCAGGATACCTTCTGGCTTCCCGCGGACCCAGCAGCTGGACCACTTCTGACACTGGCGTCCAGAAACTAACATTGGGACCGAATCCATCCGACCGTCCTTTCAGTACCCTCAAAACTTACAGTATATCAGCTCAAACACTAGTCCCGACCCACGGTCTCATCTTGGGTAAACAAATCTACCCTCTTACCACCTCCTAGCCTACCTTCGACACTTCGCAAAACTCGACTCACCTCCGCCAACACGCGCCAATCCACCCAATCACTCCCTTCGTCCGCCTTACGCCATGCCATCTGCCTTATTACCCCTATTCATCCCGCCATCCCATCATCCCACCCCCGCCCAATAAGCGCCAGCGCACCGCTCACATATAGGCTATAACACCGCCCCCATAGCCATATGCCGTGATAACATGACCATTAATGCCCGCACAATGCAGGCGCCATGGTCTGCCACCCCTCGCGCTTACATCGCACTTCCACGCATCCCCTTCCCTCCCGTGTTTCGTTTCCCGGTCTCTGCGTCTTGCCGCTCAACGGGTCTGGCCCCTCGCGTGTAGCTAGCTCATTTTAGAGATCTCGAAGCCGCGCAGCCCGCCATGTGGCTCTTTTCGCAGAATCGTACTGTGTTGGAGTGGCGAGTGAGTCATCCTGCGGCTCATAAGTGGCTTGCCTTTTGTTGGCGTTGAGTGGGATTTGCAGAGGATGTGTGACATGAGTGTGCCCGGGGGCGCTGTTTTGACGTCGCGTAGAAAGAAAGGGTTTGCCACTGCCTGGTTTGTCTAATCGTCCGGAGGATGTGGAGGGTCTATGGTGGCGTCTCTCTGGAGGGCTTCCGAGACTTCGCCGCTGCACCTGCGTCCTCAAAGCCAGTAAGAGCAAGAGGGGTTTGCGGGATGCCCGTGACCGTCGGTAACCATGGCATTTTGTTTCTCAGGTATACCGTGGTCTCGGGAAGGAGTCATGATTCGAAATCGTGAGTGACATCCCGGGGTCTCCTTGTCGCAGGTTACGATCAATGAGGCATAATCAACTTCGTGGTTTTTTCATCGGTAGTACTCGTAGTGCTATCTGGTTTAGGCAAATGGTAAGGCTTGAGAGGCTCCAATCGTGATACATGCTTGTAGTTGCCTGACTGAAAGTTGGAGCATTTTCCACGACATCGCTCTTGATATCATCGCAATCTAAGATACCAGAAGTTAGCGTGACCCTCTTGTATAACTTAAAGTCACGATAGCAACGCGCCTTCATTTACTTACTCCCCCAGCTACGTTTGTTCCGATTTCGGCATAACACCTCGACTATAACCACAACATTCAAACCTCACACCGCCCACGTCGTGCAGCAGCGCTCGCTACGTCACCGGAAGTGCTCTGATATCTCATAGTCCCGCAGTCGATCAAATGTATGTGCGCTACATGTTGCATTGCGCCTCATAGTACAACGGGAGAAGAGCGCGCAAGTTGCGTGATATCTAGGTGGCTGGGACCGGGGCAAACTTCGGCTAGGATAGATCTCCACGACACAAGATGTGAGACTGGACGGAGGAGCAGTTTCAGAAACAGCTGGGATGACTTGCGACCCGCAACTGCTTCTATCAGACGAAACACATGCTCGTCAATGCAGAAGTGCAAGCTCGTGTGTGACGCATGGATGGCATTGAGCGCGATTTCGCAATATCAGACAATGCGATACGAGTACTATTGTAAAGCAACCAATTTTTGTATCATAGGGCCTTCCGTCCACATATTAAAAGCATACAATCTATACAAAATGGCGAAGAGGAGAAGCAATACCGTAGATAGGAAAATGATTTAAAGAATGTGATACAATAACCAAATGAAAGGACAGGACTGAAAAAAAGCGGCGCAAGAAGACTCAAGGTAGTTCGGCTTCAGCTTTCCTTCTGGAAGCTCCACCTAGATAGACGGCTTCACTTGCTGTCTCAAGTGGTTGAGAAAGATGTAGAAAAGGCATCAGTCTTGGAGAATCAGATCTCAGTCCATCTCTCAGGGTATCTTTCCAGCCCAATAGCCGTCCCGATGCTCCCATTCCTTAACCCTCCCCAGGCCCAGCTTTCCTGGCTCCCAGGTTCTCCAGTCCAGAATTTCCCACAGGCAATCTGTGTTCAGAAGCCCATTACCCCAAGACCGAAAGCCCTGTATCGCTGCTACTCCAGCCGTTCTAACTTGGCCTTTCCGGGCCCCTAACCTGAAGTTGACGTCGTCATAGATGAATTGTATGTGTAGGGTGTGAAAGGAAGTCTTGTCTGCAACTCTTAAACGCCATTCCGCTATGCTGTTCCATCTTTCCCCGGTTCCCAGTCCTCGAAAGGTAAGGGTGGATGTACGCCTGCTGTGACCCCGTTTCGATGCCGTAGGAGAAATGATCCCAAAATGGTCGCGGTGACTGAAGGAGTGTCGAGAATTAAAAAATGATAATAACCCCTACCACCTTTAGCTTTCCCAATTGCCCCATTGCCCCCAGACCTGCAAATGCTAACCCTCCCAAACCCCCCTAAACACCCCCCACACCCCAGCCAGGTTATTCGTAGGCATTCGTAAATGGCGAATAATGTTGATTAAATGTGGCTCCGGTAGATGTCGAATATTCCACGAATTAGGCAGTATGACCAGCACACCACGCTTCCTACTCCTCCGCAATACTAAGAAGCCCCCGTAAACAACCGCCGCGACCCATAGATTACTATGTATGCAGGTCCTCGAATTGGTCAGATAGTCATTGGAAAGGTGCAGCCGGGTCGCTCGAACTGCCAGCCATCTGCGACTGCGTGTAGGGGCCTTCGTCCCCCTCCCCTTCTGCCTCCTCGGCCTCGGCGTCTAACTCCATGGACTTGTCTTTGCACGCCGCCGCCGAGAATCCGCTGCCCACCTTGGACGAGATGATGCGCCACCGGTCGTTCTCGTACTCCTGCATGGCGGTGCGCAGCTTCTGGACCTATCACCAGATGGGGTTAGCCCAGTCCGTCACCAAGATATAAGGGTAGGCAGGGCGGCGTTCGCTTGAGGTCTCAAACTCCAGCCGTCGCGGATCCCAACGACGTCCGGGCCTCTTCACTGCGGCACTCACCATTTCATCGGTCCACACGGTCGTCTTCGCCTTCAGCTTCGTACAGTATCGAACTTGCAGCGTTCCGGAACTGCGCCCAGGGAAGAAATCGGCTATTTGCTTCCAGGTGAGGTTCTTCTTCTCCTTGAGATCGACGAGCAGCGCGTCGTCCTCGGGCGTGAACTTCAATTTGGGACCTCGCGGGCGCGGCGCCGGTGCTGGCATCCCCTCTTGCCCGACCACGCTGGGCGGGCCATGGTGGTGCGAGGGAGAGGAAGCCGGTTCGCCATAGCGGGGCATCTTGTTGGGCCGGCCGGTGTTGGGTAGGTGATGATGATGTTCGCGCGGCAGAGAGAGCGAACCGGTCGGTTGCGGTTGGTAGTGAAGAGAAAGGCTCTGAGGCTGCGCGTGGTGGCCACTGGGGGTTAATTCGACCTGGACGTCGCTGGAGCCCTGCTGGACGTCTCCGGAAATTTCTTGGAGACCTTGCAGATCCAGCTGGAGGTCCTCGTGCGGGCGGGAGCGCTTGCGGGTTTGCGCCTGGCCGTAGTCGAGATGGGGATGTTGGGATCCGTAGGGAGAGGTTGGCGATGACTGCTGCATCGGCTGATGGCGCAAGAGGTGCGATTGATGTAAACTGGGGTGGGTCTCGATACTTGTGACCTGAACGAGGTGATGGTGTCCGCCATGGTGCTGGAGTGTTTGATGCTGTTGCTGTGGCTGCAGGAAGGGGTTCTGGGGGCCCAGGCCATACTGGAGGACATGTTGACTGTCGACGTTTGAGGATGGAATTTGGTCTTCTCCCGGGTGTTCTTGCACGTAATCGAGGGAGAAGCCTCGATATGAGCCCGCCAGCGTTGCGAATATGCATGGAGACTACCAGAGCTAGCTTGCTCTGGCAGGCCGCCGCAGTGAGACCCGAGCCAGAAGAGGATGTGGTTTGAGACGCGGTAGCGAGGGCCGGCAGCGGCGTATCGCACGTGCTTGGGAATGTTCGTGTTTTGCTATATTGACGAATGTTGCAGCAGCAGTAGCCTGGGGCGACGCGCCATCCAGCGTGTGTGCTATCGTTGTGTTAAGCGTTAGGATGCCAAATATAGGCGCGAAGCAACAAAACCTTTCTCGAGGGCGAGTCGGGCGCGCAGTGCATTATAACCAGAGTCGCGCAAGGCAGGAGAGGCATTGACTTTCGGGGCGCGCTCATGGACATCAAAAGCGTCGGTCCTGTGCAATTGCCACACGGACACGGTCGTCCAAGCACGAGAGGCAATGGGTACATCCACGAGACGGCCTTTGTTCCTGAAGGGTAGGGAGCTGGCTGAGTAGGGCAAGCCCAGGACGGATTCTACGTCAAGCATAATGCAGTGATCAACTACTGGGGGGCCAACCCAGCACTAGATCTGGACAGTAGTCGCAGTCATTTGCCCGTTACAATGCGCCCGACGTCGTGTTTTGAGTGGCTGACGACTCAAATTGAGGGCTGTACTGAATAGGTTGAGCTGGTTCCAATTGAGCACTCGCCCGAACACTGCTCGAGCCCACAGAGGCTCCGCCCGCACGTCTGCCAGCACACATAGAGGAGCCAGGAGGCCCATGGCCGGCTCTGCGGCCGTTGCAGGCCCTCCGCGGCGGCGTCAGCCAGGCCAGCCCTATTTCTAGAACGCCGCTCGAAGATCTCCAGCGCCGTTGGAGAGCGCCATGGCCGATCCCGGCAGCCATCGCCACACCAGGATGCGCATAGAATCAATATCGGCAGGGAGATGAGCAGTTCGCAGCAGAAGCCAACGCGCCGCCGAGACAGCCAAACACAGAAGGCCAACAGAACGGCATGCTGGCCGACGCCGTTGCTGGGAGCTGACGGGGGAGGTACTTACCGCGGCTTCAGCGCCAGCACAGGGCGGCGGGGGCACATGAGGCATAGGGGCTGACGGGGAGGATGAAAGGAGAGCACTTAGCCAGGCACGCAACACCTCTGACGCATACACATTATGCCCTCTAGCGGTGGCTTCAGGTGCTCGGCTGCCGCATATGCGGTTTCAGTTGGTATATTCGAGGCCCATGTCTATATGCACTTCGCTATGCCGGCAACGGTGCGAGGATCGCCCGAGCCACAGCTGGAGACTTCCGTCGGCCAGGGGGCCGGCCGGAATGACGCACAAACAAACGCGGGCAGTCTGCAGTGGCGACTGCACAGCGGCGAATTTTGGGACCTATTGGATGTATTTTGGTGTTGTGGTGTTGCAGTGATAGTGGTGATCAATGGGGCGCGTTGAGGCATGAGGTTAGGATCGAACTGCCGGGCGGCGAGGAAGCGCGGGATGGGAAGGCTTGGCAAAAGGGTGCGCCACGACTCCTGACAGTGATGCATTTCTCAGCGGCATCACTTCACCACAACGAGAGACTCGGTCCGCCTGATCTTTCGGCATACTGCTCTCAACTCGCCGGGCGACGCTGCCTCCCAGTGCGATGGGCGACGAGGCGAGCGTCGCAGGCTGTCCGCCCTCCGCAGCGCATCAGCCTTCAAGTTCACCACTCTCCACCCCCAGCCTCAGCGCGAAGCCGTCGCACGTGATCGGGGCTTCCTGGGTGTTCCCTGGTGCTCCTTACACAGTAGGCCTCACAGACATGCTCTAAAGGGCTCCTTGGAGGGTATCCCGGTGTAGCTGTCCCGGGGGGGCCCTCCCTACACATTCGTGATGCCATATCACGGCTCTAGCTGTGCTACTCGAGTGGCTCGCATTGTGTTGACGACGTCGCGGCGTCTAGTCGTCGCCATGTTTGCTTTAACTATTTAGGCTGATGCAACAGACTTCAATGGCCTGGATATCGCCCGGTAGCAGTCCTGCGGGTTAGATAACTCCCTGTCGACCTGCCACCTCCCCTATGCTCTGCACGTTTCGCTTATTGGGCCCTACGCCTGTTTCGACACGGCCTCGTATCTCGTAGGCGTGGTGTTTCGTCCCGGCGCCAGGGCTCAGGAGCATGCATCAAGCGAGCGGCCGCTGCCTGCCTCGCACCATCACTCAATCTCATTGCCATCTCGTCAGCGTCCCGACTCCCGTCGCGCAACGGCGACTTCTCCACACCTCCACCACATCGGCTCGGTAGCATAGCCGAATGGACTGCCCCCTCCCGTGCCGTTGCACCATCACTAACCAAGATTCGGCGGGCGGAATGGAACCAGCAGATGGCCAGCCAGTTGGCAGTGGAGTAGCGGCGTACGGTAATACGCTGAGGCAAGCTACATGGTGCCACTGACCTCCGATCGACGAATCCTGGCGATGGGAGGCATTTGTTCCCTCTAACAGCGGTGGACAGCGAATGACCAAATTCGAAACAAAAGACTGATTAACCTGACCAATGGCTCCCGCTGCCCGCCCCAGCGCGCGGAGGGCCGTCCAAGTGCATCAAGGAGCGGACTCCCCGGCAGTCGGTTTCCTATACTAAGCAAGCGGATATTCTCCAGCAGGAATTTTCCTCGACCTGATGACCCAGAACCACGGAAAGACTCAAAGGAAGGACCAGACCCAGCAGATTACACGAGGGACGCAGCCGAAGCACCAGACCGAAGACCAACCGGAAATGCACATATGCTTCGACGACTCCTCCGCCAAGAGAGAACCGTATCCAAACAATCCCAAGCAACAGACGGCTGCCGACAGGTCCTGCGATCTGCGGATGCTGCATGCAATGCTCCATTACAACCAAGGAGAGCTGGTATCATAAGCAAGACGCTAATCCGGAAACACGCAGGCTGTGCTCTTGAACCTCACAGCTTCCCACCAAAATGCTCTTTTGCATACGACTCGCACGCCTGTCCACCCATCAGTTGGCTGTCGTCGACTTCCAAACGCAGAGGGACGAGCTCGGCCTACTTTAGCGGGCTTTCCTACTTTAGTACCGATGACTTTCCACTTGTTGGCGTCGTACTCCTTGATCGCCGCCAGCAGAGCTGCACTCTATATATCTGGTCAACGAGCCACTGCTAATTGCCTCAGCTGAAGGAGGGACCCACCTCGTCTTCTCCGAACTCGGCATAGTGCATGTCCTGGAGCCGGCGTCGTCAGCATCGCAGTTCTACAAGTGCCATCAATCTTCAAGTTTGCCCGTACCTTGTACCAGTGCTTCTTCACACTGCCCTCTGTTCGGTGCGGAAATGTCTAAGGCACCCACACACGAGTCAGCCACCCCAGTCTCCAACGTCTCTCCCGATGCAAATATGCGGTGCGTCCGTCTCTCGAGTATGTTTGTCTACCTTTGCAATGTCGCTCCAGGTGTTTCCCGCATCTCTCATCTGCTTCAACGTCTGCTCCTCTTTTGCCGTCCACGGCGTGTTTGTCCGACCCTTCTTCACGACGGGCTGCTGCGGTGGCGGATCGAGATCTGCGACGGGCGCGGTGGCAAGGCCATACCCGCTTGACGCCGCGGCCGTGGACGGCGCTATGGGCTTAGCCTCGAAGTCAGAGCCCATGGAGGACTTGCGCTTTCTGGAGTTCCCGGGCGTAAGCGGAGGGCCGAAAGCCGAGACGCTTGGATTGGCGGCGGGCAGCGCGTTAGAGGAGTCGGTCGAGATGTACTGAGTCGTGGGAGCGATGGGCGAGGGTTTCAGGTTGCGCTTCGCGGCGGGCGACGACCTGTGAAACGGAGAGTACCACGTCAGCACTCACGAGGTAGGAGGGGCAGAGAGTGGTTCAAACGGGTTGGGGCATCCAGCAAGTGAGGTCGAGGGGACTCACGACATGACGGATCAGCCGTCTTTTATGCGGCAGGCGGCGTGCGGAGGTAGGTGGGCTTTCACTTGTCACGTCGAGGGCATCTGCGACCTTGGGAAGAGGTCAAACGGGATCACAAGCAGTCAGAGTGACAAGCTGCCTGTATTGTGGTGGCAGTAGATCATGATGATATTCAAGCAGGCAGATCATCAGTCGGGTGCAGGCGCTGATCCAGTACATGGATACAAGAGAGCTAGGTTCGCAGGCAGGCGAACGAATAGTAGAGCGCGTGCGGAAGAGGACAGCGGGGGCCTCTGGGGTTCATTGGGGCCGCGGACTCGCAGCCGGCTAGTGCTGTGTGGAGGGTGCGAGGCGGGCTCTTGAGGGCGTACAGCTACTTCATGCCCTATCCAGAACCCGCAGTAGGCGAAGTATCCGTACAGCGAGGGAGAAAGCGGGGTAGGCGGGTGCAGATGAAAGCGGGTGGAGCCCTGGTGCGGGAGTGGACGTCGTCGTCACGCGGACCGCATTGTTCATGCAAGTGATGCAGCAGGGCAGAAGCAGACGCGCTGGCCGGCCACTCCAGACTCTTGAGCAGCGCGGTGCGGCGTCGCAGTCAGCTTTGCGTGCATCGCGGCGAAGTGTTGGCTGGCCACGGAGCGGTGCCGCTGCAGACAGATATCGTCAGGCTGCAAGTGCTGCAGCTGTGCAGACTCGTCATGGCCATCGGACGAACGAGAGTATCGATATGGACGCTGTGAGCAGAGGTACCCCGCCTGCCCGCGTCGTTGGAGTCGTACCAGGTCGTGCTCGTGCTTCTCAAATACCATGCACTACGCCGCGACCTCTCCCACCCGTCCAGCTCGCGAAAATGCAGCGGCTAGGCGAATCAGCGCAGGAGCTGGCAGTATTATCATTGCTCTTTTCTCCGCGGTGGCGCTAGCGTACCCCAGCCAGCGGTCGTCGCGCCCAGAAGCAGTGAGTGTTGCAGACGGCGCGGAGAGCTCCCTCAAATCACTGCGACGGCCGAGTCCGAGGTCCATATCCACCAACAGTGTACATACAAATGCATGCACAGCGGCCGACGTGCATATCAGTTCTCTGATCTCGCAGTGTGCGGCAGGCGTGCAGTTGTACGGTGGTGGTGGTGTTTCCCGCCGCCAAGCCTAGCCTCTACCGTCCAAGCGCTAGGCTTGACACATGAGGCGTGCCAGAGCGTCAGCCTCAGTGTTTGAGCCGGATTTCAACTTCCCCATCGTGTTAGAACATCGCCGACCGCCTCCAACGAGCCTGCAAAGCCCGGGACGGCGCTGTTCCGAGCCATGTTTGCAGTTCGCGCCTCTGACAGCGGTTCCAGCTGGTGCCCAAGGTTTCGAGGCCTCGACCAAGTGCTCCTCGACGACGACACCTCGCCGCCATCAGACAAGAGGCGCCGCAGAGTACCACCAGCTGTGGGCAGACGAGGCTGCTGAGTGCTGTCTCTTTGCGTACCAGCTCTCAGGTATTCCCTGCTAATACAAGCCTCGAAATATCAACAACAAGCCTCCCACACAAGCACTTACTGACAACAAGCTCCAACTAACCCACAACCCCAGCGGCAAAATAAGGCCCTCGATAACTCTATCCGTGTACTGGCCACTCTTCGCGCAGAGCCAGAGCCTACTGTTAGCGCCCGCTGTCGACCGCTCCGAAGCCTTGTTTCTGCTATCGCCGCCTGATACACGCCCGCCGCTGCTCCAGCAATCACAGGCCGTGAATTTCCCCCCTTCGTTGCGAGTTTTGAAACCCGTTTCTAGCAAGACTGCTGCGGGGCGCACTTTCATGCACTCGCGCCTCTGATCTGTCCCAGATCCCGTGCCCGCCTCTCCGCCAAGCCGCTGCTCCCGCCCGATGCGGCATGGCGCGTCTCGCATCGCGGGTTTCCAAAACAGATGGCCCAAGTCGCCGCTCCTCCACCATGGCGACGATCAAAACTTAGCCTGCAGGAGGGGGTTTGAAAACGCTGTCAACAAGCCCTCCTGCCACTCCAATCACCATGCTCTCGCCGCGTAGACCGCCTGCCGCTCGAAGGGTGCTAACTATATATCCACCGTCCCAAGGCCCCGATTGTTGACGCCTCATCCGCTATTGTGCTCTCCGCTTCAGTCTTTTTTTCTCTTAGCAGCCTTGTAATACTTTCTTTCACTTCCCACTGGTTGGGCTGCCTTACATTCCTTTAATCGACATTGCTGAGCAATACGACTCTTGTGTCTACCGCACGCTTAATCCATTCTTTCACATATACCGAACTTTGCAATAACGTCAGGCACGACTCCTCACGACTTGAATATCAGACCTCAACACACAATCTCTACAACACAACAACGAACTAAGCAACATGCTTCATCACCACTCTTCTCAGGTGCTCTCTCCTCTAAGCGAAGTGGACCCCCACTCGTCCGGCCTCCGGGCACGCAAGATGTCCTCCACTGGCGGCAACAGGTCCTGGTCTGAGGAAGAAGTGAGTTTTGCCTTCAGTTTGACCTAGGAGCATTGCTGACAGCACCAAGGAAAACTATCTCCTCCAGACTCGCATGCAGAAGATGCCCTACAAGCACATCGCTGCTCATCTCAAGAAAACCGAACTGGCCTGTCGCCTCCACTACCACCAGCTCTCTCACGGAAGCCATCGCCGGAAACGGACCGCCTCTGTCTCTTCCACGGCCTCTTCTCACTCCGCTGGTCAATCCCCCCACCTTCAGCACTCCATGCCTAACGACCGCGACGACTATATGGAGTCATCTCGTCATACTTCTCCCGTCAACTACGCCAGCAATAGCCCTCAAGTCCGTGCGACTCCTCTCCATACCTCGCCCAATCGCAACCAACACAAGATTCTCCTCCCTAAGCCCCGTCCCTTGACACCCCGCCACTCCCCTGAACCCCACAACGCTCTTCGAATAAACACTGCCGACATCCACCACCACAAGGTCATCGACACCGAACGCCTCCGCGCTATCTATGAAGGCCGCCGTGCTCAGTTTTGGGCCACTGTCGCTGCCGACTACGGTGCTGATGTTTCTCCTGCCCAACTCGAAGAAATTTGGCGCACAGGCACGAACATCGCTCGCCCACCCACCCCAGACGCCTCTCCAGATGGCAGCATAGTGGCTCATCCCATGTTGAAGCCTTCTCCCTTCGCCTACCCTTCGGCATCCGCGTCCGCCACCGACCCCTGCAAGACCTTCTCCCCATTCCAAAATATCAGCGCCGTCTCCGCTCCTGATCGCATGCCGTTCGTCCTGCCCATGCCCGTGCAAACGCCTATCCAGGGCCGCCTGTCTCGTGCCTCGACATGGGGGTCAAGCAGCTCCGGGGGAAACAACGTCCCGATCGCAGCACTCTTGACGGAGGATCGGGAACCTAGGGGCGAAGACATCAGCATGAGGGAATAGACTCCTTTATCCCCCCCTTTTTTTTGCTTCACAAGATTTCGGGCTTGGTTGAGAAAGACTAAGACCGGTGGTGCATTTGTGTTTGCTGGGCTATACCCCTTGACTCTACACATTACTCTTTCTTATTTTGATGGCAGCCCACTTTTTATCTATATTTCCTTCCGTTGTATTTTCCTTCTCTACTATTTTTCGTATTCTCTCCTTAAAAGACTACACCGTTTCTATCGAGGAACCGTGTATTTGGTTTGGTGGACTGAGTTTGAAGTGGTACTGCTGTCGCTTGTGGTGCTCCGGGTGTTCCATCGTTTTGATGATCTAACAGTTCCGATCTTGGGAAATGTGCTATGGGGATGCTTGTACGATAGGCCGATGACTATCTTTACTCTACTCGCCCATCCATCTTAAGACATGGGGCCCGGGCAGCCATCCGCTGATGCCACGCGCACGGTCGGGCTGGAATAGAATATGCTTTATGATCAACATTCTTTCTTGCTGTCCTCGCTTCTCTCCTCTTTCCCATAGCTCGGTAGCTGCTATCTCGTACTCTAATTACGGCTTGAGAAACACAGGCTTTGATTTGGAAATCCAAGTTCCGCACGACTAGCGAAAGTAGGAAGTGCGTTCAGTGCGTCGTATTCGGGATGCATTTTTAGCATTGCAGTCAATATCCGTCATACGATCTCCGGCTTCACAGTCCGACCCCGGCATAACCGATGACGAGGTCCACTTAATGCCCTGCATTACCGACCCGCTGGGCGAGCGTGTTGGGACTGCTATACGGGCCGGAAGGCCGTACGTGGATAGGAGGAATACGTATCAGGTCTGTCAGAGCTCCAGATTTCGCGCTCTCTGCTTTTGAGAGATTCATTCATGCAACGAAACCGGACGCGGTGGCGATCGCCGGCTACTAGACCTGTACAAGGGGATGAACCTTGAAATCGTTCATTGCGTGGTCATTTTCTGCTCGCCGCCGCACGTTTGGTATATGGCGAATACGTACAGTAGTAGGAATGCAATTTAGCACATCGGGCCATGATTCGGGACTCCACCGGAACGCTGGGAAAGGGGGCGCGGGAGCTCGAGCGGGGACCGTAAAGGCTGGTGCAAAGACCGTTGAAGCTCGAGCAACGACTGTAAAAGCTCGAACATCGGACACGTCGACATCTACCAACTAGGATCTCACGTCCCCCCTTGAGACTATTCGGGAGGTAATCATATGCGCAGGGCTGACACTCACCCTCGGTATCAGATTAGCGGGCATGAACGCATAAAGCCGCGGTGATTTGTGTCGTACGAGACGCTCATGCATGGAAGCTCCCCGGACATAAGCGAATCCGCCGCACGGAGAGGGCGGCATGGGTGCCCGGCGGAAGGTTTGGAAGCCGGGCGTTGTGGCGGACCTGGCTGTTGGGTCCACGGATTGAGGTCGGATTAGTGGCTGAGGGGATCGGGGCGGGGTGCTGGTTCTTGATTTGGGATCATTTCCCTACATTATTAGGGCTGGCTGGGATTCTATTGCCCTCGGGTCCTTTTGTTCAATGCTAGGATACTCATGTCTGCTAGGATACTTATGGCTGCTTTTTTTTCAAGCATTGGCCTTGAGGTCTGATGAAGTCTTCCAAGGTTCTCAGCAATCGGATATGTGGTTTAGAATAGGGGGCGTGTGGGTGTAGCTGGGAAATCCGCCTGAAGTCTCTGACGTGGATCAGGGGTGCACTGTATAGGCGAGTTGGTGGCTGCACTGGATGCAGAGGGGGTAGCGGGGACGATGCTGGTTGAACTGTTTGAAGTCGTCGGATTGGGGTGTGGCAGTTGGGGCACGTGCCTGTGGCTGATATGACTAGATTGGTTAGGTAGGTAGGTACCTCGAAGTTCTGATCATGTGATTAATGCTGAGAAACTGACGTCCGAGAAGAATGAAGGGCTGCGAAGTAGCTATCTCAAGTGGGCATCGCAGTAGAATATCCAGCAGGAAATCTATTGTGCGTATACAGTAAGTTTGGGTACACTGATATAACTTGGAGTTGCTGGCATAGTAGCTGCCTACATGCCTAGCCAGTTACAACTTCTACAGAGAGGGGTTGGGGTACGGTGGCCTACCGTGCCTACCGTGCCTACTGCTGTCTCTAATTAGTGCTTCTGCCTACGCGTACAGTCACTTCCTACGTAGTATATAGTTTGGCCTTCGGGCCCCCGAAATAAGACAGAGTTCACGTCAATTTGCAACCTGAGTATATACCTCTGCACGGGTTCCACTCTTGCTCGCTCGATACCACTGTCGAGAGCACCCTAGCAGATATTCAGTTAGTTAAAAGAGAATCTGATCTCCACTGCATCTACCTTTACATTGTATTTGAAGTTTGAGAAGCCAATGGGAGTACCCTTAGCGGTCGCAAGGAAGAGTGCCCAAACTTATATTCGGTGGTGTAGTGTGAAAGCTCGCTAATCAGCAGTGAGCCTTATGATAGAAGTACGTATATCTTTATGGGGCCATTTGAATAGTCATCCTTAATAAATCCAATCGCCTGTTAGATTTCATTGTAGGTCACGGTGTTGAGAAGTCCGCGAAGAGTCTACCGGCCGATTTCATGACTCACTACCTTTCGATTCATCTATGGAGACATTTACCTATTCCCCAGGGTTTCTAGATACATGAGAATGACTGAGGAAAGTGTGTCATTCTGAGGAGTTCTACCATACCAAGGAAACTAGATGGGCTCTTGAGCAAGCTCAATCGCATCGAATGCTGCCACCCTGAACAGATTCCAGCCGATAGTAATAGTATCCCCGATCCATCTTTGTATAGAAATCCTCAAGAGCGTTCTCAAAGTCGAGGTATCGTCTAACGACACCACACTCTCCCTGGTGGGCCTCATTCGCATGCGCCTGCCGACACTCCTCCGAGCAATAAGTCTTCTTGAAACAGCCAGAGCATGGGATTCGGGGATCCACCTTGTCGCAGCTGGGAGCAGCGCAAGGCTTCGCTAAGACAACAGTCGCGTTTGTCAATGACTGACGACGTGTGATGTGTACAAGCTTTCCCTTGACTTCGATGACGTCGTCCTTGTACAGTGAATCTACTCTACTGAACACTGCATGTTGGATGGCAAGTGACTCGCTCACCCATTCAGATACCAGCTTATGGAAGTTGACCTTGACAATATATCCGGCGACGATACGAGGGTCGTCCATGTCGATAATAGCACCTACGCCAGGGGTGGTGCTGCCGCATGCCTCGTTGGGAATTGTGACGTATTCCATCTCGCAAGATATTGCGGTCCTGGGGTGAGGATATGGTGGTCAGATGTGGACGATTGTCCAGCGAGGGAACGGAAGTGATGAGGCTGCACCTCCAAAGAATCCGATACCAGGTTTATGTAGTGTGAAACCGCTATTTGATGGCAAATGATTGCTACCTTTTCGGCGTTTTGTAAAACCTTCTTTGGCTCACTCCAAACTACGTTATGTCAAGAGCAAGCTAGTAAGGTCGCAGATACTATACAGAGTCAGCACAAAGAATTAAAAGGAAGATGTGGAGGTTTCAGGCACCCGTCTGAAGTACCTACAAAGACTCTTTTAGAATAAATCTCGTCTTGGGGTTTCTCAGCACATGATTGAGAACTTAGAGCAGAACAAAGTCTGTGCACTCCTGCTTACCATTGTCTAAGGTCCTTCTTGCACTATCCGAAACTCAGATAAAATGTAAAAGTCAAGACAACGTAGATCAGAGCGGTTTCAACCACTGTCAACTGACCTTTTCTACCGTTTCGTTCGGAGAGGCTCAGCGTTTCATCAGAAGTTTGGAAGCAACACCAACCAATTGCAAAAGAGAGCGCGCAAACTTATATTGTACTACAATATGAGCGAAAATTGTACCGTGAGTGTATAAGAGGCAGCCTGAAATGTAATTAATTATTAGTATAAAATATTCGTCATAGAACCCAGACCACCCCAAGATTGTCGCACAAATTAAAGCTCTTACATCCCCTTTTGAACAATCTGGTTCCTAAGTTAGTAGCTCTTTATCACAGCTTTTCATCTTCTCATAGTTCCATCGCCACTCCCGCTCCCACCACCGCGCTTAAAGCCGCTTCTTGACTCGCCGTAAGCTGGGTTTTGACCCACTCCCGGCGCAGGTCTGGCAGCCCATCCCGGGTTTCCACCCATATCCATCGCATCTGGATTATGGAGATTAAGGTGCGCAGGGACATCTCCGTAATGCGGAATTGCATCCTGAAGCGACGGAAGCGGTGGGTATGGTGCCAGCGGACGCAGCGGCGTCCTCAACTGGGCCTCGTATCCATAAAAAGGCTGCGGACTGAACTGCGGTGAAGGGGATGGTTGGTACTGCTGAGACGGAGGAGGCTGGTAGTGATAATGGTGCTGCATTTCCTGGGGATCGTGGTGTGATAGTTGTAGACTCGGCGTTCTGGGTACCCTGATCCCACCCATTTGCTGCAAGTTGTTCTCTCTGAAGGGCGTGAGTGGAGCTGATGAATGAGGATTGTAGAATGGGGACACATGAGGCTGTTGCTGTGGAGGTTTCTCTCCAGGTTGTCGCAAGTCTCTTCCGGCCATTTCCCATCCCAAAGGCTGGAAGCTCTCGGGCGAGAAAGACTGCAGGCCTGGGTCTTCAAGAAGATACATGCCCGTATTGCCCATCACCGTGTCCGAAGGACTGTGTTCCGGTACATCGAGAACTCGCTGTCTGCTACCCTCGGCAGCACCACTTCCACTTGCCTCCCCCATTGTAGCTCCCCGACTAGACTCTGCTCTTTGTTGTATTTGCCTCTTCCCCAGTTCTGCTAAGCCCCAGCTCACTCTTTCAACTGCGAGTCCTGCCAGCTTGTGTATGCCCAGTTTTTCGAGCTCCACGAAGACAGCGTATGCACGCTCGACCTGTGGCACATGGGCCAAGGCCCCCGTTTCGAGGGCATCAGTGAGTAGAATCATGCAGCTGTTGAAAGCTTGTTGGCCCATAGTCCAGCATAGCAGCGCAGCTGGGACGCGATGGTAGAAGAAGAGAAAGGCGTCAATCAGGGACCGAGATGAGGTCAGTACAAGAGGACGACCACGTTCGCTGGTCTTAGGTCTTGTAGGCCTAGGCTTAAGGTCGGCGGGGTTGTCCCTAGTTGATGGAGTCTGGGTAGGGAGGGGTGGAGGTGGCATACAGCTTTGGTCGGAGGAACTGTACTGTGTAACATATGCATTTATAGGATTGAACGTGAAGCCGGAGACGGACGGCTGGTTGGCAGCATGAGGTGGAGACTGAGATGGGTCTGAGCTATCTTTTTCTGGTTCGATTCTTTGGCGATTGAGAAGAATGAGGTAGTTTTGTGTTTTGGCATAGAAAACTATGCAGTGTCAGTAGGGTGTGAGGTATCAAAAAGCTGTAAAAGCATGCATACCGGCAGCCATGGCATCAAGTGGCCACTCCGGAATCTGCTTGCCCTTCTCCAGCCAGGTCTCATCGAATTGTAGCATCTCTGGCATCGTATCCCATAGCGCGAGTAGTCTATCTGTGAACCAATCGATTTTCGTAACAGTCAATCGATCGCTGCTGAGGATCTGTCTAGCGAGAACAGTGAATTGATTTATGTACTCGCTCAGACGCAGGATAGTGGGGTTAGTAGTCAGTGGTTCTGCGGGAGGACAGTCTCCGATGCCACTGATCCCCAGTGGACGTCCGAGGGTCATGGAGTACTGCTGGTCCATGTGAAGCATCCACCACCAGACCTTCTGCCTTATTCCACATTCCTTGAGAGGGGGAGCAGGGTCGAGGTATTTCGGGTTTCGGTGGAGGCCAATTGAGTGAGCGAGACGGATTGTGGTGCCAAATAGCGTCCAAGCATCGAGAAAGCGGCCACTGTTGGTCAGATACGGCCCGATCATGATGAGTGTTTGTATGCCAAGCAGCGTTGGCCGATTCATGAAAGAGGCCATGCGGAGTGCCTGCATGGCTGCAGCAACTAGTGCAGTGTAAGCATTACTGATACAGAAAAGGACTCCGTGTAGAGTCACTGTACGCTTACTATAAATGTCCCCAAAGTTCTTTTGTTCAGTTTCCATAGCACCTGCTACCCATTTCCCATTACACTTATCAAACACTCCGTTCTGAGATCCCAGAGCCAGGGCGGCAAATATCAAGGCGAGCATATCGGGGAACATCTCGGCATTGGTTCGTGTGTCCGAAAGAAATCTCTCGATCTCGGTCCCGGTGACTTCATCGGGCACATGAGGGAACGAGCAACTCTGAGCGCGGTTCTGAAAAGCATCCAAGTATCGAAAGAGGTCCTCCTTGGGAGGCAAGCAGTGCAGCAACGCATGAATTCCCCCGTCAACTTGGGGTCTAGGCACGGCTAGCCACATCGTGGCGAAAGGGTATGCCGGCGTATTTTGAGAAGCATACATGTCTGCACCTCTCGGCATAGAGTGACTGAGGGAGTGAGATCCCACATGAAGGCTTGCAAACTACGATGCTATTAGCAAATCACGAGGGAGAAGAAGGGAAATACCAACATCATTGACGATGCTGGCAAGCCCAGGACTACCAAAATACAGACTGTCGGCCTTGTTGTCTTTAAAACGCTTCTGCTTCACTGAGGGCCTCTTCGCCCTCGCACCTAGCCTGTCGCCCAATGGCTGGCTTGGGGAAGGGGCATCTTGTTGTTCGCCATCTCCTGACTGCTTTGCAGCCCGCAGTCGTTCCTTGAGACGCAGGTTCTCAGCACGAAGCTTGCGGAGCTCGTGAGACTGCAAGACAGGCTCGTAAGTACTGCCCTCCGCGATAACGAAGTGGCATTCTTTCGGCACGCCACGAGCACAACAAGAGATACACGGCTTTGTCCGATCACACTAGAAGCAGATCAGTTTCATGTCGGTCAGGGACAGCCTGGTTGTTCGATCAAATTGCAAGAGCTTACTTTGATTTTGCGTTCACGGCATCTTGTGCACGAGAGTGGTTGACGTGTTTCCTTTTGTGCCTTCTTTTTGCCAGTAGGTCCTTGGGTCTCGAGGATGTTCTCGGTCGACGAGGATGAGCTGGGGATCTGCGGCCAGGACGGACCTTCTTCGTTCATGGTGAGTGAGATGGGCAGGGGATAGGGCCAGTGAGAGCAAGTTGTACTCCAGCGAATGGTGATGCTAGGACTAGCGGTGCTCTGAGAGGAGATGCTTGGTTGCTCGGAGAAGCGCGACCCAAGGCGCTGATTTTTATATACTCGTGAACTCCCCGGACCTGCGGCACTTCCTGCGTCTTTCCATTAGAACAGTGTTTTTTTGTTCGACATCCTGCTCCCACCTACTCAGGAGTCATGACATCTCACTGACCCCCGCGCTTGCCGACGAGAATTCCGACAGCCTGGATTGCACACTGCTGCGTAGCGGCGTCACATTCGCGATCTGACAGCCAGTGGAATTACGAGGTGCGACTCGAAGGCGTACATTCTCATCGGCGAGGTGGTGAAGCTCTAGGGCATGTGTGGCTAGGTATCCAAGGAAGTGAAGGAGACGCGCAGCATGTACCCACCTACGACGCCATCAAACGAGCTCCGGATCCGTCATCCTGCGTTCTGTTAGCAGAGAGCACGGCCATCGTAGTACAGAAATATCGCCAAGACGGACCCGTTCATCCACGCAAGATTCCACAACTGGAAACTGTATGGGCAGATCTCTTTTAGATGACCCACGCTGGCGGGCCGATCCCCCATACTCGGGCGCTAGGGGTAGCAATGAACGTCCGGCACCTTCTTGTCACTGCTCATTGCGCAAATCGAGTGATTTGGAAGAGCTGGAGAAGTCCTTCTGGATGTCCCGAAAGAATATCTTTCGCAACGAGTGACGCACAGTTGTCAGGCGTCTGGGCGTCACGCAGCCACAGCCGATCTAAGGCCAACCGGGGGCCAAGGGGTGTCGTTCCGGGGAACCCTAAAGACGCCACTACTCCATGCGCCGCTTCCAAGTTGCCGTCACCCCGTAGTCCAGTCTAGGCTAGATTGTTGATCTCAGGGTCTAGAACTGCCCTTGTTTTCACATTCTCGGTCTGTCATATAGAGAAAGTTCTCACAACGTCTAAGATGCTGCATTGAGTGCCTTGAGTGCATTGGAATTGGATTAGCAGTGGTGGCCATTCAGTAGTATGGTGGCTTGGTATGTTTAGCATTTACCAATATCAAGTACCAAAGACTAGCATAATAGAGACTGGGCCCAAGGGCCCGGGGATTCATTCGTACCAGGGACCCAAGCGAGAGGATCAACTGCGGCGATTACTCAACATCATGGCCAATGACGTGAATTGGAGTTGAATTTGGCGAGAAATGACGAACAGCCGCACGCGCGATCGTCAAAACAGACACAGCTAACACGCCTCATTCCACCCGGCCAACCGGCGACCCGAGATTCAAGTGAGATTCCCAGCTATCCGATTGAGCCCTTTAAATGTCGCTCCGATCTTCGCTTCCCACGTTCTCTCATAACAACAACTGGCCGGCGGCCAGCTGTGCGCCTCTTGAGGCTCACTCGCATACTGTGTAAGAAAAAGAAACAACGGCACGCATTTCAATCCCACTTTGTGAAACTTGTTGTCAAGTTCCGGTGTGCCGGCCCTTCAGGTGAAACCGCGTCTAACGCGTTATAGTATACATGTGTTTACAGCTGCCCCTACACCGCTATTTATCGTACAACATCTCATGGATCGTCAGACCACGCTTCCCAAAACATCATCCGGGACAGCGAGCGCGAGCCCAGGCAGACACTCAGGGTACCCCCACCAGCTCGTGTCCGCCGGAATCGATCATCATCTACCTGCACGAGAAATGTAACGCCGATCTCTAGATCCTTGTCCCATCCTCTCTCTCAATCAACCTTATCGGAGTTACGAGGATCTCCAAAAAATAAATGTCGACCTCCTGGAGCTTGACTTCCCATCGATCGCCAATGCGCGCATCCGGCTGGCCTTTTGGTGGCAGATCCATCATCATAGATATCGACGAATCTTCTGCTCGCACCAAGCAATTCTTGTTTTTATAATTGTGCGTTTGGATCCTCACCGTGAAGGTTTCCGGCAAAGGTGCCTCCTTGAAGTAGAATGCCCGGAAGTAGTAGTGGGTACACCAGAACCTGAGCGATTTTTCCTTGGTCTGCGAGATGATGCGCTCGCGCGGTTGGATTGTCGTGCATAGACGTTTGATCTGAGGCTCTGAGAAGGTAAGATAGTCATGGTTTGTGCTGCCGACCAGGCTCTTTCCTGTCTTGGCCTCCTCCAGCAACGCCGATCCGATTTGCCAATGTGTAACCATGTCACCGTACCGACGCAGAGGACTTGTGACTTTGGCGTAGTGGCTCATGCCAAGAAATACATGCCGAAGAGCCTTACTGGTTGCGACAGTAACGCCCATCATCTCCATGTACTTGATTCCCACGCTGAGTGGTAGCACGCCTTGATGCTTTTCCGAAGCTGGATCTAGAACGTCTCGTTTGAACTCGTCGATCGACACACTCCTAGGATTCCGAACAGAGCCTCTGAAGATTGTGGGTATGTTGCGCTCTGAACACCAGGCTGCGCCAATCTCGCATCCAAGCAACATCATCTCTTGCACCAAAATACTCTTGAGAGTTGACTTCTCACTGAACATGTTGAGAAGCGGTTCGGGCTTCAGCTCTATGACTGGATCGCCTCTGACAAAACGTGCTGTTTCGTGAGAAGGTTGGGTCCAACCGAGTCCGCTTCGTTGATAAGTTTCATACACTTTGACATCGACGCTGCTTTGGTCGAGGAAAAGGCCCCCAGCATCCTTTCGAAGTTGGGCACGTGCGTTAGCTAGCGTGTTGAGCTCGCCCAGATTCTGAAGATCAAGCTCTTCAAGTTCATCGACCATCTTGCGTGTTGCCCGTACTTCCTGGGGCTCGCCACCTACAATCCAATGCTCTGAGTTCTTCTTTTGTTCGACGTCAAAATAGCGAGATATGGTATCCGGGGCGACGTATTTCACGTTCCGTAGGAGGGTTGGCTCGATCTTCTTCTCGAGTATTTCTCCTTTCTTGTTCACCCTGGCGCTGAAGGTAAGAGCAGGGCGGTCTGGACCAAGACTAAAGTGCTTGGTCGTGGCCCAGGTTGGCATCATAGAATAACTGCGTTCCGGCATATAGACTGTTTCGGTCATATGTGCTGCTAGCTTTGCCAAAACATGGTTCTGGTCAAAGAACGCGGAAGGATTCGCGATGTGAATGCTCACCCAACTTTCCGAAGAGTCGGGAATTCTCGCAATTGACAAACCATCATCAATCTCGGCTGCACTAGGGTCGTCAACACAGTACACCGTCGTTTCCCCCAAGTCCCGCCGTAGACTGGCCAGTGAATCTGTAAATCCAGGGCTTTCCCTTTTGTTGAACGCCTCTCTGCTGATAAGTTCGAGTTGGCGAGAGAATCGAGAGGTCGGGAGCATCAGTCCTTCGTCGTACGCCAGTCTGTTCTCATATGGAACAAGGACCCCAATTTCCTGCAAAAAAACCTGCCCAGAACCTCTGTCGCATGGTTGGTCATCGGGGTAGCACCCTACAGTGTTGATGATGAATGCTGCGGCGGAATGCAGCTGACCAAATTTCGCAAACTTGCTGGCGAGCGTCCAAGACTCCAAGAATGCAATGATGAGAGTATCCGCGTCGCTGAAGTTTTCAGCGTACTTCAGGCGCATGGCTGACGAGGATTTGGAAATGGGAAATCGTTCTTTGCTTGGACCGATATTGCCTTGTTTGGTTGGCGGGCGAGTTTGGCGACTCAAAGCCACCAAAGCTCTCGCCTTGTCTGTGAACTTTGCAATGTACCCTGCGCCTTGACTATGTCGCTCGGCACTTGCGGAATCGACAGGCCGCGCGTTGTACTTTGTAACGCGATTGGCAAGGTACTCTTGGTATTCACGAACCCAGTCGAGACACAGTTGCATGGCTTCAACCTCTTTGCTTGGTCGGACCATGTAGGTGCCTGTCCTGCGAAGATCCTTCTCGTCTGAATATATCTTGAAGCCTGAGCGGTCAATTGACTTCCGAATTGCGAGTAGTAGAGCTGGCGGTGCTTCGTACAGGTCATGGCTAGAGCCGCGTGGCGCGAACAGCTTGCGCGCAATACTTTCCAAGGTGATGAAAATGGTATTGCTTGGATGGCAAAACGAGTCGTAGATGTTATCAAGAACAGCAGCGTTCTCGCGGTATATCTTTTCCGATTGGTTCCAAAGCCCCATAAGAGTGTGAACAATTGGTGCGCCAAAATCGCGCGGAACATCGACCTTCCCAACAAGCGCCTCGCGGGCCTCATCAGTTACGGGCTTAGTGGGAAGATATGGCAGGATTTTTTCAATCAAAGAGGTGTCGATGATGCCAGGCATCACATATTTGACCTTCGAGATTGGTACGTGGATGTAAGCTCCGTCCATGAGATAGAATTGCATTTCCCTCTCTATCTGTTGAGTGAAGACAGCGAGTTTCGGCAAGCCTGCTTTACCGCCACTGAAAGAGTTAGCTATATCGGGGCTATAATGCAGTCATTGCTTACGAGACTTCAACCACGTCACCGGGATTCATGAAGACGGAAGCGATAGATGGATCTTCGAGAAACTCTCTTTCATCGTCCGCCTGCTCCATAGCCTCCTTCAGTTCGTCATTTGAGGAAGTCAGCTTGACAAGCGAGTTCATAGTATCTCCTTTGACAATAGGATGCCTCTCAAAAGGGTCAAGCTGCTCAGCATTTGGCACACCGAACTCTTCGTTCCAAAGCTCTAAACGTTTTCTTACTGGCAGGTTATTATTAGAGGGTTGACCTGGTTGGGGCATTGGTATTTGCTCAGTCTGAGAAGCGGTGACGACCTCCTGAAAGTGCTAGATCACGTAGTGTTAGCATGTTGACGAATTGATGGCATTGCGTCAACGTACTCTTGCAGAGGTGTGATATGATCTGTTATGCTTTGCTTCGTGGAAAGACAAGAGGTGACTCAGAGTTTTGCTAGGAGGAACATCACGTTGAAGATGTTTCTTACGGGTATTATCAACCAACCTAAGGCTTATATTTCGGCGCTGTTCTCTAACTAGAAGATCTTGAACGGACGTCTGACTGTCGAGTTGGCTACTATTTTGCACGTCCTGGATATCAATAGCTGATGTGGATTTGTCTTCGCCAGGGGGTGGCCTAGGGTGTTGCTGCCATGTCCCCAGAAGCCTTCTTGCTTCTACGATATCTGGGTGATGAGCTGAGCTGAGCGCATTTCTATAATATCGAATCGGAGGGCCGTCGGCAGAAGCTCCAGGTAGGCTGGGAGCATCGCTCCTCGAATAACGCACTGCTGGCTGAAGCGTTATCTTCCTGACTCCAAGTAGGCTGGGAGCATCGCTCCTCGAATAACGCACTACTGGTTGAAGCTTTGTCTTCCTGACTCTAGATCTTGCTCGCCTAATATCTCTAGTATCATTGGCAGTATCAGCGGGCACCTCGTCGCCTGCTGCAGATTGTGGTCCAGATTGTGAAGGGTCGTCAGAGGGTGAATCGAGGGCGCGACCGGACCGAAATGGGAGAGAAGTTACGGTCCTGATGGATTGGGTTCGTTGACGCTGCTTGATGATGCAGCTCTGGCAGACTGTGGAGACCTGCGCCGTCCGTGGAAAGCGTACTGCAGGAATGGACATGGCGCACTGAGCGGTGTTGTTGAGCGGCAGAATATACAAGAACACAACCACAGGCAAAATATAGGTGAAGCAAGCTGTTATGTGTATTGAGTTGTTCTGTGCTGCTTCGAACCCAGTCTTCCTCTGGTCTTGTTCCTGAGTAACGGCCGTCACTTGTGTCGGTTCTAATAGATTCCGTAGTGCTTCTTGGAGGTCCTTGGTTTCGCGGGACTTCTTGTCTTTCTTCAGAATTTGGTGAGGGTGTAGAAGATACGGTGTCCGGACTCCTGTTAAATCTGGTACCGTTATGGGACATCCGTGGTTGGGTGTTGTCACCGTGGTCTAGGCGTCTTGGCAAGAAGGATTGTCTCCGTCCAATGGGAAACTGCGAAGTGGCTCCCGTTCCTGAGGAACGATTACTTGATGAAATTGAAAGCTGAAGTGGCTCCGATGTCGCTCCCGTAACTGTGAGACGAGTACCGGATCCAATGGCGGCGACGTGTTGCTCAGAATCTGGATGTCGACGCTGCCAGCTGCTATCGGCGATTTCGGTTGATTGGTGTGTCTCTCCTTAAGTGCCTCTATAGCGGAAGGCAAATTGTTCAAGGTACACTGTTGTAATTGCCCTTGCTTGCTGGGACTCCGTGAGCTTTGCTAAGCTCCGTCTGGGAATTCGAGACGGCCTCTGCAATGGTATCTCAGGTGCCAGCGTGAAGACCTTGTCTTAATGTGGTTGCCGCTGCTTTAGTGTTGCAATTGACTTGGAAAGCTGCGGCTAGATGTTCTCTGGGTTTGTTGTTGACATATGTGATTCTTACACCAGACAAGTGTGGTGTAGGAGAAAGGAAGTTGGGAAGCAGGAAGTTTCAGGAAGTGTTTGTTTGTTTTGCTCAGCAGGGAAGTCACCCGGTGACCACCCTTCTCCCCTTGTACCTGCCACTAATCCAGCGTCCCTGACTGCTGGATGTGTGACCTTTTTTTCACCGGTATCGCCGTGGTGTACCGAGGATCATAATATGCTAACAGATTGAAGGTTGTTAGTTTTGGTCTCACAGTCCCACTGCTCGACAGTAAATCGTAGAGTCGATCCAGATTCCTCCGAGGAATGTTCTGCTCTGACGAAGTAACTCCAATACAACGCCCTGCGTCCTGTCCCAGACTGAAATAACAGCCTATCGCGCTCCCGAGATGTGACAGTCCAACTGTCGCTGCTCAACGTCCGACGTCCCTGTTCTTTTGCGTGTAGTTGGTGGTTCTCGATCTCCTGTCTGGGGGCACCACTGAGCGACAGTCATAAGGAAGCGGACAAGACAAGGTGTGTATCCAAAAGCTGAATTGATGATGGTGAGGAAGTTAGCTAATGAGTAGAAGGAGGAAAGATATACACAAGCTGCTGAGCAAGCCTGCTAGAGAGGAAGGGGCCGACACTGTCGAGCTTGACGTTAACAAAAAAGTCGACAGGAGGTCGTTGCTCAGTGCCAAGCCGCGAACCTCCGCGGCGAAATATTTAAAATGCCCTGTGGTTTTCCACCACAACCCTCCTCTCACATCGCGCTCCAATCACTAGCATCAGCTCCGTAGAGACACCCACCGAAAGGAGCATCTTGTCACATCGGTGGTTTACAGGACTATTCGGGGCCGTAGCACCGACTTTTGACTCATAAATCACTAGGAGTGTCTCCGCGTGCATAAGTTTTTCTGGCCCAGGTATGTGCCTCTTGTCTCCAGTTTATCCTCTGCACCCTTTCTATGATGATCTATTAGAAATAGCATGTATTATCCGAACAACTCCCTCGGGATGCGTACTGCGGAGAACATCTACAATGACTGATTCAGCCACTACAATTTGCTGTTTTTCCAATTTCTGACGCGGATACCGGCTAACACCATGCGCAATAGATCATCTAACATGGCCTCCCACTGGCCTCCTCCTGGCCACTTTGCGCTGCTGTACTTCGCAGCAGCCTCGGAATTTACTAGGAGGAGCGTGGAGAATATACCCGCACCCATCCATGCGACAGGCCTCTTCGGTGTCATTGAACAGAGATATCCTGGTATAACAGACAAGGTGCTGAGCAGTTGTGCGGTCACTGTGAATCTGCAATACGTCGATCTAGACGGTGATGACGCGGCGGACAAAGATCTGATTATCCAAGAGGGCGACGAAGTCGCCATCATCCCGCCCGTGAGCTCGGGCTGAGGTTCTGTCTCGTTGTGTAAAACCGATAGGCCAGCCTACACGACGAAGTCATGCTGTATGCAGCCGATTGCTGTGTTAAGTGATGGTACTAGGAACCTGGCCTGCTTTCAAGGAGTCTCATCAGGAGTTTGTGTTGAGTGTGGTCTCCCGGGACCTTCCGCCTGGTTGTTCAGTCTATTGTTTTCTCTGGATATTCTAGGTTCGTCTCCAAGACTTCCGTAGACACTGCTTCCAGCGCTAGGGGTGCGCCAACATCCATACAGACTAGCTCGCTCGTGGGCTCACGCATTCTGTCGCCTGTATAGGCAAAATGCTTAACACAAAGGCCACTAGGTTGTTGAAACTGTTGCTTCCCCCAGATCTGATGTCTACGATGGAGTCACTTCGGATATATTAACCTTAATCACGAAGACTAGTAAACACCGGATTCCGTGTGGAAGCTTTAGGAAGGCGGCATGTCCGAATTGAATGTAGTATTATAAGAAAGTTGCTTGGCCGTTGCTTCCTCGGTATTTCGTCGTGAACTGATGACTTTGGTGCTGGAAGCCCATTGACACCCGCCTTTGAGACAAGGACATCCAACAGTACTGTCCATGAGCCACCTGAAGAACTTTGGCATGGATTGTGGCTCGTCATTTGCAAGTGCCGGCGCTGTCGATTGTCACTGCTTTCTAACAGCGTTCAAATAAGCTCCAGTGGCGGCGTGTGGTCAACGATGAGGCAGTGCCATGCCTACCTATATCAGACCTATAGCCCTAGTCTCGGTGGACCTGAGCGGCGTATGCGAGCACAAAAGAGCAGATGTGTTGACAATGGCGTGAGAGCTCTTCTCCAGGTGAATTTTCCCTGGCGTCGGCCGCGCAGCACCCCTCCCCCTCACCACCCGCGTTTGTGTCGTCGGACAGATATCCACCACTGCGTGACTGCTTGATCCTCGACGCCTGCATCGCCTCAGGCGGACCTCGCGCCGCCGAGTCTCGAGTCTGTTCTTTGTTGCTCATCTCGCCCTCGCCGTCCGCGCGCCAAGCAATATCCGTCAGACCCCTCCCACACGCAACTTCCGCCGCCATAACGCGCCGACGGACTGCCCTGCGACCGACCACCGACAGGACGAGCTTTGCTATGGCCAACCCGATAGACCCTCGTCTCTACGGGGCCCAGCTGCACACTGCACCGCAGGGCTACTCCAACAACGCTGGCCTGCAGAACAATGGAGCAGCCCAGCAGCCCTACTATCTGCCTCCGACCACAACGCAGAAGCACCAGCCCGCCCTCGGCGCCCTAGATCCCGCTCTCGAACGGCCGTCCCCGAGTCTACGAGAGCCGTCGTCGGACATTGAGAACAGTGTTGAAGGCGACAGCCACGATAGGTGAGTTCCCGTGAAAGTAGCTAGCATTTGCGCGACAGCGTGGGTCGTTGCTGCTTAATTCTCGATCGATTGTCCAAGATAGCTAACACTATTACTTAGATCGAATGGCAGGTCTCCCATTGACCTCAAACGGCCACGCGCCTGTGACTCGTGCAGAGGACTGAAGGTACGCGCCCGTGTTTGTGGTCAAGTTTCCTCAGCAACTAAACAGCAGCAGGTTCGTTGCGATCAAGAGCGCCCTGATCTTACCTGCAAGCGCTGCGCGAAGGCGAATAGGCAATGGTATGTCATGGTTGATGCGCCGATAGATACCAGCTGAGACTGACATCTGTGATAGTGTCACGACCCCTCCCACCCGGAAGCGGACCAAGAAAGCGGACAGTCGGGTCGCCGAGCTCGAGAGGAAAATAGACGCTCTGACGGCGAGTTTGGAGGCACAGAAGAGTCGCGGTCCGCCAGAGGGCCGACCATATGGGCACTTGAGCTCACCCTACGACGTACCATCCGTCCAGAGTCACGGAGAACACAGCACATATGGCGCTCCGCCTCACGACTGGCAAGGCACGCCAACATCCTACGGCCATGGTCGTCCCGCTAGTGGGGGACCAGATGCAAAGCGTCGGCGTCTCGACAACGGACGTGGCCAGGTGCGCATGATATGTCCCCTCAACTAGCTATATTGGCTGACGGATCTAGACCACTATCCCCGAAGACATGGATGATATACACAAAGATATGGCCGAGATCCCAAATGTCGATACCATTCAGCAAGATCACCCCTGGGCTGTGCCAAAGAAGGAACGTTGCAAGAGGAAGGGACCCAATACAGATCATTCCTACATCAACGGTCTGATTGATAAATTAATGAGTCGCGAAGCTGCGGAGAAGATATTTGCTCGATATGTAAACGACATCTCCCCACACTTCCCAGCCGTCCCTCTAGTTCCAGGGACTCCCGCAGCTCAGATACGGGAGCAGCAGCCCCTTTTGTTTCTGGCCATCATGGCTGGGTCCTGCCACGGCAGCACCGAGCAAATTGTGCCCCAAGAAGTCCAAAAGGAGCTCACCACACTCCTGAAAGACGAGTTCGCGAACATTATCTGGAGAAACGGCGAAAAGTCGCTCGAGATCGTTCAGGCTCTTCATCTCGGTGTTTTGTGGTACGTCCGTTATTTACCCTTATCACGTGCAATATCCTGACACTCTCTAGGTACCGCCCTCCGCTCCATTACGAGCAGCACAACTTCTATATGATGGTCAACTGTGCAGCAGTCATGGCGCTTGACCTCGGTCTCGACCGGCGAACCACTCCTAGCGTCATGAAGATGGGTGTTGGGCCCTTCAATCGTCGCAACAGTCCGAATACTAACAGCGTTGAAGCTCGTCGAACATTCCTCGTCTGTTACTACCTCTGCATGAGCATCACCATGGTCCTAAGGCGCCCTATCCTCATCCGTTGGACTAAGTTCATGGACGAGAGTGTTCAGATACTGGAAAAATCCCCGGAGGCTCTGCCCTCTGACCGAGTTTTATGCCATCATATCAGGTTGGCACATATCGGAGAGCAAGTGTCAGTTGCATTTTCCATGGATGACCCTTCCTTGGATATCGCTATTTCAGAGCCACGGGTCATAGACCAGCTGAAGACGTACGAGAATGACCTGAAGCTGTTGAAAGAGGCGAGGCCGGTAGACAATGGTGATCGTAAGTCGGCCCCCAGGCGTCTCCAAAGCTTCCACATGTCCTAATCAAGTTAGCCGCAATCCGTCTTGGAGAGCACGTTACCAACCTATATATCCACGAGATTGCTCTACACAACAACCAAAGTCCAGCGATGTTTCAGCCTCCGTTCTCCAATGATGCTTTTGCGAAATTCGGCAAACAAGACCTTGTGGGGCCAGCCCACAGCACTGCGCTCAGCGAGTGCCTCACCGCTACGCATGGTATCCTCGATACTATACTCGGAGTTCCTCTCGACACTCTGCTGACGCTTCCTGTTCTATTCTGTAAGCCACTCCGTCTGTTTCATGTGCGTTTCTGACCTCAATAGGTGTACGCGCAATTTATGCTATCGTCTGTCTTATGAAAATGTGGGTGGCCGTCTCGAGCCCCGGAAACATGTCCAGCGTCGTCAAGAAAGAAGATTTAAAGATTGAGGCCTACACCGAAGAGCTCGTCAAAATGTTCATGTCCATCGTCGCCAGCGACGCGCAGAGCCCCCATGGGAAATTCTACTACGTCGCTAGACGTCTCCAGGACAAGTTTGTGCAAATCCGAGGGGGCACTGCGAAAGGCAACATGGATGTGCAATCCGAAACCTCAAGGGAAGAACAATTATCAACGATCGCCCCAGAGCTGAGATCCCACCCGTCTCACTCAAGGGCCCCCGCCAATCCAACGCCCCTTCACCTACTCTCCGAGGCTGCGGTCATTGATAGCAGAAACGCAGCGCCGACACCGCACGTCCAGCAGGCAATGCGGCCTCAAATGCAGCAGCCTGTTCAGCAGATGTCCCAGCCGCCGCCGTGGTACAATGCGACTGGCATTGCAACAACCCAATCTCTCGCTCCCAGCTTCGATCAAACCTTCGATATTGGTAATTTCGACTTTAATTTGGGCCTCGACGCGGACATGTCTGCGTACTTCCTTCCCGACGGCGCGCTCTGGAACTTCCCGGATCCTGGTTTCCAGAACTACGATGGGACATTCTAAGCAGCTGGGTGCCCTCTTCATTGTACACTGTTGTAGACATCATCTGCGGCGGCCGTTGGGTGGGTAGGGGGATGGAAGAGGGTCTGTTGCTGTTTCCGCTCTGGTGGATGGAGGCTTTTGCTGTATCTCCTGGTGGGTTAGCTATGGTAATGAGGTTTGAAAGATACCCACGCGGTTGTACTTCCACAGCTCCTTTGTGAGAAATATAGCTTGACGTCTTCCTCCAGTTCATCGGTAGCTGACCTAGTTGCGTATCTTGTAGATTGTGCTGGGCGTCTAGGTGAGCCAATGAGTGGGTGTTTTGGCCATGATGTGCCACGCTGGGCATGAAAAAGGTGGCACAGTCATCAAGTGCTCTGCTCGTATGTACACCAGTCTGCCACTACATGAAGTGCTTCAACAAGTTCCCACATAGTCCAAAGTGAAGAGCTTCTATCTCGTTCAGATTCCTGAAAATGCATTGAAGCAACTCAAGCAATGGCAGACAGGTGTACATACGAGACAGCTTGCTCTAGAATGGGTGCCACCTTTTCCATGCCCCGCGTGGGTGCCTAGCTGGTGTTGATCTGTGTGCTGTTTGCCTTCATGTGCGCGTTTCCGTATATACCACTCGTGCGTAGTTGTGGCCTCGTGGCAAGCCATCACATCTGTCGTGCTTGGTCGGTACGCTGTGGAACAGCGGAAGACGCCAGGAACAGGCGGCGAACATGGACAACTCCTGGGCGAGGGAGTAGAGAACGACATCTTGAAAAGACGCCCGCAAATTTCGGTAGCCATAGACGACGATGTGAGATAGTAGAGAGGTTTGTTTGAAGAGAACGGCGCGAGTCGTGACCTTGTGGACGAGGACTCCAGGGCTTTGTTTGACATCAAGTAAGACCACCAAACCTCAAACACCACAATCAATCGACGAAGGAGATGCTCATGATACAATAGAATATAACGAACAACGACCTACAGCTAATGACCTTACGCACTCCCCACCCATCAGCAAATCATTTTCCTCATAACGTCAATGCCTCAACTTATCTGCCCTCCCCATCCACAGTCAAACCCAGCTCTCACTCTCCCTCAACCACCCGCACAAGGGCGAGTAAGCCAATGAAAAGATCAGTTTAAAACATGCGGGCCAGCAAAAATTACGCCGGTCAGGCCCCCGAGGGAGTAAGATGGCAGTCCCGTCGCTGCGTTGTGCAATGCAGGACAGACGACCAGGTTAACCAGATTCATGAGCTTGGCCACCCCGACAAGGTCTGTGAAGATTGTTAGCTGTGATGTGAACCAAGCAGGAGATGAAGGTGAGACTTACAAGTATGAAAAGCGTGTGAGGTGCACAGGGGGGCGGAGGTGATATACCTGAGCAAAGTGGAGCCAAGGCGCTAGCAGCTGGCGTGTGGAAGGCCGTGGAAGGCCGGTGGAAGCGCTGCTGCCTGGAGCCTGCGCGGGTCTTGATGGTTGTGTGCGGGAGAGGGAGCTGGAGAAAAGGAATGCGATCAAAATCTGGTCACGTGACTCAAGACATACTGAAAACACTGCCATAGAACTTGAACAAGACGATCATATAGACACCCGTAGATAGCCCTGGGGTATTGCAGCAGCCCTATTCCACCCATAAGATTAACCCCAAGACAACCAGCTAGAACGCTCAAAAGCAAAAGTCGAACGCTGAAACAAACCTCAAATATATGCTCCACCGAAAGTATCGCTTCAAACCTCCACCTCCCTCCCGCTCGCCTCCTTCGCCCCATTCTTTTCTTTACTGGCATTCCCCAAACGCGCTCTTGCCCTCAGCCCCTCCCGGATCCCCTCAACCCCCTTATCCGACCACTGCTCGAACCCACCCTGGCTTAAGGGGAAAAGCGGCAAATTCAACGCACTCTTGACATAATCCCTCGGCTTTGGCGGCGCCTTACTCGTAATGACCGCCACATCCTGCCTCAGCTCCTCGCAGAAGGTGTCCAGCGGGAGATCGTTGACGTCGTTGCCGAAGGGGTTCTCGATCTCGTTGCCGATGAGCGCGATGCCGAGGATGATGTAGGCGGCGACAATGGTCGCTGGGATCGTGACCCATTCGAGGGTCTTGTAGAGCTGGAAGGGCAGCATGCAGACGTAGACCCAGGTGATTTGGCTGATGGCGATGGAGTAGGCGATGGGGAGGGGCGTGTTGAGCACGCGGTCGGTGCCGGTGAGGACGTCGTTGAGGGTGCTGAGGTTGTTGAGGGCCTGGGTTTGGTAGATGGAGACCTTGAAGGTGCCATTGGTGAAGAGCTCTTTGATGTAGGCGCTGAGGTTGGATAGGATCTCGAGAGGCAGGTTTCCGAGGGGGACGGCGGCACGCTTCAGCTCCTAGCGAGGGTTCGAAATGGCCATGGGCACCCCGAGAAACTCGCCTGTTGTCTTCAGCAGATTTTGCTTCTTCTGGTTGCTCGTGTGACACGCCCCAGCCGCCTGGGCAAAGGTGTCGAGGTGGCCGATGAGGGACTTCAGGTCGTCGTAGTGCGCGTATGGCTCAAAGCGCAGCTTGTGCTTCAAGGCTACGGCGAAGGCTACAATCAAGTTGCATGCGGTGATCTTGCCCAGGAGATCCTCCTTGCCTACATCGCCGTCTCGCTCGTCCGCATGAATCCAGATGAGGCGGACCAGATTCTGGGATGTCAATATGAGAGTAGCCCAGTACCTCCTACCCTCCATATAACGTTCGTAGGCCGAAGAGGAGCGGAAAGACAGGCCGAGACCGACGACGAAACCCAGCACAGTAAGAAGGACGCTGTTGATGCCCACTGGAAACTGTCAGCCTTGTCTCTTGTGTATTTGCAAGATCAACTGAATTAGATGAGGGATTTTACAATTATGTACGAACTTGCAGAGGCACGTTATCAGCGTCGCCCAACCGCCAACGAAGAGCAGCGGGAGAGCCATTTCGGACAGCACGCTCCCGTGCATTCGGAGCCACATTGGCCAGCGCGAATGATGGGACATGTCGCGAGGCCCAACCTGTTAATTGTGAGCCAATGATGCATAATTTCTTTCTCGAAAAGTTGGTTGCTTGAAGCGCACGCGAAAAAAGAGCATGATAGCCTTACGAAATAATCGTCGAGATCCTTGGACCTATCATCAACGGTAGCTTTCGTCGCCATCGTGTCTCGCAGGTTAAATTGAACAAGAAACAAAGGACAAATACGTTCTTAAACTGCTATAGGCCTGGGGGTTCATAAAGATATATACCATGCCACACTCGCTCAGCTGCACTCTTTCAATCTGAGCCCCTGTCCCAGCTCCTGACAGCCCTGCAAATTGACGCCCGCAGCTGCATGGCGTCGGATTGAGACCTATTAAGCGCCTGCATGGGGTACGGTTGGCCGCCTCTGGGGGAGACCTTTCGTGGAAGCAGATGGTTGAGTCTTGGAATTTTCTTGGTGTAGCTGGGCGACGTGATGTTTTAGGAAAATGGGTTGGCAAAAGGAGAGGGAAGGCCCTTGATCTAGGCTTTACGCCAAGCATGCTTCGTACGGCCAGCTTGTCAGTGACCAACTCCACGAATGCGATCAGATCTCGGAGCTCCAGATCTGCGGCAGCGCTATTGGTTCGATTCACGTCGTATCTACTATTACATCGCGTGGAGTCATGTGCCATGAATGACTCTTTGGGGGCAGTCTGACAATGTCAGAGAGGAGTCAGTGAAACAAACAACCTACCCAGACTAGGGCGTCCCGCCTTGGGTATCTATGAGGAGTGTGGAAATCAGAACCAGAGCAACATGTACGCCATAAACACCAGAAATCAGCACCGAAACCCCAACCTTCTACCCCTAGAACCCCGCTCGGAAGACGCCCAAAGAGCTACCCATCCACGCCAACTCCACTACACCTGGAGCTGATGTGTGGGGCAGCTCCCTGGGCCCTTGACAGCCCACCATTGCGCGATACAGGCCTGTGAAGTGTTAGTAAAAGGCCCAAAAGCACGTTATGTAGGAAGAACTTACATTATGGAACTTGCACAGACACGCCAAGCGCGCCAAGTCCTCCCCCTCCTCGTACTCCTCAAAGCACACTATGCACTCCCCTTCACAGTCCTTCTCGGTGGCCTTCCAGGTGAGCTTCTGGTAGCTCATGTTGGTTTGACGGCCAGAACCGGACGCAGAGGCCGCGTTTCCGGCAGGTGATCCACTCATACGGTCTGTGATGCAGGCCGCGACGTGCTCCTCTCGGGCCGTGGTTCTATCCACGCCAGCGGGCACAGGGGGTAGCTCCCGGCCGCAAACCGGGCACATTTCGTCCTCGGTGAGTTCATTGCGGGCACGTGGTGTAGGAGCAGGAGAGACGCGGCGTATGGACCTGTCGTCCTCAAATGTTGGAAATAGGAGTGAATCCGCGGGAGAGGGGACGCGGGGTGCCGAGCTCTGGGTGCTTGCGGTAGAAGAAGGGCTTTGATGAGGGGAAAGGTGGCCATTTCGGCCCACGGAGAACGCATTGTGGCCTTCTTGTGTCCGATCTAGCAGACGCTGCCGGCCAGTGTTTTGCAGCGGCTGGGAGCTACCCTGGGGCACCTCCTGGCGGCGTGGTGGTGGGCTAAAGTTAGGGTCCGGGACGCATGGATTGCAGACTCGGACTTCCTCTCCGCCTCCAAGGGCAGGATTCAGGGCGGACGGGCTGAACGTCTCCGGAACAGCATCGAAATTAGACTCTCCGGCTGATATGGCTGCGTGCGGTGATAAGGCGTCGAGGTCCTCCAGCGGGGGGCAAACAATGAACTGGCGCGGGATCGTGATCCTGTGTGGAGAGCAACGCGCGCACACAACGCGTCCGCATTTGCTGCCAAACGGATGAATTAGCCTCTGATACACAAAAAGCGTGAGATTTGAGAGGACGATGGCTAAACGATGAGACTCCGAGGAGAGGAACAGCTGACAAGCCACGCGTTCAAACAGCTTGAGCGATATATGTGATTTGAAGCCAGCAAGTGCATGAAGACGTGAGGGAACCCAAATTGAGAGAAAACTGATGATCTAGACTTACCGACAGTGATGTTTGCGTGTGAAGAAGGTGAAATTGGAGCTACAGACAGGGCATTGAGTCACTTCAGAGTCTGGCTGCCACGGAGGGAGCATGATGTCGTCGCTGTCTTGAGGAGGGTTGTTTTGAAAGTAGTCGGGCGGTGGGTGGAAGGATGATAACCGCCGCGGTGACTGCTGTGAGAGCGGAGGGAGAGGTGGAAGCGGAGATTGCCGGCGGTGTGAGGCATAGAGGTTGAGGTTGGAAGACGGCAGGACAGAAGCAGACGCAGAGTGTGCGTGACTGCGTTGACGAGGCGGGCGCGGCAATGGAAGCGGTGGGCGAGTGAATGAGACACTGCTGTGGCCTCTGTGGTGTCCGGGCTGCGCGGTGGGAGGAGGTTCAGGTGCGGTCGACCGTCGTTTTCTGTCTGATGGCGCTAGCGTCGTTGGTGGTTGAGGTGACGGTCGAGGGTTCGCCGACTCGACATAAGACAACCTCGACGACCGACGGCGAGGCTGATCGAGGAAGGAAGGATACGGGCCCTCTGCAGCATCGCCTCCGGACTCTCTCAAGAAATCTTGCCAGGTTTGACCCCTCGAACTCTGCGCGCCTTGTCCTCGATTGTGCGGGTACGTAGCTCCGTCACTGTAAGTGTGTCCACCGCTTGGCCTGGCCCTAATGGTCCCTTGACTACCAGCTACGACTGTATCATCCGAGCCAACAGAGCTACTGAGTTGTAGAGCAGGCATAGGGGAGCTATTAGAGTGTGCGCGAGAGTGAGATGCCGCAGCGCCCTCACTGCTACTATGCTCACGACCAACCTCAGTAGTCAACCGAGGTCCTTCACTTCCTCCCCCAGCCTCTACAATCATATTGTTCGAGTTGTCAACGCTCACGAACGGTGGAGGCAAATTGGGAGTACTGCGAGAGTGGGCGCGGGCGTGGCCGCCCGGTGGGTATGGGGATTGATCCATGGCCACAGCTTTCGATTCGGGACAAGGCTTGTTGGAAGAGGAGGTTCACGGGGGTTGAAAGTCTCTCTACGAAGATGTTTATGGGGCTGGTCGGCGGCAAAGACGACGCTGGAGATTGTTAATCAACGTATGATGTGGCGGAGAATCGAGCTTCAAAGGTCTACCTACCACACAACAGCACTCTCAAGCACCGACTATCAACGCCAGAACAGCTCGTACAGGGTCTATTACAATCATTTGTACAGGAATGGGCGCTAGGTGGAGGGCAGAAGGCTGGAGTCGAGGTATGCACAGCCTAGGATATGGGCTTGTGGTCTTGAAGCCTGAGGGATGCGCGAGTACACTGCAAGGGGATCTTGAAGAGTTCTATGCGACGGATGCGAAATCAAGGCCACTCTACCGAACCGAAGAGCTGCCCGTGGATGCAGAGCGCAAAATGAAGAGCCAGCGAGGGACGGTGGGTGTCCGGGTGAGGTTCCACGGTTGTTGTTCAGGTCGCAAATGCCTTATCGCCGATTCGCTCCTCCGCTGTCCGGCGGCGGTGAGGGCAGCAGGTGGTGGGGGCTCACGCGATCATAGTACCAGAGATTTCGACTCCTCTGTAGGTATGCATAGCAGTAATTCAGAACTGTTCACACTGAAGATCACATCAAGAACGTTTGCTAGTTTCATTATCTGTATTGGTTTGTATTTCCAACCAAAGCTTTCGATTACTTAGGAATCCAACATGGGATCCAAGCTCAAAAGCACTGCATATTATAGTACACCCAAACCGGCGATGAGCCAACAAGACCTTCTGCAATGTCGCAGTAGTTCTATGAAGCCAACGCTATTCAACCCAGTATGAATCGTCCCGTCCGATTCAATGCAACGTGACCCAACCAGAAGGCTGACTCCATTACACAGCTAGCCAACCAGGCGCCCAATTCGCCATGGTGAATGATGCCGCCCACTTTTGCTGTACATAAAGAGATTCGTTGCCGCTTCATAGCAAGTATACAAAAGACCAAAGCAGAAAAAAGAAAGGCCAGGTTAAAAGATGCTAGGGGATTAGGCAAAAAGGTTACATCGAATTTAAAAGGAAAAGGCCAGTAGAAGTTTTGTGGGAGTGGCAGGCTGTGGCAGAAGATTACGAGCGACCACTTCTGTTGGTACTGATGCTCCTGGATCTGGCGTCAACGAGCTCTGCGGCGCTCTCTAAGTGCGAACCGATGTCATAGTCTCCCTGCTGGATGCTGTCGCTGGCAATACGCTGATGGACGTAGCCGGTGCTGACAGGCCGATCACCCTGAGGATTGACAGCGGCAGGTGCTAGCAAGTTGCTGGGTGTCTGTCCCGGATCGGTGCCCTCGCTTCTGGGGTAAAGGCTCGAAGCGGCCGAATGGCCTGGCGTGCGCTCTGGCGACGGGTCCGAAGACCCAAACGGTAGACGAGGCGTTAGTATGTTCGGCTGGAGGTGTTGGTCTGCGGGCACCTGCATCGACATAGTAGGCACACCGGGAGTTCCAGGAGGGGACGCGACAACGGTGGATAGTCGTTGGGACTGCTCCAAGATGGCTCGGTCAGTTGAGGCAGTACGTCGAGAACTCTTACGAGGGATGGTTGGAGCGCGGTGGGTAGTGGTAGCACGCGACGCTTTTGAGGCTCGGGAACCAATACGACTAGGGAGTTCGATACCACCTCCAGTCTCAATCGGTTGCAACATGGGAGGAATCTCGGAGACTCGGTTCGCGTGAGAATCGAAAGGATCGTCGTCACTGTCCACACTATAGCCAGACTGATTGTCCAGAATTGACGGCTCGCGGTTGTCGACATCGCCTAGGTCCCTGCCACGCTCTTCGTGTAAGGATGGACTAGCAGCTGTACCCGCTTCAACATCAACATCAGGGCTGTCTTGGTAGGGCACGTGGCTCGTCCCCGGTTCCTCGTCCTCGCCAAGAGGCACCATTTGTGGAGGCATTCTAGTGCTCCTAACGACCTCGAAACCCTTGCCCTTCTCCTTGCGCTTCCCACCTAGCAGAGTCTTGAACCAGCCAGAGGCTGAGGAAACAGGTCCCATGGGATCCGCAGGCCCAGTCTTGAGCTTACGGGTCGGAAGAGTAGATAGAGCAGGTCCTCGAATGCCGTAGTAGAAATCCGACTCGCGAACAGTGTAGTCCGTAGTCTTCCGGTGTTCACTCAAAGTCGGGTCAGAGTCCTCTCTATGCATGCGAAGATATGCAGGGGCAATCGAGCTTCGTCCGGGCGAAAAGTTAGATGGTCCTTCTCCAGCATCGCCTTCTTCAGCCAGATCTATAGACTCCGCGTACGGTGTATTTGCCAAGTCAGCGCTAGCTGCTGAGCCTCGACTCCGGTTACCAGGTGCCAAGGGATCGATAGGGTTCGTCGGTCGGCGGGCCCGGGGTGGACGATAGTATGGGTCCATAGCCTCGATGTTTGTACCCAAAGTGGGCCGTCGAGAACCTTGAGCAGAGCTACCTCCAAGGTACGAGAAGGGAGTTGCGCCGCCTGGCGTGCCTGGTGTTGGGCTGGGTGCTCCAAACGCGTTCAGGTCGCCTCCTTGACTAAATTGATCAAAGCCAACACTCCCGCGGTGGCTGCCTGTGAGCTGCTGATTAAGCAGAATAGCGGAACTCTGAGAAAGGCTCCTTGATCGACCTCCCATAAGTTGAATTGACTTTGAATCCACTTCTGGCGAAAGCATGGCGGCCGTAGAGTTCAGACTGCTTCGCTGGTTCTTCCGATGGGTATGGCGGTTGCGTCTAGAGAGCTCTCGCATTCCGAATACTTTACTAAGTCCGCCTCTTGATTCACCGCCAGCACCTGCAAGCCTCGCAGCGACCTCAATCAAGGTTTGGAGTGAATTAAGAAAGAATCCAAAAACCAAAACGGAGGCGTGGAGGAGCAATATTATATATCCAATCCATCCTTTCGGCCCCTCCGAGATTCCTAACGTAGGTACAAACGCGACACTCAGAAGGGTAGTTGCGAGCCGTATCGTCGAGAAGAAAGTATGATACGCGTTCATTGAGGTGTTTGACTGAAACGGTCGGAAAGCGTGAAGGGTCAGAATCAGGATAACTTCGGAAATCGCGAGCATTATGACTTGAGCAATTCCTGACGGCTGTATTGCGCCGATTGCGACTCCGCGAATAGTATTTACGAGGACCGGTATGAATGCGAAGGGTGCCGCGTCATCCGAATACGTGTTATAGAGCGGACCATATGCCAAGACTGTGGGAAGATCATCGAAGAGAAATGCGCGCGGCCGGGTAGTGAAGATGAACCAAGATATCCAGGTGGCAAGGCAAGTGACAAAGATGATCAGTATGACGGCTCCAGCTACAACCGATGCTGGAGAGTGAGGCGCAACTACAAGCTGAAAGAAGGAGAGCGCCAGTATTGGGAGCAGGAAGTAGTTGAGGAGGATGCGCACAATGTTACCGCTTGTAAAGGGCAAATTCTTGCTGCGCAGATCCGACCCCTGAGTATGCGATATTCTGCGGACAAGCAAGCGCAACAGGAAGCCGAGCTGGCAAATAACGACAACAACAGCGATGAGACCCAATAGCCAAACGGTAAAGCCGGCCCAGATGTCTATTTCTTCCGTCATTCCCACGAGCTGGCCGAGACGCGAGAGCCCATACGTGCCGTTGGCAAAGTAGATTCCGTCCACAAGGCTTTCTGAACCGTTGCCATGGCTCACAAGACTCTGGTTGAACAGTAGTACCGACCAGCTTGCCTGGCTAACAACTGGCTGATAGAATCCAGGGTAGTCCAGATTGAGGCTTCCGGCAAGAACAATAAATTGAATATACTGCAGACAGTCCCCAAAACCAGGCGTGACCAGCCGCAGCAGATCTTCGTCGCGACCAAAGTTGCTCGTCCAGCGGAAAGGGTCGGACGAGCCCCATGGGCAGAAAATGGCAGCGAATATTGTTGCGATGGCAACCAATGCTAAAATGGCCGCAGGTAGGTAGGTCAACGTGTCCGAGATTGTATTTCCTAGGTCCGGAGTAATATTGGCCGAAACACAAGCCAGGTGAGGCGCGCCTTTATCTCCAGAATCAACCCGTATTGTGGTAGCGAAGGTCGTGAAGGAGTATGAGCTGAGGAAGTTGTGGCCGACAGTGTACCCTGGAAGTGAATACGGGTCGCTAGCGTTACCATCAAAAGATGGAGCTATAGGGCAAGACACGTTGATCGTCGACAAGCAGAACTGACTGCCCTTGTCGGCATATGGCGTGTAGCTGGCTACATCGAACGTCGAATAGAGGGTGGTAAGTCTAGGATTGGTCGGGCTTTCGTCCACAATCTTGCCGAAATCAGATGAGTTGTCCTTCCAAGACGGGTCATCTGGTGGAGGATACGGTCCCATGGTCGCCTGTCCAGAAACATTGCCATAGATTGTGATGTTCATGTTATAGTTCTCTGTGGAGGTATTGAACCGGGCGTCCAAGAAAAATGGCGTGAACTGAAGGTGCAAAGTTCCAGCGCCCGGGTCGCGGATAGAGGCATCCAAGCAGTTCTCGAAGTTGATGAAGACCCCAGCTGCGGGGACCGGGAAGGCAATAAGGACTATGAACGCCAGCATTGCTGCTGTTGGTGAGAAGGGCCTCGGAGCCTGTGTTCGCTGCTTCAAGATGGGTCGACGCAGAAGCCAGTGCAAGAGCCAGCCCAAGAGGTCCCGCAAGATGTAGACATTCGTGCCCGCGTACGTCACGATAGGGATCATGACATAGATCAAGATGTGTTCCAAAATATGGATGTTAGAAACGGGAACCAGACCAAGCAGCACCATGTGGATCAGGAGATGGGCAAAAGTATGGTACATGCCGGTCAGCAGAAATCCAATGACACGGTCTCCCAGCGTGAGGCCTTCATTGTCGTGGGTAGGTCCTTGGGGTGGAGGGCTGACGGAATAAACTCTGGCATCCATTGACAGGACAGGCAGCCACCCCAAGCTAGTGCCCCGGCAGCTCCAACTCAATAGACCCCAGCTAGTATTGCGGACTCTGAAGATCCCGTGCTGCCACCAGGAGAGGGACAGACGCTGCGCGGGCAGCCGACGTGGACGGCCTTGATGTGGAAACAACTCAGCAGCCGTGTTTCTTGCTCGAACTGCTGGCGCGAAAACGAGAGGGCGCCGACGGGCTTTGTCGGTCTAGACGCGCGGTGCTGTCATGACACGATTGTAATCGATGGTGGTTGAGCGAGCGTGGTGAAGGGGCGTGGTGGTGAAGCGGAGGAGGGGGGCGTCGGTGGTGGTGAAGGGCTCGTGGAAATCTCCTGGCGTTCAGCGGCGAGCGTCAGACTGCCGAGCGAGGGCACCAAAGCGAGAGAGCAGGGGTGGTGCACCTCAAAGAAGAGAAAGCTGGTGATGAAGTCGGGAGAGAGGTCGGCAAGGAGGGAGGTGAGCAGTGGCTTGGGTTTTTTCGGCGCGCAGTGTCACTCGTAGCGTGCCGCCTCTGGCGGATTTATCGTGTGGAGGTGGCTCAGGGCCGGCATGCATCAAGCATCTGGGTGTCCACATCAACCCAAACCAAGCGTGCCACCCTGCACGCCGGGTATAACAAAGCTTCGATAGCGTCATCGTTCATTGCGTTCTTCGAGAAGAAAGCAACGTTACTTGGAGCCCATACATCGCTTGCAGTGCAGCAGGCCATTAGCCCGGAGTATCTCACTGTCTCAGCAAGACAACAATGCAGTCGAATACGAACCAAAGCGCTTCTCGAGCGGCGATTACAGCAGCTCGCTAAATACGATGATACGCCGGTCGCTAGACTGTGTGTCGAGGTCTTCGGGCATCACGCCAATGGCAAAAGCAGAGATGGGCCCTCGCAGCGCCCGGACAGCAGCGATTTATCGTCATGCCGCAACATGAAACACACTTGGGGTTAGATCGCGCGTCAGATACGGGAGGGCGTCAACGTTGTGGCAGTGCTGATCGTCTCCCGACAAGCCTATTCTATTTTTACTTTCTTTCATCCCCTTCTCATTGGCTAGAATACCTCATTATTGAAACTTCCCCATTCTTTTATCGACGAGGATGACTTCGGTGAATAGGTTTTCAAAGCCATGTTGAAGACAGGATGACAGCCCATATCCAAGTGCTGACTCGTCTGCATCAATTTTTATAATGGTTTTAGGGTTGTACTGTGCATTCAAGAGCTGTAGATACCATTCCGTCGACCCCATTAGCATCAGCAGAAGAACCTCTTTCAGGAGGAAATCGAAAGTTGACATTTCGTTACATGTGGCTTTACAGGTGTCGTGAGATGCTGCTGAAGCGACTAATGAAACACCGGCCGCTCGTAACGCACATTCAGACCACGAACTCCTCGAAGCATCTTACAACTAGTGGTCCCTTAGTGCCGCACAACACAGCTGTCTCATAGCTGATAGGATGCATAGAGTACAGTCCTAGACACAAGTTTGGGCACTCTTTCTTGCCACTACTTGGGGTCCCCCTATGGACTTTCCAAACTCCAAATACGATGTAAAGGTCGAAGCAGTGGAAAGTAGGCTCCCTTTTGTCTGGCTGGACATCTGCTAGTGGGGCTACTCCTCACGTTGGCGCTGAGCGAGCAAGAGTGGAACCCGTGCAATGGTATGTCCCCGTGTCCAAGCTTATGGCCTACTACTGTAGCCTTTAGAATATAGGGGCGGCCTCGGAAATGGATGCTGTTGAGTGTAATGCATATTCACTCCATATAAGCGATTTTCTAACTTAAAAGGCACACTACCTGCGGGTCCTCTTTCTCCAGGTAGCTTAAAGTAGCTGCCCTCCTCCAAGAAGGGAGAGACGAGATGGATGTCGAGAACACGTCGACACGATGGTAATCAGACCAACGACTTCTTTTACACGTTTTCATACTATTTAGTTGCCATCGGAGCATCTGCCTTTGCATGAATATAGACGTACATTCCCTCATGTCTATTACGGCGCTTTGATTGTAAGTATGCCAGAGTAGGCTTCGCAGACGGGCCTGACTGCGTCTCGCGACGTACTCAATGCCAAAGTTGAGCAAAGTGGTAGACAGCATACCGAAGATCCCAATTCGTTTAGGCTGGGTCGAAAAGAGAACTGCCGAGGACATACTCTTTAAAGTACCGGATGAAGCCAAAGCCCGTTGGCGCAAGCTCGTTGACCCAGTGGAGAAACGCGTGTTGGGACTGATGCATTTCACGGTACGCGTTCTCCGTCGATGAGCCTATCTTTGTGTAATGAAGACACAGATCATGGGTCTCAATGATATCGCAGGAGGGAAGGCACGTATCGATCCTTCGTCGTTGAGTGCCAGGTTCTCTTTGGCTGGCGGTGTAACCATAGCATTCATTGCCTTACTTTGGGCAGGATGAAGCCACCACGCCGGCAATCTACGCAGGACTTCTTGACTCGCAGCCGCAATTCCTTTCCTCCAGCTGGGCTGGCCCGTTTCGTGCATCGAGTCCAAGGCATAAGACAAAAGCTCGTTGTCCTTAGTCATATTTTACGTCAAAGAGCTTCTTTATGTGGTGGGATAAACAGAAATGGTCAAGAGGCTAATCCTGCCCTGTTGTTTTTCAAACTACTGACAGCCTCAGGGGGTGAGCGTAGAAACTGTCGAGGCGAGTTAATCAACGCTGTGTATTAATCAGACGAATGTTCACGCACTTTCAGCACGGAAACGTCATACAACACGTCTGAATACTTTCTGGCCATTGCTCGAAAGGGACGTGCAATAGACCCTGCTATTCGCTCTCTGTTCCCAAGCAGTCATCAAAGCCGTGGGATGGTATCGAGTATGGTCGTTTCTGGTTTAACTTTCTGGTATAGCACGCTAAAGGCGGGTGACGGGCGACTACGCAGGGAGGTCGGAAATGGTGGTGGTGCGCCATTGAGAAGTTGGGAATGGATGTGCCACGCGCGCAACGCCCTGGCCATTTTTAACGTGCAAACCAAGCTGGCTAGCACGAGGCGATAGAAAAGAGACGCTTTTGCGAGATGTTTGGAGGAGTCTGTAATGTCGACACCTGACGCGTGGTCCCAAGAAGCACGTGACTCCCGAAGTTCGGCCGCACCAATGAGGAAATCCAGTGGTCACATGACATATATCCATGACTTGTGAATTCCAACGAGCGGAAGAGAAGAGTCCATGTACCGCTGCTCTGGCTCCACTCTTATTCTCTCAACACCACTGCAAGGAGTGCTCTAGCTGACTTGTCTTCATTTAGTTATAAGGTAGTTTAATATCCACTGCGTTGACCTTTACGTTGTATTTCGAGTTTCCAAAGCCTAACGGGGTACCCCAAGGAGTTGCAACGACTGGCCAGCTTATGTCTTGGTACTGTACGACTGCCTGCTGGCAGGACTAGCAATGCACGTCTTGATATAAATGTTTCAAGCACGTGAATGGGGGATACCTTGACAGTGGATTTGTGAAGGCTGATGATACATTGAAACGCCACCCATTCATGGAGCAGAAATGCCGTTGACCGGAGAGCAACCCACTGTATACGACAGAGGGGCCGAAGTACTACGCAGTTGCCCGCAGGCCCTTGAAGAGCGAGCCGTGCAGGAATCTTACGCGGTGCGCCGCTGCCTCAGCCGACCTCGGACATGGTGGCTGAGGCGTGCAACATGGCTGGCTGGATGTCTCCAGTCTTCTAGATGAATCGAACCGAGAGTAGTTCGAGCAGCTGCAACTGGCCGCTCACCGGGCGGGTGAGCCTGGGAAAGGAAGGTCGCTTCCTGCGGGGTCGGGGTGCACATGACGGCGACGATATGCACCGTGCTCCATGGCAATCACGAAACGCTGCATGCTCGCGCCCTTGGGAGGAGGATGGAATATCGCCGTCGGTCCCGCGCGGGAGGGGCCTGCGGCAAGCCCGCTCAGAGGGCAAAAAGCAAGCAGCTCTGCGAGATTGGAGAGCAGCAGCTGGGGGCCGGGCAGCATCGCCGGCGTGTGGTTGGACTGCTAGCCTGCGTCATCTACTGGCAAGCGCTCTTCTGGCCTGCTTCCATTGTCGCAACCCTGTCGTCGCAACATCGATTCGCATCTCCTCAGTCCGCCGACGACTGCGCTGCTGAGACTCTGCCTCTACTCTACATACCATCTCCTGCGCCCCGAGTCGCAGTCGCACCCTGCCACCTCACAAACTTTTCCTGTGCCTGCGGCATTGTGCTGTGTATTGCCATCTCGCTGCCGCCGTCTGCAGCCTCTCTCCCCGTACGCGCAAGCGACCTCAGCCATTCGACACCTTGCGCCGGCCCTCCAACCACCGCATTTTGGCTCCCTACTGGTCCCTTCCATCGCCGACCGAAACGATTCTCTGGTTCCGACCCGAAACGCCCTGTTTTTCTTAGCCTTAGGCATCGACGGCGGGCTGCTTGACGACTTTGCACTGCGAACTGCGCCCGGCACCTACCCGCAACCTCGGACGGCCCTTTGTCGAGTCTCGCAGGGTGCCTGCAGCTCCATCTCAAATCTTGCAGAGAGGACTATTTCAAGCGCCTGGAGACATCTGCGCAGGGTTTCCAGACTTGTACAATCGATCCGTCGGTGCGAAGGATACGCTGGACCAGCTAGTGGAACTCTGGATACCTCTTCATCGCCACTCACGGACGAGCGATGACTCTCGACCTGAGAGAGATATGAAAACCGGCATATTTAGGATTTGATTGGAGATTGGAGACTGGAGACACAGGCGTCCGTCAGCTGAAGCTTCGAGGCGCATTGTGCGTTGCTTAGCTCCTGGACCATGTTGAGCATCACCAACATGCCCCGTTCGGACCAGGCTTACTCCTTACTCGAATGCTCTTTCCAGGACGCACCCAAGTTGAAAGCCCACAAGACTCTCCCACGTAGAAGTGACGATTTTCGGACCGTCTTTCCCGCCGCCGCTCCAATCAAGGCTCAAGCTTCATTCACGGACGACGACGGCACCCCAACAGAGCTTGACGACGGATACCCTATCTTGGAACCTTCCCCGGGCGTGTTAACTAGAACAGACTCACATTTACCCCCAACACCACCTACAAATGGGCAGGGTGACACTCAACACCCAGACTTCGGGCAGCGTACGCTTGCGAATGGTACGATGCCAACCCTAATGTCCAACAAATCCTCATTTAGCACTCCGATCAACCAGCGGAGTCCGCCCACTCCTGACCCTAGCCCTCCGAGGACTACCGAGTCCCTGAGCTCTCTCGAACGGCCGCCGTTGTTTCCATACCCATCCTCTTCAAGGGCCGAATCCTTCAAAACTGCTAAAGAGGAGCAATCGACAGCGGGAGATAGTAGACTGCATCTCCCAATAGACGGTACTTCGGAACACCAGTATAATGAGCGATCTATCTCCGTAGATCAAGACGAGAGGGGATTGGGGCTGGCATTTGAGTATGAAGATGGCGATTTGACGCCGACGGCACGTAAGCCATCTTCAGAGCTTGTCGCGGACAAGAAACCTCTTGAGGATGAGGAGCAGGTCAGGGGCTTTGATGACATCCCGAATCGGGAATGGGACACAAATTTAATGAGGAATGTCACTGTCCGCAGGAAGCGCCGAGTCACGAGTCCGCCTAAACAACCACGACTGGACGCCATCGATACAACGTCAACTGGCACTGGCTCCACCGTGAGAAGGTCCTCGAGCTTGAGAGAACGTGTTGAATCAAGCAAAGAGAGCCCCCACACGCCATCCATGGAGAGATTTGCCCAAGACATCGGGTGGCCGACTGAAGTTAATCATGCACTCAATTCGCACCTGCGAGAGTCCGAGTCCCGACGACACTCTGGAATGTCCGCATCATCTACAGTGGTTGAAGCAGTGGTGATTGTTACCCCGCCCCAGCGTCGGCAGACTCTTCGTCACACTGGAAAAAATCTTGTTCGGCGTGCAGATGGCACCTCTTCCGCTGAACCCAGTCCAATTTCCAGATCAACCCGAAACTCATCAAACTCCGACGATCTTCCACTCCATCGACTAGTGCACCGGAAATCTCGAATACCAGAGAGGAAGCACATGGTCAATGGAGAGTCAGATGTGCCTGGACTAGAATCACCTTCAGCTCTCACATCATCTGGAAAGTCCCGCGGCGGGACCAGACATACAGCGCCGGTACCACACAACGATGCGCTAGCCCTTCAACCTGCAGCAGAGATATCAAAGATTGTTCCGAATCGATCAATCTCGAACCCGAAGACCAGCAGTAGTGCTCTAAGTTATCAAAAGCGAGTATTCTCTGCACCAGAAGCTACGAGAGATATTCAAACCCCTCAATCACCTCTCAGGACGTTTTTCGAAGTTACTCCGCCGGAATGCCCCAACGAAGAGACTCATTTTGTACCCAAATATAAGTATGCGAGCAGAATCGCACCAAGGAACGTGCCAATATTAGACACGACCTTTTCTTCGAGGGCTGGTCTTGGATCTCAAGATGCTTCTCCAACGTCCCCAAGGCTCAGGAGAATGAAACGCACGTCTGATCAACTCTCCAGTCCAGTTGATACACTAAAGGCGCTTCCAGCAATTCCTACAGGCCCGCAACTTCAGATGGCTGAGCTGCAACGAGAATCAGTACCGAAGCCATCCTCGCTCCCTCTCCTGGATGTTGCCAAGGCTCATCGAGGTGGCCAAGCAGAGAGCCATCATTCTCCCACTTTCGATACGACAACACAGGACATAGAGGTTCGCCGAAGCAGAAGTTCGGCAGGTGAAGCCGAACGCCGGAGAACGTCCTCGTCAGAAATGGTGCCGACGGTCAAGGAACCACAGTCCTCAGCGCCAGAGCACCCTGAGGTGAGACACCTGAACTCTACACCTAATCACTCATCGACATCCCAGGATGGCTTCCTGCATCCCGCGCTCGACAGAATACCCACAGAGGAGCTTCCTCATCCTCATCGAAGCTCCAATGGTTCATTGTTGCATCCAGATGACCGCAGAAAGATAAGCTTTGACAGATCTACAACACGCACAGAGGAGCATGCCTTGGCGCGCCACCTCTACGCTCAGTCTACACCATTTTCGCAGTTCTCAGATACGACTCCAGACGCCTTGGAAGTCAGCGAAGCCACCGCTGTCAGCATCTATCCTCACAACAATCATTCCCTGCTCGTGGTTCAGCAACTGTCGCGTTCGAACACTCTTCCTCTTACTCGCCGGGAGCTCACTCAAGATTCTGTGCACGCCTCTCGGCTGTCTGTTGATACTCACAGCTTTGAACGACAGAACACACAACCTTCACTGACCTTCCAGCCATCTACCCCAACCCAGCCTGTCGGTGTCCCGGAGCTAGGTCCTGTCGACTCTCCCCTCAAGAACCCACGAGAGGCCCCTGTACCTCCAGTGCTCAAGTTCATCCCGCCAACCCCAGTCGAAGAACTCGACCGCCAGCTCCAACCAGGCCCACCACCCCACACCAACTCCCTCCCAGTGCGCCGCCTCAGCCTCCGCCAGCGCGCCCGCCGCTACTCCGACACCCTCATCGCGCCCCTCCTCGCGCGTAACCCCAACTACAAAGCCCGCGCCGCTTCGAGCGGCACCCCGCGCCACGAGCACTTCACCGACCACGCTGTCCCCACCGTCAGCGAAGACGAGGGCGGCAACTTGCACCCCTTCTGGCGCCCGCGCGGCTTCTGGGACGGCTTCGAGGACTCGGACTCAGACTCGGACTCAGACTTTGGCGACGCGCGCCTGCCCTCGGGCGGCGACACCAGCGACGTGCACCTCGAGCAGCAGGGCGGCGGCGGCAAGCCTGGCAAGACCGGCATGCGCACGCTCGGCCGCCGCCTCACCAACGGCTTCAAAGGCTCCGGCGGCTTTCTGATCGGCAACTCGCTCAGCGTATCGCGCGCGGGGACGAATCGAAGGCGGCATTATGTCGATGTGCCCGTGCGGGCGCGCTCGCCGCCGAGCAGGGTGCGGTCGCCGCCGGTGGTGCCGAAGCTGGTGGTGCAGCGGCCGACGTTTCCGCGGAAGAATGGGGTGCGGAAGGCGGGGAGTCAGAGTACGTTGAGGAGCCAGCCGAGTTTTGAGCGGGGGAGGGGAGGCGGCGGGAGGCGGGATGAGTGGCGGAAGGGGAAGAAGATTCCGGGGATGGGGGTGCAGGTGCAGTATATTGGGTTTAGTGGGGTGAAGGAGAAGATTCGGGAAAGGAGGGAGAAGAAGTGGGAGAGGGAGAGGGAGGGGCGGAGGGAGGAGATTCGGAAGAGTATTGGCCCGAGATTTTTGGTCGAGGGGGCGAGGGTGGTGTAGGTTGATTGAGGGAAATGCGGTCCCGGTTAGTATGACTCGGATCTTTGGTTATGCGGTGGCTAGGAGGCCGTTGGTTGGATCTCGACGCCCTCCCTATTCTTTTGAACCCCTTCTTAAACGACTTCCTCCCTAGCGAGCAGTTCTTGCGCGGTGTTCCGGCGGGAGTATTTTGGAGGTTTGGATTCCTGGACCGGCTCCTAAAACCTTTCTTTTTCGATGATGGCGGATTTCTTGATGAATATCACGAGACTTACGGTATACGAGGTTTATGGCTTGCTGGTCATGCTTTTCCTTGGTTCTTTTTGGCGGGTGAATGATGGGGAGCGTAGATTGGGAGGGTGTTGTGTACTACTACTAGTTGAATGGATGGATGGGTGGTGGGAGGGAGGGAGGGGAGATGCTTGGATGAGTATATGAATGAAGAGTATGAGTTCTATCACCTTGGCATTGAGTGAGGTTGGATCTGAGTGGTGCTGGTATCACGTGCAAGTCTTATGCGAGAGGGTCTCTGATTCTCCGCTAACATGAGGCAACCCGGCACATTTTAAAGAGGAGTAGTTGAAGCATGTCAATCGGCTACAGGAAATAATTCAACCAGTTAGACCTACCACCTGTGCCATAACCTTTCGCCTCCCATCAATCTTCACACGCTTCGGCCTGGCAAATCAACACGAGTCCCCCTAAACGAGCATTCGCGAAAATTGAGTATGAACTCATTTTCAGATTTAGGGTTGCTGGTGTCACGTGCACGCAAGTCCCACTGAGGCTCTTCACTAAGCTCAGGCAACCCGCGCCTGGATAAAAGCTTAGACCAGAGCTCCGAATGAAGATTGCAAATCACATCGTAACTTCGGAAATGGACGCAGTAATTTTCGATGTACGTTGATATCACGTGCATGCCAGCACCCATCTGTGCCTGAGGCTCTTCGCCAACCCCGCATTTATCAGAGACGTCAGCATCTCAGTCGCACGAAGAAAAAAAAATAAAGGAAAAAAAGAGAGACCACGACAAGCTTCCCTGCATGCGTACACCTACATTACACCTCCGGCACCCCAACGTTCGCCCGGTGAGCAACTTGCGAAACAAACAGACTACCTATCTTCACCGATCTGCGCTGCAAGCACGCCCTGGAAACTTTCACGCAAGAGCTGATGCCAAGGCCCCGCCAGTGGCGGAAGATAAGGTGGAGTCGCGCGCGCAGATGGAATAGGCCCCACAGCTCATTGGGCACTAGGGGGCGGATAGTTGGTGGCCTGGGGGAGGGCGCGTATTTTTGGATTTCTAGGGTTAGGGCCACAGTTCGGTTGGGGAAGCGCTACCTATCCCGGCCCCGGAGCCTTATTTAGGGATGCGGCGTTGCATGTTTTGGGCGGCTGGGGATAGATGGCCTGGTCCTGTGTATGTGGGCGGGTTATATGTGGTGCTCATATGCTCTGCTGTCGCCGCTTTCTGGGGTCGTTTCGGCAGGAGGATTGCGCAACGGAGCGGGCGACGTGGCGGCGGAATGGGGTGCTTTGGGACGGGAGCGTGGGCGTGGGCCGGTGGTGGCGGGCGACGATTATTCGGCAGGGTGAGACGGCGGAGCATTGCTGAAACGCCTGCGCGCCATGGTTTGGAGAGTCTTGCCTCTGCGGCTTGATTGGCGCGTGTGGGGAGGCAAGGCGTGGCTGTTTGTATGGCATGGTGATGTGGGTATTGGGCATGAAGATGTGGGTACGTAAAGGGAGGGTGTATGCGCTGAAGATCACCTCCTTCACCGTTTCTCTGGGTGTACGTAGCTGCTGTCACCGTTCCTTTGCTGCGCGTCCCCACTCGCAGCTGGATTTCGTATCTGCACCACGGCCGCCTATTCTCATCAGCCTCGGCCGTGCTTGCCTGGGTGCGACCTCCCAGTGAGCGAGCGCCATCCGTGCCGCATTAGACATATCGCCGCCCCTCATCTGGTTAGCTGTGTGCGCTTTACGAGCTCCTCGTTTAGAGTTCGGGCACTGCTTAGATCCTCAGGGCTGGGACGTGCGACCTTGACCCACGATAACGCACCCACTTGGTGGTTAGAGACCGCCGAGCAGTCCCCCGGCGTCACCTAGTCAACTTCAACACCACGTCTCTCAACCTTCACTACCACAATTCCTCTCGCCATTAGCCTCTCTCCTCGCACGCCGCATGAGAGTCCCTAACCAGTCCCTAGAACCACCGCCCGTCCTCTCCTTCGACCCCTCCCCCGTCGCGTGCCCACCTACCTAGCCGCCACCCTCCCACACTTCACCCCTCCACCACCACCATGGCCGACGACCTCGCTAGCATCAGCAAGACAAACAAGTTCCTCAGCAAGTCGCGCTGGGGGCGCAAGATTGGCGGCGGCTCCAAGGAAATGCCCGACGACGCCCTTGCGAAGGAGGCCCAAAAGCTCCAGGCCCAGCAGGACGTCGACGACTTCCTGAAACCCTCCACCCAGAAGTCCCAGCCGCACCCGACCCTCCCCAAGCCGCGCATCGACATCGCCGCCGCGCAGAGATGGCCCAGTGCAAAAGACATCCTGTCCGCTGCTCGCTCCCCCGGCGCGGGGCTGGCGACGACACCCCTCACGAGCTCATTGCGGGGCAGTGAGAACGCGAAACCGAAGCGGGCCAAGGGCCTCTCTGTGTCCTTCGTGCGGACAGCGCCGGAGATAATTGGCCACGGCGGCGACGAGACCGAGGAGGCGTCAATCGAAATCTCGAAGCGGAAGAACAGCGCGTCGGGTGCGGCGCCAGGGCAACCAGCGGTACATCAGGACGACAGCGTGCTGGGGATGCGCACGCCGGACTTCAATGGCTGGAGGGGAGACCAGGCGCAAACTACAGGTGTCGAGAGGCCTGGGATTCCTAAGAGGTCGACTACATCACATGGAGAGATTTCCCCGCCGCTGCAGGCTAAGATGGATATGGGGAATATCACTTCGCAGGCGCAACCGCCACCACCTCCACCGCGAGGAGTGGGCCCAATGGGATTGGGAGACCGTCCGAAACCACTGCAGAGGGCTCCGACTGGATTCGGGGACGTTGATGATGGTGTTTCCAGACCGAGCTTTGATTCGACTTTTTCCAGAGACTCGGATGATTTCAATTCTTTACAGCGGGGTGCTAGCGTGCGTACGGTAGAATCGGTGGCTGAGGAAGAGGAAGAGGACGATTTCGTGCCACGGCCTATGCGGCGAACTCAAACCGGCTTTGCTAATGAGCAGGCATCTGATCAACATCCAAGCTTACCTGATTTCAATTTCGGCGATGACTCTCCTATCATGTCTAAGAAACACTTCTTGGAGAGCGAACCCTCGGACCCCAGCTCTTTCGCGGCGAGAGTCCAGCACCAGATGAGGGCCGAGGAGGGAAGGGCGTTGCATGCGGGCGTTGAGCATCCCGCCGTCGATTCTGATGGCAGACCTTCTTTGGACAGCGCGAGCTCGTACTCCAATACGACCTCGCCGGAGTCCTATCGAGCACCCCCTTTTCCTGCTGCGCAGGATCAGTTTCAGAGGCGGCCAACTAACGCCACACGGCCCTCTTACGAGCCTGCCCCTCCGCAAGTGCCGCTTCAGTCCAGACCATCGAATGCTACACGACTTTTCGAGCCAGCGCCGCCGCAAGGGCAGCTTCAGTCAAAGCCATCGAACGCCACGCGGCCTTCGTACGAGCCAGCGCCATCACAAGGGCAACTTCAGCCACGGCCATCGAACGCTGGTTCCATAAATTCGAGGGTTTCGCCCGAGCCGCGTCTGGCTGCGCAATTGGAATCGGAACCACGTCGTTCGCATGCCCGAAAGCCATCACAAGATCCTCCTATAAGGAAAGCTCTTCCTTCGCCCGAAGCCGGTAGTGAAGGTGTCGATTCATATCTTAACGGTCGTCCCGTATCCAATTCGTCGAATTATGCCACCCCCATGACCACGCCTATGGTACAAGGCTCTTCTCTCTCTCCCAAGAAGGACCAATTTAGCAATGTTCCTTCCCGCAACAACTCTCTGCGACCAGCACCCCCATCCCCTCGACGTAGCTCTCCCAATCACGCCGCTTCTCATTCGCTCTCCCATATTGAATTTACCCAGCCGTTACAGTTTCCCCAAGCCCCAGCTCCAGTCATTCAAAACACCGGACCCCAGGTTCCCCTCCATCGATCAGATACGAAAGCTCAAGGCAATGCTGCCCTAATAGACTTTGCGGATCGCGTTACCCACATGCAAGGAATCTTCCGGCTTACAGCTGAGATGGAGAAGCCGCTTTATGATGCCTCCCCTATGCAATGGTTAAGAGCTAGCATGTGGTGGTTCCTTCGAGGCCGATCTGGCATGGAAGCACTTATTCGTGGTAAACCTCGTGGCGATGCCTCCGCGGAAGCACGTCCTCAACTACTCACACAGCCTCATGTTGACCTGGCTAAGACGTGGTGGATCGTGGCCGAGGTCGTGCAGAACCATCCCGGGCTGAGGAAGTACGGCGACATGCAGATGGAATCGCAGGCTCTTGGCTCGCGTCAGGCTGGAGATACAATTATGGCTGATATCTACGATACATATGATGTTGTGCTGTCGTATTTGAAGCTGCTTCTAGCCTCGATGAAGCGACATCAAGTCATGCCGCCACGACAGTCCCTGATCCAGGGCCAAGACCAGACAATCTGGCACAAGTACCCCAATTTCTCTCTCGATGCTCAATCGATCTTATCCGCTCAAGCAATGCATCCTGCGAGCTGTATGCCACTTGGGGATACGAAAGCGGATTTTGTCTATTCGCGCATGTTTGTCACGGCTTCGCTCGCGACCGAGGAGGCAGAAACAGATCGTGTGCCCATGACCTGCGTTCTCTCCGTCATGCGCCCACACAACGATCTCTCCATCAAGATTACCGTCTGCAGCATGACCGAACTCGTCAACATAACCGTCCAGAACGACCCCAAGGCCCGTCCCACTTGGGAAGACGTCCAATGGAAGGTGAAGACCCGTGGTCTGTATGTCACTCTTCCTCGTGGCTACACCCTCAGCATAGAACTCAATGAGCAAGACTTCCGCCAGCTATGGGCTATCGTGGATCACACGAACAAGGTTGCATCCCGGCTGCGCCCTCATGGGGATGAACGTGTTGTCTACGATCAAGCTCTCCGTGACTTAAAGTACACCGACCCGACGAACCCGCAAGCCTTTCCAGCAGAACGTGTAAAGCGGTGTAGGACCATTGTGTTTGAGAAGTGTTTGAAGAGCAACGAGGGAACCGGCAAGCGGCGCCTCCACCGCGGATTCCGGATTGTTGTTGTGACGAATCCGAAGAGTAGGACCTTGAGTTGCGTCAGCCACGATGTCGGCCTGCAGAAGCCTTTGAACTTTGAATTCCTGGCGGATGCAGAAGAAGGTGGGTTCCCGGCGATGGTGCTACGGCCTGACGAGGTGGTTGACGGCAAGCCGAAGCAGTGCACCATGTTCCTTGTGTTCAATGACGGGAAGGACAGGAATCTGCTTTATGGCACGCTCACGGCCTCGAATGCAACGCCGGATGAGACGGTATTCGCGCAGGTTCCGTTGAAAAATCTCATCGTAGAAAACCTAGATCAAGCTGAAGGCTTTACGCAATCTGGCCATGCTGTGCTGCAGAGGCTTCACTGGAACGACCTCAAGGCGCTGAACATGGATCCTGAAATTAAGAATACGGATGGTGCGCAAGTTGTGCTATCAGAGAGTCTGAGAGTCGTAGCGAGGCATTCCGCGGGCGCCTTGACGGACCGCATGAACATGAGTGAGTTTGCTCTTTCTTCCCTTTCTTCGCTCCAGTGTTTCCATCTGCAGTGAAATGAGACTGACCACCATCCAGCGCCCGGCGAATTCCGCCTCCGCCTCCAAACCAGTGGCAGCGCCGAAATCATCATCCTCCGCAACCCGCAAGAAGACATGAGCGCCGCCATCGACGCCAAACACTGCGAGCCCGACATCCCCGACGAACTCGCCGAGCTGCTGCGCACCATCGCCACGGCATCCACGCTCCGAACCTACTCGTTCCACAACCTCGCCGACCTGCACACCTTCCAGACGGCCGTGACGGGCTTCTTCGTCAAGTTCGACGGCATCGCCGCCTCGTTTGCCATTGCGCGCCGCCGCATGGTGGTGCCCATCTACAAGCGGTGGGAGTCGGCGCAGGTGCGCATCCAGGTGGTGCAGCAGGACAACGTCATCCAGCTGCTGGCCTTCTTCGAGGAGTTCTCGCACGCCGACGCCATGAACTTCCAGCTCAAGAGCATGGACGTGTTCGAGAAGCACGAGAAGGGCGGCCGGTTCCTGCTGAAGCTGGTCGACGCCAAGTTTGCGCTGCCGGTCGAGGAGCGGAAAGGCGAGGGCAAGATTGGGCAGGCCGAGGGCAAGCAGGGCGGGTGGGCGGGCGCGCGGAGGAGGTTTGTGTGTCTGGATGTGGTCGAGTACCCGGGCGAGCATGATGATGTGACGGTGGGGTTTGAGAGTGCTGCCGGTATGTTGGGATTTCCCCCCACCCCCTTTTCCCCCGTTTTCGGCAGGAGAAGAAGCTAACAAGGAGCAGAGCGTGACCGCTTCGCCGAAGCCCTCCCCGCGGCGTCGCAGATTGGCCGCCAGATTACGTTCAAGCGCAAGATTTGATTTTGAGCATTTGCGTTTACATTCGTTATAGCTATTTGTGTGCTTTTCCCTACCTCCTAGCTTTTGGGGGGGGAAAGGGGGGCGTGTGTCTGATACGATACGGTTTTTCTTTGTATACCCTTTTGCTTTTTGTTTTTTTTTCTTTCGTGGCGAAAACGCGCGGGGCATTGCACATAAAGCGGGCATTTTCTGTGAGCGCTCCTCCTGAGTAGGTATCTATCTCTTCAAGGTTCCTGTCGCTGGTTTTTTTTTTGGGGGGGGGGGGGGGGAGGAGTCTGGGATCAAGGTAGGGGGGATTTGGAACGAACTGCCTCTGGGCGGGGGAGTGTGGCGTATCTGTAGGCTTAGGGCGAAATGGAACTGTGATATGCTGTGTCTGTGTTCTTTTGAGTGTTGTGATGTGGTGGTGGGGATCTGAGGAGCGTGATCTGGACGCCGAGGGGGTGGGAAATCTAGGAGATGCTGTTGGAAGACTCGCTATGGCACCTCCGTCGTCGCCTGGCTGGTGTTTGGAGGGTCGAAGCTGGAGAAATGGTGGGCGCGGCCTATTTGGCGTGGGATGCTGGGCTGGGGTGGGTCCTTGAGCTTGCTGAAAAAGGAGGTTGGATGGCATCTTTGAGAGTGGGGAGATCGGGGCATGGACGAGAGAGACACAGGGGTGGACTAACGTTGTGCAGGGCATGGGAAGGTGGTGGAGGAAGTGTGGTAGTTCTGGACGTGGATTTTGGGGTGGGATTGGGTTTGAGGGGTGGTAAGAAGCGGCGCGATCGATATGTTTGAGGTCTGAGGTTTGAATAGTACACCGCAAGCGCGGCGGATGGGATGGTACTGCAAGAGAGGCCCCTTGAGGGCGATCATAAATGGCAAGGGAAGAGTTTCCCAAGGGTCTGAGTTTAGGGCTGTGGAGCTCGTTCGGATTCGTGGTTGGTGTTGAGGCAAACCCGTGGTTCTTCAAATACTTCAAACTTCTACACTTCTGCAGCTTATTGCACGGTTCGTGTAGCACTTTACGCGTCTGCGTTCAATGCTTTCTGTTCCGGTTTGCCAAGTCTTACCATATTGAGTGATGAGGGTGGTGATGGGGGTGGAGTAGGTTAGGCGCGACAGGAGTGGGGCTTGTTCACGAATTGGTCTTACAGCTAAGCTCGTCTCACTAGGGCCCTGATAGTGGTATTCTTCATTATCCAGGGGCTTGCCAAGGAGCAGATCTGGATAATGCGCGTCACTTTGAGTATCGTGCTCCGGGAGGCGAGAATGGTAACATAAAAGGGTGACTTTTATTTCCTGAGCTCACGTAATTATTTTCTGGTATAGTCCTGAACGCTCCTTGAAGTTCCCTCGAGCCATTGTGGGTATTGGGATATCCATGGCGATTTCTGGGCTGTCTTGCCTGATCGGTGCTGTGAAGGAACGACCTGATGATGTTAGAACTATTCTTTAAAACCGCTTTACAGATCTGACTGTTCTTGGCGATCTCACAAACCGCTTTTGACGCTTCCTGGAGTTTTCTCGTATGTCACGAGTATCAGCAAAATAGTAGTACGCTTGAAAGGAGTTCTTGGCCTCCGCCTGATTGACACTTCCAAGGGATCGAATAGCCCAGCAAGAATAGCAAACTAAGAATGAGGCCCTGTGTCTACCCGACAAGGGACTTCTAAAGGCTCGGTTCCAAGGAACATAAGCATGGTGGGTTTGGGACTATTTTAGTTCATATGACCTGTAAAATAAGGATGTGAGATTAGGGCTAAGGGCGAAATGAATTAGACTTTTAAAGAAACACTGGATCAAATGAAGATGTATTGATTACCTACAGTCGTAGTTACTCGCTCTCGGAACACCTTTCGAGCAAGCAGATCTTAAGACCGGTGTTGTATCTGATATAAGTCGAGATGGAGAAGCGCAGATCAGGTGGGGATGAATCTGGTCCGAGATTGTGAATGAGCTCGATCTTGTATTCACCCAATACTCAGCTCTACATGAGCGTGTGCTAGTCGATGATAAGCACCAAGTGTTGGATCGAGTCCGAGATATCGACCACTGTCTTCGAGAGCGATTACAGTGCCGCGAGGAAGACGAAAAGCGGAATAGACGCCTTATCCCTGGGTCTGTTTCTGCCGGAAGGTAAGAAAGTTGAAGCTGTGAAGCTAATATCGACGTCCTGGAGAAAAGGAGCGATCCGACGTATGTACCTATCTATATAAAGGTGACGAAACTTCGGCTGTGTACGAAATATGAAATAAGACTTACGACGAAAGACGTCGAGAATAAGATCTGCTGCGGTAGGCTGAGAAGGGTATCCACGAATGGATATTGGAGATTGAACCGCTGTTATGAAAACATTCCATCTGCGTAAGGACATTATCATGAATTGAGTGACTGGTGTTGAGCTTTCCCTCCGTGCGTAGCTCCAGTACCGGCGAACATCTGAGTCCGCTCCACCCTCCACATAAATTCTGCCTTACCCTCAGTGCCTCACACTCCAACGGTGTAGAAACCCGACCTGCGATCCTTCTCTGATACACACCTCGACCCTTAGCACCCTGCCCTATCCCTCACAGCCCTCCCTAATCCATTTATCACCTGATCTCAAAGCTATCAATGTCACAGATATCCTGCTCCGCCTCCGACGACGCGTAGAGCCAAGCGTGGAATAAGCGAACCACCCAATCAAACCGCGCCCTCTACGGACTACATTAGCCGCAGACAAGCTTATGCACCTCCAACTTCATACGCCCTCGAAATAAGCCTTATGAGACGGATACTGTCGTTCAGCAACCCATCTGACTGGCTCGCTTGGTGGGTACAAGCACCTCCGAGCTCTCGTTGAGGCGAAGCTTGCGAAAGCTTGTTGAAACAGCGCTTAATCTGAGCTCTTGAAAGAGCTACAGGTAGGTAAGCCCGATGGAAGGGTCCAGCGGAGCGCTGCGTTTGGGATAGTCAGGGAGAAGTTTGCGAATGTCGTGATGCGGCGTCGTCATAGGCGATGAATACGAAGGCGCAGGATGTATTGGAGGACGTGTGCTCCCAGACTAACCGATTCGCAAACGCGATTTTGGAGGTTCGGGCAGTGCTGTGCGTGATGGAGAAGCCAAGCTTTTATAGTCGGAAGATATATCTACATAATGCTCCCCTCATATCTATTCCAAGCCTTCATCACAGATCCGTTCTTTCTTACATCTCCTTTCCTTTCTCTACCTTCTATTCTCCCGTTGACTCCCTCTTCTTTCCTATCCATCTTGTGATTTCCTGATACCAGAATGGCTTCGACGACTCTAGCTATGATAGTCGTGCGAGCGACACCATCAACCACCCTCCCCGCTCTCCCCTCCGCCTTCAAAACCGCAACAGCAACCGCCTCCTGCACCACCGCCATCCCAGGGAAACATGGATTCGTATCCGACCCCATGGCATGCAACGCGTACTGGAGCTACAACCCCTCCTTCGCAGCCGCCATCCTCTTCTCCGTCCTCTTCGGCCTCCTCCTCTTCACCCACATCGCCGAAGCCTTCATCTACAAAAAGGCACGCATCCTACTCCACCCCCTCGCCCGCAGCCCCAATGGCCCACGACACTAACCGCTCCCCGCAGACATACACCTGGGTCCTCCTCATGGGTGTCGCCTGGGAATTCGTCTCCTTCTGCACGCGCGCCGCCTCGACCCTCAACCAACAAAACCTAACCCTCGTCATCGTCTCTCAAATCCTGCTCTTGCTCGCTCCTCTATGTGCGCCCCTCTCCCTCTCCCTCTCCCTCCCCCTCCCCCTCCTCGATTCCCCGCTAACCCACCCGCAGGGATCAACGCCTTCGCCTACATGACCCTCGGCCGCCTAATCCACTGTACGTAAGGTCCTAACACATATACCAGAGTCCTCTGGTGTCATTGTCCCGGGAACTGTGTTGAGACACGACACAAGGTCGTGTTTGAACACCCATTTCAGTCGCGTTATTAGACACACCCAGTTTGTTCGCCTTTCAGCACCAACGCGAGCTAAAATGGGGGTCTTTCAACACGATCCAAGTGGCCCTCAGGGACAAAGAACACCAGAGGATTCAGTCTCTGTCCTAGTCCACTTCCCCCCCACCCCCCCCTTCTTCATGAAACCCCCGCTAACATGTGTATTACTACCTTTCAGTCTTCCACCCGGCCCGCCGCATCTGGCGCATCCCCGGCGCCTCGGTCGCCAAGTACTTCGTGTGGGCCGACGTCGTGTCCTTCCTGATCCAGGGCACCGGCGGCTCCATGCTCTCGCCCGGCAGCGACGCCTCGACCCAGAAACTCGGCATCGACGTCTACATGGCGGGCGTGGGCGTGCAAGAAGGCTTCATCCTGCTCTTCGTACTGCTGGCCGCCACGTTCCAGCGGGAGATGGGCCGCGTCGAGCGCAGCGGGGCGGGCGTCGCGGCGGGGCGGGGCGGGTGGCGCGGCGCCGTGGGCACGTTGTATGCGGTGCTGGTGCTTATCTCGGTGCGTTCTTTCAACTCGCTCTTCCTCTCTCTCTCTCATCTCATTCCTGTTTCTGTGTTGTTTTTGGTTTTGGTTAGGGGATGGGGAAAGCTGACGTGTGGTTTTTACGTGTTGTGTTTAGATCCGCATTATTTACAGACTGGTTGAGTACTCGCGCGGCTCGAACCCCAATAACCCGCTCCCGTTCCACGAGGCGTACGTGTATGCGCTGGATGCGACGCCGATGATGCTGGCGGTGCTGGTGCTGGCCGTCGGGCATCCCGGGCGCGTGCTGGTGGGGCCCGAGAGCCATTTTCCGAGTTTGAGTCGGAAGGAGAAGCGGGCGGCGAAGCGGGCTAAGAAGGCGGAGAAGGCGGAGAGGAAGGCGGGGAGGAGGGAGGGGAAGAGGGGGGTGCAGTTGGAGGAGGGGGTTTTCAGGAGGTGAGGGGATAGGGAGGGTCGGATTTAGAGGTTGGGAGTCGTGAGATAGGGGAGTGGTGTGTTTGGGTCTGGTGGACTGCATAGAGTACAGAAAGATACAAGGGAGTCTGGGGGTTTATAGTGGAGTGCAGGTAGCATGAGAGAATGCTATCGCGAGAGGGCGAAGTGAGGGTTGAAGATATGGAAGCTATTGGACATCAACACCGCTCGAAGGACCACATGGAAACAGTTTGGGAAGTGTTGCGCGCGTTTTGCCAGGCTGCTTTGGCTCGACGTTGGGAGGGAGGCAAGAGATGAGGTGACTGAAAGACTTTATTTTTCAACATTTAGAAAGCTTCATGTAGAGCAGCAATACAATTAATGCCAGGTATCACGCAATGGATCGGTATTGCCGCAATGCCCCTGAGCTTCTTGCTACTTCTGGCCTGCCTTCTCAGCTATGTCGTCCTTTTAAGCTCGCCTTCCTTCTAGAACGCTGCTGAGCTTCGAAAGTGGAGCAGACAGAATGACGATATGTGGAGCTGAGCGCAAAAATGCAACGAAGACGAGATAGAAAGTCCAAGGCGTTGGGTAAGGAAATCATCAGATTCCGGGTTGTCTCGGGCATGCGGCCACAATTTTACCTAAAAAGCCTCTGATGTTGTCGAAAATTCAGGAATAATATGCCATTTCGTCCAATTGCAGGACTCGTGGCCAAACGATTTGTCGTCGGAACCACATAGCGCTGATGGCACGGTCGCGCTCGTGTAGCTCGTCAACAGCATCTGTAATGACAAAGGGCGCGGCTCGGAGCTGCGGTGGAGTATTAAGGCGACGGCAGCCCAGCACTGTGCCATGGTTCTGATGGACCCTTTTCAACTCTCTTTCAACCTCGTCTGCCACGCCCATCGTTACGCAGACTCACAAAGGGCACCCCGGGGCCCATATAGGACATCTGCCTTGGCCCCTGGTGGTGCGACGGTCGCGATATTACCCCCACGACGCACGCATCCATAGGGCATCTGTAAGCGTCAACACCGCAGGCCGACTGCCCGCCCGCATCCTCACCACACGACGATAAATCCTCCACGCCAGCGTCGCGTCGCCCAGCAAATCGGGCTTGCATCTGGGAGCGGCGCGAGGAAGAGATGCCCACAACTGGGACGTCCAAGGCGGCCAGAACGCGTCGGCAGCGCGGATTACCTGGTCGCTGGGACGTCTGGTGCGACGTCTTCCCCAGAGTCGCACTCGGTCCGGCGCCAGCATGGTCGAGCTGCCTGTTGCGGGCTGGCTTGGCCGATGGGCCTTTGACGCCTCGCCCGCCACAAGGGCCAACGTCTCGTGTTGTGTCGCGCTGGCCGTGATGCCTGGACGGACTGCGAGATTTGCGATTTGCGTTTCGGACGGTGCATGTCATGATGACAGCCAGTCGCCGCGCGCCGTGAGCTTCTCTTATCAGTTTCGAGCGCCATGCTAACCCCGACAAAGGCCCCCATTTGCTGCACCCTCGCAATCGCCCACAATCGCGCAAGCGCATGGCCCGATGCGGCTAGCGGCGCGATAGGTTGACGGCGGCCGTCCGGGGCGCACATCCTGACGACATCTGCGAGGCGCCCTTCTTGCGGTGCCGGGGCCGGATCCGACCCTCTGCGCGGCCCAGCATCGACGGCGAGTGACCACAGAGGACCGGTAACGGGTGGTGAGAGATAGCAGCAGGACGGACTCCTGTGGCCGGTGTATCGTGGCTGAAGGCCTGGCAGAACACCGGTGAAAAGAAAACCCTCATGCCAGGGCGGCCACAGTCGGGTCAAGCACGGGGGGACTGCGGCGCGTCCGAAGCTGTGGTTCCCAGGACCCGCTATCCAGGCTTGCTGCGTCTCGGGCTGCAGAACGGCTGTCAAAACGACACGGCTTGTCGCGGGATGGGATCGATGCAGCGATTCGGCGCAGGGTCTCGAGTCGGCCCGTCCAAGTGTTGCGGCGCGAGGCCTGGCGCGGTGCGGCTCGCTGTTCCCTGGAGGCACAAGCTGTGACGGCGGGGCGTGTTGGTGTCGGTGGTGCGGGCGACGCTAGGCCGGCCCTGCGAGTGGTCGGCCCGCAGAGTGAATGGAATCAGTCGCCCGGGGCCCCCTGCCTGGCGGCCAGCCGCTCTCGACGCCCTAAGCCGGCCCAAGGACGCGCCAGAAGCCGACTACTGCATGGAAGCATTCTAGATGGAAGCAGTGGCCTCGGCGCATGTGAGCAGGCCACCCCATCGCCTGCTGGGGGCCCATTGCAGCCGAAGTGGCCTCTCTGTCGGCGCATGTTGTTGCCACCTGCCACCTGCCTCATGGCTCCCAGCAATCAGCAGCACTGCCAATGGGGGAGGCGCGCCCGGCTCGCTGCTTATCGGGGCTAGCCGACTGCAGGGATCGCGGCCCGGGCTAGGGAGCATGCGGCAGCTCTCCCAGTGAACACCATCGAGCTGCACTGCACCGGCCGTGGCCCATAAAGCTCGCTGCCCGCCCTTGCTCCCAGCCCTCTCCCATCGCGACTCTCTCACGCTGCGTGTCCTCTCTCTCAGCACCAGCCATCTCTACTAACCGCAGCCATGGCCATCACCGAGCCCGCGCCGACCTACCACAGCGATGCGAAGAACATCGACCTCGAGAAGGATGCTGCCATCGGCGAGGTCCACAGCCCGACGCTGGGCAGCGACGACATCGCAGACGATCGCGCCAAGAACCCGCTGAAGCGCAACCTCCACGGCCGCCACATGCAGATGATTGCCATTGGCGGCGCCATCGGGGCCGGTCTGTTTGTTGGTTCCGGTGGAGCTCTGCGCTCTGGCGGTCCCGCGTCTCTGGTATGTGCCTTTGCCCTCTCACGACATGGCCTAGCGACGAGAGCACGCGCTGACAGCAGCCGCAGGTTATTTGCTTCATGATCATTGGCGTGTCTATCCTCATGATGATGCAGGCGCTCGGAGAGCTGGCCATCATGTACCCCGTCAACGGCGCCTTCTTCCAGTACATCTGCCGCTTCATCGATCCGTCCTGGTAGGTCGCCTCACGTGCCGCAACACGCAGCACCGCAAATCCCCGCAATCCAAAACTAACAGCTTCCAGGGGCTTCGCCATGGGCTGGGACTACGCCATCCAGTGGCTCACGATCCTGCCGTTTGAGATCACTGCCGCTGGTCTCACCATCGACTACTGGCACCACTACAACATCGGCGTAAGTCCCCCCCTCCGATATCTGCCAAGACCCCGCTGACATCATCAGATCTGGATCGCCGTCTTCCTGACCGTCCTCACCGCCATCCAGTTCTTCGGTGTGCGCGGCTACGGCGAGGTCGAGTTCTTGCTGTCCACAATCAAGGTTGTTGCTTGCGCCGGTTTCATTATTTTCGGCATCATCGTCAACTGCGGCGGCGTGCCGACTGACAACCGTGGCTACATTGGTGCCCGCTACTGGCACTCCCCCGAGCAGGCGTTCCGCAACGGCTTCCACGGCTTCTGCACCGTCTTCGTCACGGCCTCGTTCGCTTTCGGTGGCACCGAACTCACTGGTCTTGCGGCCGCCGAGTCCGCCGACCCCGTCCGTGATCTGCCTAAGGCTACCAAGCAGGTCTTCTGGCGCATTACCTTCTTCTACGTCGTCAACCTGTTCATCCTCGGTCTTATTGTGCCCAGCAGCTCTCAGGTCCTTCTCGGCTCCTCCGGCGCCAACACCAAGGCCTCCCCCTTCGTCTTGGCCATCACGCTTGCCGGTGTCAAGGGCCTCCCGTCCGTGTTCAACGCTGTCATCACCATCTCGGTTATCTCAGTCGCCAACTCCGCTACCTACGCCTCTACCCGCACCATCCAGGCGCTCGCCCAGAAGGGCATGGCACCCAAGTTCCTCGCCTACGTCGATAAGAAGGGTCGCCCAATCCCCACCATCGTCCTCCAGCTGGTCCTTGCCCTCCTTGCCTTCTGCAATGAGCAAACGAACTCTCAGGTCTTCACCTGGCTTCTCGCCTTGTCCGGTGTGGCTAACTTCTTCGTCTACGGCTCTATCTGCGTTGCCCACATCCGTTTCCGCTCTGCGTGGAAGCTCCACGGCCACACCGTGGAGGAGCTTCCTTTCCGCGCTCAGTTCGGCATTTGGGGCAGCTACTTGGGCGTTTTGCTCAACTTCCTCTGCTTGGCCGCTCAGTTTTACACTGCTCTCTACGTAAGAGTCACCAGCTCACTGCAACCATGAACAACCTGCTAACATCTTGACAGCCTATCGGTGGAACACCCAATGCCGAGGCCTTCTTCGAGGCCTACCTCGCCGCGCCCCTGATCATCGCCCTGTATCTCGGCTGGAAGATCTGGTCCATGTTCATGATCCCCGAAAACCGCCCCATGTGGGTCGCCATCAAGGACATCGATCTGTACACGGGCATGCGCGAGGACCAGTTCACCTTCTCGGCCGAGGGTGTGCCCGAAGCCATCCGCCGCCAGTCGATCGCTTCGCTGCCCATCAACAAGCCCAAGAAGTGGTACGACTACCCCAAGAACTTCCTTACTGGCCTCTTCTAGACGTGTGCCGTTTGCGGGCATATTTGCATAATCAAGGGTTGTGGTGTTTTCGGAGCGTGACGGGCTGGGGTCTGTCACGATTATCGTGGATTTAGGGGCGATGCGAGCGAGCGAGTTTCTTTGTGCAAAGCCAAATGTACTCATAATGAAAGGACGGGTTTTGGGGCGGGAAAGCCATTCGTATGATCAAGATTGTACTAGATGAGGTGCACGCACTAACCTTGGGGATTGGTGGCTGTGCGGGCTGGGTAGAACTGGTCCTGCAATTGATTAATCTCTTGAACTTGCATCACCTCGAGTTGTTTGCGTGTGTGTGCGTGAATTCTTGGGGATTGCGTGAGTGAGTGAGTGAGTGAGTGAGTGAGTTGTGTGAGATGAGGTCCACTCAAGCTCATGCAGCGATCAACCCCGATTCCCCACCAAGCCAGATCTTGCAGCAGCGGGGCCCATCTTAGTGTGGGTTTTCGGCAACACCCGGCTTGGCTGATCTACGGCCCCACCGTTCCCCCTTCGGTTGCGGACTTTACTCTTGTAGGGAGGTGCTTAAGAATCCTGCATCCTGCATCCTGCATCCTTGCCCGCGTTAAATCGAGTTAACTATGGAAGCTTGCGAATAACTACATGCTATTGTAATAACATCGTGAGCCGCCCCCCCCCCTGCACCTGCAAGACAACTCTTTAACACTCGGCTTCTTATTGGATACACGGACTAGCAGGGGTCAAGGGTCCGGGCTTGGCACTCGAAGCTCATACGGGTAGGTACCCCCATCTCAGTAACTTATGCCCCAGGGAAAGGCAGAACTGTCGTTTATTTTTTCTATTTCGAGGGCTTTGAGTCTGGCTGTTGCTGTGGAGGGAAGGAGGGGGGTTCTGGACCTAGGTGGGTTCGTCGACGGGTTTTGGTGTGGGGGGGGTGCTTTTGGCCGGTTTGGGTGGGGATTGGAGAAGGAAAAAAAAAACGCTCGATTTTTGATGGAACTTGTAGTTTTTTTAGGGGGGAATATGGATGCTTGTGTGTGTGTTTGCTAATTCTACTTCCATGTGTGGAAAACCTGCTATCCCCTCTAGCCATGTAGGTTAGGTAGTTAGATAGTTTTTCTTGGGACACCGGGAATGAGGCGCGCTTCGTCGATTTGTTTTCTCGCTACTGTTCGGCCGAAGAGGACACGGGGTTTATGGTGGTGGGTGCCTCTTGCGCCTTCCCGTCTTCTGCGATGTGCTGCCGTCAGATGTATTCGTCGGTGGTAGAAACTACGCAGATCGTGCTTACAAGTCACGATCTTGAAAAGATGTTGAAGAAACGTTAAGGTTTCCGGCGGAGAAGGTTAAATTTCTAGTACCCATGCATCTAGTCACGAGTGGTATTTTCTTGACCTGCCTCATTAGATCGAGCTCTCGATGTGCCTTCGTCGCAATTCGTATCGTACATTTCGTACACAGCCGAAGCCTCGTCGCCTCAATCGTAGCATACATCGTGGGCCCAAAGCGGCCAGCCGAAACCCAGCGCTGCACTAGCAATACCAAAGCCCAGACGCACCTACTAATGCCTCGTCCCCTCCCGATAGGTACAGCAAATGCTGTTCTCCTCGCACCAATTCTGCACCATCTTCGCCTCGAGCTCCTTCTCCACCACCTCCATATCATCTTCCGCACCAGCAGCCTCACCCGCCTTCTTCTTCCCCCTCCCCTTCCGCTTAATCGTTACAAACCAACGCACGCCCTGCGCGTTGAGCCACGCAGTCAAATCTTCCAAGACGATGGGATCGTACATTAGAATCTTCTCATACCAGCTAGGTTTTGACGGATCCGTCGTCCTTGGTGCTCCCTTGACTGTAGTCGTGATCTTGGGAAATAGGTCTCGCCGCATAGCCGCCTCTGCGAGCTTGGCGGCCTCAACTTTCGCGGCAAGTTTCTCTGCCTTCAACTTCTCGGCGACTTCACGGTCGTGCTTGACTTGCTCGAGATCGATCTCCTTGACTGCTAGGGAGGGGCGGAGTTGGAGGGGAGACGAGAGGGTTGGCGCGTTCGCTTTGCGGTTGCGAGGTGGGGAAGGAGAGAGGGGGCTTTCGGCTTCCGAGTCTTGGATCTCGTCGATGTGGACAAAGTCGAGGGTTTTCTTCTTGCGCGGAGGTGTGCTTGGGAGAGCGCGGCTGGCTTGCGTCTTCTTCTTTGGTGATGATTTCGCTCGCTTTGTCTTCTTTGTAGGAATAGTAATGGTGGTTTTGGATTTGGGCGGTCGTCCACGAGGTTTCTTTGCAGTGGGAATTTTAGAAGGGCTGGCTTGGGATTTGGTTGCGTGCGCCTCTCTATTCTCAAGTAATTTGATGTGGCTAGAGGCTGCTAAGGCAGAATCACCCTGCTGATTCTCACCGACCTGAGGTCGCTGGAAGTCTTCAATATCGAGGAATCTAGATTCATCAGCTGGGCCATCGAGTTGGATGATGCTGTTAGAAGCAGTATGGGGCGGCTTTGATTCAGCGCGGCGTGGGACATCTTTGAAATCGTGAAACTCCTCGATATAATGGAATCCAGAGTCTTGCTTTTCAGCCGGGGAGTCCTTCGAATTGCAAAAATCTCCGGTAGGAAGGGATCCCGAGCCTTGTTGTTCACTCGGGAATTCCTTAAACTCGCCAAACTGCTCGATCGAATGAAATTCCGAGTCTGTCATTTCAGCTGGCGCATCTCCATCGTCGTTGAACGTGTCGATATCAACGAACGAGCCATCTATCTCGGGATGGACATTACGTGGTGATGGCGCGGGGGGGTTCCAGAATTGGTTATCGTCGTCTCGAGCGGCTGCAGACCACAGCGTCCGACTGGCGGTGAACTTCGAAAGCTTCTTGCTACGTATTGAATCGCTCACCACGGATTCGGTGGCTTGGTGAATTGAAGCATTCGCTTCCGCTTCAGCCTCCGATTCGCGAATCGCTAGCTGGATCTGACGAATGAGTTGCGGAGACTCGTCACGTGCCAGCTGACTCGAAGTCCCAAACAAGATTTCCTGCTTGTTCCATTTCCTCGCAGCAGTTGAGGGCGACAGAAGCTTGTCAGCGACGAGTTTGGGCTGTGATTTGGGCTGTTTCGTCCCCTTCTTAGTCTTGGGATCGGCCTTCGTCGGCGACTTCTCGCGAGGAGCACGTTTCCTTGCAGGTTTCGGCGCTAGCAACGCTTTCGCATTGTTTCCTATTGCTCCAGCTACAGGAAGTACGCCTGCCCGAGGACCGAAGAAATTACTGGTGGCACCAGCCGCAACGTCATCTAGGCCATTTGGCTTGTACTGTCCTGTGACGAGGTCGGTAATTGTAGTCGCTTTTTTCCTTAGTGCTTTGGTAACTTCGGTATTGGGATGCTGGCTAGGGATATCCACAAGCTCTATACGTCTCCGCTTTGTCAATGCCTCCCCAGAGACTTTTCGAGTAACAGCCTCCGTAGTGACAGCCTCTGATGTGTTTGCATAAGCGTAGGTAGCGATTATGCTGGTGAACGCAAGTTTCTTGTGAGCTTCTGGAGAATCCCCGACCTTGGAATTGACCGGCGTGACTTCATCTAGCATAATGATTTCCGTATCCTTAGTCGGTGTCCAATCGGTTCTCCTCTTGACTGCGGCATCAAGTGAAAGGGGCTCATCGACCCTTGTAGGCTTTTCCCCAATAGCAATCTTGTCCATTGCGTCGTTCCCGGTTCCCTTCACAGTTGCTGGCAATACTGTATCCCGGACTCTAGGTGAAGGCACAGGGATTTCGAGGTTGATCATCTCCCCAGCATCCAAAAGTAATGTGTCGTCCATTTTAGGCGCCATATCCTCCTTGTTCGGGTGGAAATGCGCAGATTTGACACCGGTAGTCTTGGATTCGAAGTTGTATTCTTGAGTAAACTCAATTTCTTTCGATTTTGCGCTGACCGTGCCTGGCTTGGTGATTTTGCCCTTCTTCAGCTTTGTCTGAGCCTCTGCCTTCTCCTTGGGCACCCTAGGCTTTCGAGGCTTCGTCGGTTTGGATTTCGGAGGTACTGGGGCATCGGCTTTCTCGAGAGCATTCGCGGAGGGAGCAGAAGTGGTCGCTACGCCTGCATCGGATTTAGATGGTGGAGGATTTGGAGTCGTAGTGTCTATGGTTTCCTTCCGCTTTCTGGGCTTCTTTGCTACGACATCGGGGCCAGGCTTGGTCTCGGAGGCTTTGGCAGAGCGTTTGCTGGCTTTCTTAGGCGCATTAGCGTTGGCGTCCACTTCAGAAAGCTGTTTCCGCTGCCTCTTGGGTTTCTCTTCCCCGGCGAGATCTTCTGCGGCCAGGCTCAATTGCCTGCTCTTGATTAAGCTGCCCGCGGTGGCAGAGCCTGTGAAAGCTCTGTCCGGCACTGGGGCTGCCTTCGAGCCACTCCTTAACGCGCCGCCCCCCTTCTTCGAGAAGAATTCCGAAGGTGAGGGTAGGGGCGACGATGGCGGGGACATGGCGGCGCGTTGTTGATGGCTCGGGGATGTCGAGTGACGGCGGGGAGATGCGTCCATGGTGCTGCGTTTGAGAAGGGGGTGGTGCCTCGTGAAAGCTCGAAATGGCAATGCGGAGGGTCATGAAGCAGGTGCGATGGTGAAGGGCATTCTCTTGGTGGTGTTTTGGGAGGACGTGAATGTCGAAAAGCGATGCTGTGCCTCTGTTCAATGCGGGCTGCCCTGTTGTCCCACGGATCTCTCGCCAAACAAGTCTATTGGCGTTCCCACACAAAATTCTCAGAAGCCCTGTAGCCCTGCCGCCCCTCCACCCACCAACACCCCCACCCTATTCACAACCACGACAACGAAGCAGCTCTAAAGCTGCTACCGTCTCTCGAGACTCATTCGACCCAGACTAACCACCGCATGCGGCTTGCTAACCTCCTGGAAGTCTCTGGCGCGGCTGACCGAGTCGATCGACCCGCAGAGCCATCCCACCCAACCAGCCTCATCACCCTCCGTTCCTCATCAGCAGCTTTGCTTCAGCCTTTGGAATAGGGTCCGGGCTATCTCATACTGCCTCTCAGCAAGTAGCTGCATGAGACAGATGGTTTGGACATGCTGGTGTGGAGCCATCCACCACACTCCCCAAGTCGGCACGACGCAGCATGTCTTCATACCGCCGCACCATTTTTTTCTCGTCTTCGACCTGATCTGGGACAGCCGGCTCTTCTCTTGGATGCCCTAATCCTGCATCGTCGCCAGCGGCGTCGTTGACGCGTCTTTGTCGCCTCCTCACCTGACCTGTGCCGCAACACCGAGTCTTCTTCGCTACTGCCTCCAGTCAACGCCATACCACATCCTCTCCGCATCTCCTAGCAATCCCCTGAGACATCCCAGCGTCCTCAAGAGAAGAAAACATCAGTCGAAAAACATCCCCTTTCCTGGTAAGGTGGCCCGTGCATTGGTGCGCCTCACCGCCACTAGCAACACCGCCACAGCCGCTGGATGGATTCCAATGTCCCAAGGTTCATCGCTGGCTGGGACCAAGTCGACTCGATCAAGGATTTCTGGTGGATGACGCCTCCCACGGCTCTCATGGAGAGACATCTTCACATCGTTCTGGTGAGCTCCGAGTTGAACCCCTGGTCTGAGATTGCTTCCAGTCTTCGAAATCGACATCGTGCTGGACAGGTGAGACGTGAAGTGCCGACCCTGACGGTAAGACGAGATTATTCCTCTTTACAAATGCTCAGCCCGTTCGATCTTTGTGGAACCTCTGCTTCTTCTCGGTCTTCTTTCTTTCCAGAACTTAGATCTTGTCGGCTTCAATCTTCATCCTTTTCAGCTTCGCATCAGTCTTTCTTCATCTTCGAACTTTTGAAAGCTTTTGGATTTTCTTGTCTAAGGTAGGTCCTTGTTCAAGTCCTAGCTCTTGGAAGCCCTCAAATCTTTCTGGGACTCCGCATTCCTCCTCTTGCTGCTATGCTTGCTCCATGAATGTCTGCTTTTACGTTCCGACGAATCTTTTGCTCGAGTCTCGAATTCCTCAAACATATCTCTTGCCAAGGTAGGTCCCTGCTCGCTATTTTTTCCATCCTCTTTTCCATCTTCTCTCAGATCCCAGTCCTTGATATCTCCGAGTGCCTTCGAATCTCACGAGGCAAAGGTGGGTCGACGTCATCTGTCTTCAGTATTCTTTCATGAAGCTCATTTCTCGGCGTTCTGAAACGTCTCCTCATTCCTTTCGCCACAGTAGGTCCGCATTGCTTCTCTTTAGACTCTTCTCTGAACATCTTTCATCCTGCAAGTCTACCTATGCCAATCCAATACAAAGGTAGGTGTTCGCATGAAGTCGTGAGTGCAATATCTTTTCGATCTATTTCAGATGGTCGTCATGGATAGATTTCCTAGCATTCTGTTCTCATTTCAGGCAAAGGGTCGAAAGGTAAGCCGCTAAGTCGCAGGGTTGTCTCCCTGGGCACCGATGGCTCCCAGGGTGGATCTCAAGTCCATCGTCTTGCTTCTGTCCTTGATCTGTTTCCACTTCTTCGATATCGAGATCTTGGCATCTTTCTGCAGGTAGGTGGCCTGGGCCACCGATGGTCCCCAGGGAAAATATGTTCTCCTAGTCACTTGCCAGCTTGATCGAGCTTCTGAATTCTTACGCGTTGAACTCCTCGCATCGGAGGCCGACAGCATTCAGAGTGACCTCCTCTTCTTATTTACTTGCCAGTATGCTTGGGTGTCTCAACCGCTGAATCTCGGACGCTTCTGCCCCCGGTCACCAATGGTCGCCGGGTAAACTTCAAGCTTATTCGAAGTTGTCATGGTCATTTGGCATTTTCAAACCCACAGAGCGCTTTCTTTCCTGTCCGATTGGACGTCTAGTCCTAATTCCATTCGTAGTCTCCGGTAGGTTCAGTCGTATCAAGTAGTCTCCGGGCACCAATGGTTCCCAACGACCTGGGCCTTCTGGTCATACGCGGTCTTTCAATTCTCCTTGGCCACGAGCCACGTTTGCCTTTCGACTTCATCTGGTCCTGAACTTTTGGCGCATCGTCGTTTTGCTCCACTTGTTTGGTGTTCAGTGTTTCTTCGATGTCACGTTCCGGGACCTCTGAAGTAGGAAAATCTCTCGCAAAGATAGGCGCCCCCAAAGGTAGGGCATATCAAGGGAGGCTCAGTCAAAGGTAGGTGTAGAGATAGGTGGGAAGGTAGGTACTAAGGCGCAGCCTTTTCGAGATTGCTCTGCTCGACGGTTAGCATGTTTCCCGTGCTTCTTTCTCTCTCACCTTCAGTCTGCTGGCTTGCGCATCGTCGGTCCTTCTTCTCGCGGCCTTCTTCCCAGCCAATCCCTTCTGTTGCAATTTCCGTTATGTGTCTAGCCATGAGTGGCATTCTCCTTCAATCTTTCCGTCGGGTAAGGGTTTCGTCCTGTGTGCTGAACGCGCTTTCGTCTGCTCATTAGTCCGCTCTTTGATGTCGTCGTGGGCTTGATCCCTTTCTTCAACTCAGTCAACATGTCCTCTCATCGTTGCTTCCATACTTCATGGGTGTTGGCTCTCTTAGTGTCTACCCAAAGTCTCCTAGGTCATAGCACGTCGATTTCAAACCTCAGCTTCCCTCCTAGGTCGCACAGCTTTCATCTTTTTCAGTCAAGAGGTTTCCTGTCCCTTATCAGCAGTCATTCTAGTTCTCGCAGGTATTCTCTTGTTCAGTTTCAGTCTTCGCACGTTTTACCAACTCTCCTAGATGTTTCTCTCGGAAGAATCGTGCCCTCGGAGGCCGCCTGATATTCTGGTTTTGGATCTGGTTCTGGATGTTGAAGTGTTCTGTGGCATCGTTAGTCCCGATGTTGCCAAAGCGGTGTGCTCTGGTGTCTCCGGTGGAAGCTCCTCTCCATGGCTCTGGAGGTTGAGGTGCTGTGTAGCCTGCCTCCATGATTGGTCCCGACGTTTCCCACGTGGTGTGTTTTATCTCAACGCCACCCATGCACCCCCCCAGATTCTGGGGAGATGTTGATGTCTTGGGAGAGCTTGAGAGTTGTGTTATGGTGCTTCGACTGGACCCACATTGGGTCTCTGACGCGCGATGCGTAGAATTGTCGATAGTGGATGTCCAGGCTCCTGTCCAAGTGATGGAGAAGATACCAAAGGGCCAGAAATGCGCACGCGGACAAGGCTCTATCGGATGCATCGCTGCGAGATGAATCGACATCAGAGTACTGGTAATGGCAGCAAGCGCAGAATGTTTCGAAGAAGAGATCTGGAAAGAATGCAGATACAGAGCTGCTCTTGGTTCCCCTGGAAGTGGTACTGGAGAACCTCTGGCGAGAGTGGCGGATGTTTGGCTTCAAGAAGAGAGCTCTGGAGCACTACTCAAGGTTCAGACCGCTTCTTCCTCCTGGCGACTCCGGATTAAAGATATCGTTCGCCCTACCGTGCTGGGCCTTCGAAGTGGTACGGCAAAGACCGTATCGGCTGATCGCTAGGATGTCTCCGTTGTCGTGCTTGTATTTCTGGCGCATCTAAGCCTCCTGCCTGTAGCTATCGGAACGTGTATCGGAGATGATCTTGGCTAGAAGTGTACACATCAGCTCCTGCTTGAAGCCGAGACTCTGGCGAGCGCGAGATGCGCTGGAACAGCGGAGGGGCTATGTGCAGTATCGTCGAGCCGACCGCCGGCCATGAGCGAGTCCACAGTTGCCAGAGTTCAAGATTAACGGTGTTCCGATCGAAGTCGTGCGTTCAGAGCTAAAGAAGCCAGAGACGAGGCTGTTGTCAAATGGGAAGTCCGCCGCCTGTGTCTATCCCGGCTAGGATTCTTTGGTTCTCCTTACGATTCCTCTCGTTTCACGTTCGGATCGTGCTCCGCGTCTTCTTGCCCTGCAAGTACAGGACTTTTACTACCGAGAACTTGGATGTTATTATGTGCCTGCGCCATACTATTGTTGAGGAGATTCCGTATTCGTCGTCAGTAGACCGTTGAGCGATTCCAGTATCCCCGCTTGTCGAAGCTGAGGCACGCGCTGGTGCCTAAAGAAGAGCTCGTAGGATCAGAAGTCGCTAGTAAAGTAGGAGGCCGACAGTCAGTGTTGAGTGAGAGCGTGGGTGTCGACAACGCCTCAGGGTATCGATCGCCGCTTCTCAACCCATTTTCTTCGCGCAATACCGTGGCATGCGCAGGCGCAGTTCTCATATGCTTCACTCCCGATGAAGTCCTTCGTCAACGCCGCCGTTCGGTCTGCCTTTGTGCAAAGGCTGGTCGTCGTGGGCTCGCTGGTTACTAGCAAGGCGTCGAGGTTTTCGACGAGGGTTAGTCTCTGGCTTGGGTATCCTACTCCGTTCCGCTGTTAGCCACCGGCCGAGAAAGCTTAAGCTTCTTACCGCTTCCGGTCTACCGCTGGAAGCGTCTTGGAGTCGCGTTGGTCCTGTCATCCTCTAGGCCCGCCTGCTTCAGATCTTGAACCGCATCGGCGACGGGCTAATATTCTCCTACTGAAGCTCTGTGGTGACGGGAACATGGCCTCCGTTGACAGCCTAATCCTTCTCGGTGGACATCCGTGGGGTCTCTTCGTCGTCGTGCTCTGTTCGATCCTCTGCAGCTCCGCAGCTGTCGCGCCATGATGGTCTCCGTCGCCCTTGTGTACTTCAGTCAGTGACGGCCCTTCGCTGGCTTGTGGCCTTTGCCGGTTTCTCGCCGAGCCAGTCTATTCTCCCCAATGGGACAAGCGAGCGACGGGACTGGAAAGCGGGTATACTGGTCGGCGCAGCTGTCGCGGCCTTGTCGCCGTAGTCGTGGGCTCTCCGTTGGCCGCCCCGCATCGCCGTTTGGTGTTTTGAGTGAGATAAAGAGCGTAGATGTCTTCCCGCTATACTTAGGAGATCACCGAGAGGTGCGACTGCGTCCGAGGAAGTAAGAGGCCTTGGGTGTCGTGAGCTTGAGGCTGTCGCAGAGCATCTGCCTGAGCGGACCCCCGAACGTCCTCCTCGCCGCTGTGGCCGTCTGGATCCTCTTTTGCCGCGGAGAACGGTACTTCTGGTTTTATTCGAAGCTGAAGAAGCTATAGAGTCGGTACGGAAGTGACAAGAGAAGAATTGGGAAGTTCAGAGTCGTGGTGTTGCGGATTGTCGAGAGGCAAACACGGCAGCCGCCCGATGGAGATATCAAAGCACGGGCCCCATCGAGGGCATCGCACTCAGCAACCAAACTGCGGCGAATCTGCTAGAGCGACAGGAAGAACGCAACTGTAGGCCCTGCTGCGAATAACTGCCTGCAAAGCTAAGCAACAGAGTCGCTTCGGCGATGCGGGAGAGCGAGAGAACGGCAGTCGAGCTCCTCCTCATTCAGCATACATAGGCTGGTCACAATGCAGCGGCCGCGATATTAAAAGGATGATATGCACTGATAGCACTGAACTGCGTTTGAGGAGGGAAACTGTCGTTTTTCTGAGACCATGCTCCGCTCTGTGGGTATCACCACACAGCGGCACGCATAGGATATATAAGAAACGGCACTGAAACGATTCATGATCTGCCTATCTACCTTGAGGGCGCCGAAGATGTTCTCGTACAGATTTGTAACCTTCTTGAACCTCCAGCTTCAAGCCAGCCAGCCGGCCTTCCAGCTCAGAGCGACCTCCGTCTCCAACCTCGAATGGTGTCTCCTGCCTGGCGTATCAGTGCCGAATTGTCGCCGTCATCCATCCGCGCAACTCACGAGCTATCCGCATATCCGAGTGCCTCATGAATGTCCGTACTCCTCAGCCCCCGAATCTTCCGCATCTCATAAGGTGATAGGGAGCGCTCAGCATCTCCTTCAGCGCGAGCTCGACAAGCTCGAGGGTGCTGGTGGCGGTATGGCATTTTCCTGAAGACGCGGAGTGGACTAAGCTGTATGGGCGGTACTCCTTGAAGAATTCTCGTGTCTTCGGCTCGATGATCCGTGCGACATCTTCGGGTCGATAATCCGTGCAACGTCGGAATCGTTGTAGAGGTGCTGCGCGTGATAGGGAGCGTAGACTGGGATTGGAACGCGGTGGTTCTTGCTGAACGATTCGGATTCCTTGAAAAGCCGCTTTGTCGTGGAGGGAGGTCCGCTGATCGTGAGGACCATCACGCTCACAGCCCTAACGTAGGCCTGATTGGACAGTGAAATGCCAGTCTTCTGGTGGAACTCGGCAAGAGCTACTCTAGCCGATTGTTCGGAAATGTTTGTGACAATGGTGGACCATGGTTCGGTCGAGGTAGCGTCCAGGGCATCCTTGGCTACCCCGACGCATGATCCAAAGCCTTCTGCCTGTTAAGTACTCTCCCCGAGTCTCCACGCCACTGTTGGCGTTGCGGATGAGTGGTGGGCGAGGGGCGTAGAGGACGACGTAGAAGTTGGCGTGGAGGTTCCGGAAGGCGTTGGTCAGGGCGTGCGCGTGTGGAACAGGGTCCGTCGAAGGGAGTCTCTGGACAACGACGAGGCGTGTGGCTTCTTGCTGTCCCTCAACGTTCTCGATGCACGCGTTGGTGGCTAGGAAAGTGGAGGGCAAGTCAATGCCAGTCTGCTCTCACACTCAGGTTGCAGCACTACAACCTAGGATCAACAACTCATATGCCAGAAAGCTACTCTCCGAACATCAGCTGTAGAGAACCCAGCTGAAATCTCAGCTGTAGAGAACCGAGCTGAAGCCTCAGCTGTGCAGGGCTCATCTGAACTTACTAGCGCGCCACCCTGGGGGTGGCCCCCTTCCTTCCTCTAGTATATATACAACTAGCTAGACGTCTATAGAAATCAGAGTTCACATCAATTTCAACCTGAGTCTCACACCCATCTCAGAGAGGTCGAAGGCGACCACAACCATCGGCCAAGTCTTAGAGTCGCGGGCGAGAATCGTCTGAGTTCGGGCATACACCGTCTGTGCACCAGGAGGTCCTTCGCAGCATTGATAGAAGTCGTGAAGTGAGGAAGAAGCCAGCTAGGAGTTCCACCCGGCTTGCCAGTACCGAGAAGACCGGTCTGATCGAACCAAGATTCCTTCGTCTCCATACTCTTCAGCCCCCAAATCTTCGGGTCTTCAACAGCAGGGAGGCCTGACAGTCATCAGCATTGGTCTTTGCGAGGACGTGGGAGGACGACTAACCTTCCGATCTTTCGATTTGACAGATGCGTAGCTTCGTCAGCCAAAATCGTCGTCTCAATCATTGTCTCCAGTATCAGCGGCCTGCCACATCCAAGCACCCGCATGTCGAGTGAGTCTGCGACCTCTTCGAACGTAGCAATTGTCTCCTTCAGTATCTCTGCGTCCAGCTTGAAGAGCAAGTTTCCTACAGCGTATTGTCATAGGTCTGGCAGCTTGATGCCCTGTTTTCTTCATCGCGTGCGTCAGAGCCGACCGCCCCTCGATGGGTCATGTTGCACAAGAGAGAACGAGCTGTCACAAATTAGCTTCTGAAGTCCCGCAGATTTTGGAATTTTCTTACCATCGCCGACGATCTTGTGGCTGGCCTTGCCCTTGGTGCCTGTATAATGTTAGTTCACGTGGTGTACGAGAGGCAGGTGGGGAGAAACTCACACTGCAAAGCCCACTCCGCAGGCATCCTTTTCGAGCTCTGGATCATAGAGACCCTGCTTCAGTGGAAGCGTACCAGCCCATGACTTGTTGTCAGGAGTGTCTTGATATGGGAAGACCTCGACAGGCTACTCCTCAATGAGGTCGTCGGCAGATTCTGTGTCTTGGGCGAATGAAACTCGCCCCATCCTTCTGGCGGGAAGCCGAAAACTACTAAGCTTCTCAACTACTGTCGGTACTGAAAGAAGGATATCTCAGTACCGACCGTGGTTTTGAAGCTTGGTAGTGTTGCTGAGTGCCGTGTGGCACTACGAATTAGAATGAAACGATCTTCTGGGCGTGATGGTAGAAAAGAGGCCGGATCAACTTGAGGCAGGAAAGATATAGGCAGCCGCTTGAGCGAGCTAAGCCTGTTCGGGCCACCACCAACACCACCCCTTCCCAGACCTTTTCAATCAGGACGGAGCTCACAGAGATCGTTTTGGGCGCTCGAGTTTCGCCGGGCCACCTCAGACGATATCATCTATCACTCAATTGAAACGTCGTGATACTCGTCTATTGAGGCTCTGGTGAGCGGAAAGTCTTCGCCCTTAGATTCAGGCGCTCTGTCACTGGACACAAACCAAGGATGAGGTGACAGCTTGCATGTTGACCATCCTACTCTTTGATAGAGCGTGTCATCCTTAGTGCAGGGGCCAAAAAGCTAATCTTCTCGGTATCGCTTCAATTTGACCAAATGCCCGAAGGCGAAGTGTGTTGATTTTACACAAAATATATACCACAACACACGGGTGGGCCCGTTGGACAGTGCACGCTTTTGACTGAATATCGACCGCGAGAACTTCGGCAAAGACACAAAGGCTTCTGGGCATGATGCTTCACGCCTAGAAGGAGTATGTGTGAGTTTGGAGTGCTGTCGGCGTTCGTGGCGACGCTGCCCAGCTTTCGAATCACGTTCACTCGGGTATATTCATGGCAGAACGGCTGTATTGCTTTTACTAAAGCAGCCAAGAGGTACGAAGCTGCCGCCCGGAATACATCCCTAGAGCTATGCTCAGATACAGTCTTCCTCCAATGATGCCACTCTTTCCCGCCCTCAATGCTCGTTAGACAACGAATGGTCGGAGCGTGTCCAGGTACTCCCGGACCTTCTCTACAACATCGTCGACGTTCCAGTCACATCGTAACACTGTGTGCAACACCATTACCGCAAAGGGTTGTCCGACATCCTCCTCCCAAGTCCGATAGAGCGTGCCATTCGTGATCATTTCACAATGAATGTCGATATCGAGCAGCACGTCCCCCAGACCCAGGTGCTCCTCTTCCACCATCTTGTAAACGAGGCCACTCAGCTGTGTGTGCAGGGACAGAAGTGCCCGCGCTCGGTTGTCCTTCTCCGCGGCCTCGATGTCCACTTCTATGTCCGCCGGTTGTCCTCGAGCTATCTGCATAGCGACCGCAATCGCCTGTCGGTACCCCTGGCTTGCTGCCAGGAGCAAATTGTGGAAGCAGGTGTGGAGAGTGTCGTCCTCCGGGCTCGCTGTCTCATGCTCGACGCGGGCCAGCAGGTCGTTGAACCAGGGCATCTGTCGCCGATGCTCGTCTTCCGCCTTTTGGAAGACTCGTTTGATAGCCACTGAGTCGGAGCCGGTCCAGAACACTCCGTTGGCGACCTCCCTAACAACGTCCGACATTATAGTGAGCGGCATGGTGGCTACTTGATTTAGGTCAGTGGAACCGTGATAGAGGGTGATCTAGGGTAGCTGGGTACATTTGGAGTTGATTTGCGCCCTTGAGGCCTAGGAGTCTGCCGCTTGAGGTCGGTGACACAATCTCTCGATCTCTTTCGCGGTCTGGAAGTGTGTCAAAGAACGATCTTTCGCCCTGAGCTGCAGGTACGTACTTTCGGGGCGAGCTTCTTCTTAGACGCAGGGTTGGCTGAGCTGCGGCCGCCGGGTCCAGGAGTCAGCGGAAGACCGGTATGCACAGGTGTCGAGGGACTTTGGGCGATGTTGTCGATTGTTTCAGGTCGCAGCAAGACTTCAGCGGAGGTATCAAAATGCGTTGTGGCCGCCTCGTTGTCGGTGGTCCTTCCGCTCAACTAGCCGTTTTCTACTCAACATTTCATTCACCCCAGAGCTGCTCGGACCGCCGGTCATACCTCAGACAGTACCGAGACATAAGTTCGAGTACTCCTTGTCCTTCCCGGTAGACTTCCAAAACTCGAAATACGATTTAAAATCCAACATAGTGGAAACTATACTACCTTTTGACGAAGCCGATACCTGCTAGCTGGAACACTCCTTACAGCGGTGTCGAGCGAGCAAGACTGGAGCCGGAGCAGTGGTATAAATGCGTATTCAAACTTATAACTTAGTACTGTATGAAGAAGGAAAAATATATTCGTCACTCTGTGGCGCTATGGTATCAAAGGGAGGGTCTTCAACATCACAATCCAAGTCACCAGGTCCATATAAGACACAAGAAGGTAGAGAAAGTCATATCTTTGGTAGCCATTCCAGCTTCGCCGGTCAACTATCTACAAGGTACATACGTCTCTGCGCTAGCCACTCAATGTGAGTGTTACCAGGTGGCACCGACGCGGAGGTCGCAGAGTCCGATTTCGCCACCCAACCCACCACCAGGGCTGTCGAAAGCTGCACCCAGCTTCTCTCTACAGCAGATTGGCTCGCTGATGGTGGGCGACTTGGGCTCAGCATGCCTCCACAGTGGTCCTCGGAAGGGGCTGCGTGGAGGCTGCGTCCTCGTCCAGGTCTGGTGGAATGACAGCAAAAAGCTGCATTCCTGCATGGGCTCCGCAAGCTTCCGAAGAGGGGTGCATCTTCGCCCATGCTTATATCACCATGTTCATCCCCTCGGCCCCTACGCAGACGTGCCAAGCACCTCGCGCAAACGTCCAGGGCGGCTGTGAGGTAATCACCGCCATCCGTGCCGATCATGCTGCAGCCGACAGCTCCACCGGGTTGATTGTCAGATGACGGGGCATGGGCTCCGCAGGCCTCCAAGGAGGGGTGCATCTTCGCCCATGCTTTGCGTGCGGACTGAGCTAGTTCCCCGACCTCTGCGTAGATGCCAACGCACGTCGTGCAAGGCGGAATGGGCGGCTGTAAGGCAATCACCACCATAAGTGCCGATAGTGCTGCAGCCGGCAGATCTACCGGTTTGGTTGACAAGACGGATGGCGGGTGGGTTCAGCAAGCCTCCGAAGAGGGGGGGTGCGTCCTCACTTAGTATGATGTGAGTCTTAGTGATGCTGTCGAAGCTGGGGGCCGTGGTGTTGTCTTCTGGTGCCGCTGGCTGCTGGGTTGGGCGAAGGATGTAGGTGCTTAGAGGAGCGTGACAGGAGGAACGAGGTAGGTTTGGGCGTGATGTTTTGCAGACACTCCTCGCCAACGCGGCCATTGCGTTGCTTCTGGTATCCTAGGTTCCACTAATTTAGCTAGGTTTGCTTCCAGGGAGATGGTAGGTACTAACCTGGTTGACCTTGTTGGAAGATGTGGAATGATTCGAGCTCTGCTTGCTTGCAAGGCTGAAGGTGAAGTCCAGCTGCGGCGAATCCAATTCGAACTGTAGAGAGCAGTATCACTAGCATCGTTATGTTAGCCATACTTATTCCGACCAGGACAGTGGCCTCAACTGATCTTAGCTAGATTCATAACGCCTAAGTCAGGCATGGGCCTGTCGCTTCGAGTTCAAGCTCGTCGACGACAGCGTGAATAGCTCTGCAGCTCTGCGGCGGCATAGCATCAGAAAGAGGCTCTGCGGTAACCATATGGCCTGCGAAGAAGCAGCCATTGAGGCCCTCGATCGTGTTGTCGCCACCAAGCACGCCGGCAAACATGTCGTAGATATCGCCGGGGGTCAAGACTAGAACGATTTCTGACGTGGAGGAAGGCGCCGCCATAAGCCGTCTTGCACTCTTCTCCCACCTCTTCGGTCAGGTCGGTCTTCCAATCAGGTTCCTCCCTACGACTCGTTAGTATCTGTGCTAAGTAATTGATGAGGTACACCTACTTCACAGTTCTTCCACGTTGTACATGTTTTTGAGTACAACACAGCGGCTAGCCATAGGGGTCTCGATGCGAATAGCCTGGTGAGGATTTGGCTGGATCGCCTGGCGATTGGCACCGGCGGCGGACCGGTGCCGCCAGAGGCGCTTACTGGGTACGTAATCAACATGGATAATACTTGCATCCAAGCGGAGACCTCACGATGGAGATGCCTTGCATCGTCGCCGGTGTGTTGATGTGGAGGTGATGTGATGAAGGAGGTTAAGTTTTTGAGTTGAGGCGGGCGGAAGATGAAGGAAACAGGCAACTTCAACGCTAGCGAAGCCCCGTGCCCCACTTCACCTGACAAGCAGCAGCCATTCTTCTCTCTGGCTAATGATACGAGTCACCAGAAAGTGCCAGCAGATCGTCACAGTTCTCCAGTGACAGGCCAAGTCTGGGCACACAGACAGATATCACAGGTCTGAGTAGCAATTTTGGAGGTAGACACTACTGTCAGGAGCATAGGAACACGTTCATTCAAGAGGCAGCTCAGATGCTGCTGTGCTAAGCTTAACATTACGCCTGGAGTGTGGAAGCCCAAGGGGCGGCAAACGTCACGCCGGCGGTTTTACGTCGATTCACAGGCAGGAATTATAGGAAAGGAGAAATTACAGCTCCTACTCCAGCGGCGTCACTATTTTCATATATCCAGAGTCTCTCTGTTCGGAGCTTGAGGAAGACAAGTAGTTTGATGCTATTGAGGCTGCTTTCAATATGTATAAGCTTCACCAGTTCCAGCCCAGTGAGTTCCATATCCTAGACTGAGCCTTCCACTCCCTCCGCCGCGTCACAGATTTCATGTAAAGTTCCTTCCACGAGCGGAGGCAGTTCTCCATATGTCTCGACGGTCGCGGTGAAAGCTCGTTCGAAGTCCTGGATGTCTTGTGAAATTTGCTTCTGCGGCGAAACTCAGGTTGAAAATTGATGTGAACTCTGTCTTATTTCGGGGGCCCGAAGGCCAAACTATATACTACGTAGGAAGTGACTGTATGCATAGGCAGAAGCACTAATTGGAGGCAGCAGTAGGCAGCATTAGGCAGGGTAGGCCACCGTACCCCAACCCCTCTCTGTAGAAGTTGTAACTGGCTAGGCATGTAGGCAGCTACTATGCCAGCAACTCCAAGTCTGTACGTAGGTGACCGTGAACCGTATGAGTTGTTGATCCTAGGTTGTAGCTGTTACAACCCGAGTGCGAAAGGGCGTAACGAATCACTCCGAGAGCGAGCATACCCTCGGAGAACGCTGCTATATCCTCATCGGCCATGCCTGTTCGTGATCTTGCGCAAGCTGTTGATATATTTGGTGTGAAGTCTGGTATAAGGAAATCAAGAGGGAGTGGACCTCGGTGTTGCACATGTTCAACAAGATCTGTTGGCGGGTCTCTGCAGGCCGGTCAGGAGTGACTTGTTGAGGTAATCTTTCAACATAGTAAGGGTGAGTACTGACGCCGTTGGTGTCATTAAGTGGCGGAGAGCTGATTTAACCTATTCCACGTTTCCAAGGTAAACCTCAGGAGCTAATCTTTTATTCGCCTTCTCAAAATCGAGCTTATGATCTTGAGGAATGTCCCTGTAAAATAGACTCGGGGATACAACGTGTCTTGATCTATCATCCGCACGAAAGGCTTTCCCTTGTACGCATTCTTGTAATGGCCTGCGCGTTGCTTAATAAAGCGGTGAACGGACCACTGGATCTAGTGGTTCACGAGCGGTGCCAGATGAGTTGGTGGTTGGTGCTGTAGGTCGGTTGTACACGTACAGAGGTACCGTAAGGCAGCTTCGTATAGCTTGCCGTGTATCTGAGGGCTCTATTGGGAGGTTATTTGGCAGGTAGGAAGAACTCTAAGCAGGCCTGTGTCGATGTTTGTGTGAATGTGGTCGGCGCAGGGCAGCTGTAGTGACGAACACCTGTGGCAAGAATAGCCAGCAAAAATGCTTGATGACTCTCTCCTAAGAGAGCAAGTGATCTGAGGCCCCCGACTCGGCTCGCATCCCTCCCCGGTGATCGAGTAATGCTCCCGAGCAATCACGTATGTCTCCGCGGTTTGCTCAGTAGGTGACCGTCGGGCGCTCCGCGACGGCCGTGCTGGCGGTCTGAGTAAAAGGATGGGTGCGAGGGCGAATTGACGATGCTAAGGAGGGTGAGAGTCCGCCGACAAGATGGCTCGGCCAGGTGGGCTAGTGTTGTAAAGGCGAAGACGATGTTCTGGTGAAAAAAGGGCGTGAACTTCGCTCGGTGACAGCATCCCAACGACAATAATCACCTCCGTGATCGGCTCATCCAAGGATGCAGCGGCTCACAAATCCCAATTCTCATTTATAATTGAATTGACGGACTCAAACGCAAGAGATGAAGCTTTTCTAAACGGAAGAGATGGAGTGTTGTGCCGTCCTGCAGTCATCTCTACAGTACCTGCACCATTTCTGGAATTGCCAGCGATTGTATCAAGATTAGGGCCATATACTCGAAAACTCAGGACGTCCCTTACATACATGGTAGTATTGTATTGCCGTAAGGGGAAAGCATTCCGAATTACCGTATACACAGAAATGACATCTAAAATGGAAACTTTTGCGAAAATTTGAGCAAGCACACGTTATAAGTTCAAGAAATTGAGCATAAGAAAGCACTTTGTTGGATCGTAATCACATCTAAAGTGACTACATTATTGGAAAAGCTTGGGACGTCACCTAATACGATGTTTTCCATCTAGGGACTGCGCCAGTGACCGACATTCTCATACGCCGCTTTAGCAATCATTGCTACATGACTGGTTCAAAATACGGAAGTGCTAGACATCCTCGGAGAGCTTGACCGGTCGGCCAGGCTGGAGTTCGTATGAAGGAAGCTGTTTCGCGGTCACCAAGCTAGCTATTCCGTTCTAGATCATCAAAATACAAGAAAGACAACATAGTAATCCGACCGCGATGAGTTCCGATCGCTTGACGGACTCAGTATGCCGCTACTGAAAGATGCGAGGACCGTAGCCAAGAGCTGATGTTGGATCAAGCTCGCGTGCGTCTTCCCAGGAACGCGATGGCGGGGCGCCCGGTTCGCCCCTTTCTTCGGCCCTACTTCTATTCCAACGTTGACCTACGCCTTTCCAACGCCATCGAAGGTGCAATGTTTCTTTCAAAGCGACCATCATCTGCCTACAGATCTGGGTACCCATGCATGGCTCGCCTCATGGTGTTCTCCCATCATTCCAATCATCGCCGCACGGCTGCTCGATTGGGTCCGACCAGAGCTTGCATCGAAATGGCACGATACAAATCAGCTTGCTCAGGGAAGACCACAAGACAGAACTAAAAATCTCAAGAGATTAGCAGTGATTGTAGTACGAAGTAAGAGTAGGATACGGATGCAGCCCTGATGTGGTAATGAGCCGACATGATCACTTTGTACCGTACCTTTGGAACATTGCGATGCTTGTCGGCGATAATCAGCTTGGAGAGTGGACAACAACAGTGTATCGTTAAAGCGCAAAGGCTCTTCATTATGAGGTCTTTGGTGCTACGGAAGCTACAGCCCCAGTTCAACCACGGTCTCGTCATTGCTTCTCCGACTCGTCCGCCTTCACGTACTCCACACCCGCTACACTTCGTCCCTCATCACCCAAACCTCCTCGCAAATGCTGGCTCCGTGACCGATGGATATGGCCTACATCGACGTTAGATACTGGATCCAAGAAAGCGAGATGAGAACAAAAGCGAGACAAGAGTGGACATCAGACTCGCACAACCCAGTCACCAGTGCGCCGAGATGCTCGGAGCGTAAGTCCAGAGAAGATTAGTCTGGGGGGTTTTCATCATTACAAAATGAGCGAAGTGAGTGCGTAGAAGAATATCAACTTACGTTTGGCCTTTACGTCCAGCCTCGGAACCTCAGTTGAGCGACGTCCGAGAGCCATTCGTGGCTGGGAGGTCTTGCTAAGACAACGTCAGAAAAGTCCGGAGAAGACGATAAACGGTAGATGAAAGGAAAGAAGTATCAATCAGAGAAAATTAGCATGTTGAATTAGTCTCCACTCGTGCTGGGGCGAGACAGGGATGACTTCCTTGAAGTTCCACCCCAAACCACCCCAGCCCGGTCATTCCAAATTTGTCGTCATATAAAGACAAGGGCGAAAGATGAAAGGATGCAAACTTACTTTCACTTTGCTTCCACGCTCTGCCCACCCGAGAAACCGACGCGATTCGAAGATTGGAAGTCCTGCCTTGGCAATGTCAGAAAGGTTCGGAGAAGGCGGTAAATGTTGATCAGGTGGAGGCAAATGTTGATCAGAAAAAAGGTCAAATCGAATCTTGGTTTCCATGTGAGCCGAGGTGACATATGAGCGAGGAGCTCCCCCCGACCCATGCCAACCCCAGCCCATCAGATAACAACACAGAAATTGACTTTTCATCATATAACGAGAGGGGTGGTGGAGGAAATGGTGCCAGCTTACCTCAGCTTTGTTTCCATGCTTTGCTCTGCTCGAGAAATCGACGCGATTTGGAGTCCGGAGGTCCTGTTCAAACAGTGTCAGAGATGGTTCGAGAAGAGGGTGATAGCAGATGAAGCAGAGAGGTGTTTAATCAGAGAAAATTAACATTAGGCGTCTCCAGATATGCTGGTTGACAAGCGTCAATCCTAGCACAGGCAGATAGAGTTTTGGTCAAAAAACACAGAATAAGTTTCATCATTACACGAGGGGAGATGGAGAAACTATTGTCAACTCACTTTCGTTTTATACGTCGTGGCGTTTGAGCAAAGAGCGTCCGAAAATGCCGCCATTCGAATCATGGAAATTTGCTGTTCTGCCCATGCCTCGTTAGAACATTCAAGCAAGCCGAAGGATAGCGGAGAAAGAGGAGCGAGATGGGAATCAGAACAGAGAAGAGTTTCTCAAGGAAATCCACACGTTCTATATCGAGAACCGAAGGCAAGTGAGCTTTCAGGACGACTACCAACGGTGTAACTCTCGACGTTTCGGCGGGTTGTTTTTGTATCACCATAAAGGAAGTGGTTCAAAAGAGATAGCTGGACGACTTGCCTTGTCAAATGCGCCCGAGGGCCTGGTACCTAGGAATCCCATAAATCGAGAAGTGTATCCAGGACGTGTCAGACCAAATTGAGAAGAATAAAGGGAGACTTGACCGCGATATTGCCGCAAAGGAGTATGATCGAAGAGTGTGGTCCCGCCGCTTACCCACCCAGTCGTACAAGGTGCCACACGTCCTATTGAAGATGTTGATGGTTGGAGCTATCAAGAGTGTGTCAGCCAATGCTTGAGCGAAAGGGAGCAATACGTGACCGCGAGTATCCATCGAGCGTCTTGAGAAGGTGTGATCCCGCCCTTACCCCACCCAGTCGTAAAAGGTGCCACACATCCTGTTTGTAGATTGCCGGGCTTTCCTTCACCGCGTCAGACCGCACTTCAGTCGGCGGGGAGGGGAAGACGTAGCCTGTAGCGTCCAGTGGCAGAGATCGATCGAGGTGTGGTCCCTCCGCTTATCCACCCGTCGTGTTGGATGCCACACATCCTAGCCGAGAGAGTTCGTAAACTCGAATTGCCGTTCGGAAGTTGCTGAGCCTATATGAAGTGCGTTAGCCTGTTCTTGAATGTTGTACGAGATGGATGGTGGACTCAATTCGCCGATCAGACAGTGCAAGAATTTTACATGTGCGGACATCGCATAAACGTTGAAAATCATCATATAATAATCATCATGACGACGAACGTGGGCCCGTTGGAGTGGTGTAGTGTGCGGAGAGAGGAAGGGGAGGACTTAGCTTTGAGGTCTTGATGCCGTCGAAGAAGTCGCCGAACTTTGAAGAAAAGGTGTACTCGTGGCCAGCTAAGTGGGCCGCCACCGAATTGCTCTCGAAACAGCCTCTGGCGTGTGTCAGTATGTTCTTGGACCCGAGCGACGGAGAAGACGTGCGGAATGGCTCAGTACCTGGTCTAGTCGCCAGGTTGTGCTGCTATTTCGGTGTAGGAGGACGGAGAGAGGATGGAGGATGGAGAACTCAGATCGACCGTGATGGATCAGAGAAGATGCGCCGGAGGACATCTCGAGGGATACGGATGCTGCCATGACAAGAGAGACTTGCTACAAGTTGAATGTTATCAGTACTCATTTCCTCAGTGTGATCATGCTAAGCAGAGAAGAAACGAGTAGTCCCGGTCAGACGGCCTCTGTACGTTCCAACACCCTCTTTTGTCCTAGTGCAGGGCTTGTGCTGTAACAATCTCTACTGATCGCCTTTGTCGGCTTTTCAGAGTTGAAAAAAATATGTGGGCGGCCCATCGGTCCGGACCCACTGCGTCATCATGGACGTGAAGATAGCACAAGGCTAGTGTAAGAAAAGAAGGGAACTTACCAATGGAGTTCCATCAGAGAAGGCGTGCCGGAGGACGTGTCGAGGGATATAGATGCTGCCGTGACACGAGAAACTTCCTACAAGTTGAGTGTTGTCAGTACCCGTTTGCCGCAAAGTGATCATGCTAAGCAGAAAAAAAACAAGTAGTGTCCTCAGAAGGTATGCAAATCGCAACAAAATCCCAGTGCAAAAGGCAAGCGCTGAATGTTTTTCATCATCACCATTGCTGGTTTATCAAGCGTGGAAAACGCGTTCGTGGGCGGCCCCACGGTCCGGACCCACGTCATCATAACATGTAAAGATAGCACAAGGCTAATGTAAGAGAAAGGTGTGTCTTACCAGTGGAGGATCGAGTTGGCGGGCGAGATATCACACGACTTCTGGCCTATGACGCGGCGTCGTATTGGTTGAGGCCAGATGACTGACTTGTTCAGCGACAGCGACACCTGTGTGCATCAAATATCAGCAGAAGAAAGAGGAGACTTCAGGATTGAGCAAAAGCTGCGTTTGGAATTGCGGGGGTTGCTTGACTTGACGCGAAGTGGACAGGCTGCTCTGTCGCACGGCCAAGCCAAAGCTCGTCCGCAAAGCCAACCTGCTGCAAGAAGCTCGAGGACTCACGCACCTTGAAGGGGCACTACTGCTACTGCAGACCATGCCGCAGGGCCTCGTGGGTGGAAGAGGCACCAGGGCGTGCAGACTTTGCAGCCCAGTTCGCCGCTGGGTGGAGGCACGTCAACGCCACGGCGACTTGACGGGAAACGAGGAGGCAAGGAGCACCAGAGCGGCTGAAGTCTGGGCGTACCGCTTCGCGCGATATCTCAGAGTGGTAGATGCAGAGAGTGATTGAGATTGTCGTTGCTGAAGTAGGTGGAAGGTGGAGGTGGTGGAGGAAGCAGAAGGTTGGTGTGGGCGAGCGACGGGCCCGCGGAAAATCAAAACAAGTACTTCACGAGACGAGCTAACTCACAGTTTAATCGGGTCACAATTAGGCTCCAGCACCCACCCTACCGTGGGGCCACCTTCATTGCCCTGCCCAAGTACACACCGTAGAGCAGAGGCAATGTCCCTGGGGCAGGGCAGCAGCGTCACTGATTGACTGCAGTGTACACAAGATGCTCCTGGGCATATAGTTATTTGCAAGCTTCACAAAGATTGAGAATCTGGCATTAGAGATAGATAATAAATGCTCAAGCTTAGATGTTGATGTTCTTCTCAACTGGACACGAGCTTACACCTTCGTGTCATTCCGTGGCTCAAAGCACAGTGCAGTCAGTTTCACGCGATCTATGAAGATTCTCAAGAGTGAAAAACATTTATTGTACTATTTGAATGTATATTTGAGTGAGTGCCTAGCAGAATCTGGCTTCTAAAACTCGGTGTTGTGCTGCGACAATTACGAGGCTCAACGGGCCTTGAACTTCCTCGCACTTCCTCGAATTTCCCCACTACGTCATCCCTCAACTACAACTTTGTATTATCCCTAATCTGAACTCACTGGCTTCAAAGTTGACGGCTTTGGGAGACGCTCAAGCGCGGTCTAGGCAAGTGTTATGCATACTAGAAAAAGAGGAACCGCCCATAGCCCCTGAAATTGAGGCATTACCGGAAGTTTTCCGATTCTAACTTTTCCAGCATATCATTACATATAGCTTAGATTGGTTCTGGACTCAAGAAAGCGCCTCGATTTTTCTTGACATTTATTGTCTTGAGTGCCGATGAGGCAGACAAGCACCGACGTCGACGCCAGCCAATCGACGTCGCATGGTCCCTGGCTAGCAGCCCCCGGTAGCGAGCACGCCGGCGGACCCACGGATCGCTCCAAGCATTGAGAGCCATCAAATCGCCTCTGTTTGACTTTCAAAGGCATGGTTAAGGTGGTAAATGCCCACACCGACGCACTGCGGAGCCGGGGATTTGGACAGAGGCGGAAAAGAGATCGGGTGGGCTGCGGCGATCCAAACAATTTTGAATCATGAGAACGTCAATTGATGGAGCACAGGTGAATTAGAGCCCACGACAATACTCGAGAGTTGGTAGCTTTCTAGGGATTCAATGCGGCTGTGGAAAATTTGAAGTAAATCTGTAAGATACTTGTGGATGTTACGTTCTGCGTATTTACGGACAAGAATGAAGCAATAGCAAAATGGAGTGTGAATAGCCATTCAACATCTCTCCCTCATGACCTTCACTTTCCTCACCAATTCAGGCCTTGTATTCAACTAGGCCACTCTTCTCCCCTCCTATCAGATTCTCCGCAACCATCAGCATCCCTACCACCATCTCTCGAAACTTTCCATCACCTACACGCAATGTCTACCGTAACTCGCCTCCACTCCTTTCCCTGCGCCTCCATTCTCGTCACCAGGCACGCCCTCGGCGTCTTCACCAAAACTAACGAGGAGGCTTGCAAGTTCGCAGACGCGGAGTTCAACGATCCCTATAACCACAAGCATCTTCACGCGGCATGGGCCGCCATTCAGAAGCAGAGAGTTCGTAGAATCAGGCACGCCGCGGCGAAAGATCCGTTGCTTAAGATGACGACGGGGGAGGTGTTCCGCCTGAGTGGCGTGGCAGAGTCGACGATGATGAAGAGGAGGAGGGCGGAAGTTTGAAGGTATTTTACCCCGGAAATGGGTTTCTGGGGAATGCTAATGAGGAAGCGCAGATATCGAGGGGTGGGAGGTTCTCGGCTACTTACAGTGAACGCATGGAGTAGATCCTCTCGCCCTGTCGATGTTCGAATCTCTTAGATGAGTATTTGCGTTTTCTCAATCTTGAACTACGTTTTATCCACTTTGAAGACGGCGATACCATACCAAGACATTCCCGACGAGGGAGTTCTCAGCTGCGCAGCAAGGCTTAAGAGAGAGGATGGAGATTGTAGGGATAGAAAGAACCTGCTGCTTCTATGTAGCATTTCGAGTCTTCATAACCTCACATCAAGCACAGCAATATGATTCAGAGCCGGGAAATAGTCCATTTGTCAAGGTTTCAGAGATTCGAAGAGCTGCTCCTGCCATTGACATTCAAATCCGCAGGCCGAGCAGTGGTCTAAACAGCGATCATCCACACCAGCATGCTCGAAAGTACTTGTATTCCGCAGGCAGCGTATAAAGCTGAGCCCGTCGTAACCCTTGAAGTACCGTGTTTCCTTCTCAGATGGGGCTCCTCCCAGTCAGCAGAATCGCAAATGGTTGTCTTCCCGAGACGAATTCAGTAAACCGAAAGCCACAAGTATGAGTGCCTTGCATAGCTCTCTCGAGTGGAGAGACCGTCCTTCCGAATGTCAACTTATCACACTCTGTACCGTCGAATGGTTGTCAATGTCCGTCAGCATTTCTGAGAGCACAGTAGCTGGCTCAACGTCTGCTAGTGGGAAAATGCTGTACTCAGAAACCCGCGGCGTTCCTTGGTGTCTTCGGCATCAGATTCGAGCCAGTCGGAAACAATGGCAGCCTTGCGCTCTTCGCTTCTTGGCTTGAATGTCATCTAGCCTAGCAGTGGCTTCGTGATAACCCCGGAGGTCATCTTCATCTCATCGTGGCTTGCGAGGCTGTAGGAGAGCCAGAATTGGCTTCCAAATTCTTCTGTCTCCAGGCGCCGCGGTCGATGCAAATTTGCGGGCAAGTCGATTGCAATTCAGCCTTTCGTTCGCCGGTTAGCTTGCCAATCTTCACAAATGCCATGTAGTCAACACAGCAGCGGACACTGTTCGGGTCGGGCCCAGATCGGAGGGTCTCTCTCCAGGCGCCGTGGTCGATGTAGAAACTTTAGCTTGGGAGGTGGGTGCATCTTGTGTTTGAGATCGAATTCGAACGTCAGTTGATAAGATGCCGTGCTGTGGCTTGGTTGTCAATGTCCGCCAGCCTTCTCACGAAGGCAATAGCTAGCTCGACGTCTGGTAAGGAGCAGAAGCCAGACTGAGGGACTCCTAGTGTTCCTACATGTCTTGGTGAGGCTTTGTGATGGACATTTGGTGTCAACTTGGAGCCAATTGAAAACAACCACAGTCTTTCGCTCTTCTCTCCTTGGTTCGAATGGCATCTGGAAGAGTAGTGGCTTCGTGAAAAGCTGCAAAGGTACATTCATTTTTCCGACTGTTGAGAATGGGAGTGACTTCATGATAAGCTCCGACATCATCTCCATTGAGAGGGTGACCTTGGCGCCAGTAAGTGTCTTTGAGATCGAAGGCCCACAGAAGCCTTTTGTTAGAGTTCCCAGAATTGTCGCGTCGATTGTGTACCAGTTATGTCAAGCGCCAGAAACCAGCCAGCCTGGTTCAAGCCAGCGCCGTAAGCCTGGATGGGAGCTGTCAAGGTTCTGGCGGTAAAGATGACAACATCATAAATCGAGCTTTGGAGAAGTGCTTGCCGGGCATGTCGTCGCGGTATCCCGACGGGCCAGTCTTAGATACAAGGGCCGGTGATTTAGAGGGTAAAGGAAGGTGAGGTGCCGACAGGATATCGAGGGACGTTGTGGTCAGGAAGAAAGGATACTGCAATCGTGGTCAATAGGTGTAGCGAAGAATTCAGTAGGTTTCATTGGTGGCATACATACCACGGCGATGTCATGCCCGAGGAATGGTGGGCAAAGATAGGTACGTGGCAGCGGAGGAGATAGCTTCGTCGGCCTTCTGCTCATGCTCGGAGATAGTCGAAGAGTCTAGGGGGTCAACGAAGATACAGGTGAGGTATGAGTAGACGCTGGCAATGATGGAGGCACCTTGAAAGGAGAAGACGCTGTTGGCGAACAGCTAGATGTGGTGCAGGGCTTGATTGAGTTGACATACCTGTGGGATATGGCAAAGACAAGGCGGACTTGGAGGAAACTGAGAGTACAAACGGTAAGAAAGACGACTGCAATACTAGGATGACGCGCGGAGGCCTTGAGGCTTCTCGTCGGTTGTTCAAGTGAAGAGTGGGAGCATGAGAAGGAACCTTGAACACGACGAGGAGTAAACAGATGACTGATAGGTTCCTCCTTGGTTTGTGAGGAGGACGATGAACTTGGCGGAAAGGTGTCGCCACTTACCCGTTTCTCACCAAGGACCGCCCCGACCTCCTTCTGCATATGCTGATTCAGGACATTGCAATGAGACCTTTGAGACCGATCGCATTTGAAGGGAAATGTCTTTCAAGGGTACAGTCACTGTATGTCCTGCCCCGTGATGACCATTCGCATCTTGCCTGCTTTTCTTGAAAGAAGCTTTGAAAGCACGGCGCCTTTGGACGCATAAGCGTTCTGAGGACTGAGCAGTAAATTGTATCCCTGCCATCGTCGTGAACATAAGTTTGATAATATCCTTTACTCAGACAGTAGTCCGAACTCCAAAAAACAAGCACAAGCCGGTCATGAGATCCAGTCCACTAATTACCCACCGGTACACCCATTGTTAACAGTCCACCCCAATTGCCCACGAGGCCTGCCACATCGTTGGCCTTCTTGTTTTTCTCCCTACTCCGCTCCTCCCTTGCGTAGACGCAGACTGCTGTGAGCACCAGAAGGCCGCACCAGTCTAGATCCCGCACCATCTGCTCCTTGTAGATCTCGAGCACTCCGAACTCGCTGACTCCCGTCTCAGCACCGGCAAACCGTGCAACAACTCCGTCAGAGCCTTCCTCCACCAGCTTCAGCCTTCTGTCTGGGCTTGTTCGCCCGCCTCCATCAGCGTCATGCTCCCACTTCAAGTTCGGATGCCCTTGTGCTGAAATATTGTACCACGCCTTTGTATTATTGAAGCTACTACCTTTCCGCTCAAGCTGCACGTCTGTACCATCGGAGTCGAGTCGGCACTCCAGGAACTTGCCTCGGACAGCCTGGATGAGGCAGTGTCCTACCGTGTCGAATGTAGAAGCAGGCGTGGCTTTTCCAGACCGGTGAACAACAACTTCGATTGTGTCGCGGGCGGCACGAGGCTTATTGAGGGTTATGGAGTAGGCACGATAGGTAGAGGGCATCGGCGTAACGGTGAGCTTTCCAGACAGGGTCTGCGTCAAGTGGTAGGTGACGATTGGGTCTGCGGGAGGTTCTGAGGCCTGGGATTTGTGTTTTCGGAAGTGCATAGTGGTTTGTAGGTCCGTGATCAGGGTCCAAGATTACCTAGAAAAAAGAAAGCTTGTCAGGCCAGGTCAAAAAAATCTTGCACTGCACTTTGCGATATACATAGTGCTCCCAGAGGCTATTATGGACCCATACAGCGCGTGCTCAGAGAGCTGTGAGCATCCATGATCGCCGCCTTGCAAGGTTCGTGTCCCTCATGACCCCTGGCGAAGATTATGTCAGTGACTGATATGTTACCCGATGGGTAGTTAAAGCGCGAGGTTTGCAAAGCTTGACGAAGCCACGATGGACAGCGAGAGCCCTCTTGAGTCATTCCTCAGCACACAGCCTTCGTCCAGTGTTTCAAAGCGGACTGAGCATGTGAGGTGGATGGAGTTGAGAGGCGGGACGAATTCAAACTGCCCCTAACGCCAAATCTGTGTAGCGAAGCACCCCTCCAAATTTGGTACAGTCTTTTCCTGTCTAATGACGGCACCACCTCAACTTTCTTGAGCATTCCCATCGCTGTCAACCATCAAGAATGTAGCTCTATAGTGGTATCCGCGTCGTTTTCTATCTATATTCCCCGGTCTACACTCCAACTATTCGCGATGCCGTTGGGTCTCTTCCTCGGCGGCTGCATCGTCGCCATCCCCGTTGTTACTGGGGTCGCCGAGGGTGTCTCGGAGCAGAAGAAGCAGAATGAGGAAGCAAACAACGAAGAGCGAATGATCAAATTCAACCTGGAGGTGTTTTGCGGTGCAAGATCGCCAAGCAAAGATCAAGTGCATGGTACCATCGTGGTATTGCGGCATAATAAGGTAGACTTCTCCCAGTTATCAACCTTCCTATATATCTCGGACTGTGCGACGCGACTTTGGAGTTGTCGGAATCACGCAGAAGCTTTTCCAAAAACACGACTAACCACAGATTGTCTAGGCCTGGCTCTGTCCTCAAATACCAGAAACACACACTCCAATCCCGCAAGTCGAAGGCCTTTCCCCTCCGCTCCACCCCTTTGCCGGTTTCTATATACAATATCCGGATGATAATAGATCGCCACCCCAGCGGGGCCTAGTCAGCACGATCTCAGATGATCCTCCTATGCTCAATTGGCTATACGCTGATAAAGAAACGCAAGAGATAAAATACGGCAATCGCACCGCAAGTATCGAACACTTAGTAGGGGATTGGGATTGGACGGAAGACCACGCTGGACTACTATTGGAGAAGTGGGAAGGCTTCGTGGCAGTTGATGAAGGCGAAGAGGGGAAGGACGGGCTTAAATGGGCGCTATACTACGATAGATACGACGACAAACTAGACAAGGGGAATCTGGTGGGCGGGCAAGAAATATTGGAAGTCAGTCTGGAGCGGAGAGTGCAAAGCGCGGAGCAGCAGCTCAAGCAAATGGAAGAAGCGGAGAAAAAGATGCAAGTCAAGAGCTCCGGAGGCATGAGCTCGCAGTTTACAGCTCCTGCCGCAGAGGCGAAAAGAAAGGCTGCTGCCGGGAAAAAGAATTAATGGCTATTACCTAAGATGGTACTTGTTGAAGTTGGGGTGACAGCTTTCCTGTTAACGATGGATTGCCTGGTATTGATTTGAGCTTGTTAGCTTTTCCTTTCTCGTCGCCTTTCCCCGCATCAACTCAAACCGGGTTACCGTGATCTATATATTGGGGCTGGTCTCTTCAAGGATGCTCAACCTATTCAAGTATGCTCAACCTATTCAAGGTTTCAGGGACGCCTCGAGAAACCTGCCCGTTTCGGGCCGTACCGGGCCCATGTTGAGCCCTCGTGCAAGGTACCTAGGAACCCCGCCCCTCTCTTACCACGCCTTCAAACTATGCTCGCCTACATACACTACTGTTAGGTCAAAAAGGGTCGGCGTGTATCTTTAAGTACGGTTGTCAGGTAGCAATTTCAGCTTCACAGAAGCGCGATTTGTTGTTCGTCAGATAACCAAAGCTATCATCAACGCTCTGCAACCGGCCTCAGATATCATGGCGCCTACTCCTGGTCTCCTTTGTGTACGGTCCCGTATTACCTCCGAAGCACTATCCGATGCTGTTTTCAACGACTTCTATACGAACCATCATCTCCCAGACTTCATCTCCTCCGGCGTTGCTGATCTCGCACTTCGTTACAAGAACGCAGACTCGTCCAAAAAATGGCAGTACTTGGCAGTCTATCGTTTGCCGGACATTGGCTTTCTATCAGACCCCGAGAAGATGGAGAAGATCCGCATGCAACACGAAACACTTCCGAACGGCGGAAACATCAAGGACTATACCGAGTTGAATAGCAAAATATATCTGCCTATACAATCATTCAAGGGACAAGGTCATAAAACGGGTAGAGCAAACGTTCTCTTCATCGCCGAAATCGAACCAGCTGAGAAAACAGACGAGGAAGCTTTGGGCGATTTCTACGAAAAACAGGTGAGTGTGTGGAACGGTGTGTCCGCAGGTTTTCCGGAAAGCGGCCAGATCACGCAATAAAGGAGCAACCACTAATATTTCTAGCACTTCCATATGCTCAGCATGCACCATCAATACCACCGCTCTAATCGCTTTAAAACAGTGGACGGGTCCAAGCCGCGCTTTGCGGCACTCCACGAATTCGACAACGCCGACTTGGACCAGCATATGCGGACCACAATGAATTCTACAAAGTGGTCTAAAGACATCGAGGGCAACGCGCAGATCTTAGAGATAAGCTGTTGGGAACTCATTACGGAACAGGGCAAGATAGGCGAGAATCTTATAGTGAATGACGCTTTGAGGGTTTCGTAGAATTTCTTCGAATGCAAACGATACCAGAGCCGAACACCAGCACTACTGCAGCGGGTCTTGACTGTTACTGACGTAAATGGGTACTATGGGAACTGAAACGTTCATATGATTCATATCTACGTGGCATGTACGGATTCGTATGTAAGAAGGTTCCGAAACGATTGCACACAACAACTGTTCGTCCAAGAGGGTGATCTAGTCTTCCAAAGAACTAGCCGCCTTTTCTACCAGTCCAGTAATGATGCCAGCCCACCTAAAAGCATTGCCCCGGTCCTCATTCTCGATGCTCTCAACCAACCCAGGGAATGTTGCGCCGGCGTAGCCAGTCCAAATGCCGGGCGCGAAAACAACGTGCTTGAACCAACTCCGCCCGTCCAAGCCAGGCGCGTACAAAAACTGTCTCTCCAGGAACTTGTACTTGGCGTTCACGCGGCGGACCGCATAGTAGAGTCTCACTTTCTGCCACCATTTCCACCAAGGAATGGGGTCCTTTGCGATTTCGTCTGTCAATGCTTGAGCCTTGGCGTCGAAGGAGAGAGAGACGTTGTGTAGGCGGTTGATAGACTTCGTGAGGCCGTAAAAGAGGGATTTCTTTGTCCAGTCTTCGTCGTCTTCAGTGATGAATCCCGGGGTTGCAAGAGCTTTGCTCTTCACAGTGTCCAGGTAGCCAGCCAGACCCTTCGCATATTCTGTTGCGTTGAGTTGGATGACAGGTGTCTCAACAAGTTTGGCGGCGAGCAAGGCCCACACCTTTGCAATCGTGGCGTGGTAGTGGAAACCTGGGTCACCGTACTTGTCCATCCAGTCGAAGGAGTCGTAGTTCGAGTGATAGTGATAGACTGCGGTATCCGGCCCGGCGCTGAAGCCCATATCAACGGACGGGATTCCTGCGAAGTCTTGGAATGCAGTGAAGTCGGATCCAGATCCCATCGTGCTAATGTGACCGTTCCAGACGTCACCGACAGTCTGATTTGTAACAGTTTGGTTTGGAGATAAAACAAGGCCAACTGCAATGGATGTTAGACACAGCACTATGGCGTGCTCGTACCAAATTGACTTACCAGCTTCGATGAGTGCCTTGTTCAATAGCGGAGCTGCTGCAGCTCTGAAGTGTGGTCCAGTCGTACCAACATCAACGTTCAAGTATGCCACAGTTGAAGCTGATAGCCAGGGGAGGTACTCTTCCACCCATTCCGTAGAGCCAATCAAGCCGTATTCCTCTCCATCCCAGCTTGCAAGTACGATGGTTCGCAGAGGCTTCCAACCTGCCTTAAGAGCTTCACCAAAGCCGCGAATGACCTCATTGAAGGCTGCGGAACCACTGTTCGGATCGCCGGCCCCGCCAGCAATCCATGCATCTCGGTGGTTGCCCAGAACAACCACTTCGTCAGCAAGACTGCCATTGATGATGCCAATGACGTTCCACATTGGTGTTATAACGTACTCCTGCTCGTTGACCAGGTTCAGGACCAAATTGTCTGGCGAGGGCCCAATGTTGTAATCAACGCCCTTGTAGTCTAGACCTCCACCTTGCCAATATTTATTGAACGACGATGCTTTCGGTCCATGTCCGTTCAAGCCCTTGAGGAGTGGCAGTGCGTCTACATAAGATATCGGAATCGAAGGGATCTTAGGTAGTATGGTATCGACGGGCTTTCGTGGGGCGCCTGGCTTCGATGGATAGCCTGGAGTGGTAGGATCACCGGGAGCTATGCCTTCAGCAATTGTCAATGTCACCTTTAACACAAAGATGGAACGACACAATGATAGCACTTACTCAAGAACTCCACGCTGCCTCGTTGCACACTACTCGGCTCTCTCGCAGGTCCCTTCGGATATGTTGAATTCCCATTGTGTTTCGTTACTTCGCCATCGTCGCCTGGATCGGAGTAGATAACAGCGCCAACCATACCAAGCTCTTGTGCGCGTTTGATCTTCAGTCCTCTGAATATGCCACCATATTTGATGAGAGCGATCTTTCCGGCAAGACTCACGTTTGCTGCTAGCAGTTCCTCGTAGTCTTTGTAGCTCCCGTAGTTCACAAACACGTATGGAGCAGTGACGTTGCCAGAGGCGGAATATCCGTGGAAAGTTGGAATGCGGTTCGATAGTCCGCTGGTGCTGTCCTCCTCCAAGACATTCTCTTCCAAGCCCGCCTCGTATTTTACGCTCCATGACACCTTGGAACCAGCATCTGCGGTCTCTTCACTCTTTGACTTCTTGTCTTTTTCCAGAAGCGCCAATCGGTGGCCTTTAGGGTAGTTCACGTAGATGTCATAATCTACGATCAAGCTGTTGGAGACGCCGAATTCCTGCCATTTCTCTTTTGTCCAAATCGCCTGCGATAGATTCTTGCCAGCAAGATGCGGTCCAGCAGTGTAGTATTTACTCCATTCCCTAGCCTTTGTCGCATTCGGAGTCGAGATCAATATGTCCTGGAGACCTTCGTATGTGAGTCCGTCGGTCTGAGGCCAGGCCTTGCTGATGCCAGCTCCAGCCCACGGGAGATAGGTTGCCCATTCTGAGCCATCGTCACCGTCAAGAGGACTAGGTAGAGCCAGGCAGAGGAGGAAAGCGGCAACGACAAACAGAGGCACAATCGCCAGGACTAAAGTGCATGCTCGGCGGATGGAGTGGTGGGGATATCGAGGCACCGCGGGGCGGATCTGGACTACTTGGATGAGCGGTGTATTCTCGTCGGCCATGGTGGGCTTCTCATCGCTGTAGCGGCTGCTCATCAGAAAGAGTTTAGCGTAGATGCAATTCGAGGCTTGTGATGTGTCGCCACGATGAAGGTAACCTTGAACAATGGACGATGGAGCTCAAGCTATCCGCCAAGAGGCATGCATCGTCATTCCGCAGCGAGAAGGCGCACTCTTCGTGGTAGCTTGGTTTAGTCAGCCGCGCCGGGGACACTTCGTCACTTCCTATGCCCCAGGGCCCCTTGGCCCTCCACTCGACTTCACCGTTGCATCGCTTCCCAGGGCTAGGGCTCAGCAAGATCACCCACGATCATACACGAGATCAAGACCCCTAGCCATGGTTCTGCGATACGGCTAGGACTGTTAGCACGTTGCGGATTACACAGCGTGCGCAACAAGCCTCCACGCAGGATCCCTGCCGATTTCCGAAAACGGAAACATTTATGTGCATGATTAGAAGCTTAATTGGCAAAGGAAGCATCTTTTTTCGAATAATGAACTGTTGAACTGCCTGACGAATGCTCGCATGCTTCTCGTACGTTCGGGCGGTAATCAGCTAAGTGAAGCTTATTGATGTTGGGACTGGAAGGAAAAGGTATTGTTAGCAACCGACTATGTCTACAATAGCTAGGCCTTGTTGTCGTGGCATTGCTCCAGCGTTTATATAAAAGCTTCACTCTACCGACCGAACACTTTCTTCGATTGTCTATCTCGCTTCTATATCAGTCTCAAGAACCCTCCAAACAGCTTTCTACTCAACGCTTCAACACACTCACCACAAACCACCACGATGTCCACCCAACAGACCGCCCCAACCCTCTACCTCGAAACGAACGGCCATAAATATGCCTACCGCTACTTCGGTCCCGCCTCCTCCCCTCATCCGCCCCTCATGTTCCTTCAGCACTTCCGTGGAACAATGGACCATTGGGACCCAGAACTGATCAACCCTCTCGCCATCCACCGGCCCATCCTTCTTTTCGACAACGCCGGCGTCGGTAAGTCCTCTGGCATTGTGGCTGACTCATTCTCCGGCTGGGCTGCCCATGTTGTCGCTTTCCTCGACGCCTTCCTCCCCACAATCAACCGCACAAATGTCGACCTTCTCGGCTTCAGCATGGGCGGCATGGCGGCGCAAATGGTCGCGCTGGACACACCACGCTTGGTGCGGAAGCTCGTGCTCGCCGGCACCGGGGTTAGCTGGGGGCCGGATGTGGAGGGGGGGGACTCCTCAAATGTCATGCTTCTCGCCTCGGCGGTGACGGATGCGGAGGAGAAGGCCGCATTTTTGAAGACTTTCTATTCGCCCAGTGCTGAGAAGCAGGCGAGGGGTGCACAGTGGTGGGAGAGGATGAACCAGCGTCAGCTGGACGGCCGGTCGCCGTATGTCGATGTAGAGGGCTCGCAGCGCCAACTCGCGGCCGTGGGGAAATGGCTCAACCCTGAGACTGACCCTAGCGAAGCGAGCTACACGCGTCTAGGACAACTGACGATACCGGTGTTGGTAGCTAATGGGGACAATGATGTGCTCATTCCATCGCACAACAGCTGGGTCCTTTCGCAGAGGATCAAGACCGCCACCCTGATCATCTATCCGGATGTTGGACACGGATTTCTCAATGAACAAGCTGAGATGTTCGGCAAGCACGTGGAGTTGTTCTTAGACTCTAAGCAGGTGTAACGTTTTGAGCGGAGAGCAGTACTGTGAGAATCCTTTTTGATTTGGCGGAAGATCTCCAACAAGAAACACGTAGCACCCTAGCTGACGCAATTTTCTAGACCACTGCTAAGCACTTCAATATGAAGAACAGTTCCCAGGACGGGGTTGCGAAAAGGTGTGGTTACAGGTAGTTGCATTTCTGCTTCTGATTTCTTTGATTATAGAACGGCAAAGTTGATTGAGTAATTTCCCATTCGTTTCAATTCAAGTGTGATCTTTCGGTGACTGTGGTGTTGTCTTGCCGATTTTACGAGGCTTCTAGTAGATGGTGAGAGCTCAGCGAGCGCAGTGAGCGACTGGAACCATGGAATACACAGCTAAGTGCGATCCGACCCGGATAGCACTGGTGAGGTGATGTCACAATCCGCCCGTCACATGCTCTGTTGACTGCAGAACGAGATCCACCTCGCGCACGGGCCCGACACTTCTGAGTCTATATATTTGGTTTAATTTTCGTTGGCCTTCAGGAAAGTTGCTGAAATTATGCCGTCGCCGCCATCGCCACGCCGCGTCCCAAGTGGGGACCCTTTCCTTTTGCCATTTTTTTGCGCTTTGGTGCAGAGGGTGTAGATGAAGTTCGAATCGCGGTAGAGTTTTTCTTTTTGGTTTTGGTTTATTACGCAAATAGTTGTTTGTGCTTTAAGGGCACCTTAACCATCCCCTATCATTTATCTATCGAACGACTAAGATGCGTTCTATCAACGTATATTGTCACTGAAGATGGGAAGAATTGCTCACCTAGGCCAGCTTCCAGCGAAGTCGTCTTGTGCACCTTTTCTGATGCATTGTAACCCATGCAAATGAGGCGCACTCAAACCTGCGGGCTCGCGCCTAATTCTACGTCGTTCCAGCGCCCAACCTATCACCTCATACATAAACACGACCAGCGCTATTTTCCGTTTACCTCGCTCAACTTCACACCTTTAGCACGCACTCACGGCCATGTACGAGTCGTGAGCGACGCGTCTTTTATGCTCTGCGACTATTCAGAGAAGGCACCCCAGATGACACCACTACTGGCGCGCAATGAGCGTCTTCAGTCTCAATCTCGCAGAAGAATAAGGCTATGGGAATAAGGCTATGGCACCCTACGGTATAAGACTCGAAGATCTCATATCACAAAAGATGGAAGTCCCTCGAGTTCCGAACGCTAATTGAGGGCATGCTAGTCCCTTGAAACTTTCCCTTTTCTCCCTGCCTCGTCTACGCGATTGCCCTTACCGCACTCACCACGCGCCGGTAGAAGCGGCATGTATTCGATCACAAGCACCGTGACCGCACCAGAGAGTTAATCGTAAAGCCATCTTTCGCCTTCAACAACTCTGGCAGAGGCCAAAAAAAGGGCAAGATAGCAAGAAGACCGGAGGGTGCGAGAAAGTATTACTGGAGCGACAAAGCACGAGGAGAAAAATGGAAGAAGCCGAAACTGGACATAAAGATGATCAGGGCAGAATATCAAAAATCGAGAGAGGGGAGGGCCGGTGACATGCGACTGAATGAATTTTCATGGCCTCATAGCATGCGGGATTGACTCTGGAGTGTCGAACGACCTATTCCCGAATCCTGAAAGCTCTTCATGGATGATTCAATTGCCGTGATATCCTGAGAGGGGAGAGAGTTGGAGGGAAGGGGGGGAAGGGCGAGCCGCAGACACGGCGTCAGTTATCGACGGTGACAGGATATATGCTCGTTCACACTCTACCACTGCTTGTGGTATCTCTAGGGTTTCCAAAATTCTAAGTGGCTGATAAAATTCCATGCAGCGGAGTCTGAGCGGTGTCCTGACCATTAGCGTCCTTGCAGCGGGGCTGTCTGTTCATGACGGTGGCATTCAACTTCCAAAGTGGTCTCCAGCTTCCAAAGTAGTAGTTAGGCAGTGGCATGTCCATGTGCTCAGACTCATGGCCTCGTACTGGAAGTGAACAGGGCTCTGCTGTCCCCCACGAGACTAAGCATGCACGCAGACTATCAATAATACTTACCTGGTACCCTTGATCCTAGACAGCCACGACGGCGACGACACTCCGCTACAGGGAATGCCTTCCTTACCCCGTCTTTGAGACAGTGCAACGTGGAGCCCCGGTCGTAGCATGTAATTCTAACGTGAACCAGTGCTTCAACTCAACAACGCTCTCCTTTCAACTAGTACTTAGGCCATCAATAGCTACATCACTGACTCCGGCATGACTGGGGGGCTTCTCCCACCGGATTGCCTCCGCGGTTCACTCCTACTCGTTCGTACTTTTAGTAAGATACTTAGAGGGGATACCTACCGCTGCAGTACGCTACTCAGAAGGGCTTCGCATGGAACCTTCTGCCAGATGATGAACTCCGAAAAAACAACCATGGCGTCGAAGCGAAGTCGCAGGGATATAGGATATCGTCATCTGGGGTTGAGGGAATATCAGCATTGCTCTGCGCACTTTGTGTCAGAGATGGAGCCATTATTGAAAGATTGAGATCCTGAGTGGTCGACGGAACTCATGCACAGTAGAAGGGTGAGCGAAGTGGCTTGTGCACCGCTTGTGCAGCTGTCAGTTCGGCCGATTAGCAGCCAGTGCGTGCAAAGTCTTCCAGGGCCGTGCGTTGATACGCTGGAGACTCTCGGACCTCCTAGATCCCAGACTTCGTCGACCTTCCACTTGCAGAACCGCTGCCGTGTGCAGACGGCGACAACCGCACAATCGTATGTCTCGCCTTCACATGCCGGCATTGATGGCGTTCTGGCAATCAGGCCTCCATCATTCTCGACTCAGTACCACGTAAGAATCCCCGGAGCTGTCACGGTGTTGCTCTACACTTCTATTTCCTCCAGGTTTCTCAGATCCACTTCCTTCCAAAGTACAGCCGAGAGAAAATTCTAGCGGCCGCCGCTACCTCCCGCTCGGCGACAAATTGTGAAGCCAAAGTCGCCGTCACTTCGGCGCCTCCTCAGGTTCCGCGGCCAACCGGCACTGGTTTCACGTGTGCCTGTCAAGCGTCGCTCGCTCTGCAGCCACGGATGGCAAATCCATGGCGAATTCTCTCCAGCAGCTGCCGTGCCGCGTGAAGGCGTCTAATGGCGTCTTTAGCGCTGGCGAGATTCGCTTCTAATGCAGCTTTAGGCAGTTCATTCCCCTCCCATGCACCCAAAACACTTCTGTGCCTGAACAACCCCACGTGTGGTCTGGGATGTCGCTTGATGCTCACAGGGGCATCCCCCTTCATCGGGTGAAGGTCCCTTTTACTCGCCCAGCCGGTATCGCCAATTCCAATAATCACTGGCCCAGCCTGCGCCCAGACACACCAGAAGACATCCAGAAGGACCCCTCCGCCCGGCCTCCTGTCTTGCGCGAGTCATGGACTGTCCCACGATCACGATCACTGGCGTGTTCGTCTGATGGGCGATAATGTTCCTATCTAGGCCTCTCTTACTTGGGCCCATTTGCCGCCGCCGTGGCAACCCGGCAAGGGACCGAGTAATTGAGACGGTTCTCACACATCATGGCGTCGCGGAGCTTGAGATATAGGACGACAAGCGGCGGACTGTGAATCCTAACCGATATACGTAGGTGGGATCCCCTGTGCCCTTGCACACGTGGCCAGTGATAACCTCTCCCACTTCCTGATCGACGCGGTGATCAGATCGTTGCTCTCCACATGCCCATTTAGCCTTATAGCACTGCATCCTCCTTCCTCCACCATTCCTTCGGGAGATCTTGGCATTCTCATGAGCCGGACGACCTCGCACTGCTCACGATGACTATCCTTGAGCCAGAGTCCGCAATCTGGTACACGCTTTGCTGGCTCGTTGTGATCGCGAGGATATGGTCCAGAATCATTCATTATGGCAGTTGGAAGAAACTCAGGGTTGACGACTACCTCGTCTTACTCGCTATGGTAAGACCTCTCCTCAAACGCCCGCCCCGCAAGCTACTTGTTCCTTCGGCTTCAAGAGCAAAAACTACCTCCAGGTCCATAGAAATGTGGAGCCGTGTTCGACGGCGGCCCTTCTCCACGTGTGCATCTCAAATTATCGGGTTTGATGCTTACTCGAACTACAGGTTACGGACACACTATTGATGGCCTTTATGCATATTGTTCTGGTCACAAGTAGCAACTTGATTGCTCCCGGCGACGACATCTCAAACTTCACCCCCGGGGAGATCCGGTCGCGCATTTATGGATCCAAACTTGTTCTAGTTGTCGAACAGATGCAGATTCTCACAGTCTGGCTCATCAAAGCTTGTCTGCTCATCATGTACAACCGCATGACGTGAGTGGAGCTTACCACCACGTATTGGCTTCAATTTCTAACAAACCCTCTAGAATGCTTCTTCCGCAGCACATCATTGTCAAGATCGTCGCAGGATACGTTGCGGCTGGCTTTGTGTTAATGGAAATACTATACTTTGGTGTATGGTGTCGGCCATTCCACGAATATTGGGCTTTGCCAACGAATAGTAGTAGGCTCGAACCTTTTTTCCCCTTTGGTGCATAGGCACTGACTAGATGGACAGCTCAATGTTCTGCTGCTACCAATCACCTGATAACTAACGCTGTGCTCAACATTTCGTCTGACCTCATGATCATTGCGATTCCCATGCCATTGTTGTTCAAAGTTAAGATCCCAATGCAAAAGAAAGCAATACTAGGCGGCGTGTTCCTCATTGGAACATTTACAGTAGGCCCATCTCATCATTTCCATCAGTTTTCGTCTTTGTGCTTTCCATCATGCTAACGTTGCGCACTCAGATCGTTGCTGCAGCTTTGAACAAGTACTACAGCTTCACACACCCATTCGCGCCTGACTGGACTATATGGTACCTACGCGAATCCTACACCGCCATCCTATGCGCCAACCTACCCCTCACCTGGCAGCTTCTTCAACGCATCTTCAACCTCCGCAACTGGTCCTCGAATTCTTACCCTTCGAATGCATACGGCCCTAGCACCACTATTCCTCGCTCACATGGCAGATTCTCCCAACTCAGGGGCAACAGCGGCCACACAAACAGTAGGGTGGCCACAACCAAATCAGCGATGGGGCGATCGAGGAGCGATAGCCAGGAGCGCATAAATGCGAAGCCGCTCGAAATCATCTGCAATGTGGATTTCGATGTAAGGTCGACGCAAGTCAAGGGCCCTTCGCAACTATCCGTGATGGAGATGGGAGATCTTAGCAATAGTAGCAACGAGACCGTGGGAAAGGCGAGGGAGAGTGAGGGTTCTTCTACCAAGGCTGGGGAGGTGACGACCAGTTGCCATCGTGTTTGAGCATTTTACTTTGTTTAGGCGCTATGAGGGTGGGGGTGGTGGTTAACTGGATACGTGCTTACTTGGTTTTGTACAGTGAGCCACGAAAGATACCTTTTAATTTTATGAATACTGATACATGAATGCAATCCTGGAAACAGTCCAACATATATTTTCATGAAAATGCTCATATACGCATTTAAGATAGTTGTCAGAGTAACTGGAGTCCGTAAATCGCAAACCTTTAGCTGAGAGGCTAGCAGACACCTCGGATAAGCACGCATGGCACCTCTATCCATGGGCTCACAATGGCCGATTTGAACCCCTCGGATATGCGATCCAGCGCTGGGTTCGTCCTCTGATCATGATCCACTCGAATCTGGGGCTATATTGCTAGCCATGCCGGATAGGCCAGGATCTTGATGATCCTATCCTTGTACCTGGGACCTCTCAATCCTTTGGTGTTGTGGCGTTGGTACCGCCAGCCACTCGCGAATCGACTTGGCGATCCAGACTCCAGATCCCAGGTCCCAGCATCGGAACGTCATAGATTTGGCAAGGGTACATCATCTTTCAGAACGCGTCTTCAGCTGACCCCTTACCCTCTGCTGCTTCCTCTTGGACCTCTCCGTCTCCTACATCTGCAATTGTTCCTTTTGATGCTCAAACCGCCTTATTTCATTCTACCGCGAACCACGTACGCAGCTTCTACATTCCTTCCTAGAGCAAGCACCAATCACCTCCAACTCTCACACTTCAACAATCCCAACCTCAAGTATAGACCTCCACAACCACAATCGCGTCCTTTCAACACCACACCCTCCCTCACCATGCCCCCCAAACGCAAAACCCCAGCAGCCCCCTACACCGACTCCACAGGCACCGCACCGAACAAGCGCTCCCGCGCCTCGAAGCCCGACCCCAAAGCCACCGAAACCAACGGCAACGGCACCGCCACCTTCGACCACTCCCGCCCCGAAGAGACCCACGGCATCGTCCAACGCGCCTTCTACCCGCCCGAGCTCTCCAACGAGCGCTGCGCCATGTACAACTCGGGCGAGCTGCCGCGCCCGCTCGCCGTGCTCTCGACCACGCTCTCCGAAACCAAATCCGCGCGAGACAGCACCGCGATCGGGGAGAGCGTGGTGCACTGGTTCAAGCGCAACCTGCGCCTGCGCGACAACAAGGGACTGAGTCTCGCCGCCGCGAAGGCGAAGGCGGGCGGCGTGCCGCTGGTCTGCGTGTTCTTGGTCAGTCCGCAGGACTACCAGGCGCATCTGACGAGCGCCGCGCGCGTGGATTTCGAGCTCAGGACGCTGGAGGTGCTGAGGAGGGATCTGGGCAGGCTGGATGTGCCGCTGGTGGTGGAGACGGTGGAGAAGAGGAGGAGGCTGCCTGGGAGGTTGGTGGAGATGGCGGAGCGGTGGGGCGCGAAGCATGTGTTTTGTAATGTGGAGTATGAGGTTGATGAATTGAGGAGGGAGGAGAGCTTGGTGAAGTTGGGGTTGGAGAAGGGGATTGCGTTTGAGGCGGTGCATGATGATGTGGTGGTACCACCGGGGGCGTTGGTTACGGGCACGGGGAAGCAGTATGCGGTGTATAGTCCGTGGTTTAGGTCGTGGATCAAGCATGTTCATGCGCATCCGGAGCTGTTGAAGGAGTGGGAGGGGCCGGGGAAGAATCCGAGTGGTGCGAGGACGAAGTTTAAGACGTTGTTTGATAGTAAGATGCCTGAGGCACCGGAAAATAAGAAGCTTGAGCCTGAAGAGAAAACGAAGTTGGAGCGTCTGTGGCCTGCCGGAGAACACGAGGCGATAGCACGGCTGGAGAAGTTCTTGGGTGAGAAGATTGGAAAGTACTCGGCCATGAGAAACTTTCCAATGGCAAATGGTACTGCCTGTGTCAGTGTTCATCACAGCGTGGGTACGCTCGCGAGCAGGACTAGTGTACGCATGGCAAGGGACGCCAATAATACAAAGAAGCTTGATGGAGGCAATGAAGGTATCAGAGTGTGGATATCGGAGGTAGCGTGGCGAGACTTCTACAAGCATGTGCTGGCCAATTGGCCATATGTTTGGTAAGCTCTCTACGTCTCCCCCTCTCATGTCCCTCCACTAACAGAATGCAGCATGAACAAACCTTTCAAGTACGAATACACCAACATCGAATGGGAATATAACACCGAGCACTTCGACGCCTGGTGTGCCGGGAAGACTGGCTACCCTATTGTCGATGCCGCCATGCGGCAGCTAAACTCCACCGGCTATATGCACAATCGCTGTCGCATGATCGTGGCGTCATTCCTAGCCAAGGACCTCCTTCTCGACTGGCGTATGGGCGAGCGCTATTTCATGGAGCACCTCATCGACGGCGACTTTGCGTCCAATAACGGCGGGTGGGGCTTCAGTGCGTCTACGGGCGTAGACCCGCAGCCCTACTTCAGGATCTTCAACCCGTTGTTGCAGAGCGAGAAGTTCGACGCTGAAGGTGACTATATCCGGAAATGGGTAGAGGAGTTGAGGAACGTCGAGGGGAAAGCGATTCATGATCCTTATGGGAGAGGGGCTGCGGGCGAGGCAAAGAAGAAGGGGTATCCGAAGCAGATTGTTGAGCACAAATTTGCGAGAGAGAGGGCTTTGACGAGATACAAGTCTGGCATTGGGCGAGAGACTGCCTGATCGTATATTTGTATTTGCTCCTCCAAAATGGACGCGTTATATGTGGCAAAGTGAGCGTCCTCTGGACCACGTAGATCAGATTGCACTCTACATTACGCAGCCTCTTTAGGTGAAACTCGTAACTAATGGTAATTAGTATAACTAACACTAAGGAGGAAAGGTATGACTAATAGGGGAGGTTATAACCAATGCATACAGTAGATGTTCTAACTAATAGGAGATGTTACGACTAGTTGCTTTAATACAACTTGCAACTAATCATAGTTGTTATACATACAATGCTGTGTGGACCCTGATTTTCTACTACTCTATTGATCGGGTTATATATACGTACAGTTCGACAGTGTAGATACTGATGGAAGACAACTCTGGGCCATCCCGACTCTCTGGACAGTGAATGTCAAAGTTGTAAGTCGGACCTCAATCATGTGACTACCACATCTTCACCATTTTTCCTTGTGGGTACGATATCTGAGGATATAGGCGTGCGGTTTGACAGTGTGTAGATACCGATGAAAGACACCTCTGGGCTATCTAGACTCTCTAGGAAGTGAATTCAAAGTTTATACATTGTAAATCAGACCTCTAATCATGTGACTACCATCTCTTCACTCGTTTCCACGTAGTCAGCGTGCGTTTTGACGGTGTAGACACTAATGGAAGACAGCCCTGGGCTATCTAGACTCTCTAGAGATTGAATGTACGAATTTTGCACGTCGTAAATCAAGCTCAGCCTGTCAGGGTCTTTGTTCCGTGGTACGAGGTACCACAAGGCTCCTCTCTCGCATCTCGCGTCTCCCCCACCACCATCGCGAAAAGCACACCGTATCTAGGCCTTGTGATCACAACTTTGCCGCCCGGGGTGAGTGAGATGAGGAAAGCCGAACTGCAGTTCAGCGGGGAAGCCGCTGTGGAGGGCTAGCGCGGTGAGGGCAGGCCGATGGCGGGGACGGGGGTCTGCCTTAGGTTCTTTCTCTGCCTCAAATCATGGCTCTCTTCGTTCTTTCGCCTTCCTCTTGCCTTTCCTTCGCGACAGCATGCACAACTGTGCAAGAAACCCGCCGCCATGACACCGAGACGACTGCCAGTGAGACAGCTGGTGATACTTTGTAAAACGCCCCGCAATGATTTTTCATTGCATGCATAAAGCTTTTCGCAGAAACTGACACCTCAATTTAGCAATATGCCGGTTCGCAGAGCCAATCGCCCTCACGTCCGTCTTCCCCTACCTCCCCGAAATGATCGAGAGCTTCGGAGTTGCTCAGAATGATATTGCAAGATGGGCTGGCCTGACAAGTTCAGTGTTCTCAGCTTGCCAGTGCGTCACTGGTATACCATGGGGCGCTGCTTCCGATCGATTTGGCCGCAAGACTGTGATCTTGATTGGCTTGTGTAATACCATGATATGCATGTTAATCTGGGGCTTCTCGACGTCTTTGCCTATGGCTTTCGCAGCCAGAGCACTCCAGGGAGCGGGCAATGGAAACGTGGGAATCCTGCGGACAGTGGTGGCGGAACTGTGCCCTTGGAGAGTGAGCAGCGCTCTGGAACTTCTATAGCAGCGTAAGTAGTGTGCTGATCCTTCGACAGGAGCTGCAACCAAGGGCTTTTAGTATCATGCCTCTCGTCTACACGCTTGGGGCTATAATCGGACCGGTATGCATTGCCTCCATTATCTTTTCCTTTCGCGGGAAATTCAATTCTAACGTGAACATCCCAGATGATCGGCGGTGCTCTGTCAAATCCCTTACAGACAGATCCTCGAAAACCTCGAGGCACTAAATTCCTGGAAAAGTATCCGTATGCGTTGCCAAATTTGATAGCTGCTGTATTATTCCTTACTGGCATTCTTACCGGATTCCTTTTCCTCCAAGTATGTTCCCGGACACATGAACAACTTTGCGATAGGAGCTGATTTGGTGGCAGGAAACACTGGAGTCTAAGAAGAACCAGCGAGATATTGGCATAGTCCTAGGAAAGAAATTGACCGCCTATTTTAGGCGCGTAGTCAGGACTCTGACCAGGAAAGAAAATACAGATCGCGAAAGGGAGCCCCTCCTAAATAAGAAATCACCAGGCCCCGCGACAAGGCCTATCGACGACGAAGAGTCATTCGCTGCGAACCTCACCTCCACGGTTCAAGCCCCGAAGCCCACCTACAAAGATGTTCTGACAACACAAACGTCTCTCAATTTGCTTGTGTATGCGCTGTTGGCCCTTTATAGCATTGCATTCGACCAACTCATTCCGGTGTTCCTGCATCATCCCGTTCAGGATCTCAATGGGCCTGATGTCGCTCTGCCCTTCAAGTTTGCGAGCGGTTATGGAGTTGGTGAGTCAACCCAGCCTTACTTCTCAGCCACAGAATTGAACTCGAGCTGACGTGAATTCTAGGTTCGCGCGAAACTGGCCTTCTGTTCACAGTCTACAGCGTAGGAGCATCGGCCTCTCAGCTACTACTCTTCCCTCCTCTCGCTCGGAAACTCGGCGTCCTCCACTGCCTACGAATCGCCTTCCTCGTCTTCCCACTCATCTTCCTTCTCACGCCGTTCACTGCGCTTCTGCCGACCAATGGCTCTAGATTCGTAGTAATGGCGGTGCTAATGATTATGCGCGGCATGGCAGGCACATTCGCGTTTCCAACCTCCACCATTTTGCTCACCAATAGCGCAAGCAGCCTCAGAACACTCGGGACGTTGAATGGTATCGCCACCAGCGCTTCCGCCATCGGCCGAGCCTTTGGACCAGCTATTGGAGGCGGAATGTTCACATTTGGTGTCAAACACGGCTACATTATTACCCCATTCTGGATACTGGGCGCAATCTCGCTCCTAGCGGCCATCCCGACTTTCTTCCTAATCGAAGGGAAGGGCTTTGCCAACGACGAGGAGGTTGACTCGGATGATTCGGACGCCATTTTGACCTCAGACGACGAGGCCGATAAATCAGATGAGGAGGTCCTAGAAGCTGAGTCTGAGTACGGGGAACCAGGCAATTTATTGAGCCACACGGCGTCACGCACCAGTACCGCTCTAAACACGGATGATGAATCGAGCGATGATGAGGATGAGCGCATAGCGCGTATACGATCGACAAGTATGTCACATCCCCCGCGAAGGAGGTCTTTGAGGCGGAGGTCCAGTGTTCCGATTGGCATGGGGGTAGGTTTCCGCAGATACAGCTCGAACCTTGGCAGCACTGGCCTGCCGGAAGGCTCTTGGGGTGGGTAGGCCCTGGGGTGTCTGACGTAGCTATCTACACCCCCAAAATACACATCTACATGCCCTAATTTCAGATGTACGAGATCCTATATGCGGTTTAGCATGTCACGTGCTCAAGGTCTAATTTTCGACGTGTGAGCCTTTACATTCACTCTCTAGAGAGTCGAGATGGCCTAGGGGTGTCTTCCATTGGTAACTACACTGTCAAAACGCACGTCTACATAGCCGAATGTGGAGAGTAGTAGAAAGCAGGGGTCCAGGCAGTGCGACAGGTGTATTAACTACTATTAGTTACAACATTTCCCATTAGTTACAGCATCTACCAATAGTTACAACATCTACCAGTAATTATAGCATCTACCAGCAGTTACAACATCTACCCTAAGCGTTGCTTACAATAACCACGACTACTGCTATTTGTACTACCTTATGCCCTAAGCGTTCGTTACAATAATCACCATTAGTTACAAGTTTCACCTAAAGCAACCACGTACAGCAGCAAAGAAGGGCCTTTTGCGGCACGTTTGGTATATATATTGTACAAAAAGGGGCCTAAACCCCCCCCTTCTCCCCCCCCCCCCCCCCGGCGGGGCAAAAGCCCCCATCCCACCTACTGCATTGCGCAGCTTTCCTCCCCCTCTCCGGCCTGCCTTCTCACTGCTAGTTCTGCCAAAAGAGCCCACTGCGTGGTTAAATATGTTAACTATCTATACTACTCTTACAAAAACCCGTTAAGGAACATCTGCATTCCACGTACAGTGATACGCGGCTCGTGGGCCGCGGCGGACGACGCCTCTTGGGCGTTTTTGGCGGTAATTAGGTACTCTTCGTGGAGCCTTCTGCGGCTATTGAGCCCATTCTCCGCGATCTCCTCCTCCTCGTCGTCGCTGTCGGGACTTCTTGGTGCGACATTGGGGGCCGGCGGGGCTCGACCGAAACGTAGGGTGGGGGTGGGGGCGGGGTGGCTGATTGCGACGCCATCGCGTGCGTTCTGGCGGTCCCTTGCGTCGGCGGAGAAGATCTTTATGGTCGAATCAATCCCTGAAATCGCCAGCATGGGCTCGTATGGGTGGCCTATTAGGTCCAGTGTTAGCAAAAGTTTTCACAAAATAGGAAGTCTGCAGTAACGATACCTGCAGCTTGTAGGTACTCGGGCTTCGAGGAGATGTAGATCACACCTGCAGGAACATTGGCGACGTCGCGGTCGGCCTCTAGAATGTTGACAATGCGCGTGGACTTTTTGTCCCATATAAACACGTGTCCGCAGTCGCTTCCAGACACTACGTACTCATCGTTGCGGCCAAAGAAGTTAACATCTTTGATGGTTTTGATGTTTAGATGTCCGGTATACGTGCGATTTTGTGTGTGGCATGGTACGTCGTGGTGAAGGAGTCCACGGACCCTGTTTTGCTCGTAGATGCTAGCGTCGCCTTCTTCTGAGCCTTCTTCCTCGTAATCTTCGTACGAGGAGTCATGGTCTGTGTCCTCATAATCATCATCGCTCGGCGTCGTGTCGTCAACCTCCTCGTGTCGGGACAAGAACTCTCTCTCCGCGCCTATGATCTGGGCACTCGGAGACCCGGTTCCGCCAAAAGCCTTCTTGATGAACTGGTAGTCTAAGAAGGGCGCCTCTGGTTCCAGTCTGGCGGCATTCATTAGGACGCCACGTCCAACCTTGAACGCCCAAAATTGTAAGGCTGTGTGACGGGCTTGGGTCTCGTTATCGCCGCTCTGTGAGGAGAATCCAGTCTCATCGGTGACTAGGTCTGCAAAGGGTATCATTACCGCTTTTGAAAAGGCGATGACAGCGTCCTTCTCGGTTGCAAAGAGGACGAGACTCTCCTGAACTTGAAATCGAGATGCGTCAACATCCTTTATAGATTTGTCCGAGGCGAGGCTTTCGAGGTACGGGATGAGTACTGTCTCTACCGCTGTCATGCTAGCGTTGGGTCCGACTGGGAAACGCTTGCCGCGACCTGCTGTAGTAGAGAAACCGCGGAGTAGCGCCCCGAGGCCGCTGTCGAGCCATAAGCAGATAGCCTTGAGGAAATCATAGCAAAATTGTGCTCTGGCGGGGATGGCAAATCGCTCGTGATGAAGGAGAGAGCTGTCCTGCTCTGTAGCGGTAGGGCCGATGGTTGTGAAGTAACGCTGAATTGTACATGCATTTCGATCGTCCTCTTCTGGCTCTCCGATAATCGTCAACTTTCCGCCAAGGACACGCGCAAGGAGACCTGTCGCTTGGAGAAACCGACGAGCTGCAGCTTGGCGATCGCGCTGAGCGAACTGTGAGGTAGTTGGCGCATCAGGGTGTTGCCACGAGGAGATACTGGCATCCACAATTGGAACAATACGCGCGCACGACTGTAGAATGGAAGAGAAGAGGTGTTCGCGGCTTGCAAGGTCGATGGTCGAGGAAGGGTCTTCCAGCAAGAACATCTCATTGCGGATGTTGACAAGCTCGGTCGCTATCTGGTGGGCCCGCTGGTTTTTCACGACGTCAATGTCGCCGTCTGCGTCCATCGGAACATCCTCGCGCTGGCTGCCATTCTGTATTCTCAGAGTCAAGTCTTCGTCTGATCCAGAAAAGGTACTCTCTGTTCGTAGGCGAGCTGTAGCCTGCTCTAGGCTATCATAAGAGTCATACGAGTCGACTTGTTGCCGCTTTCGCTTGCCTTGTTTCGATTCCCTCGAACGATGCTGATCATGAAGTGGAGCGTCCCGAATGATGTCGAAACTGTAAATCGAATTTCCAGACCATGAGACTATCAATTCGTTGGGGTAAGCATCGCTAATCTTACAGGCAGTGATCTGTCTGTTGTCGCTTCTCCTCATTCGAGACCGGCCGCCTGGGGCGAACCTAACGACACACTTTGTGGCTTTGCTGACCTCCTCATCAAGTCTACCCCGAACGCCACTTGCAGAGCCTGGCGTCCCTCGCTCCGCGAGAATGTCTCGTCCCAGGAAGCGGCGATCATGCAAAAAGCAGTGTAGGTGATCCCCGCCAAGTGCAATGTACTGGGGTTGGCTCGGAGAGCACGAGATCGTGTTCAACTGTATGCCCTGTCTCTTGTAGGAAATGAGTGCCTGTGGAGCGCTCTCGGAGCTAGATGCTCGTGGATACGCCCTGGATGGTAGACGAATATCCCATTGTCGGACATCGCCGTCCTCAGAACATGTCAGGAAGTAGAACGGTGAGTCTTCGGTGACGATCCGCTTGACACTCTCTGAATGGGATCGAAAGACCTTGACATTGGTGTCATCGTCGCCTGCAGTCATGCTCCACGAACCAAAACCCACTGGTTGTTGGCTACTTGACGAAACAGCGGCTCTCGTCCGCCCAGAGTATTCCACATCAAATATCCGAACCTCGGAATCACGAGCAGCTGTAATTATGGTCCTATCATTGGAGTGCGGCATAAACTTGACAGAAAATATGTTCTGTGTGTGCCCGGTGGAGATGCTGCCAACTTCCTCAAACTGGAGGGACCCGGTCGGGGCGTATCTATGTAGGATAACGTTCGTGTCGTCGGATCCAGACGCAAGAAGTTCTCCTGAGCGGGACCAACTGGAAAGCTGTGTTAGTAGATATGTACCTATAGGATTGGAGCCAGGCGTACCTGAGGGCATTGACACAGCCCGTGTGTCCTCGCAGCCTGTTCACGATATCGAGGTCTCTGATCCATTTCCGGTCGCCGTAGAGGCTTTCGACGCTCGAGTAGCGGGAAAAGCGATCATCGCCCAGCTCTCGTCGGAGTAGCCGGTCCACAAGGCCTGGTGATGCCATGACGGGCTACGCCGCGAGAGGGTTGTCGACGGTTGTGGGGAGTAGATGAAGCTTGAGGTGAGTGTTGTAGTGGAGAGCGGAGGAGTAGAGGAGGCCAAGAGTAATAGCTGAAGACGCGGTGTAGGTGTCTACAGCTCTAGAGACGCGGATGCGAAGCTCTTAGCTGTCAAGGTCGCGTTGACGCGGTACGATCTTGCGCGCAGGTTCTCGAGAGGAGCTTCAGTGGAGCAGCACAAGAAATTGCTTCGAGCCAACACCCAAAGGTGCTCGCATAGCGGTTCTGCAGCCGCAAAGGGACGATGTGAAGAAGAACGATGGAGAAAGGTTGTGGAGAGGCTGCGGGCGAAGCTGTAGCTGTCTGTGGTTTTCTACCCCGAGCTCCAGGAGCCCCGCGCTTCGGCGGAACCGCCCCACTCACCAAAATCTATAGCAACCCGAAACCATATTAACATGTCTGGTGCATTGCCCTGAGGCGTGACGCGAAGCTTAAGTCATTCGCAAAGTGGTACTACAGTGCCGACTACTAGGAAAGCGTATAATTGGGACAAAAAGCTGCAGCGTCCCACTGCGGAGGTAGGCCAATGAGCATTGATATGCACGGCATACAAGGGCCGCCTTGCAGCGTAATTCACGACAATAGGGTCCTGGACGACGAGAGGACGTCTATTTGCAATAGTAACCGGCGGGAGCAGTTTATAGATTCAGTGTCTCTGTCGGTTGTTCTATAGCTCTGGCTGCTTGCTCCGCGCTCTTAATTGACGGCGGCAGACCAGACGAACGTGCACTATTCTAACGAACGCGTTAGATTTACTGCTCTCTATTGCGTCCAGCTTGGCTGCAAGTAGCCGTACTCTGGATGCACCGCCATGTTCTGTCCTCCCGGCTGGACGGTTTGACAGCGCGAAGTTGCAGACTTCAGCGTCCCGCCGCACACTCCACCACACGCCCTGACGCGAGAATACACATCCAGGGACCAAATCAAGCTTCACAAGCTCCAGGGGCAGCTTCGACATAGGGCTGGATGACTGGGTCACACTTGTCCTGGCACGCGGTGCTACCCATGGATCGGCGGGCTGGTGAGGGGCGCGAGGGGTCACCAGGCACGGCGCGGGAATCTGGAGCCTCGGAGCAGTCATGGAGGGGTCCTGGGGAGGCACGGCTTTGCGCAGGAGACATTGAGCGTGAACAGAATATTCAGTGATGGTGCACACGTAGCAAGACGCGTTCAGGGGCCCTGAGCATATCAAAACCCACGTTCAAAGCACGACCAGAGCATCTGTAGCTTGCTGTTGTCCTGTTCATGGCCCTCGCGACTGCAGAACGCGTAAAAACTAGAATAGTCCAGGGAAACGTGGGTCCACATGCGGATACAACACAAGATATAAACTAGCCTGGCAGGCTCCCGTCACTGGGTGATTGTGCAGCTCCTCGTCTGATAAGAGGCCATAACAGCCCGCTGCCGCGATGCTTTGTCCCGCACCTACGCTGGCAGAGCGCGCAGTGGGTCTCAAATAGCGTCGACACGGTGTCAGGCGCCAGAGAGCCGCCGGCCAGACGCCCCTGCGCACGGGCGTGAAGGAGAAAGAGTGACTGGACAGCCAACCAAAGCCCCGCCAAACGCTCCTGCACCTTCCTCACTTCACTCGTAGGCGAGGCAATAAATACTTCGTGCGGCCTGCGTTGCCCTCCGTCCTTCATCACCTCGACACCCTCTCACCTGGGCAGGCACTCGTAGGCAGCGGCAAGAGCCGGCCCACAGCTCGCTCCACGCACGTCAAAACGGCCCAACCAACCCCACACCCGCCGGCCTCGCGCTCCAACACAACAACAGCCCCGCCCTCACCTCTTGCCATCGCCAACCAACTCACCACCGCGAGCGCCATCCTCTGGGACCCCAAGTACACCTCTCGCCCGCCTCCAGGCACGCTCCGGCCAACGCACGTAGGCACGCTCTCGCTGTCCGCGCGCACCGACTCGTCAATCTCACTCACAACCCTCGGCGGCGCCCAGCAGATCACCATGGACAACCGCAAGCACCCGAGCTCCTTCCAGCAGCTAGAGAAGCTGGGTGAAGGCACTTATGCCACAGTGAGCCACTTGACCCGCATTACTGACTCACACGCTGACTGCCTAGGTCTTCAAAGGTCGCAATCGCCAGACCGGCGAGTTCGTCGCGCTGAAGGAGATCCACCTGGACTCTGAGGAGGGCACCCCATCGACGGCAATCCGCGAGATCTCGCTCATGAAGGAGCTGAAGCACGAGAACATTGTCTCTCTGTACGACGTCATTCACACAGAGAACAAGCTCATGCTCGTCTTCGAGTATATGGACAAGGACCTGAAGAAGTACATGGACTCCCGCGGTGACCGCGGCCAGCTCGACCCGCCAACCATCAAATCATTCATGTTCCAGCTCCTGCGCGGCATCGCCTTCTGTCACGAGAACCGTGTCCTGCACCGCGATCTGAAGCCCCAGAATCTCCTCATCAATGTGAAAGGTCAGCTCAAGTTAGCCGACTTCGGTCTTGCCCGCGCGTTTGGTATTCCCGTCAACACCTTCTCCAATGAAGTTGTCACCTTGTGGTATCGGGCTCCTGACGTTCTATTAGGTAGTAGAACGTATAACACTAGCATCGACATCTGGTCCGCTGGCTGCATCATGGCCGAGATGTACACCGGACGCCCTCTCTTCCCTGGCACCACCAACGAAGATCAGCTCCAAAAGATCTTCCGCCTCATGGGTACCCCTTCCGAGCGTTCCTGGCCGGGCATCTCTCAATTCCCCGAGTACAAGCCCAACTTCCATGTCTACGCCACCCAGGACCTCCGCATGATTCTGCCACAGGTCGACCAGCTCGGCTTGTCCTTGCTCAACCAGATGCTACAGCTCCGCCCGGAGATGAGGACCTCGGCGCAATCCGCGCTCAACCACCCGTGGTTCAACGATCTCCCGATGCGACAGCAAGTCGCTTTAGCCGCAGCTCAGTCTCAAGGCCCACAGGCTCAAGGTAGTGGCGGGTTCCCCGTGTCGTCAGGTGCTTATTAAACCTAAGCTCCCCGAGGCATCATGCCCAACATTATTATCCTTTCCCTGTTGGCGTTGTACTGATGCTTTTTCTTTCTGCAGTTGATGATGATTTCATTCGCATTACTGAGCTCGAGGATGACTATGAGGATGAGGTTGCACCCACCATCGATCCTCTCCCGGAAACCGACAGCGGCGATGAGGCTGCACCCATCGTCCCCCCACTGGAAGCAGACAGCGGCGATGCAGAGGAGCCACTCGAATCCCTTCCGGAGACAGCCAGCGACGAGGCTCAGGAGCCCATTGTACCCATGCCAAAGACACCCCGGCTCACCGCCGCACGCCTGCACTATCCTGTTCCTTCGACCCCCGGCCCCTATGTGTTCACCTTGCCCGAGCTGTACCGGATGAGTGACGCGGATCTCGATAACATGGACGTCAACAATATCGGCTTGGGTCTCATCTATCAACAAGTCGAGATGGACAACCTCATTGCCCGCTTCAATGGCAGCGTTATTGTCCTTCGCCATCCCTTTCCTTGAGCCTTGTTCGGTGTTATTATCGGTGGCGGCGTCTGGTTTCTACCAGCAATGCGGGTAACCACGGCGGCTTCTAATTTCTTGCGATGACAGTCACCGGTTTTCAAGCAGGCGAGTTGACGGAGTCTTTCTGTTGATCAGCCTCTGCATATGGGGTGTTACGGGCACGGCATGTCAATTCATGCTTTCTTTTCCTTTTTCATTTGGGCTTTAATGGCGCCTCAAGGGCAAGACTTGTTATAGCTTCTGCTATTTCGATGATGCTCTGCGAGGTGATGCCATGGGTACAGCATGTGCCTTTTCCTTTTCTTTTCTTTTGCTCTCTTTTCTTTTCTTGACTTTTCTCAGATGATGCTCTTTCGGTGGACTATGTGAGGCAAAGATGCCAGGCCCTTTTCTTTCGACGAGCTAAGAAGATGCCACAAGCGAGAGTCAGGGCATGTTTTCCTTTTCCAAGCAACTAATCTGCAGCGGGATACCACGAGCATCAGAGCAATCCAGGATGTCTAAGTAGCGAGCATAAGAAGCAAAATAAAAACTCTTCAACCACCAACTCAATTGCCTAAAGAGAACTGTCTTCGCTCTATCCCATCCAATCCCTACCCTCCCTACGCCTTCCTCCTCTCCCTCCCAGAAATCAAATAGACCGCCGCTCGCATCTCCAACAACGGATCCTCACTCGCCTCAATCCCCTCGACCCGCGGAATCGGATCAAAAATGATCGTCTTCTGCTCCTCCACCTGCTTCCCCTCCTCCACTACCTTCTCCACTCTCACCGTCCCCAGCTCGACCACCTCTCTACTCTCCGGCCAATGCACCGTCGCATCATCCACCACATCCCCCTCCTCCGCCAACTGCGCCACCAGCTTAAACTCCACAGGCCCTCCCCCACCCCCTACTCTACTCTTAATCTCCTCATACAGATACTCCCCAGACTCCTTCTTCACGCTCTCCTCATCCAAATCCTTCTGCCCCGCCACGGGCAGCACTCTATACCTGAAAAACCGCCCCTTGCCCGCGGCATCCACAAACTTCAGCGCCGTAACGCCAAAGTACGTCTCGGTGGCGAAGCTCGCGGGGAACGGCTTCGGCGCCTGCAGGAACGCGACGGCGGTCGGGTGCTCGCCGAGCCATGCCTCGACGGGGGTGGGGTGGGTCTCGACGCCGGCGGAGGCGCCCGCGGCGCGCAGGAAGGCGAGGAAGTCGGCGCCCGTGCGCGTCGGGAAGAAGGGCGTGCTGTGCGCGATTACGTCGGTGTGGACACGGTGCGGCGTGGTGGCGAGGTGGAAGCGGAGGGCGATGCCGCGCGGGTTGGCCGACGGGTCGGTGTCGGGGATCGTGGGGATGCCTGTTGGTGGTGGGATACTTGTTAGTGGGTTGTCATGGAGAAGGGGGGCTTGGAAGACAGATACTAGAGGACTCTGGTATGTTTACTAGCACCTTACGTACCGGTGGACGAGGAGAAGCGGATGGTCAGGGGAGTGGTGGTGCTGGGGGAGGAGAAGTGGGGCGCGGTTGTCAGGGTGGAGGCGGTGGGGGAGGGCGTGAAGGTGCCGGTTAGGAGGAGGCCTTTTGCGTGAGCTGGAGGGGAGGTTAGCTTGGTAGTGGTGAGGTTGGGGGGGTCTGCAGGGAAGGAGGGCGTGAAGGTGTGAGAGAATTGGGTTTGGAATGGTTTACCTGGACGGTAGCCTGGGTGTGGCTCGCCAGCTGCTGCTTGGAGCGTCTTGACGAGACCGGCAGCTGTCTCGTTGACTGTTTCGTCGGTGGAGAGAGGCATGGTTGCGGGTTTGTAGACTCAAGTGGTGGTTGGTGGGTATTAGTTTGGAGAGCTGAAGCTTGAACAGCACAGAAGCACTTGTCGAGAACAAAACTTCGAAGACCGAAGAGAAACAAAAGCAATACAGCAAAGGCTTCTCATTTGAAACTATTTATCCCTCCAGCTCGCTCCCCAATTCCAAATCTACCGCTTTCAACAACCCCCCGGTCCAGGCCTAAACAAAGCCCCTCCCCCACTTAGATACCTCTCCAGCCCCAAAGCTCCCTCGCCATCCGTAGTACCCTTTGCCCCACCATCCGCTCGCGTATAGCGTTTGCCAATCCGTGGTTACGCCATCAAGTCTTGAACTCAAATACCCCCTGTCTGATTCGTTCTCCAGCCCCGCTGATGCAGGGTTAGTAATTGTGGTGCATGGATTGGGCGATTACTGATGGCGGCAGGCGGGGGTAGTCAGCCATGGCGGAATCTGGTGCAAGGTAGTCATCATTCTACAATTCCTGGAGTTGATTACTGCCCTTTGTAGACAGATAGGTTGAAGGTTGGAGGATGAGTGATGGAGCGATGTGGTGTAGTCTCACGTGATGGATGGATTTGGTAAAGCATCCGGGGATGATGTAGGTGGATGAGGGGTGCTGAAGGTGGGGCAGGTCATGACAGGGTTTATTTAAGTATGTGGGTGATGAAGGTGTATGGGAGTTGCGGCGTTGGTAATGTTGACAGGGAGGATAGTGGGATTGAATACATTTAACGCGAGCGTATTATTCCTACCTGCGAACACTCACAGTGAAATCGAATACATCTTTTAGATCCTGGACACTAAGCTATCAACTTTCGATGACAGACTGGATTGTGGGTAGGGTGCCGCTGTACGGAAAAATTAGTAAAATTAGTGCATGAACCTGACATCAAGGCACATTTCTCTCAAACTCTTCGGACACCCAGCCCCATTGTACCAACAATTGCTTCACGCGATACTGCGTCGCCCATCCTGTATCCCTCTCGATATCACTCAACAGCCTCAAAATCAGCCTCCTCTCCCGCTCATCCTTCAAACACTGACCTGCCGTATACAGCGGCTGCACGCTATGTATCCTTACACTCTCATCTGACCGCGCCAGCGCAATGCTCACAATCTCTCTCGAATGCACCAGCGCTGCTGAGAGCGTCCGTTCGTACGAATGCATCCGCTCGAAGACGGTGGTGCGGCCCTGCGTTGACTCGTGCGGCTCGTTAATCAGCAGCTGGATCTGGGCCATATGGTATGACTGCATCGTAGACGCGCACATGGGAATTGAGAACCAGACCTCAGGTAACACGTTCTCGTCGTCATCGGTGCGCAGCTGGGCTGGTACACGACGGGGCTCGATGCGTGCACAGGGTTTGAATGTTATCGGGAGGCCTTCGTACCAGACACGGAAGTGTTCGCGTAGACTGTACCAGTATTCGAGGAGCGTGCGTTGCGGGACGCCGGCCCAAGGCCCGCCGAGGTGGTCGGGCATGTCGTCGCCCGCAGCCATGAAGTTGACGAGTTTGGAGATGAGCCAGATGAGTGCATTTGATATGGTGTCTTCTTTCATTACTGAGGAGTCGGCCTCTGCATATCCGGATGGATCGGTGTTCGAGGGGAGGATGAAACCGCGCGAGTCGATGAGGAGGCCGGCTTCTTTCCATAGGGGGAGGTCTTCGGTGTCGAGGCGGGTGTGGCTTGCATTGATAACTATGTGAATAGTCAACATCAAAATATAAGAGAGGGGAAGTGCACTTACACGCTGCCAGCATATCTTGCCGGGCAATGTTCCAAAAAGTAGCTTTCCGAGCTTTGTTGAGACGAGCTACGTGTGGCGAGAGCAGATGACCCCCTGGAGAAGGAAGCTGAAGAGGCATCATGCGTTCTTTGGCAATGTCCATCAGCGACTTGGCGCCGTTCAGATGCCTTGACCATTCCGGAACTGACGCGTCTAAGAACTCATACACGGACAGAATGGCCGTAGCGGCAAGGAGCTCGTCCGGATTGGACACTTGCCGAGAAATGTATGAGGAGGTCCGGCGCCTCTTGTGGCTATGTGGATTGTTGTCTTCGCGGTAGTCCATGTTTGATGCCCAGCTCGGTTCCATATCCGAGCAGTCGAGCGGCGTAGGTGATTCCTCTTGGAGAGCTTGACGGAGATGGCACACGGCTCTGTCATAGTACTGAGTAGCTTTATGATACCAATCCACAGACTGTATATCTGGGTACAGCTCCATACGTGCCTGACGTGAGAAGTTGCCGCCCATTGCGGGTTTCACTCCACCCCTCCGCCCTAGCGCTTTCGCTGCGTAAGCAACTGCAGCATACTTCAAAAGAGGGTTGTCCACTGCCTTGACGGGGACGTAAGAGGCGAAATATGTATCAAGATCAAAGAGATCCATCCAGTACCCTGGCCCTTCAGAGAAATGGCGAAGAAGGAACGCGATTTCGTGGTCATCCTCCCCATAATCATCGAACTGAACCGTAGGTGGAACGAGGTTGCCCGAAGTCGCGCGGCCACGGAAGCCGTTGTCGTTCGGAGGAAATGAAGTTGGTAGGTTAGGATCAATGGGAGGAGATGACCTTTGTGGGTGATTTAGGATGAAATCGAGATTGTTATTAGACCAAGTGGTCGACGAGGCGTACAAGGGCTCCACGGAGGTTGTCGGGGAGAGCATGGATGGAACATGTTCCAAGGATGTATGCACATGCTCCTCGTCCTCGTCTCCAGGCGAATGAAACAAGAAGGGCTCTCCTGTCGCGGCCGCAGACAACGTCTGCAACCCATTTGTGCTCGGCGTGTTGTTCGTATGAGCAACACTCCGTGGAGTAGGCCACGATTCGTTGTAACTCGGGTTAATAGAGGGAGGAGACTGTGAGGCTGTAGAAAAGAGGTCAAGTTCAGGAGAAGGAGGATCGTTGTAAGGGTCAGTGATGTTGATGAACGTCACTGGGACATCATTAGCAGTCTACTTAGTCAATTGAGGCACAAGGATATACCTGTCCCGGGTATGTCGACCCACACGCTCTCATCACCGAAGGTGTTCTTGTACGCGTAGAAGCCCTTGAGGCTGTTGTCATCATCTACATCGCCATTCATAGAGGCATTATGCTGATGGCGGAAGATAAGCCCTGAGCTGGGCACGCATTCTCTAGAGGCTTTCATGCATTGCCCACAACTTGGTTTCGTCTCATCGCACTTCAACTTCCGCTGTCGACAAGTCATGCTGGGAGCTGTTAGTCATGGTCATTTGGGAGTAGCTCCCATGATTCTTACCATCCTGTTCGTGATCTCATTTCAATATCCGGTCTCCAAGCTGTTCTGCAATTCTCCAACCCGTCGCCACAGGCATTCCGTCTTGTAGTAGCGTTATCACAAGTTTTGATCAGAAAGAAGGGTATGGTTGGCTTGGGGGTTTACTCAGATTGTTGGACCGTAGTGTGTTGAGAAATCGGAGCGGTGCGGGGGGGGAACATCTTCTAACATAGACTACGTGTACTACAGCCCGAAAGCTGCAGAGAACGCACAGAGGAAGCTCCTACCAATGCACCAGACCAGCACGGACACTCTGGGGTAAATGCAGTTCAATCCTAGGGAACTCGAATCATGATGCCTTCGGGTAGCTCTGTTAGGGATAGGACGCATCAAACTCCACAGATCACAGGGCAGTTCGCTACGAGGTACCCATTCACAAAGCACTTTCAATCTCGATCCAAGCCAGGATACGCGAGAGCTAACTGCAAGTTGCCTTACGAGGGAACGGAAAGGTCTCAAAGCCAAGCGTAAAACGACCGGATTACTCCATGCGGCATAACGTATATTTAGGATGGAATTAACTAAAGGGCCTTCACCCGACCGACTCGTGTCCGCGTAATAAATGACCCTTGACAAGCCTCTTCGGCGGTTATGTTGCCTTGGTGCGCGCAAACAGGATCTCTATGCGCCAGGAAGAAGGCTCTGAACTCAAATCCAAATCCCAGCCCTCCGGCCGCATATCGATCTGGAGAGATCGAAGACTCTGGGGGTTACGCATATAAATGAAGCCTCCCCTGTCCTAGCCTGGACTGATCGCTTTTGCCATTACCGTTACCAGTTCGCCTCGCTTCTAAACAGCACTCATTTTGACGTTTTGACCTTCTTCTTGGGTCGCTCGACCATCTCTTCCTTCGCAGGGCCGTCGCTATCTGCGTCTGCCATCTCCTCGTCGCTGTCTGAACCACTGCTCTTGTGATCTGAGTCGTATTCTTCCGCTGGATCGGAATCAGAATCGGCTTGAAAGTCTTCGTCAACGCTCTCGTCGTCTTCATCTGCGCTCCCTCTATTGTTAACAACACGATCATCTTCGCTGGAAGCAAGCTCAGCATCTTGCATCGCCGCAGCGATGATCGCACTTGACTAAATAACCTGTGAGCCTCTATTCGCTCGCAACAAGCTAGGAGGACTTACGTCATCAATCATCTCGTTCTTCGTTTTGATACTCTTAGCGCGGAAGAAGTTCTCCAGAGGCCCTTGCTCCTCACTGTGAAATCGCACAATTAGCAACCATCTTATTTAACTTAATCTATATTCGTTTGTAACTTACCGATTGATGTTGCTGAATTGATGTTCTCCAGCGCCTCCCTTCATGGTGACAGTGATGTCAAAGGTTCTGCTGGCAGCCATTGCTCCACCTACACGTGACATCGTGATCGATGCAACATTTTCGATCGAGATGTACGTTGCAGGCTTTGGTACGAACATGAAGGCCTTATCCAAGCAGTAAAGATGGCCCTCGTTAGCTTTGACTGAGCATTTGACACCATTTTGCCCGTGATGGCTAGTGAATGATGTTGAGGGCTTCGTGATCTTCTTGTTTGTCAGGCCCCTAAATATATCGCTGACTACTGTGGCTATTGGCGCCTCGTAATGGGACTTGAGCTTGTCCTTGTATTTTCCCTCGATGACCTCTTCCGTCAGGTTCAGGTCAAGGACAATTTCCTCGTCCCGCTTGAATTGCATGACGAGGAAGGGATATCGTGTTTGACCCTGTCTCAGTGGCGGATCCAGCCCTACAGTGATAAGCATGTGAACATCATCCGGCTTCGGTAGCAGCATGAACTTCTTGATAGCTTCGTATTGAATCTTGTAGTCGTATGTCTTTCCTCGCAATCGGAATGACTTCTCGTACATGTCGATATCGAAGCGTCCTCTGGAACAATCATTAGCATTTATGGGTGATAAAGGGCCCAAATAACGAACCTCGGTGTGAGATGGAGAATGTCCTGGAAAGATGCATAGTTGTCACCTGCGACATCGCCAATCTCAGCCTTGTTCATGAGCGTCTCTTGAAATAGGTTGGCAGCATTCTGCTCTTCTGTGTCCTCGCCATCGCTGACGTCTTCGCCGTCCTCTTTCTTTTCCTTTTTTGTCACAGTGCCCGGAATGTAGAAGCGCATCTCCACAAGCTGGTCCCTAGCTGCGCCGGATTTCCTTCCGTTTTTCCGCGAGCCTCCAAGATGTCCATTCGTGCCTGTCTCTTCGCCGTTTGCAGGTAAAGAGAAATCGACAGAGACTTCGTTTTTTCCAGCAAGATTGGTGTTGGAAATCTCGGTGTAAGGTATCTCGAAGGCAGGCCGGCTCTGAACGTTGAATGATAGCTCGGCCTTCCCGAACTCTGCTTTTCCCCAATTCCAACCCCGCAGAGCATGCTCCCGATTCTCCAAGTTGACGCTGTACCAGTTCTTGAAAACCTTGCCGATGCGTTCAAAGTCCTAACAGGGTCAGCAGGAGGCAGCTCTGCAGGCTCGGGCAACGTACCTCCGGCTGAAATCCGTCCAGCTGAATCACGCCGTCTGCTCTGGAAAGTATCTTCACTTCATAGCCTCGTGCTGCCCTGCTCCATTGTGCTTGTACGAGCTGGGATGAATCTAGGGTGAAGGTCTCGCCGGTTCCTGGGGGCTTCCATGCCAGACCGGCTTCTGCGAATCGAGTCCTGCCGGGCTGCTTCGACAGGTTGAGGTATATGCCTTCAAACGACTCCCTGTACTTAGATTAGAAAAGGAATTCTATACCAAAGAGGTACGGGCAAAAGGCCAGCTGTCCCTAAACACCGCGACGCGCGGGGTTTGAAGGCGGATAGAGGCGAATCTTGAAGACTTACATTTTGAAGAAATATTGCGCTTCAGATTTAGCCGCTAATGTGGAATTCAGCGACTGCAACTACACGGTCCACGATGGAGGATGAACGTGTAGGAGTGAGGCTGCGGAGGTGAGGTTGTTTGTGAAAGAGCATCGCGTTCTGAGGTTGACGCGCCAAGACGCCAAGATATTACATACGTCACGAGATCATCACGTGCAAGAGTGTGTCGGTTTTGGCAGATAATTAAATACGTTTCTATGAAATTCTATATTGAAATGCTCCAAAGGTGACTGGCGTTAAGACAAGGATTTCTATTCATGCCAGCGTAAAGTACGGCTCCCGAAGTATAAGCGTGAAGTTTGGTCGAAACAAGCGTTTCCCCACCATGAAATTCAACCACAACTCTCAACTCTCGACATGTGTAACTTCCCAGAGAGTGTTCCAAGGATTTGACTCTTCTTAGATCACTCTATATAGAAAGGCTTGACTTCATTCTGCTGGCAATCGTCTATCTGGCCTCGACCATCACCAGGCGTCATGGATTTCCCCACAATCCGGGTGCCTCTCTAACAACTCCTCTCGGTAACCTTGTCGTTCAATCTTTCCCTACTTCATAACTACACAAACCACATGGCCAAACATTTGGGGCTTTCACGAAGGCATAGCTAATAGCATTTATAATCATCCGAAGATAAAGCACAAGGCTCACAGGCAAAACAACATCCTCACCGACTCTATCGACAAAAGAACACTAGTGCCTCTACAAATGCTCTCACTACTCAAGCTAAAAGCCCCGGCGTTAAAACACCTGTTTTCGAACACGCGATCCTGCACGGCATCCTGCTGCCCCTCAGTAGTCCATGATAAGGCCTCGCCTCGCCGGAACGACCCACCTGCACGATCCTCCAGCATCCTGCCATTGCCAAAACATGCACTGTCGCCGAAGCAGTCATTACCAAGAGGGCATGATCTATCGCGAGTCGCACCCATCTGCTGTGGCTAGCGCATGCAAGATGCATGGCCCGCGTGCTGCTACGCCGATACAGCCCGTTTCAGACAGCTAGAGAGCACCTTCATTGGTCCACAGTCAAGATATGAACAAGGGAAGTTTTCTGCTGCCGTCATTCGTCTTGGCGGACGCGTAAGATGGGAAACAAACAACATTTTTCTGCCTTCTCCGGCCCCTCTTTCACCACCAATGTCGGAGCTAACTCCACCATTAGGCTGGTCCAGCCCTGCTTGCCGCCGCTTGCGTAGCGGAAAACCACGTTGTGCCTGGGACTTTCCCGATTTGAGGAGCACGCTGTTCCAAGGTTTGACCGTACAAAAGAGCTTGCAGGAGCACACCAGCTTGCAGCTTCTGCGAGCATGGCAGGATCCTCCAGATGTTCAATAGGCCCAACCCCCGCCACAACTTGGAGCTCCCATTAAGCCTTAAGTAGCCCGAGGAGCATCCTAGGTTTATTAGAATCCATTCCGTCACACGACTAGGGTCGTTGTGCGTCGAATCCTCTTAACGTCGTTTCTCTCCGTCTTCTAGTTTCCGTTGTCTCTGTTTCTCTCACTCCACACCGCCATGTATGGCTTCGCTGTCCCTGCAGTCGTTTCCCTGTTGCTGGCAGCAGTATCAGCCAATGATAACATCCGTAAACCTAATTCCACATACCTTTCCGTGAGCATCCAACAACTAATCTGGGCTTTTGTGGTTAAGCTTTCAAAAGCTAATTTCAGTTTTGATGTCTACAGGAATCTGATATCCAAGCCGTTGCACTCAATGTCTCTTTACAGAATCCTGATCCTGAGAACGGGTTCGCGCCTGGTAGGAGGAGGAAGCTCTATGGCCATGCAAAAAGATCGGATAGCTGACAGCTAGCTCAGGGTACATTTCCATAGCTCCCTATGGTCTAATCCAGCGCGGGCCGTACATCTATGATAGACTCGGCGTCAGTAAATCTGTGAAATAGAGTTTGCTGCAATTGCAACATTTTAACAAGCGCAGAACCTTACATGGAGCGGTTACGATGCAGCATATCAAATGAGCCATGCCATGGACCACAAAGCTTGCACCACCTACGACAGCAGCGACCACTTCTGCATGTGGCGTGGCTCGCAAAACCAAGGATATGGCCTCGGTGGAGGCACCATGATGAACAGTGGCTATGAAATCGTCAGGATGGTTGCATGCGCCCACGGCAAGTACGCGGACATTCACGAGGTCAATCTTACCAACGGCGGCAAGCAACACGATGCACACTTCAATCTCGAAGACTCTACTCCCACCATCGTCTCACTCTTCGCCAACGCCAGCAACGGCTTCAATCGAACTGCAACCAAATCGTCCGGCATGATCATTGCCATAAATACTGATACGAAAGCCGCCACCCTCGTCTTCCAGACTTTTGCCTCCATTCCCAGTGGCATTCTCTCAGACTCGCAAGGGAACTCGCGAGTCCTTGACTCTGGCGCAGCTTTCCATGGCTGGGGCTCCTTTCCCACCGTCTCAGAGACTGACCCCGCTGGTGAGGCTGTCTTGTACGCCACATTCAGCGCATACCCCGTTATGAAGTACCGCGCGTATACAGCCCCATGGGTCGCGACTCCAAACGACAAGCCCGCACTCATCACCCAACCGCATATCCAAAACACGTCCACCGCTCTCTGCGCTTATGTGAATTGGAACGGCGCGACAGAGGTCCAGTCCTGGCGCTTCTGGGGCAGCACATCCGTCTCGGGCCCCTTCCACGTACTAGGCAACATGACGAAGAAGTGCTTCGAGACCCGCTTCGCGCACGCAAACTACGGCTCATTAATTTTCGCGGAAGCAGTCGGTGGCGGTGGCGAGAGCTCCGTCATTCCCGTCGACCTGCTGGGCAGGAACGGAACGACGATCGTACCGAGTTCAGTGCCGGAAAGCAGTTCGGTAGTGAGCAGCAGCGGTATTAGGTCGACTGAGCTCACTACAGAGGTGCCCGGGCAGACGGCTGCCACGACAGTGACGACGGCGGATTCGACAGCGACGGGGCCCGCGCCGGTCGCGACGACAAGCTCTACGGCTGTGCTGGCGCAGGACGCGGGCCCAGTGGGGAAGACGCTTGCGTTATGTATAGCTGTTGGAGTGATGTTTGCGTTTCTTTAGGTAAGGGTATGGTAATAACGCTATGATATGGGCTCTACGATGACAATGTATATACGACGTTTTATGATACCTGGGGTCACACCTAATAGCGGTATAAGCCTTCTATACGCCTTCTGTTTTTTGCCGCTTATTTTACGCAGTGAAAACCTTTACATTCACTCTCTGAAGAGTCGAGATGGCCCAGGGGTGCCTAACGTAGCTATCTACGCTCTAAAGACGCACGTCTACACGCTCTGATGTTAGACATGCAAGAGATCTTGTGCACTTTAGCATGTCGCATACTTAAGGACTAATTTACAGCTTACGAACCTTTACATACACTCTATAGACAGTCAATAATCACTGCGCATGGTTACCAGCCGTACTAAAGGTAGGTTAGTTATAACAAACACTATTAGGCACAAGTTCCATCTAAAGCAACCACAATACGCAGCAAAGAATGGCCTACTGCGACCACGTTTAGTACATATACTGTCCAAAAAGGCCACTCATAAGGAGCCTAAACCACTAACAATAATACAACTCCACCTCCACCTCCACCTCCACCTCCACCCCCATCTTCAAACTATCTCCATCCTACAACCTATCCTTCCCACCAACCCCTCCCCAAACTCTCTTCACAGCCGCCACCACACCCTTCTCATCACCTGCACAACCCTCCACCTCCACACAAACCGATAGGCTTAATGCAACCCATCCATCTTACGCAATCGACCTCGCCCCTGCCACACGAGGTGACGCACAGCACTCTGCAGCTATCTCAGCCACGAAGCGGCCCAGATAGGCGATGGTGGCACAACTGGGTATGGGTCTCGGAAGCCGGAGTCTGACGGCCAGTGCCACGGCGCCTGTCACGGTACGGGCTGTGCGACCGCTGTCTGTCACTTCTTCGTGTCTGCACGGCTCCCTGCAGCGCGGTGGATGTCACTGGAGCTCACGTGCGACTGCGCTGCCCGTGTGGTGGTGGTTGCGCGGTCGGCGGATGGAGAGCGATGGGGGACGGGGGGGCTAGCGACGGGTGTGACGCTTCGAGTGTTGTTCAATGGGAGGTGATGGATGCGGGTTCCTGCAGGTCACGGTGGCGTCGAGCCACTGAGCGCGGGCGGAGTAACGTGGGTCGTAGATGATGCTATCGACATGCAGGTCTCAGAGGACGGGGCGTAGGGGCGCGTTGGCTTGTGAAACATGGACTCGAGATCGGCGAGCGTGCCCTTGCGTGGCGGACGGAGTGTGGGAAGATGTGAGGTTGTAGGGGGGAATATCGATGAACGTGGTGTCAATCGTCTTGACTGCTTCACGAATCTTGCTATTATGGCGATAGCCATTCGGCCTCTCCTTTGCATCGACGCCGGAATACTCCAGGTCAAGATTCTTTCCTTTTATCATCAGATCTAAACCATTTCCATATGCGCTCGCTTCGCAACGTTAACAACTCCACACGTACAACCACCTCCACCCCATTCTCTTCAAACGCACGGCTATCTTCCGCTCCTAACCTCTATTACTACTACAGTAGCAGAGCCAACCAGCCGTGTCCCAGTCACCTGAACCACTCCCCTCTCATCCGGTAGCCAAACCTAGAACCAACCCAAAACAAGATCCTATCTCCCGTCGTTGCACATAAAACCCGTTAAACTAGCATCACACAAATCTTACCTACTACCTAACGTCCGACCTACCCACTTCAACGGCCTCTTGTGCCTTCCTTCCAGCGTGGCGATTACCGAAAACGAGCGTATTTCAGAACCTACTCCACATTGGAATCAGACACTCGAGATTTGAAAGGCCCGATCAAAGCAACATCACACACCCAAACGCAACCCCAACACACCCACCCCAACCTTCCACTCCCTCAAGCCGACTGACTATAAACCCAGGTATCATCAACTAAACCTAATCCTCTCACCGAGCCTGCGTAACGCGCTCTAACATCTAGTCTGGAGATGATGCACTACCATCGGGGGTTCGTGCTCATCTCTTCTTGTCTTTCAACCGTCACGTTCGCGGCTAACACTAATTTGTTCTCGAATCTGTGGCATGGAACGATCCACAATCGCACAGTACCACTTATCATCCTGGTGTTCTTTGTTTCCTTTCTTCCCTTGAGCGAAGAATCTGGAGGTCTTCCAAGGATTGAGTTCGGCGCTAATCCGCATTGAGCACGCTTGATAATCGCAGGTCATGGAGGTTGAGTTTCGCGCTAGGCGGAATTAAGGCATAAACGCTATACAGTTTTTGCATTTCCGGGGGCACGGCCGGCCCCACCTCAGGCATCCTAAAACGCCCTATTTGACCTCCCTTTCGAAATTTCATCCTTCAACGAATCATATGTACATATTAATGTCCTTAGACAGTAGAAAGGGCTTCAATTCCCCTAATCGGCATGCTGATATAGATCTGTGGCTACAAATCGAAGCTTGATTAGGTATATCCTTAGTTTCAACCATTATAGAAACAAACAAAACAAAAAAAACAACCCACAAAGCTCCCGGAAATTCCTCCCATGACAGCTGACAGAGAGAACCTCCCCCCATTGGTATCATGCCCGAACCTATCCAGCCCTCAACCCACCCAGGATTGCTTAGCCAAGCAATTCCTATTCCCGAATCCCGAATCCCCACCTTCGTAACATACAAATGCCGTCGTAGCCATATATCTCCTAAAGCGCCGTTCCCATTTCCATTCCATATTCGTGAAAGCAGAAAGCCGTTTCGTAATCGTACATAAAACTCCGAAGCAAGATGTTCTTGCTGGGACGGTGGCGCGGAACTTCGACACGTGCTGCCACCCTAGCCCAACCTATTCGAATGATATTTTCAAGCACGGTCCCGGCTTCGCCTCCGGAAGAAGATGTCCTTGATCTCGTGGCGCGAGGTGACGCCATAGATGATAGCGTTCCCTAAGCCTTGGAGCGGGAGGACGATGGCTGCGGCGAGGTTCATGCCGTAGTTGGGCGTCGAGGGCGTTATCATGCCTTGGATGCGGTTGATGGTTGACGGAACCTGTGCGATGGAATTAGTAATGGCTCGTAGAATGGTGAATTGGCGGGATTGACATACCCAGACGACCAACAATACTAGCCAAACAAGAGCTGCGGTCAGCAGATAGGTCCTCGCGTTCTTGGCCGCCTGCTCAGCGGGCGTCAGGGTCTGGCCTCCGGAAATCACGATGTTATGCATAGGTTGGATGTCTTCAGCGGTATGCGTGTCACGCGCGCCATGTTGCTCAGCCGCATATGACGTCAGAGGGGTGGTGCTGGTGAATGACGAGAGGGTCGTCTCGTCCGAGCGAGCGCGCTTCGTCTCTGTGGTGACGTCGATGTTTGTAACGGCTTGAATCTCGCTGAAGTCTTGCAAATTGGAGTTGACAAAGCCCAACCCAAAGTTGTAGAGCGGGAGGGGCGTTTCTATGTTCTGGAGAGCGCGAGCATTCGTGCGGATGTACCTGACGAACACAATTGCGTAGAGCATAAAAGTCGCCGTGATAATGGCGCTGGAGGGCGAACTCTGTCAGCTTTGGACACTGGCAAGCTGCCACCCTGTGAACTTACAGGACAGGTCCGTAGAAGAAAGCGAGGCGCATCCAATCGTAGTCGCGCGTGACCCAGCACCAGATCTACCGCCATGTTAGCTAGATGTTATTATGTCGGATAGGTTCGTTGCGTACGGTCGCTGGCCCATAAATTGGCTCCTGAGTTCTTGAATCCGCGACAAGGAAGGATAAGGAGACGGTCAACGGGAGACCGTAGCAAATGGCGATGTACCGCATCTCGAACTTCTGGAGGCTCTGGGGGGTGTGGTGCCCGAAGAAGGTGATGTAGACGTTCCAGGCCATACAGGCAGCCCACAGAGCGTCGGACGGGATGAAGCTAGAGACGTTAGCCTTGGTCCTGGCGAGTAAAGGGTGCCGTTTCGACGCCATCTTACGATTGGATCAGAAACCCCTGAGCACGACAGGCGGAAGTCGGCCTGCCAGTACTGTGGTCGAGCTCCAAGACGGAGGTGGAGAACATGGTGGCTGTATTCGCGAGTACGTTGCCGAACGAGGCGAAGAAGATCATGCGGTTGATCGGCTTCTTGAAGCTATCTTTCCAAGCGAACGTCACCACGATGAAGAGCGAGCCGATGATGGACAGGACGGAACCGACGCGCTCAGCGACGACGATGGTCCACATCTTGTCTGGCGAGAAGGCGTGGGAAGCGGAGTGCTCCATGGCGAGGTGATGTCTTGGAGACTGCGAGATTGCGAGGAGACGGTGCCCGCGAGCACGACGGCGATCCAAACCACGAAGACGGGCGGACCGAGATGGAGGGCCGGGCGATGCAGGCGGCGGCCCTCAGCAGAGGCAATTGCGGCGGGGCTTCAGGGAGCAATGCGCGAGGCAGCGGTGAGGTTGGCCGTGCACACGAGAAGACGGGCCGGGGGGGCTCTGGGTCGGGACGGGTGCGGGATGCGGGACGAGGGCGACGCGTTTGACGTTTATGCAGCGTCGAGCTGGAGCTTGCTGCCCCGTGAGGTCGTAGAAAAGAGCCCGTCACGTGCCCCGTGGCTTGCTTCACCTTGCACTCCACGCCTCGGCCCGGCACCGTGCCAGCGCCAGCAACCAGCTCGAGTGCACGGCGTGGGACAGGGCGCTGAGCGTCTGGAGAGGGCGCGTCCGTTCCTGAGATGGCCGCACACGATGACGGCCCTGTGGCGCAACGTCGCACCGCGCAAGTCGACCAACGCCAGGGCGCTCCGTGCGACGGCCGAGTGCGGACGCGGGTGTGCCGGGGGAATGCGAGCACGAGAGATGCTATGAGATGACGGGGTGGTGAAGGAGGCGAAGGAGGTGAATGGGAGAGACTGGAATTGCTGGGCTGGAGACGTCGGGCGGCATCCGGGGAAGGCGCCACGGCAGCGTTAAGATGGGAAGAGAAGCAGACGAGAGGCGCCCTATCCTACCTGCAAACATGCCATGCCTCTCTACTTGTATGGCTGCGGCAATGGACCTACGTTTTGCATGCATCCTACCCGCTACCGGTCCCCAGGAAGCGCGAGACGTGCCGTTGCGGCATGGGCACAGGGACAAACAGCGGAAGGGCACGCCGGGTCAGACACAGGCCAGGCACCGCTCTGCAAGACGAATCGCGTAGTGTTGCTTTGTGCTGGCCTTGCCACTGATCTCCTCTGCGGAGGCTGCTCAGGGGGACGCGGAGAGGCACCGACGACGCATCGCAGCGAGGGATGAGGCCCGCCCGCCCGCTACTCCGCTGCGCGACTGGGGAGAAGCCCTGCCGTTTCTCGTGCACGCCCCGTTTCTCATGGCACCGGTCTCAGATGCTGGCGGCTTGCGGGCGGGAGCGGGGCGCCGGGGAGAGGCCGTCTGGCCCTCGGGACGTTGTGGTGAATGGACGTCGAGGGGACCAAGGGACGTCGAAGGAGGGATCGGGGCCACAAAGCCTAGCAAGCCTCCAGTCAGCACCCATGCTTCACCTCCTAGCGGGCGCGGCACCACGCAGGACTCCCTAGCAGCTGCCATGCCATATTGCGACCTCCATGTACACTGCTGCCTCCCACGACAAGGGCATCAGTAGTCGAGCTGCCGGCGCGAGCTGCCGGCGTGCCATTACAAACTTTATCGATTCGGATCGCCCATTCGTGGCACGATACTCCTGCACCCTCGCCTGTCGAAGCAGTCTAGCGTGGATAGACACGAGAAGTCGTTGATCGATGCCCCCCAGAAGGTCGGTGAGCTGCTCGTCGCCTTCAGCAGCCGAAGTGTAGTCCGATGCTGGCGGGCCGGTCCCGTTGTCAGCGAAAACTGACGGCCCTGCTGCAGGAGGCAGGGTGCAGAAGATGGCGACGAGAACTAGCGGCAGCTCTTTCTTCGTCTGACTGCTTCTTCCAGACTCGCCATCATAACGCTTATTGTTCCGAGTACACTGCAAGACGTTGATCCCATCACTGACGATCTGCTCCCGTGTGTCTCATACGCCTGGACTGCCATCCCGAATCTGGCCTCAGACTTTCCCTAACAGGCCATTTGCGAGGCCCTTCGAACCGCTGGCGATGTCTGACCACCAACATTTGAGATCGCTAGCCGGCGAATAGTGCTGGAGCATGCAGATGTCCATGGTCACAAAGCGCTGCCAATCATTCCGCTACACTACTCCGTCTTTACACTGGTGTCGTTTGACCTCCTGGTCTCGCTCCCCATCGCAAACGCTGGATAAAAGCAATTGACGCAAGGCTTAGTCTTTTGGGAAACTGTCTGGGGAACCTTGGACGCCCCTAGTGTCTGCACTCGTGGCTCCCATGTTACTGTGAGCGGGACACTGGTCACTGACAGGAAACACACTTGCATAAGGCGTAATTTCTCGAAGTCTACGTACACAGTGCACTCTTACACATGTCTAAATCTGGCGAGATTGGGATCTGCCCGACCACCGGCCTTCTACGGCCCAGTGAATCCTGGCACCTGTGCACGTTTTGGGTGTCGTCAGCACCGCAGCAGCCCTGTAGGGCTAGCAAGAGAGGAATGATGAGCGACGATGAGCGATGGGTCTTGTTACCCTAAGATCACCACGCTTCTTTTTCTACACTTCTTTTTCTTTTCGGACCCCCAACTTTAATTTGTTCTTGACCACCTCAGACCACCGCACTCGTTAATGCATTCGGAGCTCTTGATCACGCAGAACAAAGTTAACGCCAACCAGCAACCCCATGTCTGATCCAACAGCTTGCTCAAACGCCATTGCTGTATGGCTGGACTGCCGTATCTCGGCATGCCGCCATGAAACACCACGTGGAAGCTGCAGTTCCCTTGCTGACGGCTTGACTGACTCGCAGCAGTAACGTCAGCTCCCGCAAAAAGTACTTCTACTTTGGCCTTACGTCTCAAACTCCGCAGTGTGAGTGCAGTACTGGACTAGCAGTTTGAAACCGCGACAATATTCTCGTATCGTCACTTGCACAATCTGGTAAGCGTCCTTTTCTGCAAAACCGCTGAAGCACCTCCTGAGCGGCATGTTCTGGACCCTCGCCGCATCGAGAATCCAGCGAACCATGGCGCCGGCCACATGCTGGAAAAGTCTTACGGACCCCAACCTCCGCATTTTCTCCACACTGCACAGACCACATCTACCTTGCTTAGACCGCTTGGCAGCCGGTAGTGAGTGCATAACGGCGAAGCCCTGGGCATTAACAAGAAAGACCAAATGATCCGGGAAATCAATTAGATGGTGAAGTTTCTCCTTCCCATGTCAAAGAGAAAGACAAGACCAGGGGAGAGCTGCACCGAACCTGGTGTCTGCGCTCCAGAGCCATGGGAGATAATCCAGTAACACCATTCACCCTCTATCCAGGGTTTCAGGCCTCCTCCAGGTGCACGAGCCTTGGCCGGTTCTAGGACGTAAGCTAGCCCCTGGCTCCTTCAGTGCTTAAACCTCGGGTACGTAGCTTGTCTCCGGCAGGCTTTGCTCGGCGATTCTGTCAGCTCGAAGAATTAGACCGAGTGCAAGTTAGGACATCTCTCCGCCTTGGGAGAGGTAAGTTGTTACCCTAGAACATTGCATGAATTGTAAACCCTTCGAAACAGCAACCTGAGCTTCAATGCCATGTCATGGTCCGCTTCTGGGTAAATTTCCTTGCCCTTGTAAAATCATAGGTCCTTCAATATTAGATGGAAGTTTGTTACTTTTAAAGTCGGTGACCTCGCCAGGCCATTTCAGATATCGGGAGCGAGGCCCACGCAAACCAAGAATGTGAAGGAATCAAGTTCCTATCGCTGTATGGAATACCACAAGCTGTGGTGGGTCCTCGTGTACTGACTTACAGAGGCGCTTTGCACAGCCTCAGCTACCTGCTTTGATAGTTAGGGGGCGAATAAGGCGGCTGCATCGCGACGATGCAGGATGAGGTGTGGAGGAGGAGTGTAGTGGTTGTTATAACGGAGAGGGCGTCGAAAACCGGGTTTGAGCCAATCAGAAGCCGGCGAATCAGGAAAAGTGGGGAGGGGATATACATTTACCACAAAGGTGAGGTGGATGAGTATCAACGCTCTTACATAGTGTGTTTCATTCTGTTTCCTATCCTCGGCACTAATTCTCAAGATCCAGGTCACGTGTACCTAACATATGACGACATGCGGCGCAGCACAAACAGGCCTCTCATATTCACATATCGATATGGTATCTCAATAACACCGCGCAAGAATGCTTTCTCTCCCTTTTCCTGCACACCCCTGATTTTAATCACTTCGAATAACCTTGCCACAAAGTCCAGCCGCTGAAGACACTTCCTCCAACAAGGCGCAAGCAATAGGGTACGCGTCGGCTTCATGTTGTCCTTTTACGTGTCTACTCCTTGCGATGCAGCGCTTCGTCTCGCCGCAGCCTCCGCCTCCTCCTTTCCATACAGTACTCATAATAATTACTCCTTCGCGCTTCCATACCGCATTCGGCCCCGCGCTGTGCCTTGATTTAGTGGCCATCGCATCGTCGTATTTACTTGGCATGCTTCATCTCGTTACGCCCCCTTCACTGCGCCCCCTATTCTAATGCCAGTCCACGACCTTTTTAGAGATGCTGGAACGCGTGGAGTCAAGGTGAGGCGGGAGATAATTGTACGGGGTAAGGCTTACACCATATTCGGCGCCGGGTGGTTGAACTCTGATTTCGGCAAACAGCTCGAGGACGCGCTGAAGAAGGATAAGACGCTCAACCCGACGGGCTGAGAGGCGGGCTTCAGATACCGGAGTAATGCTGCTGATGGGAGTGAACGGGAGGGCGAACTTCTCAGTGCCGCCTTTCCCGTATCCGCACGTTAACGAGGATGTGTCGGGTATTGAGCTTAAGTGTGAGAAGGTTGCTGTAAGCTGAGGTTTCATCGACCATCGGGATTCAACTGTGTACTCCGCATGTCTTTCGCCTTCTGTTTTACTGTTTTACTGTCTTTGTGGGTAGATGACCACATAACCAGGGGGAAATTGGAATGAACGTGTCGTTCCAAGGGGGCATGAAATACGTTGTTGATGTACGCATACGGTATCTCCCCAATCCCTCATATATGACGCAAACGTACTGGGAGCGTGAATAAGGGTCTTGGAGAAATCATAGGGGCTGAAGCACCCGGAAACGTGAACGTAAAGTTCTGGACGTTGTAAGCTAGGTGATGGCTAGTTAGAGGCATCACTCAAGGTTTGTGGGTTAGAAGGCACTCCAATTCTCACCAGTAAATCTTTTCCATAGATTCATTTTATGTATACACTAGTGCCTTTTCTCGGACATCGCCTCCCAATCACCCTTATCACGCATCCTGGTCCATTCAATCTGGTTGTCCGAATTTATGAAACCCTTAATTGAAACTATTTCGAAAGCCTGCATGCAATCTCTCCCCAACCCTCAGCGGCGGCGAAGCTTCAAACTCGCTCGTGTCCCATGTTCTAGGCCGGCTGTGGCTCAGCATCAATCCTACTCACGCGTCCGCATCTCCTCCGCGGGGGGGTGCATTGGAAACGTCGCTCAAGTTCCTAATCCTCCCTCCTAAATGGCCGTGGCGATTTCTCAGCCGAACTCGTATTCCTCCTACGCCTCGGCGGCGGGGCAGCAGCGGAGACCGAGCTCGTGTTCCTCCTGCGTCTCGGTGGCGGGGATAACGAGCCCCGCTTGGTCCTCCTAAAGGGTCGTTCAGGCGACTGCGTCCCGGGTCTTCGGCGCCGAGGCGGGCTCGACGAGTACATCCCACGCCTGGGCGGGCTCCTCGACCGGGAATGTGCGGGCCCGCGTCTGTCAGGTAAGGGTGATCGCGAGCGGCTGGACGAGTAGCGGCGTCGTGGAGGCGATCGCTGCCTCTGTGGAGGGTCGGGTGAACGGGCTCTACGACGGGGCGGGGGAGAGTCGGAGAATGAGCGGGCCCGGCGACGAGGTGGAAGTGAGTCTGATAATGAGCGGCTTCGGCGGCGGGGCCGTGGGGACGGAGAGCGCGGAGGAGAAGATGTGTTTCTCCGACCACGATGGCGTGGAAGGGGAGACGGAGAGCGCGAGATTGTGAGTGAGCGGCCACGGCGGCGAGGCGGGGGTGATGGAGAGCGGGACGGGGAGGATGAGTACCTCCGGCGGCGGTTGGCAGGGGAGACAGATCGAGACAGTGATGGTGAGTAAGAAAGCGAGCGAGATGGGAGACGGCGGCGTGGAGGCCCACGAGAGGGTGAACGCGATCGCGTACGAGAACGCGAGGAATAGGATGAGTAGGAGGACACGCTCGCCGAGTCTGAATCCTCCACTGCTGGCAACGGTGCAGGCTTCGGAGCGTCGTTCTTGAGATAGTTACGCATCCCTTCAGTGAACACGCCCATGTTGATAGCGGTGAAGAAGTTGATGGCAAAACGCGCGCTCGCTGGGCTATCGGTCGGGAAGATGCCTGCTAGGCTGGGTTGAAGGAAGTCCTCTTGGAGCTTCGCGACAAGAGTTTTCTGCCCCATGGCTTGAATGAGTTCTTCGAAAAGGATCTTAATGAAGATACGAGAGCTAGAAGTTGTGTCCTCTTCATTGAGATGAATGACAGATAGAACGTGCCAGCCCAAAGCATCTGAGGCCAACAGATGGGCAAAGAACTGCGCGATGATTCGGAGTCTGTTGTTTTCGAATCGATGGATCGTGTCATAGTATTTCGCGAAGTCGGATTCGAAAAGGTCGGTCCACATGCGATTGAGTTTGCAGAATCGCTCGCCGATGTGACCGTAAAACTTCTCATACGTTCGCTCTTGACTCGCGCACTCAATGATCATGGATGTCATTTCATCTTCCAGACCACCCGGAAGGTTGACTCTCATGAGCTTATGACAACACTCCTCGAATCCGGAGCTGCTCTTGATCGTAAGATAGATGGTTCGTCGAAGCTTAACCAAATCTGCATTCGTGCGGTCGTTGATCTCGATCTCGCGGTCTTCCTGTTGTCCCTCGTCGTCCTCTGAGTCTGTGGCGTCGGTGTAACCGTCCTCATCATCGCTACCAGCTTCTCCAAGGATCTCAGCCCTTAACTTGCTATATTGCTCCTCGTTCTCGACGTAGTCTGGATCGAACCTGAAGATGTTGAGTGTGTCCTCGGTGGCAAGCTCCTTGTCGTCGAGACTGCCCGGGCGATGCGTGATCTGATCCTCCTCTTCTACAAGGTCAAGGTCTTCCTTGATAGACAGATTGTCCTTGTATTTGTCCTTTCTGACCTGGAACAGAACCTCGATCTGATACTGTGTCCTTTTCTCAATACCTGCTTCGTGCAAGATATTACGGAACTGCTCGAAGATGGTATTCGCAATGGCCCCATTCATCTCTTCCAAGAAGTGTCCGACCTCTCTTGTGATACCGACAGCGATTTCCACACTATCATCCGTAGGCTTGGCCAACAACAGCAACAGAACCTGAGCAATCACCAGGGTGTCGAGCACTTGCTGATTGACCAGATGCGCTAGAAAAGTCGACGAGGCTACCGCAACGGCCTTGTCATTTCTCCTGAAGGACTTCCGGAACTGAACGATCAAACGTCGACAGAGCAGGTCTCCGACCTGTGGCAGCTTCGTGTTGACAATCGCGACCATGGCCGCGTAAATGGGGGTGAAGGGCAAACTGGCCGCCTGCGCCTTCATGATGGCCTTGCAGAACAAGCCACGACCCCGGACCAAGTTCTCAGCAAACAGCTCTGGCACAATCTGCTTGATGTTTGCAGTGTTGCACTTGTTGATCATGCCCTGGATGGATTTCTTCAGGGCTTCCCAAGCCATGCGCTGAAACTCGGGGCTTGATTTGTCCGTGATGGCAGCTTGCATCGCACGCAGGCGGGCAGGCGGGATGTACGCGCCACCAGCTCGCGTCTTCGAGTCGTCGATGGCGGGCTTGCGCCTGAGCGTCATGGCCTCTTGGAGCTGTCTGAAGCGGGCGTCGTCGTCCTCGCGCGGCGGCGGCGGCCGGGCGCCTCGCTCTCGTTCTGGCTCCTGAACGGCTCCATCGTTATCGTTTCTTGAGGATGTCGGGCGCGGTCGTTTTGAAGGTCCTGCTTCGGCAGGCGAGCGGTCGCGCTTTCGGGGGAGAGGCGCTGGCTCCGGTGAAGGCACGCGGACGGCAGAGGCGATCTCCATCATGTAGCCGGGGAAACGCCAGGATGCAGAGTGGATCAAGTATTTCCGTCGCAAGCACCTCAAGCAGCTACGCGAAGCAGTGTTGTGAGCGAGGTGAGGAGCGGGCTGGTGATGTTGTTGATGAGGAGGTTAACACGGCGGAACTTTGAAGTTTCTTCGGCGCCGGCGAAACGTGTCGGAGTGAAGCTGCGACCCCTGTCTCCGCCCATCAACTGCACGCCAGAGGCCAGAACAGCAATACCAGACGCGCTCTACAAAACACTCGGAACGCGTATCCAGGGCCTTTCACACTTCCACTCTTTTGCATTCGAGATCAAAATGGTGCGCCTCAGTCCATCGTCCGCCAGAGACGAATTGCAGAGACCACAACTAACGGAAGATTTCCAGCTGGACCGTCTCGTAGGCCTCACGATGCTCATCGCAGCAACCACCATTTTCCTCTACTACACAATCTGGACGCTGTTCATGGTAGGCTTCTCAATGAGCATCCGAAGCATCCCCAATGCTCCACATTTCCCCAAGACTCCCTCGAGCAGGCCACCCGCCCTCAAAACTGCAGCTAACACCATCAATCAGCCATTCGTCGACCAACCCCACTTCTCACACGCTTTCTTCCCACCGCGCGTCTGGGCCATCCGAATTCCCGTAATCCTCATCATCCTCTTCACTACCGTCATTGGATCGTTCCTCTCAGTCGTCATGATCCGAAGCAACAGGCGGAAGGCTCTGAAAGCAAAAAAGGCGAATTAGGGGTTCGATATTAGGAGAAGACTCGAAATGAGGCTCTGGCGATTATGTCTCGGGAAGCAGCTGGGTTAGGTCATAGCATCTTTCGAACAGGACCAAAGAAAGTTTTCGAAGCTTGCCATAGTCAAGTTCGTATGGCAGACGGCGCACACCCCATAGCGTTGCACACGTATTTAATCATTTCTTTTACGCAATGCTTCATTCGGCAGTGTAAATTCCTCATGTCACGTCTCGTTTCTCCATGTGACTCGGAATGTGGTTGCCTCGGACGATCAATCATCACCTTTCTCAGCTGCTTAGCATAGAGACGTATGCATTTCATAATCATGCCTCTTACAGACCGTTAGAGACATCCTGCTTCTCAGAATGCCAGGTATTTAGACGTGGTTCGTAGTTAGAGATGAAGAAGCTTTTAATCTGTGTTTTATAGCGCGAGCACGCTAAGAGCATACTATGCGGGGAGGTCTTTGGAAGATTGTAGACAATACTAACCACCATACTGTTGTTTTACCTTGATCGTATTTTTCACCGTGATAGAACTGTTTGCATTCCCTCCGCAGGCCTATGCAGAGCCTGCGCAAATGTAAAAGTCTCGAGTGTGTAAATCGCGAAGCAGGTTTTCGGGGTTGAAGGACAGCTGGTTGATGGGGCTGAGGTAGCGGCGTTGAGATAGGGTGGATGATGGTGGGTGTAATGAACCAGAGCTTGTAGATTAGAAATGCTGGCTAGGGGAGGCTTTGGGGAGCGTGATATAGGGTGCTATGGATTTAGAATACGATAGTGTATTTTAATGATGTGTTAGAGAACCTCTGGCGGTGCTGAACTGATATTTGGAGTGACGGTAGCTTGCTTGACAGGGAGTCCGGTTTATTAACCCCATGCTTCCAGAGACGGCCACGTGACACACATCTATTTGACATCTGAGACGATTCCAAATTCAACACCAACACCGAGCCGAACGAACATTATTATACACAAATACAGAACAGCAAAGCTGAAAGGGGATATAGTGTGTCTAACAACACATTTTTACAAATAAAAAATTCCAAATCGCTGATGCAATAACGAAACACAAGCTTGCTTGAGCTTCATAGTATAAGAAAGCCAAGAATGGATTATGCGAGAGCAAATTGTGGATAGATAAGCAATGTATGAATGGGGGTCTTTGTTGCTTTCCTCCCAGGTATATAACTCCGCCCTGATATTCGATTTCCCCCGCTTCTAATATTTAGTTGGTGCCCTGATGGTCGACCCGCTTTTGAGTCTCAATTCTCATCTTCGCTGTGGGCCGCATTTCAGAGTGGCGATGCCGTCGAAGCGGCTGCGTTGCCGCTTCGAAGCCGCGAAGAAACAAGCGCAGTGCCAGTCGAGAAGCATTATGTAGCACTTCGTAACGCTTATGTATGCACTCTTCTAAGCGTGGGAGGCCTGTGCCTGTGAGACGGAGTACGAGGTTGAAAGCTTGGCGGAGCGAGGAGCCCGTCCAAGTGGAAGTGGCGATGTGTGGATTTGCAATCCTTTCCGACCTAGGTTCTCCATATTCCGAAAGAGGCAACGAAGCCTCACCCGCCCTGATAATCTATTAATGGCGCTTCAGGGGCCATGATGCTGCATGTGGGGACGAAAAAAGGCCTCGTGATTCGTATCTGCGTAGTCGGCGACGTTACCTCTCTGATCTCTCATCTCTCATCCACCCAGACCTGCATCGATAGCTTCTTTCATCTTGCCCCCGGCGGCAACAATCGTCTGTGCAGCCGCTTGTATGGAGACACTCTCATCCCTCATAGCCTGCAACGCGTTCTCAAGCGACTGAGTCCGGGCCCTTAGTCGTCCTATCTCGGCCCGTAACACAGCAACAGTCTCGGCCGAAGAGACCGACGGCGGCATATTGCCTGACGAACCCATTAGCACATCAGACGACGAAAGCTGGCTTTGTACAGCTTCACCAGGGTCCGTCCGCTCCGTTCCCACCACCATCGCCTCCTCAAGCATCTTGATCCGCCCTTCCAGCTCCGCCTTCTCCGCCTCCCACTTCTTCCTATCCTCGGCGCCCTGGGCTTGGAGGCGGCTCGCCATCTCCATGATGCGCATGTACTGGGTGCCGTTGGCGACGAGCTGGCGGCGGGCCTCGTCGCGGCTATGCTGGAGTTCCTCAACCTGGGCTTCGAAGCCGGCGATCTGGGACTGCATTTTCTCCTTTTCGTCTGTGAGCGAGTTGATCTCTACATCGCTAACTTCGAATTTCTTCTCTAGGGTCGCGCATTTGGTACGCTGGCGCTCCAGCTTTTGGAGGAGGCTGTCGTACTCGCGCTGGAGGGTTTGGAAGGCCAAGGTTTTGATACTGACCTGGTGTTGGAGGTCTTGAAGATGCGATGCTTGTGCGGCGTTCTGGGCGTGGGAATGAGGGGGTGAGATCGGCGGGGGGATTGACGAGGTTGGGAAGTTCATTGAGGATGGTGATGGTAGCATGCCGGTTTGAATTGTTTGGGACAACTGCAATGGCGATTGAGGTGGTGCAAAGTTTGTTCTTGAGTATGAAGTCGCTGCTGCATGCGGAGAATGTGCGCTGGTAGAGTACTCGCTGCCATATAGGCTTCTTCGACTGTCCTCGGACATGTTGGTGGGTGGTGGCAGTCTTGGGTAGTCAGAGGTAGTTGTAGGAAGTAATCGGGATGCAGTAGATTGGTCTTCGACATCAGGATAGTGTATAGTACGCTTCATGACGTCGTGAGGCCCTTGATTTGACGTCGAGTCTCTTTGCAAGGTTTCCTGATCGAGGTTCGGGTTGACTAATCTCTCGGCGTACTTTCGCAGTTGGAGACTGTTCCATTGCACGAGACCAAGCGCCCAGTAAAGTGACCGCTCCGTGCCTATAATCTCAGATTCTGGTGGCTATAAATATTGGTCAGTGTTGACGCAAAGACAACCAATGAACGCAAATACTGGATAGTGCAGGGGTTCTAACCTCTCTCGGCGCGCGCGAATGACTTCGCAAGATGTATCGCACCTTCAGGTCCAAGTCAACGAGTTCAGAGGCGAGCTTCTGCACCACTGAACGGACGTTTGCGCATGCCTGCCCCTGGCAATTGGGGGAGCAGCAGGAACCTTGTTGGTGGCGATCCGGGCGAGATGCATCCAAAAGACCCGACAGGTTCAAGGCGAGCGGCTGCGAATCTTCAATTAAGTTGGGCCCTGTCAGTGATTCTGCAATCGATGCTTAGCACGGGTTGGGTGGTCAAGCAGCGATCGACATCTTAGAAAGAGCAAGAACACAACGATACGACAACACCTTGTTCACAACGGTTGTCATCGTGCTTGAAGGGAAAGAAAATACACTAACGCACCTCCAGCGTAACCAGTCCGTGGGCGTTTCGGCTGGGAAACGTCAAACAACGACTGCGTTCGGAGCTTGGGGCGTTCGGAGCTGTCTGTGAAATCGCGGGTATCAGAGCCAAAGCGAGGGCTGGCACTGTGGAGAAGCTGCGAGGGAACATGCTCGGCTGATACGCCACTTGGCGGGGGGTATATTGGAGGAAGTCTGCGGTTGTCTTGGTCCCAGCTGTCACGAGCCTGCCAGCCGGAAAGATGCGGCATGGGGTGTTCAGATCCGTCGTTAGCAGCGGAGGCTCGACGGCTGAAGTCTTGAATGGCCGAGCTGTTGTCTTCCCATGGTCGTTTCCTTGGAGGCCCGGAGTCCATGAGTAGCACCAGCCCGTGAAAAACAAAAGCAACCGACCCTGTCCGCCATTCGTTTCCGTACGGCTTGTCAGGGCCAGAAGTATCGCTGTCAGAATCGACAAACGCCTAACGCCGGCAGTCCCCGCAGACTCGGCAGATTACTAATTCGAGAATTGGTTGGTGTGAAAAAGGAGTGCACTGGCGAAGCCTAATGGAGACCAAAGGAGTGCAAGATTATAAGCGATCACAAAACAGGAATATGAGTCGGCTGGTGTGCGATTAAAGGGACAGACGAATAGTCGCAGAGAACTCAAGGGCCACTTGCTGACTGTCACGCCCAAGGGGTGGGCCAAAAGTGATGAAGTGGTGTGGCTGGCGACGTGGAGTTGCAAGAACGGGAATGCGCCACTCCCGCCGCAGGTCGACCGTGATGCAGACACTGACGTAGGACGGCAGCAGTCTTCCGGCAAACCAAGGCGGCTACGGCACGGCACACAGGCTGGAGAACAGGAGTGGACGTGCCGGAGCGCAAAAGTGGTTCCAAAAGCGCTGTCGGTCAGAAGCAGAGGAGGCTTGGCGGGAATAGAAAGACAACAACCAGAACCAGTAGAGAGCGACAACCAGGCGCAAAGACGGGAGACGGTGGGCATTTGAAGGCTGAGTAAGGACTGCGTTTGGCTGACCTGGCTGATGATCCGCTTGGTAATGAGAACACGACATGGGCCCACGCGCTGCTGATGCTCAGCGGCTGCTCAGGGAGTTTCCCATGGTGGCCGTCTGCAAGCAGTTTGGCGGCACTAGAAGACGGGACATAGTGTATAGGCGGCTTGTCACTGCGGCATAGCGGTCCGGATGTTTGGAGTCTGTGTGTTGAGTCCCGACGGGTTCCGAGTGCTATTTTCTGGCAGGGTTGTCAGGCCGTCCTGGCGTGCTAGCGGACATAAGAAAGACGAGGCTGCATCCAATGGGCTAGGGTCCAGGCTGCGCAGAAGAGCGCTATGGTTGACGGCGTGGATGTGCCAAGGTGTTTTATTCCCACCTAGGGTTCCTTGTGGTGGCATAATGCTGAGTAAGAGGGGGTTGGGCCGATATATGTACGACGTTACTACCAGGACTGCACTTGAAAGACTTGTCAAACAAGCTTTTGCCAGACGGACCCCGCATGTATCACTGCATATTTGCTTTGAGGTGGTCGTGGTAAACACCTATGGGATGAGCCCCTGCCCATATTCATACAGACCAATCCTAATGAAGTCCTAAGTGCGAACATACTGCTTACTGTGCCACATCAATGCTCCACCAAGTAACCGCCTAGGCGCCATGGTTGCTGTTGCTGCTGTGCAAACTCTATACTTGCAATACGTAATTATCCGCTGCAAGCATAAGCTCGTATGTAACAGATAGCATCCCAGCCCCAATCGGGGTGGAGGAACCCCCATTAGACTATCCCCGCCACGATTCGCAGCCGTCCTGTGCAACCACTAGATGGGAGCTAATGTCATTAGCTATGCCTAGCAAGCCTTGCTCGATCCATTCTCTTTCTTTTGACACAGCATTTGTCTCTACCTTGCGCATCATCCCCAGCTGCTGCAGCATGCTGTCCAGTAACGCTCGACAGCTGCTGACCATGACAGCGATGCTCGACCCGGGCGTTGGATCGTTCAACTGCTCGACATCGCGTGAAAACGCGACTACTTTGCGTAGCAATGCTTCATTTTCAGCCACCCACTCGTCTCCGAGTCCTTCGGCAGAGCTAAGGTCCATCCTCCCACTCTCACGTCCCTTTTTCCTCTGCTCCCAGAGCTCTTTTACCCAGGTAACCCAGTCCTCGAATTCTTCGACGTGCTGCCGAAACCGACCTCCCACATCCAGCAAACGAGGCAGTTCGTGCAGAGGGCCTGAGAGTAGCTGCAGGTTCTCGGCAAGCGCGAATGAGCTTGTGCCGCTAGTCCATTCTTGGAGAGCGAGCAGGTTTGCGTGTTCCTGGACCTGTCGTTCGTTATCTCGCATGACTTGGCGCAGGCTCGCTACTTCATCGAACTTTTTGTGCAACGCCCTCTTGGAACTCGTGCGCCATTGCTGACTACACGCTTCCGACGATTCGTGCAGGAGATGAAGCTGCAGTAGCTCAGCTTGAAGCCGCATCACTTCAAATGGTAATCCATTAGTAGCAGGGTCGGGCGCAGGAGGATGGATGAAGGTCGACGTTGCCACTTTCCCCGTCTTTCTTGGCGTGAAATGCTGCTGTAGCGTTGAAAATGCCGGTCGGGTTCGCTTCGAAGGGTCCTCTTTCGACACCTCTCGGCGACGTGTATTAAACGTGGCATGGAGAGCTTCCGTGTCCGTGGTCTTGGTAGACCCCGCGCTTTCAGGCCTTTCGGGCTTAGATACAGCACTAACGGTACTTCCAGGGCGCTGAATCCCGGTCTGCATGGATGCAATCCTCTGCGAGGTCCTAGTACCGCTAGATGTCTCGTTTACAGGCGCACTAGCTTTTCGCAAATGAGAGGATGGCTTTAGAGTAGCAGAAGGTTCTCTAAGTCGGTCCTTGATAGCCTCAGCTGCTGTATTGTTGGCTGCAGCGGTGGAAGGTAGATGTGCTGAGCCACTCCTGAGATGTGTGCGGTTGGATGGTTTGGCTGGCTGCGTTGTAGGGGTGGGTCTACGCAGTGATGGAGACCTTCCGATTCCCGACGGAGGTAGCATAGCAGTCTTCTTACCCGGCTCAAATGCTTCGATGACTTGAGACCTTCGTTTAGACTCAATGGCCCCGTGGCTGGGCGGCACAGTCTGGTACATTGACTGTGGTCGTGGTCGGGCAGCCCTCTCCGGGGCTGATAAGTCTCGGCGTGCTGTATTCATACTTACGGAGCCAAGACCAGTGGTATTGACACTAGCCACTCTGCTTTGAGCTTCAGCTTGCTGTGTGTCTTCCCCAGATCGACTCCGCAAGCTTATTGACCTCGTTTCGCGTCTCTGTGGGAGTAGACTGGCTCTCTTCGCTGCTTGATCCTGATGCTGTGGTATACCCGAAGGCTGTGGTAGTCGAGTGGGTGACTGTGCGTCTTTTGAGCCAGGATCTAGGTCTGAAGGGTCCGAAGGCTTGTTGACTCGAGGTCTCGTTCCAGCGAGCTTCTGTAGAGTGAATCAGCGCCTGGGAATAGTAAAAGAGCAACACACGCTGGTCAGGCTCACCTCTGTTGGACGACCACCATTCCGGCTTGCACCAGACTCATATCTGAGCCGCAGCGAGGACGAGGGCGGCTGTATGGGCATTGTGGTGGTACCTGGACATGTGTTTATTTGTTGCAAGTCGCGTGCTGGAGATAAGTCGGCTTTTACTGTGGGTCTTGGCAAGTACAAAAACGGAACAGCCTTTCACTGAATTATCACTTGAATAGCATATAGAGCATTTAATGTGGTTGTAGTTTGTATTTCGGTTCAACGTCAGTTGTGAACTATGGTCACCCATCGCAAGCGACATTGACCTGTCCCTAATCTATGAACCAGAGAAGCGATCCTGCCTCCCTGTGTGAATTGGATATCGCTGCGCTTATCGCACAAAATCAGTGTTCCCAAACTCCGTGGCTATTATCTGCGCCTATGCTGTCGTCATGTCGTGCTGTAGAGTGGGCATCAAAGACTTCCTCGACGTGCAGGGAAGGAGACACCTTCCACGGCAGGGTAGTCGACAAACCAGCTCACTCGTTCCTGGCCCAGACCATTCACGAGTCCGCACGGTAGCTGATGACCCTCTTCTGTGTCAAAGATTTGCCGCAAGATCTCCTTCTTGCTTGCTCCAGTGGCTACGAACCCGATTTTGATACCGTGTCCTGCGACGGGAAGAGAGAGGGTGATACGCTTTGGCGGTGGCTTTGGGGAGTCGCTGATCGGGAGAACCCAGGCACTGTCATCTCGCAGAAGAGGAGAGCCAGGGAATAGACTGCAGGTATGACCGTCGGGACCGCAGCCGAGAAGAAGTAAGTCGAACATGGGAGTCCGAACGCTGTCTCTGGCAGCAAAGGATCGCACCAGGGTCTGCTCGTACTGGTCGGCCATTTCCTGAATATCGTCCAAGTACTTCACATCGATTGGATGTACGATGGGGGTGCCCAGCTCTGTCGGGATTTTGTCGAGTAACTCGTCCTTCACGGCTTTGTAGTTGCTATCGTCGTGATCTAGCGGGACTGCGCGTTCATCTGCGAAAAAGATCTCCCACTTCGAGAAATCAAGGGGGTTGGTGCCATCGACCTGGCCTAGCAGCGCTTTTGCGAGGACTTTGGGAAGAGATCCACCAGAAACACCGACCCTAAAGACGCCGTGGCGGTCGAGTGCAGAATTTTGGGCGTCGATGACGAAGGCTCGAAGGCTGACTGCGAGCTCGTCGGCCGTGTTGAACGCGAAAAGATTTGGAGGCTTTCCCATCGTTGCGATACGGATCGAGGTGCGTAATGTGTGGTTGTGTAGGGTTTTCGAGACGAAGTGATGTGGGATGGTGGGATGGTGGGATGGCAACGTGGTGGAGGATCGCCCTACAACTTTGACATTTTGACATCACAAACCCGCGGGGAGGGCGGCCCTCGCGCGAAAGAGCTTCGGCAAATCATGCCATGTCCAATCACCACGCACCCGCCATGACGGTAAGCTGTCTTCGGGCATCCGATGGCATCCATGGGTTACTTAAGGATCCAAACGGATTCACTCCGTCGAAGCCCGCAGACGGCCTGGATTCCGGTCTGTCAAGCCTTCTCTTGGTAGCAGGAGTGGTAGTGGTGGCCTAGATTAGATTGCAGCCGTTCCGCGGAGTTTGGGAGCCACTGTTTCGTGCAATAAGGTGCATCCATGGATTGCGTGCACCGGAGCCTCCATTAAACCGGGACCATGACTCCATACCCCGATCACTTGGGAACGAGTCACAGATGGCAGACAAATGACAGCCGTACCGAGCTTCAAGCTGTCACATGACTCGATGAAAGCACCCGTCTTCGAATGCCTTTCAGTGGCCCAATGTGGTAATTTGATGCTAGATATTTTCAGAGTCTGAATTCAAAGTAATGTAATACACTCAATGCAACTTTTATCGTGAGCTAGCATTACCTAGTGTGTCTGGAATCTACGCAGTGGGTGGCTGTTGCTTCCCCTCGGCATCTAATAGAGCACTTTATACTTTTTGGACGGTCAATTCCCTATATGATCGCATCGAGTCCTAGTTGTTGCACTACCAAGGCTCCTCTAATAGAACCGTTTCTACTAGTCGTCTAAAATATTGGACAACCTAAACCTTATGTAGGCAGGCTCTCTTTCAATCGCTCAGTCTTCCGCCACTCCTTCAGCTCGGTCTGGAACACCTCTTTCCTCGCCAAATACCCCTCATGCTTCCGACACATATCCCACGCCTCCCTAAACACCTCGGATGCCTCCAGCTTCTCAGCCGCGCCCTTGTGTGTTCCACTCTTCGCCAACTCTTCTCCAGTGTGTTTATCATACTTCCTTCCACCTGCATGATTCGCATATCGCTTCGCACGCGTCATGCCCTGCAATTACCAACATAAGCACTGTCGTCGAACAGCCTCGTATGACCTCAAACAGAGGCCGAGAGATCCGAGACGCAGTGAGTATAAGTGTGAACACACCATTTGTAGGAACTTCCGGCACATGTCCATACCCACAAAGTCGCCCGCCTCGTCGTACGCCTCAAACCGCTCCCATATATCCTGCGCGCTTTTCCGCGCGAGTGTAGGCGTGCGGAAGCGCCAGAAGGGGAGTATGGTGGATTTGTAGGGCTCGAAGGTTAGGACGCCTTGTTCGCCGCGGCCGATGCGGTAGCTCATTCGGAGGGCTTTTGAGGCGGAGGGGTTTGTGGGAGTAGGCGGGCTCTTCATTGTGGGTTGTGTATCGAGATGTAAAGAGGCATCGGTAGGAGGTGTGTTGTTAAACTACATGTTGAAATTCTGTTGTTGAGGAGCAAAGATGTGGTTTTGGTGGTCGTTGAGGGCGGTCATGGCCTAGGTCGAGAGGGATTTTAGCGGTTCTGCATGACGCAATACAAGTCTGTGTATATACATATCAGCATCAAGTCCCAATAATCCGAAGAGAGGAGGCTAATCAACTTGGAAGGTTACCTGGTTACGAAGCAATTGGGCGCGAATGTGAGCTTAGAGTAGATGTGACGCGTTGTGCTTACCAACATCAACTACAAGTCGCTATCGAGGATATATATATTAAAGCGTTATGACTATGAAGTGTCCTAGAAGCGGCATCACTCGAACAGAAGATCGTGGTTCACGTTCGTTCTAGTTAGTGTGAAGGATGACTGTAAGAAGCATGAAGCAGTACCAAGATAGCCGTCGTGCGGCCTCCTGGCAAGCCCATCGCCTCTCTAATGTTGCACAACATACCTCAGATTTCCCGACGTCGCCGTCTCATTCCTTTCTCCTGTCGAAATTATGAGTCCAGAACATTTTCATCCTCCGGGATACGCTTTTCGCAAATGTGTCGAGCGCTTTGAGCAAGGCCTATACACTCCCCATTCCTTCCCCGTCTAACCCATGTTTGATGTCCTTTTCTTGAGAGCATCGAGGAGGACTATCAATCGATTGTAATGATCCAGAACCCGGCCGGCTTAGCCATGGCAAAGCTGCTGATCGCAGCAACGTCACGACGGATACTGCATGGGACACGAGCTACACAAGTCAAAGGATTCAATATCAGTTCAATCTCCAAATCACAGAACCGAAAGGATGGTCAACCGCCTCGGCGCATCCCTGCCCCGAGCACTATCACCTGGTGAGTTTCAATCCTGTCTATTTCCATTGACATTGCGAAGCTGATTTTTTCAGGGACAAATGGGATGGGGAGATCTGGGATCCCACAAGCTGGTATGACAAGATCAAGCGGCGAGAGGAAGATGAAACTCGCAAAATAGGAAGTGTTGAAGCAGCGAGAATGCGGTTCAACTCAGCTCCCGTAGAAAAACGCCAATTTCGACAGTGTAAGTTCGCCATAGCACAGAGTGAACTCGCTGTTACACAATATGTCAATCAATTCAGAAGATTTGTGGATGACCTCGGCATCATTCTACGTCTCCTGAAAACTTCCAGATTCTGTCAGTTGAGATACTTAGCCGGGAAAGCTCGCATTATCAACCGCTACGGTTTCAACGCTCATGTTAGACAATTCAAGATATCAGCCCTATCCTCTACCGAGAGAAAGTAGCATACGACAAGGCAAATACATATACAAGCTTGGGATTGAGCAACCTGGTGTTGGAGAACGAGCTTATCACATTCGAGCTGCAGCAGCTCTCTGCCGACAAAAACGCTCTTACGAAGGAACTAAAGCAACGTAAAGAGCGCCACAAGAACATACTTCAGGGACATTCTCGCTCTGTGGCTCAGAGCCTTCTCTACGAGCGTACTCAAGACCGAAGGCGCCTTTTACTTCACGCAGCCACAGAAGCTATTTGGCGCCAAATCGAGACAATTCAACCAATACAGAGCAATATCAAACAGGTCGCCAACGCAATTTCAAAATACCTGGTCCGCGGCCGAGCTAGCCATTTTTGGAGAACAACAGTATTATGAAGTTAATGGGCACAGAAATAAAATTGGGAAACACAAGAGGTGATCTTCGCAAGGACTTGAGAAGTCTTCAACTAAGTATCGCATACAACATCATGGGCATGTCAGATTCTGAAGTAGAAGAGGCTATTGAACCTGCGGAGAAGGCTTTAAGTCAACTAAAAGCGTGCCATCGAAGAAGGCTTGAGAAGAGAGACCATATTCGCCACGGGTGTCTTCTGCATGCAGACCTGGACAGAGATGACCTGGGCCGCCCGTGGGACAGGAGATCGCAACCTCTTTTCGCAACAACGCTTACATCTGCCTGCGCGGCCTAGAAATTACGTTGAAGTCAACACAAGCTGCGACATTGACTAGGCAGCCATGCCTGTTGGGACCATTTCAAGCACACCCTCTCGCAAGCGCCCTCGAAGCCACTGAACGCTCTGACAAGCCCTCATGATATGGCCTCCGCGTCGGCTGACCAGGCGAAGGTTATCGCTTCCGAGCGCGGGGTACGTAGTGGCTCCCACTTCGCCGGACATTGAGAAAGATGGAAGCATAGGATTCGCCAGGCCTAATACTCATCCGTTAAACACACTTTTGTTCTGTCAGGCAAGGAGATAAACGGCCCGCTAATGCGGTTGCTTTCGAGACACAGAGGTGTTGCTGAATTGCGGAAATGCCAAGGACCCATCAAGAGCAGATCCTATGCACAGGCGAATAGAACCCACTACTGAATCTTTTTTCTTAAGACCCTTGGGTACCTATCTTAGTGCAGACGAAGCCGCTATCCTATGTATCCCAACAGTCCGCACCCGCGATGTATTACAGCAGCTTGCCTTCCAGCTACCTCTCCGGGTTGTATGAATCGCCCTTGCGAAATGTTAATTCTGAAGTGCCTCTGCTCCATTTCTTTTAGAGGCCGGCCAACGACCGCCACGTACCTAGGCACCTTCTACTTTCAACAACTAATTTGTATCTTGCATGAAGCCCACGTAGTTCACCAGCTGTATGGTAAGCTACAGAGCCGCAACGCTTCGGACTTTGAGCGAGCGGTGGCTCATAAGATTAGAGAGGGTCGTTTGAGAGTTTGGGCAGTCACTGCCACTCTTCATTCGATCCGATGACATTTCTAATGGTAGAAACCTCTCTAGTAATAATTATTAGTTCGAAGTGGTAGTCTAGGAAGATTTGCAGACAGTTATGGGCTTGTGAATGTCTCTGTATCCCCGACTGTCGGGCAGTGTTCTCTGAAAACCCGCCGAGACGCGATAAAAATGGTCCTGTCCCCGTCTGCTAGAAGACATGATAAACATAAGGCTTTGCTTCCCGTACTGTTTTCCTAAGATGTTTGTATCGGACGTGTGGCTTTCCCATCGTCGAAAGCATGTGGTGTAGTCAGATGAAGGCTGATTGGTCCACTGACGGAGCAACCTTGCCTGCGACTTTTTAAAATCTGTGGCGGACCCCGCAGTTTGATTCGAGTTGCAGGGTCTCTACAGGCACAGAAAGATGTCACCCGTCAGCCCAAAAAAAAATTGGCGGGGCAGTTACGAGACGTCATTCTACATGTGGACACAGCTTTAATTGGACTGAGCTTTCCGCCACACCACTTTGCCAGTTCTCCGAGTCTTTTGCTTCAAGACTTGCGAGCATACGCATCTGACTCATCGCTTCTGTGCAAAAGTTAAGTTCTTCTTTCAAGTTCCAAAAGCCGCTCTTCAGGTCTGCCTTGCGCCCTTCGCTCGATCTCTCGCGTTAACGCCAAACCCGACCACCAATCTCAACCACGAAACCCGAATTTTGCTGCATGATCCATATCTTCGAGTCCGCCTTTTGATTATTCTTCGACTTGGAGTGGAAGTACAAAAGCACAGGAATCTCGCACTGTCCTGACCGTCCTCACTTGATCAAACACCACCACAGCCAGCAAACTTCATCGATCCGATTTCAATATTTCGCATAAAACTTCATTTCCAAGCTTCAATCTCTACTTTCGGTTTCCGAGATCCGTTCTATCAGTCCCACAGCCCTAACGCCACTCAACCCAACTACGCTATATTTCCGCTCTCTACCAAGATGACCGAATGGCTGAGCCGCTGTGACCGCCCAGGCCAAACATTAGCCCAATGGGACCCCACCAAGCGCTACAACTTCCAACCCGACTCCGTCCCCTCCGTCTTCAAAGACGCAATGTCCATCCGCGAAGCTGTCTACGTGGATGAGCAATCCGTCCCCCTCGCCCACGAACTCGACGACGACGACCCCCGCAGCTTCCACTTCGTCATGTACGCTTCTATCGCTACGAAAGGCGCGTCCGCCAGTTCGCACCCCGCCGTGTCCCCAGAAGAAGAAGAACGCCGCCGCTCGATCCCGTCGGCTGTGCGTACGCCCATTGCCACGATTAGGCTGATTCCGCCACCACATGGCCCCAATCCGTACAAGAACGAGAACAAGGACCATCACCCGGACTCGGCCCCTACTTCGCCGGTCGGCGACGAGCACCCTGTCGAGCCGTATATCAAGCTGGGCCGGTTGGCGACGCTGAAGGCATTCCGCGGTGGGGGATTATCGCGCCAGCTTATCCACGCAGCGCTGGACTTTGCGGCTGCGAATCCGGACCTCATCCTCGCGCCGCGGTCGCCGGTGTCGCAGGAGTGGCTGAACCTGGAGCGGGTGGGGAGTCGTGAGGAGAAAGAAAAAAGCAAGGGGTGGCAGGGGCTGGCAATGGTGCACGCGCAGGCGAGTGTGGAGGGGCTGTGGAAGCGGCATGGGTTCTCGGAGGAGCTATTGCGGGAAGATGGGACGGTGGAGGTGCCGAAGGAGGAAAGGTGGTGGGAGGAGGGGATTGAGCATCTGGCGATGTGGTGCAGGGTGCCGATAAAGCATGAGAAAAAGACGCAGACTCTAGGGGGAAAGGAGGGAAAGAGCAAGTTTCAGATGGATTGGGAGAACCTTTAGGGGATGAGTATTGGGTGTGAGGGGGCCTTCGAGTACTTTGATGCGTGGGAAAGGGCACATGTTATGACTAACGATTTCGATACCCCGTTCGCTGCATAGTGGAAGTTACACCTAGTCTATACAACTTAATCATTCCTATTACGTCGAATTTTCAGGATCAAATATCAAAGCACCGACCAGTAGTGATTTTAACTGGCTTCCACGAGGTAAGCAGGTGTGCAAAGACACAGGCTTAATACTATAAGTTTAAAGGCTTCAAACTATACTCAAGAACATTGCGACTACGTCTCTGGCAATGTACCAAGCCCACAGAGACACTCCCAGCCCATCCACATTATCGCATCCACAATATCAAAGCATCATTCTTACAAATCAAGCCATTGGATTTTACATGCAATAGAGACCTCTGCAGGCCCTTACAACCACACTCAAAACTTCCCACCCACATCGCTGACAGCACACCAGCACCATCAAGATACCCCTAGCACCCCCCAAAACATCAGCTCTCAATGTCAAGCCCACCCCATCGTAAATCAGGACATCGACTTTTACATTCCAACAGCCCTCCCGGACCCCCAGGAAGTCACTACAACCTCGCCCCCTCCTCCCTCCTCAGCCCCCTCGCAACCCCCCTCGAAATCCAATCCGAAATCGCCATATTCGACACCATGGGATTGACTCCACTAGCACTCGGAAACACGCTCGCATCACTCACATACAGCCCCTCCGTCCCCCACACCTTCCCCCGCGGATCGACCACACTCCCCCTCTCGCTCGGCCCCATACGACACGTCCCCATCTGGTGCGCGCACACGAACTGGGTCTGCGGTGCTGGCAGGCCGTGCTTCCTAATCCCGTCCAGCCACTCGTTGAAGCGGGGGTCGTTGATGCCCGCTTCGTCCGCGTCTGTGTCGGTGGTGGTAGGGGGTGAGCGGATGAACGGAGCCACGCCAGGCAGCGCCGCAAAGATCTCGCTCGCACCAGCCGCGTACTGGATCTTCGCAAGCCCGACAAGGCCCTCGATGAGGTTTGCCTTGTCGAACGCGCTCGTCGTGTACGCGATGCGCGCGCGGCCGTCGACGGGGTCGGGGTACACGTACCCCGTATCGCGGTCGCGGCAGATGGCGATGTAGCCGGCCATGTGTTTCATCCGGGCCGCGGACATCTTGAACTCCAGCCCGGAGGTCCAGGGTAGTAAGGTCAGGAAAGAGGAGGGGATCATGTTTGTGGCCTCGAGCTTGCAGCCGTGGCCTTTGCCGTCGAGGTTCTCGAACTCGTTGCAGACGGAGGTGAGGATGCCGCCTTCCCAGGGGCGCACTTCGTCGGGGTAGACGGCGCCGAGGATGCAGACGGGGTGGAGGTAGAGGTTGCGGCCGATTTGCTTGTTTTTGAGGCCGGAGCGGAGGAGAATGAGGGGGGACTGCATTGTACCTGCTGATACAATCACTCTTTTCGCACGAATGATGACCTCCCGTTTAGTGATTGGGGGCCCTGAGACGCCGCCGTTGAGGTCGCGAGACGTCCAGACGCCTTTAACACCAACGGCGGTCTGTTTGCCATTCCTAGATCCGAAAAGGACCTTTTCAGCGTCGAAGCCTTCTATGAATTCGGCACCGGCTCGGGAGGCGTCTGGGAGCCTGGTTTCGTATTAGCATTGAGTGCTGAGCTGCATGAGCAGATGCTTACCAGGACACGGCGGGACCTTGTTTTTCACAGGAACCACAACCGAAGGTGCAGTGGCCGCAGTAGTGATTACTTTGGCCTGTGTTTTGCGGAACAGCTTTGTGGGCCCAGCCAAGCTTTCGAGAGCCTTCTAGTAGGGCCCGGTTGGCGAAATTCTGGTTTACGTGGTCGGCTGATACACCCATGCGCTCGCAGACTCGATCTAGGGAGGTTTGGTACTCTGCCGATGTGAAAAAAGGGAGACCTTGATCTGCCCATTCTTTGCGGACGTAACCTTGAGTTTGCAGACTGGCGGACCAGTTGACTGTTCCTCCTCCGCCCCAGGTCTGGCCGGTAATCACACTTACGGAGGTATCATCGGCTAGTCACTGTTAGCAGTGAATAGACCAAACACAATAGCTGTAGCACTCACTGGCCAGATATGCACCATCTGTAAACAAGTGACCCCACCCTTCTGCTTCCGTCATAGGAAAATGATCTGGACTCCAGTAATACGACTTCTCAACCACTATAACACGACTGCCGGCTTCTGCAAGGCTCTTCGCGCACACACCTCCGCCGCACCCGCTGCCGATGATTACCACGTCTGTCTCGATAATTTCAGGTCCGACACCAGGTGGAACTTGAATGAATTCGTAGGGAAAATTTTCGCCTCGCTTCATGTTAATAGGAACACGAGGCACGCCGAGGACAGTACGGATGGTAGGGCTGATCTTGCACCATGTCTGCTTTGTGAGCAATGTTAGAGATCGGTGTACTTGTCGTAGAAGCGGTAGTCTGGCGGCTTTCCAGCCTATGATGATGGACTCCCGGATGTGTGTTGGTTGGTCTCCAATTGGTGTGACGTATCCTGTGAGGAAAAGAGAACCGGCACGAGTGCTGGTGGGTGTTAGTTGATGAGGTGTGGCGTTTTTGTACTTCTTGCATAAGAGATTTAAAAAGAAAGTGATATCCAATCCGAGCAATGAAGAAAAGACTCATGCTCGAGTCCGACATTTGATAGAGATACCATGTATCAAGGCTTGACCCCCCAGAAAGACTGATACCAAGCAATATACTTTCTCATTACGCAGCTACTCTGGCCACAAACAGGCTGATAGATGAAAGGAAAAGGCAATCCTAAAAATCGCTCAACTTACTTAAGAATATTCAACACCATCAGCAAATCGTTCCTCGACTGCTGCGGCATCCACTGTCCCACAATTCTCGTAAAAGCCTCCCTAAACGCCGGATTTGACGACGCGCTCTCCTTCAGATACGCCTCAAGCACTGCCTCATCTGTCCCCTTAGGCGCAAGCCCCTTCAACTTGCTCAGCGCCGTCAAGTACACATTATCCGGCACCGCGAGCTCCAACCTCGGCCGCGCTATCGCCAATGGCTGGATAGCAGGGATTACTGCATCAGCAATCGCAAGGAGCGTCTTCCATTGCGGCGCAGTCAGAGGATCGACTTCTGGGAGCGGAGGTAGCGGCGCCTGTTTGGGGGATATAATTTCGACGGGTACGGCGGCCATTACGCTATCATGTAGCTAGGAATGCGGTTCCGAGCCCATGAGAAAAGTGATGTTAGAAGCTGAAGGTGGTAGTAGAGCTCTTCTCAGCCGTTGGAAGTCCGAGGATATGAAGGTGCCACAGCATCAACAGGGAGGAGCGCATCTTGTTGGCTGCTGATTGGATCCCCGCATTTTCACAAGTCCCTCGTCTCCATGGAGCGAGACGTGTCGGTGGATCGTCTGTTGTTTTGAATGTTATGTGAGGCGCGTTTTGTAACTGTCGTTTTGCGGGGAGATGCAGTGCCATCGTACCCTTGTAACAAAGAAGTGCAGATACCTTATTGCATCTGCTATTGGGTTGAGGATTCTTCATCTATGTACATGTACAGCTTTGAAGCGGCAGAATCTCGCTTTATGCTTTGGTGTTTATATGTCGTTCCTTGCTGACGAGCTTGAAATGAGTAATCTCCTTCAAATCGGTGGAACCGCTAAACCTCGTTACAATTCCAAGCTTTGATGCGTGAAAAGTACAGTCATAAGCAGCTTCTTTCCTCAGAGGGATGATGTGCGTAACTTCGTACCTAGACACATCAGGGGTGGCCAGCGGTTGGTTGATCGTAATGACTAGGGGCGGGCAGACCGAGGCATGATGCCGATGAGGGCCCTGGGGAAAGAACGGAGTGGCAAAGCGCTTGGCCCGTGGTTTTGCCGTGGGACTGTTTTCACGTGGCGCGGATGAACTACTGGCGCTTGGACGGTGGAACTAATACGGACGTATTGCAGAGCGGTAGGAGCTTCAAACTTGACGACATGTCTTTCCTGAAGCAGAGCAACCTTCCAATCACGGCCATATTGACTTGAAATGGACAACGACTTGCAATGAGGGCGAAGACACTCAGGCGAGACCGAATGTCCTCTACCGCCTCTCGCGCTGGACCATGAATTGGAGAGGCATATCATGCTATATGTGTAGAATAGCGCAAGTGAAATAACAACAGTTGGTTTCTGACTTGAAGTAATACGGTTTTGCATCTATCTCTTATGAGAACTCTAGGCTCAATAGACTACTTCCTACGAGAAGCGAGACCTGATTGCTCTAACGTCGCCCCCCGAGCAGGGATCGAAATGTGCCTTTATTGCCGTGTCCAGTCCACGACGCGGTCCAGGGTGGCCCAGTGAGTATTGTACACAAATCTGAAGTGATAATATTTGGTCTCGTCTAGACTCTTGAAGGTGTAGAGTATTGAAGCACCCTTGCCCTTGACGGTGGACGCTGGTGTATACAGTTGACAATGGAAGTTAGTGTTAGTGTATGTGGACTTACGTCCAACGCTACAGAAAAGACATGATCCCATCTCATGATGGCCAGAGCTACGTCAGAGATAGCAAAATGAGGATCGCCAGGCGAGATACACATAAACAGTACGTCGTAGCATCATCCCATGTTACAGTCGCGACACCACGCATCACAAGCAAGCGGCCAAGGGTGACATTCGGGCCGGAATGGAGTTTCTGTTGTTCCGGGGGCGCGCTTGCCGGGTTCAGGCCACGCAGCCGACTTGACGAACCGGCGCACGAGCCATGCGTGACCGAGGCGAGCTGCGATTGGCCAGCACTTTCCTTATCTATACGCTAGTCCCGCTTCGCTGCGCGGTGAGCAGGGATGTGGAGATGACGCCGGGGAATCCATGGCCAGGAGATGGCCTCCGCCGGCGATGCGGGCAGGAGCGATGCGGACTGCCTGTGACGGATGCGACAAGAAGCAGCCAGAGACGCAGTCAGAGGTGCAGCCTGTGGCCTGCAGGCGGGAGAATGGAGAGCCATGCAGACACCACGGAGTCATCGGTGGCAATGTCTCAGCGCAGCATGGCCAGCAGCCGCGGCAAAGCGTGCTCAGTTGCCCAGCAGAGCAGAGATTAACGGCGCTGGGGCGGCCGGGGTCAGGCATCGCAGATGAGAGGCGGCCGGGCCTCGCCCAGAGCGTGCCCAGCGTGCCCAGCGTGCCATCGTCGGAGAGGCCTAGCGGGACCGGACCCTTCAGCCTCGATATGGGCGTCTTCTGTGCCGTATCCCGTTCCTCTTCGACCGTTTGTTGCCCACCTCCACCACGATCCACGACACCGCTCACCCCGCCCTCTCTCCCAGACGCATCCCCCCCGACGACATGCGCTTCCAATTGCCGTGAGCTGCTTCGGGCCTGGGCACCGACCGTCTCGCCGTTTGCCGTCCTTATCGCGGGTCACCCACCTGCCGCACGTCAGCGTCGCCAATCGCCCTTTGATACAATCTCGAAGCGCAGCCTCACTGCCACCCGCAGGCGCACCCACGTCGGCTGCGTGCTGAGCGCGAGGAATCCCAAGCCGCGCCAAACAGCTCCGGCCTGTCGATCCGTACCGGCTATCGCAACGAGCCTCAAGATAACACACCGCCCGACTCCCCCAGCCCTGACCTCACTCCTTCGGACGTCTCCGCCTATATCACCGCCCCGCCTGCTCACCTCCTCTCTCCACTTCAATCTCGAGCCTCCCGTCTGCGCTCCCGTCTCCGCGCCTCGCTCTCCCACGATGGCCGACTTCTCGACAGCACCGGCCGTGGTCTCCCCTCCACCCTTCCAGCCGGGCTACCAGCATCCCTTCGTCCCGCAGCCCTTCCAACCGCAACGTCAGCCGCCGGCACAGCAGCAGACCCAGCAGTCGAACTACCGCAAGCCTGTCCCATACACGTCCGCTCAATCGGGCACCAACACGCCCGCGAACGTCTCTCCCACGTCGCCACGCACCACCAATGTCCATCCCAACCACGCCCGACAGCTGCGTCCGCCCAAGCTGCCCATGTATGTGCCCGCCGTGCTGAGGCCGACCGAGAAGCCCTCTCGCCAGTCGCCGCCCAAGACAGGCGACTCCGGCGTCGACAGCGCCGAGTCCAGCTTCGGCTCAGCCGTTCGTCGTGCCACAGGCGACAGCGTCGACTCCTTCAGTGGAACCATCTCCAGCGAGGAGTCAAACTTCGAGGGCAAAGGACCGGTGACTGGGCCTCCGTCGCGGAATCACTGGCAGGTACGTTTGTCGCGACTTTTCCTACGTTCCCTAGACTCAATCAGCATTATGCCTGCGACGGATCGACCTGTCGCGTGCCCTGCATTACCACTCCCGTCTGGGCATCCCGCTTTCCACTTTATTTGCCGTTACGTACATTTGCTGGCGGATCCCGCGCGCTCTAGCCAGCGACGGGCCGACTCGGCATCGTTCGTGTGCCTTGCGGTGTCGCCGGACCACGGCATCGAGGCGGAAGTGTGAAGGGTCTGAGAGTCAACGCTCGAACTTCGCGCGTGCGGCACACCCAGACCCTTTATGTGGTGCGCGGCAGGTCGCGAGAGTATATTATTGGATTGCGCCATCTTGCGTTTGGTCCCGCGCTCCGTCTCACACTGCCCGCTCGGACCCCCACGCCGTCTGCAGAGTGGATCCCCATCACAAACCGCCCTGCCCCACGCTCCTGCAGCGCCCTTGCTTTCTGTCATGTTGTGCTCGGCCAATCGCTGACTTCGTTTTACAGCCTGACAACTCCACCTCCGTATGTACCGCGTCGTGCTGCAAGCAGCCATTCTCTTTCCTCAACCGCCGCCATCATTGCCGACGATGCGGAGGCATCTTCTGCGGAGCTCACAGCAACAATACTGTCAAGCTCAATCAACTGGCGCTCTTCCACCCTCATGGCGCCTTCTATCGAGCTTGCGATCGTTGCCACACCGAATATCGCCAGTTCGAAGCCAACCGTCACAGCCGCTCCAACAGCGAGAGTTCCAGTGGCCCCGTCGCTATTGATGCTCCAGCCGCTGCTAAGCGTCCCCAAGGCCTCCGTGTTGGTAGCTTAATTAGCAGTGCGCCAGCAACATGGGCCTGGAGCACCTTCTGAACAGCTTCTACCTTCAACCCTATCGTACACCCCGGTTCGATCTCGTAACGACGTTCACGGCATCAGATATACCCCCTGCACAGATGCGCGGCGTTAGATGCATGTCTCCCAACCATTGCATACCAGTTTCAACGACTGGCACAGGAGTCTTTTCGGCTGGCGTTTCTGGCGTCCATATTAAACACTCAGCATTCGCTTGACTGTTTGTTTGTTTTTTAAGGTAACCTTAGATCTTCACTTTGATTTTTTGGTTTGCATGTTTCATCATAGCGTTGCGATATCCCCCTTGATGTTTGGTAGAAGCACGTATCAAACACTGTCTCATCTTTCTGCCGTATTGGCGGAGAGAATAGGATTGGGCATGGTGGTTGGGCGTCTGGCGTTTGGCATGATCTGGGTTTGAGTTTGGACTTTGCACTTATCTCGGATGGTGACATCTGGGTTCGAATGTTGGTAATGCTGCTGTTATTACGGCCGGCGAGGCATGCGATGCAATGCGAAGCGATGCGAGTAGTAGTTAGATCATGAGGCCCTAGGGTCGACGTAATGTGATACAATGGTATGACTAGTATCCCTAGCCTGATGATTTGAACTGCGCTGTAAAGTTTGATGAGAAACTTGGGTTCCAGAGGGATTCAAAGACTCCCATTAAACTTTGGACATCGACCATGAGTGAGGTGTGGAGAAATATAAAACGCATTAATTACCAGAGTTTCACAAGCCTAGCCAATTACATCGCGCGTAGCTCCAGACCATCAAGGTCTGTGACTTGGACTTTTTTTCCCTGAATGTTCAGCCATCGACCTCAGTCCCACCACGAAGTTTCCTCCCGCTCTCTAAGTGAAAGAACCTAACCGTAGCCATACGGGCCTTCCACGGCACAGCTTCGGAGGTCATTGTCGCCCGTCGCTGGATCTCACGCCCTCAGCACCGACGATTCCTCTCCGCAATGACCTCCGAACTCACCCCCGCGGCGCCAGCCATGCAGCCTGACATCCATGATCCACCTCCAAATCCATCAAAACACATAAAGCTACATGGAAGAGCATTCTATGAGAGTGTAGGCAGTCCAAAAATGGTTCTAGCGCCTATGGTGGATCAGTCGGAATTCGTGCGTAAATTTCTAGAACTCCAAATTGAAAGATATATAGATAGATGCGATATACTGACCTGACTATAGGCATGGCGTATGCTAACCCGCTCCTTCCTCCCACCGACCTCCTCAACCACCAACCCGCCTCTCCTAGCATACACACCCATGTTCCACTCGCGCCTCTTCGCTGACACGCCCAAGTACCGCGAACAACACTTCCAACCCCTCAGCCTCAAAACAGCCATCCCTGAATCCCCACCCCACCTCGACGGCAATCCCTCTATGGACCGGCCCCTGTTCGTCCAATTCTGCGCCAACGACCCCGACGAGCTGCTCCAGGCCGCCCAACACGTCGCCCCCTTCTGCGACGCCGTAGACCTGAACCTCGGCTGCCCACAAGGCATTGCGCGGCGCGGGCACTATGGCGCCTTCCTGCAAGAAGACTGGGACCTGATCGCGCGCATGATTCGAAAACTACACGACTCCCTCGACGTGCCGGTGACCGCGAAAATGCGCATCCTTGAAACGCCTGAGAAGACGCTCGCGTACGCGAAGACGATCTTGGACGCAGGCGCGAGTATCATAACCGTTCATGGGCGGCGGCGGGAGCAGAAGGGGCATAATACGGGTTTGGCGGATTGGGGAGCGATTCGGCATTTGCGGGAGAATTTGCCCGCTGAGACGGTAATTTTCGCGAATGGGAACGTTTTGAGCCATGAAGATTTAGGGGAGTGCTTGAGGGAGACCGGGGCGGATGCGGTGATGAGTGCGGAGGGGAACTTGCATGATCCCACTATCTTCGCGGCGGAGGTGCCTGTGGGGGAAGAGGGAAGAGAGTACTGGAGAGGAAGAGATGGGAATGGCGGATGGAGGGTGGATGCGGTGTTAAGGCGGTACATGGATATCATACATCGATATGTCCTGGGCGTCGACCCTCCAACACGGGGGCCCATGTTCATAACAGCGGACTACGTACCCGAAGCTGCCCCTGAGAATGGGGCGGCTGACCTTCACATCACTCCAGCAGACGAGTCCCCCGAGCGCCCAGCCAAGCGCCAGAAACTCTCCAAGAAACAAAAGAAGGAACTAGCAAAGAAGGGCGAGCGCAAGAAATTCGAGAACGCGAACAACGCAAATATGACCGCTATGCAGCCGCATCTCTTCCACCTCCTCAGGCCGCTAATCACGAAACACCACAACGTCCGCGACGCGTTGGCGCGTAGCCGTGCGGGTGATGTCGAAGCCTACGAAAACGTGCTCGCGCTTGTTGAGGAAGCTGTGAAACAGGGACTGTTGGAGTATGAGAGGGAGCAGGGCGGGAAAGAGAAAGTGCAGGAGAAGAGGACAGTCGAGAAGAAAGAGGAGGCGGGGGAGAAGATTAATGGACGGCCAAAGAAGTTGGACCCCTACGAATCCTCGCTTCTAGCGGTGGAACGTTGCAAACGCCCTTGGTGGATCTGCCAGCCGTATGTTAGGCCCCTGCCGAACGAAGCGCTGGAAAAGGGGGCGATGACGTTGAGTAAGAAGGAGAGGATGGCGCTTGAGAAGGTGGAGAAAGAGGTGAAGGATGCTGGGCTAGAGCCTGAGGGTAGGATTGAGAAGGAAGAGATTGGTAACGGGCGAGAGCGGGAGGAGGTTGAGGTGCCTAGGGAGGGTGTGGTATGTGGGTAACGAGGAGCGACAGTAGGAAGCTTTCAGCTCCTAAAGAGCAGACCAAGTGAGGGCACGCACCACTCGATTGGGGCTTAAGACTTCGCACAACGAATCATGCATCTCAAACGCCTACCTGCTGGGAAGCCTAGCTAGGTAAGAGTTCAGGCTTAGTCCACTGCGTCTAGATTTAGAGGGACGATGGAACCAGGTGGCCTTGAGCGGTTCCCCGGAACTCTCTGTCATATCGACCGCGGAGATCGGGATTGGATGACATTATCTAGCTTCAGTCGTGGATACAAGTAACACAAGAATGACCACAGGCAAAAAGTGTACAAAAGTACCACATGGAGGTCATCCTTTATGGCCGTCTGGTTCCAACATAACTCCAATCCGCATCTTCTCATCCGATTCCATCTTCATCCATCTCAACTCGCCGTGGGAATTTTCTTGCTCACTCTCACAACCTCCCAAGCTCTCCCCACAGCTCTTCGCCCCCCCTATCCATGACCTTCCCAACCCAAGCACAGTTCTCCAAGACCCCCCTAACCTGCCCCCAACTTGTTAGCTTCAACTCCTCAATAACGTCCACCATACTCCCCACAACCCATCTTCTCTCACTCGGCTCACTAACGGCAGCCCCCGCGAGAAAAAGCAGCCACAGCCTCACTGCACGCGTCGCCGCACTATCAAAACCCCCGTCTCGTCCGAGACAGCTTCGCACTTGCTGCATGAACTGCGCGCTTACCGGCGACGCCCAGAACTCGTTCTGGATGACGCCGGTGTAGAGTAAGATGCCTAGACGACAGGCTTTGAGTAAGTGATGTTCTGATCCGCTGATGTTAGAGGAGAGAAGGCGGTATTGGATTGAGCGAATTTGGGAGCGGAGATGGGAGGGCTTAGTGTCTGAGTTTGTGGGGTCCGTGACGTTGAAGTGCCCAGTCACGCTGCGTGTGTCGTAGAGGATGTCGAGAAGATCGGCGTCGAGTCCGTACGCATTGTGGACGGCCTGGAATCCGGGAAGGAGGACCCGCTCGGGTTTGGCGTAGCTGGAGAGGATGCGCGGCTGTGCTTTGCTAGTTGCAAGCTGGAGGTAGGGCCGCGAAAGAGAGTATACGGAGCCGCAGATGTCTGCACTGAAAGAGACTTGGTTAGGAACGGCTTTCATTCGGACCACGGCGCAAATGGGCTTACCGGCAAAGCTTGTCCTGAAAGATCGGCCTGCCCTCGAAAGCCACCAAGCCCCCCCGCATCTCGACCATCCGCTCTATCCCCTTCATGTGGATGCGCCAGTTCTCCTGTCGACCGCTTGCTTGCTGCCAACGACATCTCGTCAGTGTATCTCGACTCAAACTGTACGAGCGCCACCTACTTCCGTCAAGGCTAAGCCAGCCACAGCCGCAATCGTCGAATCTCCAATCTCCTCCACAAGACTCTGCAGCCGTTCATTCAAGATCCGAACCGCTTGCGTTAGGTGGCTAAGGGCGGAGGATGGCACTAGCCGACCATGCACTTTTGCCGAAAACTGCTCGCTGGAGAAGAGGAGCGAGCTCAGCAGGGCCGGGTCGGTGAGGGCGAGGGGTACCCAGTGGGTGGATGTTGGGTTGAGGCCGTAGTGGGCTTCGATGGGGTAGAGATAGGGTGATGCGGCGGAGACGTCTATGAGCGTGGTATCAGTTAGTGCAAAGATGTCATGGGGTGGTTGTGGTTGATGGTTTGGCGAGTGAGGACAGGGCTTACAGAGGTAGAGGAGTTCGTGCATGTGTGGTTGCATTTTCAGGGGAAAGCTGTCGAAGGGGTCGCGGCTCCAGCGTTCGGGGGTTAGGAAAGGGGGGTAGGCGAGTTCGAGGATTTGTTCTGCGTTATCATCTTGACTTTCCAGTTCAACAACTGGTTCTAGGTCATGGTCGCGATTTGAGGTTTCCAGATCTTGAAGTCCACGCTTCTGCCGTCGATGGTCGTGCATAACATGAGTCCGGACGAGCTTTCGAGTAAAAGCGTCATTGGGCCGTTTTCTGTCCGAACAGTCTACGAATTCATAGCGCTGCTTTGGAGATCTTTCAGCCTGGGACTTCAACGAGGACCCGCCTTTCCTCGGTCTTCCTCTTCGAACGGACGGTGGCCATTCGACTTTAGAGTCTTTAGACGAGCAGTAGATCGTCCGCCCTTCTTCACTCTTAGGCCCCGTTTTGCTATCAAAGACTAGAAATTGCGGAGAAATCGTCGTCATTTGTCAAGGGTGCGGCTGGTCAGCGGCTAGTGGATTATGGAAGTAGGATTGAAAGCTTCCGAAGTGGATAACGGCTGCTAAAGTAATAGGATGAACTGGGTAAGGTGCAAAGGGCGTCTTATTTAGAGCCGTATACGTGGGCACTGCGGAGGGTTAGGAAGGCCCGCGTCCGATGCTTATGTCGTCCGTAGAACGTACTGTACTAACCCGCTGTATCATAGTGTATCAATCAACCAATCAGACACTAGATCAGCGCAGGCTTCATTCGCGTACTTACCCAAATGCAGCCGAATTTTGTGAGCCGTTTGCTCTTTTGGGACAATGTTTTGGACGTTATAGTACGCGCGGCGAGAACGAAGATGGCTCACTGTATTGGAGTCGACGAAAAAAGCTATATAAGTAAAGCAGTTCAGCGCTAGAACCATTATCTCATTGCACCTAACATCACCCTATCTCACTACTCGCGAGTAACCCATATTTTCAACTAAATTCATATAAAATGACTACGGATCCTATTCAATTACTGCCTGCGGACTACTTCGTCACGACACATCAGTTTACCAAGGCGGTACACCGTGACCAGTACCCTTCGATAGACCCGGCATCGCCCAAGCTGTCACAGAAAGGAAAGACTGTGATCGTCACCGGCGCTAGCCAGGGAATAGGCAAGGTAAGTTGACCTCCCTTTCCAACCATTTCTGTTTAAATATTCACAAATCTTCGCATAGGCCATTGCCCTTGCATTCGCGAAAGCAGATGCGGCCCGAATCGTTCTTGCGAGTCGCAGCGGCCAGAAGCTCGGGGCAACTAAGCAGGAGTTGCTCAAAATCAACCGCAATCTCGACGTCCTGGTTCTCCCAACGGATACGACTTCCGAAGAGAGCGTGAACCACCTAGAAGAGACAGTCAAGTCCAAGTTCGGGATTCCCGATGTCTTGGTCAATGGCGCCGGTATCTGGGCGGGCGGCGACACGATCATTGGAGAGAGCAATCCGAAGGACTGGTGGACAGATTTTGTAAGATTCCTTCGTCCTAGGTTTCTGGCCCAGGGCGGAATATGTAGCTAATAGGTTGCTTGACTAAATCTAGGAAGTCAATGTCAAAGGAAGCTACCTCATGTGCAGAGCGTTTCTCCGGTTAGTAGGTTTAGAGAAAGAAGCAACTATCGTCAACGTCAACACCTGGGGAATGCTTTCAACTGGACCGGTAGGCACTAGTTACCCCATCAGCAAATTAGCGCTGGCTAGATTGTCGGAAGCTATTCCTTCGGCATATCCAAAAGTCTCTTCGATGAACTATCACCCTGGAATGACAGTCACTGAAATGGCAGAGCTTCATCCACAGGTCCTCCATTTCTGCAAAGACACCGGTACGGTTTTCTTGTTCCAATCTTCAACATCCCTTCATTCACTAGGCTCAACCAGCAGGCCAAGTTAGCTAACCTTGGAAAACTTAGTCGAACTCCCCGCCGGCACTGCCGTGTACTTAGCTTCGCCCCATGCGCAATTCCTAAGCGGGCGATATATGTCCGCCAACTGGGACGTCGACGACTTAGAAGCAAAGAAGGATGAAATTATCGAGAAGAACCTACTGAAAATGGATCTGAAAGGCGAGTTTGGGAGCGCGGTGGCGACAACGCCCTTCTCCACTACAGTCTTGTATCCTGCTAAGGAGGGCGCAAAGTTCGATATGGACTACCTCCTCAGCAGCCACATGCCGCTAGCGATGAAGCATTGGGCGCAGTACGGCCTCAAGGGCTATGAAATCACCCAGTACGAGCCCATAGGCGAGCAAAAGCCGCTCTACAGCGCGCAGGTCGTTATGAAATGGGACAGGCCCGAGAGCGTGGAAATGGCGATGCGGGCGCCAGAGGCGCAGATTGTGTAAGCGCAGATTTCTTCTTGTATCTCGAACTTGAGGAGCACGTTCTGTCTACAAGTGGCTAATAATGTTGCAGTATTGATGACGTATCGAACTTTGCGCCTGTGAAAGGGGTATCCATGATCGGGGAAGTCAAGGCAAGCAAGTAGATAGACCTATACTTGAAATTTAGAGCTTTATATGTCGTCTTCTGATATCTTTGGACCGATATAGTTGACCTATAAAACGCACAATGATTAATTTCATGAAATTGTAGTCGTTGTAGTAGTGTCAGTTGGCAGTGACGTTCAGGCGACGGGGTTGGTGATGGTGAAGTTGTTGGAGTGAGTGACTCGAACGGGATCGCTATCAGACTATTCTGCCGACAATTTTGACACTATATCCTATGTTCACGTTGGGTGTAAGTTGTTAGATAGTAGATAATCTACGCTAGATATGTAAGGCAGCAGCTGAGTGTCTCATCGTGCAATTATAATGAAGTGTCAGGATTCAAAATGAAAAGCCCCTGAAACCGCCTCGAAATCCCCCAAAGCCGCCATTATATCCATCAAACGCACCCCTTCCCCGTCCATAGAAGCCCTCGCGGCCTCCATAAGCCCCACGCACTCCAAATCCGAAAGGTTGTCCGAATCCGTCGCGGCCTCCTGGACCTCCGCAAGCTTTCATTTGGGGCTGACCTCCCACGCCAGAACCTCCCATGCCTCCCATTCCTGCCATTCCACCGCCTCCACCACTCGCTCTATACTGGTTCAACCACGCCTTCTTCCCTTCAACCGTGGAATGATAATCATCAGCTCTCACCTCGCACGCCTCGAAGTCAGCGCCTTTCTCGTCTCGACTCATTTTTGCACCGATTCATTCCTTCTCTATACCGTCCGCGATGTACTTGTCGTGATCAGGATTGTCCAATGGATCATAGAGATTTCGAGCTGCCAGAAGATCCGCGAGATAGGGCGACCGCCGATGAGTTCTTCGCCGTTGGCGTCCTGATGAGGTTGGTGGGATTGGGCATGCGAGTGGGCTTGTGAGTTTGCATGTGAGTGAGCGTGGTGGGTGCTCTGAGTACCTCGTGTGCTATGAGTGCTGCGAGATCCTCCACCGCGTCCGCCGCGGAAGGATCCGCCGCCAAATGGTCCGCCGAACATGTTGATTGATGATGCCGGGTAGTCAGAAGTCTTTAAAGAGATTTAGAGGTCAAAGGTCTTTGGAAGAGGTTTAGAAGTCAGAAGTTGTGGAGAAAGTAAGGAAAATGAAGAAAGTAGTGATAAATATAGCACGAAGTCTTAAAGCCACGTAGGGTATGAACGTGGGCATATCTAAGAGCGTAGTCAAGTCTTGACATCTCTGTGACATGGATTACACTGTGTTGTTCTGATGCTAATGTTCAAGCGTGAAGTAGTCAGGGGCGCGATGTGAAGTGCATATCAAGGGAATAAGTCACATTATCTACCTGTCTACCTACATCTCTGCTACCACGCTAATGTAGATCCTCTCAAACTGACTTTGGCTAGTATATGCTCTGCCGCATGTCATCGTTATCCGCCTTGACAGTCAGGGCATGGACATCCAGGACCACCAAATCCTCCCATACCTCCACGGCGTCGCCTGCCTCCCATACCCGGCATCCCTCCCATACCTCCCATGCCTCCCATTGCTCCCATGCTTCCCATTGCTCCCATGCCTCCCATACCTCCAGGGCGTCGCCTACCTCCCATGCCTGGCATGCCTCCCATTCCGCCCATTCCACCCATTCCACCCATTCCGCCCATTCCGCCCATTCCGCCCATTCCGTCCATTCCGCCCATTCCTCCTCCCATGCCTCCAGGGCGTTGAATTCCCCCCATGCCTCCTCCCATACCGCCCATACCGCCAAACATACGAGGATCTCTGCCACCGGGCCTACGCCTGCCCATGCCTGGACCCATGCCTGGACCCATGCCTGGATCCATGCCGTCGCTCATATCGTCGTCTGAGTCGTAGGGCTCTGGTTGGCGAGGTGCGCGGCGGCGTCCGCCTCCGCGTCCGCCAGGTCCGCCGGGTCCACCGAAGCCTCCGCCGAAGCCTCCGCCGAACATGTTTTGCTGAAAGTTGTTGGTTGCAAAAAGCTTTTGGGAAAGTTGTTAGAGCTCAGGACTTGTCTGAGTTCTTGGAAGTGTGTGTGGTGGGAGTTGGTGAGTGAGAAAAAAGGAGAGGGAGGGGTAGATATACCCCAGGAGTAGCAGGGCTACCACGTAGCGGCACGGTGAAGCTATGAGGATTGGAGGCCGTTCGCCGTGAGATTGACGCGTGCTGTGCTGGTTCACTGTCGTGGCGATTGCTGATGAAGGAAAAATGAAGAGTGAAGGTGTGGGCGCATTGAGAGTATCATGCAGAGTAAAAGTGAATGGCATAGATTACATGAACTGTCTATTCCCCCCCTTTAGGCCGTCGTGGAGTATCTAAGCCGTCGTTAGCGTTAAGTCTTGACCGCAGATCCTTGGAATACTTACTGTATAATCACAGACTTGGTCTGTGAGTACTCCTTCAAGACTGCCTTACCATTCTCTCTCCCGACGCCACTGCTCTTGTACCCACCAAACGGCACAGTTGGATGGAATGGCAACTGATTATTCACCGTCACCGTCCCTGCTTCCAACTTGTTCGCAATCCTGATCGCGCGATCGATGTCCTTGGTAAACACTGCCGCGCCAAGCCCATACTCAGTATCATTCGCCTTTTGCAACACCTCTTCCTCAGTCTTGAACGTGTCTACAACTACCACCGGCCCGAAGATCTCCTTTGCCACAATCTCCGCACCCTTAGCTGGCTTGAAGAAGATGGTCGGCTCGACGTATAACCCCTTTTCTCCCCAGCTGTTGCCCCCAGTCACTGTCTCCGCCTCCTTCTTGCCTTGCTCCAAGAACCCCAGCACCGTCTTCTTCTGCTGCGGGTGGTACAGCGGACTGCTCATGGTGGTCATATCATGCGGATCTGAGCCGAGCGTGCTAGCACTATGCTCCACCATCGCCTTCAATGCCCCCAGGTACGCCTCCGCAATATCCTCATGCACATAAATCCGCGTGCCTAGGATACAGCCCTGCCCATTCAGCGCCATGAAACTCGCGCCCGACTGCGCGGCATGGCCAAGATCCGCATCTGGGAACACTATCACGGGACTCTTGCCACCAAGCTCGAGCGTCACGCGCTTAAGGTTCGAGTTCGTGCCGGCAACCTGTACTTTCTTGCCGGTAGCGACGCTGCCCGTGAAGCTGATCTTGCGAATCTTGAGGTGGGAGGCGAGGGCTGCGCCAGCTTCACCTGCGCCGACGAGGATGTTGAGGACGCCGGGGGGGATACCGGCCTCGATAGCGAGCTGGCCGAGGAGGAGAGAGCTGAAAGGGTTAAATTCGGAGGCTTTGCTGATGATTACATTGCCGGCGGCGAGGGCGGGCGCGGCTTTCATAGCGAATGTGATGATGGGGCTGTTGAAGGCGTTTATGGCGGCGCAGATTCCGAGGGGTTCGTTGCGGACGATCTGGGGCTGTCAGCTATGGCCCCTTCTCGAAGTTTCAAATGAAAACTTTGAAAGGCTATACGGAGGCAAGACAAAAACACGAACTCGTAGAAATCCCTGATCGTCCGGTTGGACCTCTCCAACGTGTTTGTCGCAAAAGCCAGCAAAATATCTGAAGAGGTCACCGGCGCTTTTGGGTTCATGGAAGCCGCCAAAGAAGGCTGGCTTGCCTACGAGAACGGATTCTAGGTAGCCTAGTTTCTCGGCGTTCTCTTCAATTAACGCAGCGTATTTCCACAGGAGCTGGCCGCGCGTTGACTAGGAATCGTTAGTGAGTCTCGAGTCTTACGTTCGAAACAGTTGCGTACCGGTGATAGAGCTATCCATTCTGGGAAGGCTTTGGCGGCGGATTCAACTGCAAGCTCGACATCTTCAGTATTGGCGTAGAAGAGCTCTAATATTGGAATTGGGTCAGTATCTTATTTGAACTGCATTGCCAATGGGAGAAACGTACCTTCCGCAACCACCGAATCGTCTACAGCTGACCTTAAAGTCACCTTCTCCGTCCCCTTTGATTTCACAAATTCGCCATGGATGAATTGGCCGCTAGGAATTGGATACTTAAAGGTAGACATGATGCTTGGCGTTTCGGAGAGTCGAGAAAATGGAAAACAAGAACGGCACGGGAAGGGTCAGGTTATATAGGCGGACTCCAATATGCCTACCGCCCCCGCTTATACCCCTTGGTAGAGCGAACACAGAATCCTGGACGGGATCCGGCGGATTAATGAGAGACGCTCTCTACTATTCTCTTGACCTGCACTATTCGAGGACATGAGACGCCCTGACCCACTGGGAACTCCTCCCAGCCTCCCAAAGAGGGCCGAAATGACCCGGATATCCCCATCAACCGGATGCACACTTAAGCACGATGGACGGAAGAGCGTCCGTTGTCATTCCGTTAGTATATGTAGTTCCACGAGCCGTCCGGGACGATTCCGAATGCCGGCTGTGGCAAAGTGAGGGTGAAAGATTCCGAATACCGCGTATAATTCGGCTTTACACTACAAATACACGTAGATTGGTGGCTTCGTGTTTGCAGTCTGGTTTATGGTGGCTACAATTGGTTGAGGTGCGGTTGTAGAGCACACATGCATGATGGCCGGGGTAGCTGAGCACTAGAGCACCCCCGCGTTCTCACAAGACTACCTAGTTAACCCCGCACGACACTCAGACTCTGCGTAGCTGAATTTACGTTACACCATTTGCATAAAACAAATGGGACGGGTACGGACGCTGTAGCTTCCGGCAGCTTCAATTGTCAGTGAGTCGGGCTCAGTCGTGATGGAGTGCATAAAAGGGCTCGCCAGCGGTATACGGAAGAAGCGTCATCCAGCTCTTCATCTCGTGTGACCTGACATGTAAGTCTAGGTGCTCATTGACGGAAGTAATGGGACTGTTTACATTTCTGTCATAGAACCGATTTCAACGATCTAGCTAATACTTCTCTTTAAAAGTCGCCATTCTAAACCTTTAAAAATACCTCCCTGCTTCTAAACCCGAGCGAAGTCAGTATCCGAAAGTATGGAGTCTCTAGCTGGAAAGGTTTATGCTGTCTCTGGCGGAGCATCTGGCATGGGCTTAGCAACCTCCCGTCTCCTCGCGCAATCGAAAGCCCGTGCCATATCTATCGGCGACTTCCAAGACGCCAATTTCGAGGCTATCAAGAAAGAGCTCCAGTCTATCAACGCCTCTACGGAGGTCCATACCTTCAAAGTCGATGTCTCAAAGTCTGCGTCCGTAGCCGCTTGGATCGAGAGCATTATATCGGCCTTTGGTGCCTTGGACGGAGCCGTAAACGCTGCTGGAATTGCTCAGCCGGTAGGCGTACGCAAATCGCCGGCTGTCTTGGAAGAGACCGACGAGACCTGGCGTCGGACCATGGGAATCAACCTGGACGGCGTGTTCTTTTCCACCAGAGAGCAGATCCGAGCAATGGTAGCGCTTCCAAAGGGGCCAAGAAGCATCGTCAACATTGCGAGTATTGCGGCTCTGGTTCACGGTCCAGACACGTATGGCTATTCCACGTCGAAATCTTCAGTTGTGCATTTCTCCCAGAGTGTGGCTAAAGATGTGCTTCCCCACGGGATTAGAGTTAATGCGGTATCGCCAGGTTCGTCAGCTTGAGCCCGAATAAAAATTGATTACTGACGAATACTACAGGAGCAACTGCAACGCCTATGTTAGCTCAATTCTTTGCTCCACAGGAAGAGAATGCCCCTATCGATACGCAGGGGTGGCAGCTTGTGCAGCCAGAAGATATTGCGCGGGCGGTAGGGTGGTTGTTGAGTGACCTGTCTTCGCAGGTTTCTGGGGTCAACCTGCCAGTCGGTCCGGGTGCTCCGTGATCTATATGCAGATTATATGATCTTGTCTCCCTTTGTTTCCGTGTAAAAAGGACCGAAAGAAGAGCACCTTAAAGTCGAGGATCTGCTGTTTACGTATTTGAAGAATCTAGCCTAGGGCATGGCAATTCTATTGATCTAGTACCTATGTGATAATACCACTGGTTGCCGATTGAAATATGACTAGTAATACCTGAGATTTCGCTTTCAAAGTCGTGGAGCTACCATATACCTGTTTCTCGAATTGGCTGCCTGTGGCAAACCAGCATTGATCAGATCAATTGTTATCTTACTGTCCTTCTGCCTTTGGCTTCGCTAGCTTCTGTGCTTCGTCCGAAGCGATCATATGCTTGTATTCTGGACGAGGTAACTCCATTCCATCGACAAGTCGGCCGTAGGTGATACCACCAAGACGACTCATAGGGCGAAGAATCTGTTGGTGAGATGGCTGAGCTTGGGTAGATTCGGAGTAAGAACTTTGAAGCTTGCAAAAGAATACACATACGTCGGGATCGATCTGATTTCCCTCCTCGTTCACCGAGTCTTCTCGCGCCCAGAAGTTGACCCCCTCTATGATCGTCATCACCCCTGTCTTCTTGCCCGCTGTTGATCGACTCTCAAACTCTTTAGTGTCCATCAGCTTCCCCTCAACGCTGAATACAGCTTCCTTAACACGGGAAGCGGCGACCTTCTTGCAAGGAGCTGGATGCAGTCCGGAGAGAGCCCACTCGGAAATACCCTATAATTTCAGCCTATGTCAGTCTTCGGGTAATCTCAACATAACCCTAACCAGGAGAAGCGTCTCACATAGGGCGCATTGACTGAGGTAGAGTTCGCGGCTTCGATATAGTGCTCGGAAATAATATTGATACAACCTGGAATTCTAGCATTAGAAGGTAACAAAGAGTTAGAAAGATACAGATGCGTACATTCGCCGGTCTCGGTGAGGTTCCTTAGACTGTCTTTCATCAAGCTGAAGCCTCCGGAGAACCCGATGACGAAAACAGGAGGATCGTGGTTGACCATGTTGAAGTAGCTGAAGGGCGAGAGATTCGTGCTAGATCCTGTTCTTCCAATCAATCACTGCACCGACATCTTACCATCAGCGTTTCAATCACTGACCATCCTTTGATATTGTGCTGACAAAACCTATTGGCCTAGGGACGATCGCAGAGATGAGGAGTTTGTAATTGAAGACCGCAGGGCGACCTTTCGCGTAAGGGTCGATTTCTCGATGTTCCTTCGTGAGGCATTCTCCGCCGTCATTCGGCCCATCGCCAGGTTTCCAATTGGGATTCCTGGTCTGTGTATATGCGAATCCTTTCGATTCATCCCATTTGGGACGAGAAGCTTCAACCTTTTTGAAATCGGGGTGTGGGTTGCGCTTGATGCTCTTCTCGGCGTCCAGCAGATGCTGTTTCGAATCCGCACTCATCTTCGCTGCTTTACTTGAGAATGATCTGATATGGGGTAAAATCCTAGATAATGGGAAATCTCCTGGGCGCAGTAGCTCTTCTGGTGGAAGTGGGCCGTGAAGTAGTGATATTCACTTGAGTGGTAGCTGATCCGTAATTGTCGCACGCAAGGCCCACTGCTTAGTCAACCTAAATCAGCAGAAAGGGACCAGGGCAAGCTTCCTCTGCCGGGGTCTCAGGTTTTGATATTCAGGGCGGATGGTCGTAGCTATCCTGACACCAAATATACTCTGCTCTGTGGTGATGTTGCTTTTGTTAGACCGCCCGGCAGGTGGAGCGGACATCAACGCGGAATTGCCCCGCCTCTGGCTAGAAGCGGTAACAGAAGGCGGGCAGCGGGTCCACGATAAGGCAAGACAAGTGCGGGGAGATGAGTTTGGATGAATGATGAACATGAAGCACGCCTTGATTAGCCTCAGTGATCTCCTTTGCTGCGAAGGAGTCTTCAACTTCTAATTCAGCCTTGGATTCAACATCATGACGGACCAGTTCGACACTTACAAGCTTGGAAACTTCAAATTGAAGTCAGGAGGAGAAATTTTAGACGCGTATATCGCGTACAAGACGTTTGGAGACCCGAGTCTCCCTGCAATCATCTACCCTTCGTGGTATTCCGGAGGTTGGCTACATCTTTGGACGTACATACCAGAGGCTAACCGAATAAGCGATATCGGACAATTTCTGGCTCATCGGTGAAGACAAGACGCTCAATCCGAAGAAGTACTTCATTATCGTGACAGCGTTGTTTGGCAACGGACAGTCATCATCGCCATCCAATACGCCGAGTTTGAGGCCATTCCCGGACGTTCTGTTCTACGATAATGTGAAAGCACAACACAGCCTCGTGACCAAGCATTTGGGCATCACCCATGCCCGCGCCGTGCTGGGCTGGTCTATGGGGGCAGGGCAAACCTATCAATGGGCCACGCAATATCCGGGTTTCATGGACCTTGTAGTGCCGTTCTGCGGCTCTGCCAAGACATCGCTGCACAACCAAGTGTTCCTCGAAGGCGTCAAATCAGGCCTTTTTGCAGCAAAAGGCACGTCCTCAGCCGGAATATCGAAAGGAGAACTCCGAGCAACAGGCTCAGAGTATCGAGGCTTCACAGAAGAGGAGAAGAACAATGGATTGAAAGCGCTCGGTCGGGTGTATGCTGGCTGGGGTTTCAGTCAGGCTTTCTATCGCGAAAAGCTCCATGAGAAGGTTCTCGGATTCAAAGACCTTGAAGATTTCGTATGTGCCTGTTATAGGAGTTCCAGATTCATCAGCATTAACTGTTTTACCAGATGGTAAACTTCTGGGAGAAGTGGGCATGCTCAAAAGGTAGGTCGTGCTCCAGCTTCATAGCAGTCGCCGACGACTGATTGAGCTGATATTCTGAAGATCCGGAGAACATGCTAGTTATGGCACATACCTGGCAAGCCGGCGATTGTTCGCAACAGGAGCCATATAACGGAGACTTTGCAAAAGCTATGCAGGGAATAAAAGCGAAAGCGCTCATTTTGCCAGGACAAACGGATCTCTACTTCCCGTAAGTTCTTTCTGAGACTTTGCGACTGGACGGCTGACATGTGCTAAGTCCAGAAGATTCGGAGATCGAAGTTGCGAATATGAAACCCGGAATTGGAGAGTTACAAATTTTCCCCTCAATTTGGGGACATTGGGCAGGCGGTGAGCTTCTAGAGTATCCATTCAAATGAACTGGCACTGATAGTCTCAAGGTCCTGGAGATAGCAAGGAAGATGTGAAGTGGCTCGATGATAAGCTGAGAGATTTCTTTGCAAAGCACAAGGATAGGTTATCGGAGAAGGTGGGCTCTTTGACGTTGTAACGAAGTTTAGTATGGGTATGTGTTTCTAGAGGAGTCCATTTCCGGGCTTATAGTGGCTTTTGTGTATATTCTTATTGCAGAAGGTCGGTGCCCCTGACACGAGTGGGGATGAAGTATCGTCTGACAATTTGAATGATCCGACAATCTTGAATCGCCCTTTAAAGCCGCTCCTCTCAATGATATGCACGGTATCAACGTGCCACTCGAAGCCCCCGATAGGTGCTTGCTTGCTATTTCCTTCGTCTAGCTTTTCGCGTCCGAATGTCTCAATCACGCGTTGTGCTTCGTCTCTCAAGCGATATGTGCTGATGCTCCCGGAAGCCTGGCCGACCGAGAGATGAGGCGTGAATGGTCGCGTGTCTTCGTTGCACTCTGAAAATTCCGACTACAAGAAACCCTGAAGTTGGTAAAGCGGTGACGTTTGTAAACTAGCTTGAGATAGAGATTCGTCGCCATTAGAGGGAGTAGCATTATTAATCGGATCCAGCCACACGGTCGCGCTTTGTTTGCTGTGGTTGAAAACCCCAGGTGGATCAGCACGAAGGAAACGAAACGGCGGAACGGTCTCGGCGACCTTTGTCAGTCTTTGCCCAAGGTTTGCTCTCGAGCTCAAAGAGTCGGCATTTGTAGATACACTTGCATTTCCCTGGCTGTGCATGTTGTGCAGAAGATCTGAGGTCTTGTTTTGCTCACTTTGTTGGCCGTCCAAGCTTAAGCCTTGAGAAGGCGCAGCGAGAAATGGATAGATGAGATTGATATGAGGAGGCCAACGACGGAAATGCTTATCGTGCTTCTGGCGAATAGATTCGATTGGTGCTACTATTGATGAAGGAGGGAGGAGGACCAGAGCAGATTTATAGGAGAGATGGGACGGAAGCGGCATGCTCAAGTGTACTGATTCGTATGAATCAAATTCGTTCTAATGAAACGAGGAGATGAAGCCACGCTCTACAAAGTGATGGGGAGACGATGCTTTTGATGTGGCCAGTCTTAGTGAGGGTCGCGAAAGTAAGGCGGGATCACGTGATTAAGTTGGGTCATCCTTGGCATATTTGTTCCCGGGTTGGGACGTCGCTGAGCCGCGTCCGGGGGCGCTCAATAATATCAAAAGGCCATCGAAGAACCTTCACTACGCTGGCTCGTCATGAAACCTTGAGCGTTCACCGACCACGCTCCTTTGCTCTGGCTCGTGATGAGGACATCGGCCAACGCTTTCCTCAGTTCATCACCGCCGCGTCCGTCCACACCTGCACTTCCTACCTTCAACGCCGGACAGCCTGCCTGTCGTAACCACCATAATACCTAGTTCATCATGGATGGCCAAGTACGAGAGCGATGGGGCATCACCGAACCTGTGTCGAAATTGATGCCGGACGAGAAGGATCTGGAGGTCCACCGCCAGCTCATCGAGGAACTAAAGCGGCAAAATAACTTTGAGTCGCAGGAAGCAACAGATCGAAGGTAGCGTTAACATTCCTTCATTCTAGTCGCCTTCTAATCTGTCGCAGAGTTAAAGTCTTGAACCTGTTCCAGAAGGTCACCGAAGACTTCGTCCGCATTGTCGGCAAGGCAAAGGGCCTTTCGCAGTCCGCTATTGATAGCGCTGGAGGGAAGATCTTCACATTCGGGAGCTACCGCCTGGGAGTGTATGGTCCAGGTACGACTACAACGGCCCGGCATGTGCAGTTCAGAAAATTCACTAATCCCAACTCGCAGGCTCCGACATTGACACTCTTGTTGTTGCGCCACGGCACGTCACCTTCAAGGACTTCTTCGAACACTTCCCTCCATGCCTCGAGAAACATTCGAAACCGGGAGACATCGAAGAACTCACCCCAGTCCCCGACGCTCACGTCCCCATCATCAAAATCGAATACTGCGGGATCAGCATCGACTTGATCTTTGCTGCTCTCCCATCAGCGTCCATCAAGCTATCGTTGGAGCTGACGGAAAAGAATATTCTCCGAGGTTTGGATGAGACTATGATGCGCAGCGTAAACGGGACCCGGGTAACGGACGAGTTGCTTCAATTGATTCCGCAGGCTAAGACTTTCCGGCACGCAACTCGTGCGATCAAATTATGGGCCCAACGTAAGTTGCTTGGTTGTACCTCTCTTGATCTTATACTAACTCTCGTAGGCCGTGGAATATACGGTAACGTTTTCGGCTTTCCCGGTGGCGTCGCCTGGGCAATGATGGTGGCCCGTATCTGCCAGTTGTATCCATACGCTTGCGGAGCGACCATCGCTGTCAAGTTCTTCAGCATCTACGCAGAGTGGCCATGGCCACGTCCAGTGCTGCTGAAGGTTGTCGAAGATGGTGCTCTAGGACTGAAGGTCTGGAACCCCCAGATTTATCGCGGGGACAAGCAACATCTCATGCCAATCATCACTCCTGCCTTCCCTTCGATGTGTGCCACCCACAACGTCACACATTCGACCAAGAGCGTCATTATGAAGGAGTTAGAGCGTGGCAAATCGATCGCCAGCCTCATCTACACAGGGAAGAAAAGCTGGCACGACCTGTTCGAACGCCATACGTTCTTCACCAAGGACTACAAGTACTACCTCAGTATCATTTCCGCAAGCAGAACGAAGGAAGAGCAGAATATGTGGTCTGGTTGGGTTCAGTCTCGGCTGAGACTACTTGTTAAGGGCATAGACGAATCTGACTCTGGAGTGGAAGTAGCGCACCCTTATTACAAGGCCATCGAACGCTTCCACCGATGCAAGACTCAAGCAGAAAAAGATCGGGTACTCTCAGGAAGCGTGGAGTTCGTGGTCAAGGAAGAAGACAAGTCTGCGGACGAAAGGGAGCCGGCGAAGACAGCTGACGGCGATAGCGCGAATGACGCTGAATCCATCACGATATACACCAACACACATTATATCGGACTCAAGTTGCGCGAAGGTATGTTTTCCTCTATCCCTACCAGGCGGCTGGCTACTCATGATACTCTTGATACAGAGGGCGCCAAAAAGCTCGACATTTCCTTCCCAGTTTCAGACTTCAAGCGTCTAGTCACTAGTAGCACTAGCTACGACGAGGACAAGAACGCTATTCGCGTGGTCCACACCCGAAGGCGTGTTTCCCCGCCCCATTCTTGCTGTTTCTATGCTGACCTCTTGAAGCTACGATCTACCACTCGATCTTTTCGAGGAAGGAGAAGTCCGACCAGTCAGGGTCAAGAGGGTCAAGGCCAAACCCGTGAAGCGGAGTTTCGCCGATACAGGCATAGACGTGCGTACCATTCTAAGAAAAGCTCCAGTTCATCTCCCAACATGAATTTACTAACCATAATCGCGCTTCGAGCGTGTTCGCTGAGAGTTCATGCTGACCTGTTGACTCACGCGTTTTAGGATACTCAGAGTAACTCCTCCAAGCGTCGATCAACCAACGGGGGCCCGACCCCTACTCCGTCCTGAATCACTGAGTAATCTTGTTCGTTCGGTAGTTTTTCCGCATCGCGACACGCGATTCCTCTCTCGAGCTTCCTGAACCTCTGACGTCTAGCCACTATCTAGAGCGCCTCGGCACACCCTCTCTCCGAAGACTCTCCGATTTGAGCTCGAGCTCGAGCTCTCCCACCCCACCGATATCGACCTTGCAAGATCTTCGCGCCTCGTTGCGTCAGGTTCTGACTCACACGATGCCCATACCAGAATGGACTACCCTTGCAAGGTTCGTAACTGTGTTCTGAAAACTAACCACAAAGACAGCGAGAAAAAAAATAGACCAGACTTCAGCATCCCCTCATAGTCAGAGGAACTTCTCGGTGTATTTAAAAAGCTTATTAGCCTATCTAGGACGGTAATTTCCCCAACTCCACGGTTTTTTCTTTCTCTGTCGGCGTTGGGCAATGGGACCAGACCGTCATGGCCGGCGTTGGTGGAGTGACCATACGTGTCTTCGTCGTGTGTTACTCTGGGGGCGGCTTGGGGGTGGGAAGTTGGGAAACGGTGGACTTTTACTAGGGGCGGACTCTGATGAAAATGGTACCTTCTCTGTTTCTCTGTAGATATCTACCACCAAAAAAAATTCAATGATTTCAAGGGGCCTACGGGTCTCACCAAAAATTCACACTCGCCGATTCTGTGTGTGGGATTGTGACTTTAGTGGAGATAACTACGCAGATGGTTTCCAGCTTCCATGTGCAAGTCTTGTCAGTCCTCTCCCCATCCCCGCATTCTTCCGCCAACCCTTCTAATCCCTATCGAGAAGGCCGAACGCGATCTTGCATGTTAATGAAGCCAGGTCCGACGGGTCACGGGCCGAGTCGCGCTCTAGGTAGGTCCAATCTCCGCCGCGATCCAACCACAAACTACGTTTTGTGTCTGTTCTGGGATGATATTTGGCCGCGTTGGCCTTTTTAGTCGCGGAGCGAGAGGGAGTAGATGTGTCATGAGGATGAAGAAGGTGGTGTGTACGTTGAGGTCCATAGGTTCGCTGGATTTTTACAGGCTACTGTGATTTCAACGCTTCTTCGAAGAGTTGGAATCTTGGTGCTTACATACAGTAAGGACTATCTCGTCTTGCTTTCCTTTGTCTATGTGATATATCTCTCCCGTCCTACGATCGTGGAACAGGAAAAACATCGAACGACTATCGTGGTATGCGACGTCTCGTCAAAAGTGTTCCCTCCTTCTCCTCAATCATTGCTCCGAGAACAATTTTGTTTCACGGCTACATTCCCGCGTACGCCCAAGACGAAGCTCGCCACAGGCCTGGCTTATGGACTGCCGCAGGTTAATATAATCATGCCTCCTTGATCATATCTCACCTGTCCGATTTCCTGTTTTTTTACCTCCAATGAGCACAAGGGGAGCGCAAGTGACGCGTGGTGAGCTGGTGTGCGGACCACATGGAGAGGGCAGAAATCGTGCAATCAATATATATTTCGGCTGTCAGGTGTTGTGAGATGCTCACTTCCGTGGCTTGCCGGCATGGTGATAGAAAGGTCTTCGACTACTTTCATTATAGATTCAGGTGTTGCGTCTATATATCTCTCTATTTCCTTAACTGGTGTTTCCTTCCTTCAGCTCAGTCAAGAAAAGAAACATCCCTATCCTCCGCCAAGCTCCCATACCCTCTCGCCGACCATGGCGCCCCCATCCCATCTATTCCACCTCCCTCTGCTCTCCTCCCTCCCCTCTATAGCCGCCCACGGCCATGTCACCGGCATCGTCGCCAACGACACCTGGTACACGGGCTGGAACGCCGAGATGAGATACCAAACCCCGATCCCCGCGATGGCCGGCTGGCCCTGCGACAACCTCGACAACGGCATCATCGCGCCCTCAGCCTTCACCACGGCCGACACAATCTGCCACAAATCTGCCACCAACGGCCAAGCTTCCATCCCTATCACCGCCGGCTCCACCCTCTCCTTCCAATGGAACACCTGGCCGGCATCCCACAAAGGGCTCGTGATCAACTACATCGCCGACTGCGGCGGCGACTGCACGACCGTCGACAAGACTTCCCTCAAGTTCGTGAAGCTCGCCGCCGCGGGCTGGGTCGAGGGGAATGACCCCGGCACGTGGGCGACGGATACGCTGATTGCGGATAATGTTACCGCGAGCACGACGATTCCGAAGGGGCTGAAGAGTGGGAGGTATGTGGTTAGGCATGAGGTTATTGCGCTGCATACGGTGGGCCAGGCGAACGTTGCGCAGGCGTATCCGCAGTGTGTGAATATTGAGGTGACGGGGAGTGGGGGTGAGCGCGGAGAGATTTTATACGGCGAGTGATACGGGGATTCTTTTTGATGTCTATAGTGCGTTTACGGGGTATGTGATTCCTGGGCCGGCGGTAGTGGCGTTGAGGAGGAGGGGGGAGGGGGTGAGGAGGCATGTTAGGGAGTGGGTTGGGGGGTGGCGGGAGGACTGGGAAGAAAGGACGGGTGTGGAGAGAGTGGTGAGTGGGTTTTGAAGTGTTGAAACGTTGAGATTTTGAGCTGGTTCTGGTGCTTTTGCTGTTCGTTTGCATGTGCATTGAGTTGAAGTTTAGCGAGATGTGTGTTTTGGGCTTTGTTGGTGTAGGAAACGCTCCGCCTCTTGGTGTGAGACTCGGCCTGAATACCCACCCAGGTAGTTGTTTACTACTTCAAAAACTCTCCTCAAGAATAGGGAGCATGTTTTGTTCTGAGGCTTCCGGACGTTACAGATGTTGAGATTTCCGAATGTTGTAGTCGATTGATTCCCGTTGACTCGAGTAATTTGACGCAAGTAGTGTGGAATGTATTTAAGATAGTTAAAGAGCAATTCCCTTGGGGTAACTGCGATGAAGTCTTCTCACTTCCTTGGACTAGGATACATCATTCATACAATATACAGTCTCGATATTGTGCTTATTCTAAGCTCAGTAGGCTTGGAGAGCTGTATCCGGCTGAAGCACGTCTAATTCCAGACCAAGCTGTCTCATGTGTACATCTGTCTGCCACTGCTTGGGGTGTCTCAGAAAATTTTCAGGAATTGGAACAAGATAAAAGCCCTTTACTTGGGACTATGTGGAAACTTGTTGAAGCACTTCATGCAGTTGCAGACAGGTGTACACTTAGGCTAATACTTGATGAGTGTGCCACTTTTTTCATGCCCAGCGTGACAACTTACAAGCTCAGGATCGGCGGATGTAACGCAGAAGAAGTGGACGCTACGGCAGTTGTGGCGGTGCAGAGAGGATCTGTTCCTGGGTGGTTTCTAGTGGAGACATTGAAAAATCATCGTGCATAAAATGCCAAGACATGAAGAAGAAATACCAGGACAGCAGGAGACGATATGTAGAAACTTCCACACTTCAATCTTCAGCACTCAACGGATGCGAGAGCGTTTCTAGGCATTTGACGGGGCTAAATTATGCTTACTTGAAGCTTCGTACCTTCTTCCTATTCAAGAAAAGCATGGACGTCGAATCTCAGCTGGTAGCCCGCCTTTTCTGTCACGTTTTGAGCAGTTTGGAAGCTAGATCCACAGGATTGTGGTAAGTCGATATTTGGAACTGGCACTGCTTTACAGCATCGCTCCCCTCATTAATGAATCTTCCAAATGGGGTGGTGATACGAAACTGTGGCGGCCGTGGTGGCTGTGCAGACCCGGGGTTTCAGTACCTGACCACTAGCGACGCGAATGAAACGAGTCCGAAGACAGCTATGACATCGTGCCGTTGCTAAGGAGCACCGATTGCGGGCCTAACAGGGACTCTGGTGGATGGCGTGGTTATTTCAGGGTCGTCAACTGAAGGGCAGCCACGTCGGGCGCCCACTGCAGAGGTCAGCATCGCCAATTGATCGACTGGATGCGCTCATCGCACAGTTCATGCAGACCTCGGAACGCAGGAGCAGGAATAGGGTCGAGCAGACAATGGAGAGCGCCATCCAGCTCCACTCCACGCAGCTCCAGCCCGCACAAAGAACACACGAGGGGACGGTTTCGGGACGGCAGGCCGCCTCAAGAGCGGGGCGCAGGCAGATCGAAGCGGCATAGCACGAGCGAGGAGGGCGCTTCTGAAGCCTGGCCGCCGCGCTTCCGGTGAGCTTGATAGAGACACCTGCCGCAGGAGCGACTCCAGCGCAGCATCTGGCCGTCACTTCGCAGTATTGCACGCCGCAGCGCGCGCCGGAGCAGCACGACGGCAGCAGCAGCACGCGCCGTCCACGAGCGTCCTCTACTCCGCGTTCTGGGGCATGCGGCCCCGTGCTGTGTGTTGGGGTGGCAGCTGGGGCGGCTTCGTCCTCGCGCGGCCTGAGTGAATGATGACCCGCGCCAACCTCCAGCCTCCCCGGCCTCGCAGACGCCCTCTCGATCCCAGTCCCGCACGCCTCAGGCCCGCCCGCGACCAGCACGCCCGCATTGCCTGCGCCTCTGTCGGCGGCTTGACTTGCGGCCAGTTCGTGCTGCGTTCGGGCTGGTGCGCTGCGTGGCGGCCAGGACTTTGGTGTTCGTTTGGGCTAGCTGGTCCCGCACTCGCTGCTGTCAGCCTCAGCTGTTAGGTAGAAATCGCCCACTCCCCACCCGCCCTTAAGTCTCCTCCTCCCGCAACATTCATGTCGTCCATGAATGCTCGCTTCAAAAACCTCGTAGGATCGAAGCGCCGATCGAGCAACAACGTCTCGCCCGCCGGCGGCAGCACTCAGATTCCCCAGCCGCGACCCAGCTCGCTCTCGCCCTCCACCTCGAGCACCACCTCGCTGCCCTCGACCGCCATGAACCCCCAGCAAAACCCGCTGGGACGCCCTCCCTCGTACACCTACGCTCCTCCGGGCGGTCTCGCTCCTGGCCAGCAGCAACAGGGCCGCCCGCACTCTCCACTGCCGCCCATCCACACCGCCGGCGCCCCCCACGGCTACCCACCCCAACAGATGTACCAGCAGCCCCCCCAGGGCCCGCCAGGCTACCCCCCTCCGCAGCCGCAGCAACAAGGTGGATATGGCGGAGGCTACGGTGCGCCGCCTCCAGCTGCCGCGCCCGCTCCCCAGGGCCCGCAGTCGTACACCAGACCGGGCGGGGCAGTCGAAGTCGAGGCAGCGGGACGGTCCAAGGCGCAGCTGATTGTCGGCATTGATTTTGTAAGCAGTGTGCATGCCGAATGGGCGACTCTGTACTGACTGGACTCGAGGGCACCACCTTCTCCGGCGTTGCGTTTGCGTTTGCAACAAACACCGAGGCCAAGGAGGACATCATCACGGAATGGCCAGGCGCGGGCAACCAGACCAAGCAGAAGGTAGGCCATTGGGCCCCGACGAGCCTCATAGTTGCTAACTCGCCGACTGCATAGATCCCCACGGTGCTCTACTACGACCAGTACCAGAAGGTTGTTGGCTGGGGCCCAGACATTGCTGATGCCTTGGCCCCCACGGGCTACCCCAAGCCAGGCGTGCAGAAAGTCGAGTGGTTCAAGCTCCAGCTCATGCTTTCGGGCAACACCTACATCGATCCTATCAACCTGCCACCCCTTCCTCCGGGGAAGTCTGAGATCGATGTTGCCGCCGACTATCTGTTCCACCTGCGCCAAGCGATGCGAAACCAGCTGCAGAAGACGCTCGGCGAGGTCTTCAACCGAGAAGAACGCAACATCAGATACTACCTGACGGTGCCTGCCATCTGGAACGATGCTGGAAAGGCCGCCACGCGTGCTGCAGCAATCCAGGCCGGCTTCCTGCGTGACGAGAATGACAACAGGCTGACGCTGATCACCGAGCCCGAAGCTGCGGCCATGTTCTGTTCCAAGACTGGTCTTCTGAACCTAAAAATGCACGACGCCGTGCTCATTGTCGATTGTGGTGGTGGAACCGTAGATCTGATCGCCTATGAGGTGGAAGAAGAGCAGCCCTTCTCCGTTGCCGAATGTACAGCTGGGTCAGGTGACTCTTGTGGTTCGACAGCCCTAAACCGCAACTTCAGCAACATCCTGCGCGCCAAGATTAGGAAGATGAAGTTGCCGGACGGATCCAAGACAGCTGGAAAAGTGTACGCAAAGTGCATCATGGACTTCGAGAACAGGATAAAGGCCGACTTCCGAAACAACGGCCAGAAGTGGGCCGTGGATGTGGGCATCGAGGCCGAGTTCCCCGAAGCCGGCATCGAGGAGGGGTACATGACCTTCACGAACGAGGAGATTTTGCAGTGCTTCGAGCCCGTAGTAAATAGGATTTTGGAATTGGTCCGAAACCAGATCATCGCCATTCAAGCGCAGAACCGGGCACTACAAGTAAGTTGCACTATACTAGATCACTATCCTTAGGCATCGTAGACTAATTTTGTCAGAATGTCCTGGTTGTCGGCGGTTTCGGTGCTTCAGAATATCTCTTCCAGCAAATCAAGCTCCACGTCCCACCTCAATTCCAGTCCAAGGTCGTCCGTCCTATGGATTCCGTCGCCGCTATCGTCAAGGGCGCCGTCACCGCCGGTATCACTGAACGTATTGTGACCCACCGTGTCGCGCGTCGTCACTACCTCATGGCCACTCTCCAGCCCTTCAAGGAGGGTCATCACCCCGAGCAGTACCGTGTGCCGTCTCTCGACGGCAAGGACAGGTGCAAGTACACTCGCCAGATCTTCGTCCAGAAGGGCCAGCGTGTTAAGATCGGCGAGCCTGTCAAGGTCTCGTTCTTCCGACAGGTCGCGCCGGGTGCAACGCTCATGTACGAGGATATCCTGTACGCTTGCGATGACGATGTGTGCCCCGAATATACTAAAGATCCTCGTAAGTCTTTTCATAATACACCTATATCTAACCCAGTTCATGCTAATCTCCATTCAGGTATCAAGGAAGTTGTCACTCTCACCTCGGATTTGTCCCGCAAGAACCTAGAGAAAGACTTTGAGCGCATGGACACCCCACAGGGCACATTTTACCGCGTCTACTTCGATATCTATCTCACGCTCGATGGTTCAGAGTTTAACGCCGAACTTGTGTGTCAAGGTGAGGTCATGGGCCGCTGTTCTTCAAGGTTTAGGTAAAGCATTATCTGGTGGCAAGAGAAAAACGCGCGTTGTGCATGCTGGATAATAGGTAGACGTGATCTGCGTTGTATCGGAAAGCATAATTGGAGGAAGCGCGGGAAATGGATTCTATTGATGTTGATGAAGAGGCGAGAAATTCTTCAAGCATACCCCCAAACTCGTCGGATTTCTTTTTGGTTGGACGTTGGCAAGCGAGGTAGCAACAGGCCATGGGCCCCTCACCCTACGTTCCATGCCACCGCGCTTACGTGGCGGTGGCATGTTCGGTCTCGGGGAGTATGTTTCTGTCTGTTCATAATCCGATGGCGTGTGCGGCGATATTACAGCGGTAGATTTTACGAGTGTGGATAGTTCCAAAATTACAGTTGCCTGAACAGGTGCATTTGTAGGAGATCGTCAGAGCTAACGACCCCCAGAACAATGGTAGCGTTTGGTGTAGGGGAAGGCTGTCCCTAAATTTGGCATCGAGGTTGACCTTGGCTGATGCGTATTAGGATAGCGTGTCCTTGGCAGTATCATCGCAACCACGGACTGCCTCTCGGTCTCGTCCGTAGCCTACGTAACTATTCCACCTCCATCAAGCCGTCGGACCTCTCGCCATTCTAACAATACTCACTACTCAATCCCGAGCCCTATATTTACTTAGGTGAAGCCTGGAACTGCGACACCACGTCCGCCGTCGGGTTTACAGCTGCTTCAACCAATTGCGCGATTTCCCTCCACGATGTATTTGCATCATAACAAGATCCCCACTAGGGCGTCTCTCATACGCCTGTACTTCACTACTATACAACTAGACCCTCAACAATCTGCTTCGACCATGTCTTGTTCTATTCTCGGGACTTTGAATTGTGTGGTAAAGAGCCGGCGCGACCTCCTTCCCCACTGCATCTGTCAAGCTTCAGCTAGAATTGTATCCACTTGCAGTGTCATCGAGACTTTGCTTTCCCCGTAGGGACGCTGTTGGCCCCTCATCAAACTCTGTTAAATGTACAATCCCCCTCAATCGCATGCTCCCACTTCCACCTCTTTTCTTCACTCGGCCTTCTCCTCCTAGCTACCACACGCAGACACTATGAAGTCTGCAGCTATCGCTGTGCTCGCCCTCGGCGGCGCCGCGCTCGCTGCCCCTGCTCATATTTCTAAGAGAGGCGGCTCAGAAGTCGAAGATGGCTCAGGGTGAGTTATTTTCCTCTCATACGTGATATTATCATCCTTGTTTACACTTGATGAGACGCAATCCTCATCATCCTGCGGGCCCACGAGTCATGGTTCGTTTATCAAGTGTTACTGAAGCACCCCAAGCGGTGGCAAACAAATTCACACCAACCAACTTCTAAGTTTTTCAACGGAAGTTCATGCTTGCTAACGCATTGACGTAGTGAGGTGTGCGTTGGTGGCACGACCCTGGTGACGGTCACTGCTAGCCCAGGCTATGGTGGTCACGGTGGCTGCCAGAGGAGCAAGCCTACCCCGTACGAGACTCCCAGCTACGAGACTCCTAGCTACAAGCAGCAGGGCAAGCCCACTCCGCTCGAGACTCCCAGCTACACGACTCCTAGCTACAAGACTCTTAGCTACAAGCAGCAGGGCAAGCCCACTCCGT